GAGCGTTGTGGCTAGTCTCTCCACAACGTCCGCAACGCCTCTGTGTGCGCACCTTCTTTGCAGGCTCTCCGCCCCCCTGCTGCCCACTACCCTCCCTTTCAGCTATTAAATTAGCTACCTCACCTACCATAAGACTCTCTGCTGCCCAAATATACTTCCTCTTTCAACCTCTAACCTCTATTGCTATCTCTACTGCCTTGCAAAGCCCTGCTATTTCCTGTCGCATTAACACGCTATCATGCCCTATCCGTGCAATGCCCTTGTTTAGCTGCTCAACTGCTCTAAGCAGAGGAGAAACTAGGGAATCTCTGTGCAGTTGTACACGCTCACAAACCAGCGTTAACTGAGCCTCTATCTCACAGAGGTTGCTTAGAGTTTTTAATTCCTATAGGGTGTCCTCTAGCTTTAGTAGAGTTAGCGTACAAAGGACCACATTAAGCTTTAATATCACCGCCTCTAGGTTGTGTGGAACTAGTCTAGCGCCCCTAAAGCCTGCATAGATGTTCTCCTTTATAATTAACCTCTTAAAAGCTGCTTTAAAGGCTGGTAGGAAAGCCTCCTTCTTAATCTGCTTAGAGCTATACTGTGCCAAGCCACTAATCTTATCACTATATGCCCGCTTTAAAGGCGAAAAGCAACCTACATTAAGTGGCTGCAGCAGGTGCAACGAGTAAGCAGGCATACAGAGAATAATAATCTTCTCTTCCTCACAGTGTTTGTAGAATTCATGTGAGCTGTGGCTCTCATGGCCGTCCACAATCAGCAGCCTGTGTGCACCCACCTTCTGGTCTTTTGTATGGGTATTGAAGTGCTTCAGCTAGGCAATACTAAGCTTATTTAATATCTAGCTATTAGGACTAACCTTAATTACCTAATCCTAAGGTAGATTGTAAAACTATAAGGTAATAAGGACCTTGCTAGGGAAGATAAGGAAGGGTAGGATAGCCTATCCTTTAGCGTTAACTCCTTGTATATTAGTAACCTAACTATAGTTCCCTAGCTACAGGCTCTTTGTGCTACGCTTCTTAGAGCCTGTAAAGACTATCTAGCTATAGATAACCCCTATTATAAAGCCTATCTTGTTAAAGTTGTACATGTCTTTGTCTGTGATGCTGTACTTGGCCTTTATGTTAGCAACTAGCTTAAACTAGGGTGTTATAACGCGTGCATCTTTGTTAAGAGCTTGCTAGTGATCATATGGACGGCTCCTTCGAAGCTTGATCTCAGGCGTACGCGTCTTGAAGTTGTCTACCCAGTGCTTGCCAACAGGCTCTCCACCGCGCTCAGCAAGCAGATCATTGGCCATATCTCGCACCATAGCCTTTGTAGCAAGTATTCCTCTTGTGTTAAGCTCAAGTATACGTTGTACAAGGGCCTCCTCCTCTAGTTTACTTAGCTTCTTTAAATTAGGCTTGCAATCGCGTTAAGAGAGGGCTCCTTAGCATTATTAGCAGACAGTAGTTTAAGGTATGCTAAAGGCTATAATAGTGCATCTTTTACTCTTATTGTAATCTTTAATTATAGCTTAGATAGCAAGCTATAAGGTCCCTTTAGTATAGGTTAATTGCACGTTGTGGTAGGATAGCATTGTAATGCAAAGTAGTTATTAGGCTATCATAGTTGGGATGGACCGCTCGCTTGGGTTGGACCGCTCGCTTGTGAACTACGTTATTATAAAGCTAGACTTATTAAAGTTGTAGGTGTCTTTATCTTATATACTATACTTAGCTTTAGTATTCTCTACTAGTTAGAACTAGTCCCTAATTACCTTAAGATCCTTACACAGAGCTCTCTTATAGTTATACTTATAATTAAATTTAACTTTAAGCTCTAGCTAACATTTTACAAAGTTAGCAGCCTAGTTCTTGCTAACGTAGGGCTAGTGGCGCTCAGCAAGCAGAGAATTAGCCATATCCTCCACATCAGCAAGCTGGGGTGGGTATCCTCGCTCGTCTAGCTTCAATACATGCTGGACAATCACCTCCTCCTTTGTACTAGTTATCCTTATTATGTTAGGCTTGTAATTGTGTTATAAAGAGGTTCTAGTAAGGCGTGTACCTAGGGTGCTTTAAGAGACCTAGTATATTACTACAGTACGTTGCACGCTTAGTGTTGCGTCTTGCTAGATAGCCTAAAGGGCAAGCTATATATCTATTTTATTTAAAGGCTTTCTTACGTTGTTGTGTTGAGGCATTACAGGGAGAGTGAAGTTCGGTGTAGTCTTGGCAAAAGTGGCCAGCTCGCTTGTGGAGTACGTTAATGCTATTAAGGAGGCATAAGTGCATAGGGTGAAGTTTGGTGGGGGCTTGGCAAAAGTGACAGGCTCGCCTGTTGACCCGCTCGACCGTGAGGTACGTTATTGTGTGTGGCTCATTATGAGGCCTTGCGTGCAGAACGGGTTGGTGTGCATCATGGGGTGGGGCACGGTAAGGGCCCTCGGAGCACTGGAACAGCTCCAGACCTACACAACATGCAATCGCAATCGATTCGATTTCACAGCCACTCCTGCTCTCGATTCTCCGAGATGAATCATCCACACTCAAAATGACAGATCCCTCCACAGCGTCACCCTTCCTCCGTCTCCCACTCGAGCTGCACTACGCAATCTACAATCATCTCTGCTCTCCAGAACCACGCGGTTATCCCACACGGGCTCCCACAACCATTACAGCTGCCTCATGTTCATTCTCGATCTCCCCTCCCTCCCTACTCTTGACGAACCGACACTTCCTCAACGAAGTATCAACCTACTACTTCACCCGCTGCATATTCCGCTTCGTAGCACAAAGCTTCAGGGCCCTTAACGCCGACAAGAACTACATATCGGCCGTGTCTCTGCACATTGTGCGGAACATGCGGAGAGTGGAGCTGCTCCTACTGCCCGGGACGATGAAAGCCATACCCTCCGACCCTTGGCCGAGTATCATGGTGAAGGGCATGTCGCCAGAGCGGCTTAACGAGCAAGTGCATTTGCTGAAGAACAAGGCGAAGAGGTTGAGGACGGTAGTTGGTTCCATACGACGGGTGAGCTGGGACCATGCATGGAGTATGAGAGAGATGGAGACGTTGTTGAAGCCGTTGGAGGGTTTGAAAGAGAAGATGGAGTTTAAGGTTGGGGAGGTCAGCGGGCCATCAGCGATTGAAGGAAGTATGAGAATAGAGTTAGTTGCGGTTCTGGGGCAGCTCAATAGCTAGGAGTTTGAGGCATTTGACTCATTTGTCGGGGTATGGTGACTATCAACATCCACCAAGCTCGTACACGGCCTGTCTACGCTCGTGTATTTTCATTTGCTTTGACCAAAATCTGATGGCGGCCACCTAACTTGACCCGGGCTGGTTGCGTGTTCGCTTGAATTCATTGTCTCGAAAAGCGCAGGAGGTCGACCACTATCACGGTCATCCGTCTTCTTCATCATCCTCATCACACTCAAGGTCCTCATCAAGGGAGCTTGGGTGTGCCCTCAGGCTTCGCCTCTTATTTCCCCTTTTGGTGCCTCTGATCGCTACATGCCCTTCAGGGCGGCGCTGTGGAGGGGCATCGTACTTGTGGCCATGAACAACTTCAAGCATCGTCTTCCAAGAAGAAGTAATTTCCGCTCAACTTCTGCTCCTGGTCAAGTTGAGAGTTGTACTTGTTGATACGTGGGCGGTAAGAGTTGGGATCACGACGGAATGTGACGTCAAGATTCTTCAAGAAGGAGTTGCAACCAGAGAGGAGAGACTCAGGGGCGCGGGCGCGGGCGTGAACCGCGGGCTGACCGTCGAAGACGATGACACGGTCGGCAAGGTAGGTGGCCATGACGAAATCGTGCTCAACGACGAAGGCAGTCTTCTTGGCGTGCATGATGAAGCGCTTGATGACCCGGGCAGTGATGATACGCTGCTCTGAGTCAAGATAGGCACTGGGCTCGTCGATCAGGTAGATGTCGGCGGGGATACCCAAAGCAAGGACGATAGCGACACGCTGCAATTCGCCGCCAGACAGGTTCTGGACTTCCTGGTCGATGAAGTCGTCCATTTTGAGTGGCTTGTAGACATCAGTCTGGAACTGAGGGCTCAGGAAAGCGGCCTTGATCTTCTTGAAAAACAACTGGCGGACGGTACCCTGGAACTTGGGTGTGATGGTCTGAGGCTTCATGGAAATGCTCATCTTCGGGATCTTGGTTGTGCCGTCAGGCTGAATAGCACCAGCGAGCATCTTGCAGAAGGTGGTTTTTCCGGTACCGTTCTCACCCATCATGACGATGATCTCGGAGTCGTTGAATTCTCCAGACTCGATGTCCAACTTGAACTGGCCCTGGGTCCTGGACATCTTGGGGTAGCTGTAATCGTGGGCGTGGTCGATCATGTATTCGTCACCGGCCTCTCCAATACGGAACTGCAGCGATTCCTCACGGAAACGCAGGTTCTCTGTAGGGATGTTACCGTCCAAGAAGATATTGATGCCTTCACGAACGGACGCGGGAAGTGTGACAACACCGTAAACAGCGGGCTTTCCGTAGAGAACACAAATGAAGTCGGAAAGGTAGTCGAGAACGGACAAATCGTGCTCAACGCAGATAACGTAGTCGTCAGGGCGAAGCAAGCTACGGATCTTGCGAGCGGCGGCAAGACGCTGCTTGACATCCAAAAACGAGGAGGGCTCGTCGAACATGTACACATCAGCCTTCTGCACGCAGACAAGGGCGATGGCGAAGCGCTGAAGCTCTCCACCAGAGAGCAAATTGACCTCACGGTCGAAGATGTGCCTCAGCTCGAGCTCATCAATCATTTCGTCGAGGTTCTCCATTTGTGAGCGGGCGCCGATAAGCTTTCCAACCGCCCTCTCAGTGCCCTTGATAGCCTTAGGGATCTGGTCGACATACTGGGGCTTGACGACGGCCTTGAGGTTGTCTTCGAGGATTTTGGTGAAGTAGTCTGCGAATCGTCAGTTCGAGAACATGCAGAATAACGTCTCAATGCGCTCACTCTGCAGCTCAGAGCCACGGAAGTACTTCAGAATCTCCTCCCAGTCAGGTGGGTTGTCGTAGCGTCCCAGGTTGGGCTTGAGCTTGCCACTGAGAATCTTGAGCGCGGTACTCTTGCCAATACCGTTCGTTCCGACAAGACCCAAAACCTGTCCGGGACGAGGCATGGGCAGTCTGTGCAGCTTGAAACTGTTCGCGGAGTATCGATGGGTGACTTGAGTCTCGAGGTTGGTGGGCAAATTGATGATGTTGATGGCGTCGAAAGGGCATTTCTTCGGGCAGATACCGCAACCGATACACAGGCGCTCAGAGATGAAGGCAATCTTGGAGTCGTTGGTGACTTCGATGCACAGCTTGCCAGTGCGGACTACAGGGCAAGACTTCTTGCATTCTTGCCTGCATTTCTGCATTCGTCAGTGCACGGACTTGAAGTCGGGGTTCTCGCACTCACCTTCGGCTTGCACTAGATCACGAACATCCTCACGTTAGCCATGCCAAAATTTCTTGTATAGAGGGGCAGCGCGAGGTACCTTGTCCGAGTTGATGATGGCAATACTGTCGTATGTCAGTCAGGATACGCATGTTCGTTCTGAGCATTTCGACATACCGGGTGAGCTTGTCCGACATCGTGGTGGTGGTTGACGGCGTCTGGACGCGGCTTCAAAGTGTGTCGAAAAGCGGTGTTGGCGGGGTGGTGAATTTTGGCCTTCGAGTGTGCCAGCGAGAGACAATGGATCGGACAGGGAGCCGGGAACGCGCTGCACAACCAAGCAAACACCGGAGTTGATGGCGGACAACGACGCTGCAACAGGTGTAAGAGTGGAGGAGGCGCGAGAAGGACCGTGGAGAGGTTCGCAGGGTTCGCAAGGCTTTCTTCCTGTGACGTTGCGCGACGGGCAATCAACGAGGCTGTTGTCAGCGACTCTGCTGCACGCTGATTGGGTGGGCACTCATGTGGGTCCACTCGCGGCTGGTGTGCCCCAAGCCTTGACGGCCCTCTTCGAACATACCGATTCCTCACACACTACCCCATACCTCACCACACCCAAGCGCCCACCCCGGCCACCCAGCCCGAGGGCAGCTTCGTCATGGACTGTAAGTACATAGTCCTCTGGTTTCTTGTCTGTCAGTTGTGCTCTGATCGACGCGCTCTTTTTTTGCGCGTCGCCGGCCTCGCTCAAGTCCATCAATCCCATCACGAATCCATGTCGGTGCATCCAGGAACACGTCCAAGACGCCTACTACAGACCCATACAACGCTTCGAACGCTCCAGCGCGTCCTCCATCGCCTATTCCACGCCCTCTGCCCGCCTACAGAGCCACGCCGCTCAGCCGCCCTTCGTCAGCACACGTCCATCAGCCACCGACTCATTCCATCAGGCCTCCATTGAAGAAGTGCTCCCCGCGGTCCCTGGCTACTTTCTTGTCCATTCGAGTCGCGTAGTTCCGCTCTATCCAGCGCACCCACCCTTGCCTGCCGGACCCATGCGCATCTCGAGATATCACGCTGACCATCTCATACAGCTACGTCCATCATGATGCCCACTTCACCGGGCCATGTGGTCTCTCTTGCACTCACAAACGGTCACGGATCACCGTACGCAGCCGGCACGACGGCGACAAACGGTCTGGCCGCGCACAGCAATAGCGACATGTCATATACCCACGAGGACGCCGTAGCAGAGCCAGCCTCTGACGCCGACGCGCCAGGCGAGGACGACGACGAAGACGTAGTCATCGCACAGGACTCAGATTCCTCTGACGATGTGGATGCCGAGGGCGAGGCAGACGGCGACTATGATTCTGAATCACCGCCGCCGGAACAGGCGGAGAGTGACGATGACGCCCGTAGCTCAGTGTCCCAAGAGTCGAGCAGGCCGTCAAAACGGAAGGCCAGCACAGAGGGGGACGACTACATGACACAGAATCCCGAGCTGTATGGCCTGCGTCGCAGCGTACGTGACATCCCCGCTCTTCAACTCCTTAAGCTAACCTAGTCTCAGGGTCGCGCCAGGCCTCACCGTCGAGTGGTAAGCTACTTACAGAGGGCCTCTGGAGACGATGTTTACAAGTTATAGGTCGATAGCAGCGACGAGGATGATGGTTCTGGCTCCGACGTGCCTCGTAAGCGACAGCGCACAGCCTCGCGCAAAGGTCTGTCTTCTCATCAGAAGTCCATCTTGAGTCGTACTGACACACGGTCATAGTATCGAAGCAAGCCACACCCGTGTATCGATCAGACGACTCTGACTCTGAGTCTGACGGTTATCAAGGCCCTCGTCGCAGCATGCCTACGAAGAAGGACCGTCGACGACACCTGCTCGTAGCTCAAGGCACGCTGCCCCCATCACACGCCGAGGTCCGCTTTTCCTCGCGACGTACCGCACAAGCCACCAACTACAATGAGGAGGAAGACGAAGACTCTTTCCTAGAATCGGAGGATGAGAACACGCCTGCGTACTGGGCCAATGTGCCTGAGGAGACCGGTCCCATTATCGACAAGGTACTAGACCATCGACCCCTCGAGGGAACAGAGGTCGACCCTTCATACGCTCAGAAGAAAGACTTCGAGTACTTGATTAAATGGCAGGACAAAGCACACTACCACTCCACGTGGGAAGACTACCGAACCGCCGCCACTTATAAAGGCTTTCGCAAGCTGGATAACTACTTCAAAGGCCCCGTCATGGCCGACATGTACGCTACCTACAAGAGGAAGTCCGAGCCTGAGGAGTATGAGCAGCACATGGTCGCCCGTGAGACTGAACGTCAAAGTCAGCTCGACTTCCAAGTCGTAGAGCGCGTCATCGATTCTCAAGATGGTGAAGATGAGACTGAGTACTTTGTGAAGTGTAAGTGACTTGTGCTTGCTGCCTTGGTTTGAGGATTTTAACCGAAAATTAGGGAAGGGGTTGACATATGAATTCTGCACATGGGAGCCTGCCTCCCTTGTGAGTAGCCTGTCGCAAACCGAAATCGATCGTTTCCTCGATCGGTCCTCTGATCGTCCATCCTCAGACCTAAGCGAATCGAACATCAAGACACGGCGGAGATTTGCGAAGCTGGACGAACAGCCTGACTACATCAAGTTCGGCCGCCTGAGGCCTTTCCAACTGCAAGGTGTCAACTTTCTTGCGCACAACTGGTGCAGGGGCACCAATGTGATCTTGGCTGATGAGATGGGTCTGGGCAAGACTGTGCAGACAGTCTCATTCATGAATTGGCTGCGTCATGATCGCGGCCAGGATGGTCCCTTCATTTGCGTCGTACCCCTCTCGACTATGCCAGCCTGGGCAGACACTTTCAACAACTGGACTCCTGACATCAACTATGTCATCTACACTGGCAGGGAAGATGCTCGAAGCATCATCCGAGACAAAGAGCTTCTTGTTGATGGCAATCCTAAGAGGATCAAGTTCAACGTCTTGTTGACAACATACGAATACGTACTCGCCGATTGGCAGTTCCTGTCGAGCATCAAGTGGCAGTTTTTGGCTGTTGACGAGGCTCACAGGCTGAAGAACCGCGAGTCTCAGCTGTATGAGAAGCTACGAGGCTTTAGTGCACCGAGTCGACTCCTCATCACAGGTACTCCCATTCAGAACACGCTGGGAGAATTATCTGCGTTGATGGACTTCCTCATGCCTGGTAAAATCCAAGTCGACGAAGAAGTCGACTTGGCGTCAGAGGACGCCAGTCACAAGCTCGCCGAGCTCAGTGATGCGATCCAGCCTTACATGATTCGCCGTACAAAGGAAAAAGTCGAAAACGACCTGCCACCGAAGTCTGAAAAGATTCTTCGTGTCGAATTGTCCGACATTCAGCTTGAGTACTACAAGAACATCCTCACACGCAACTACGAGGCTCTTAATGAGGGCGGTTCCGGCCAGAAGCAGTCTCTATTGAATATCGTCATGGAGTTGAAGAAGGCCAGTAACCACGCCTTGCTGTTCCCCAACGCCGAGGCCAAGTTCATCAAGGGCGACGCCACTAAGGAGGAGACCCTGAAGGCTCTTATCACAACGAGTGGAAAAATGATGCTACTGGATCGACTTCTGACCAAGCTCAAGAAGGACGGTCATCGTGTTCTGATCTTCAGTCAGATGGTCCATATGCTGGACATCTTGACGGATTACCTCAAGCTTCGAAACTACACCTTCCAGCGTTTGGATGGGACCGTTCCCGCCAGTGATAGGAAGATCGCCATTGACCATTTCAACGCTCCTGGCAGTGACGACTACTGTTTCCTCCTGTCGACTCGTGCCGGTGGTCTTGGTATCAACTTGATGACTGCTGACACTGTTGTTCTGTTCGATTCTGACTGGAACCCTCAGGCGGATCTGCAGGCCATGGCTCGAGCTCATCGCATCGGTCAGCAGAAGCCTGTCAGCGTCTACCGTCTTGTCTCGAAGGACACGATTGAGGAAGAGATTCTGGAGCGCGCTCGTAACAAGCGTATGTTGGAGTTCATCACCATTCAGCGTGGTGTCACAGATCGCCAGCAGAAGGAAATGAGCGACAAGGTGAATCGCGCCGTCGCGGAGCCCAACTCTGCTGATGATATCAACAACATCCTAAAGCGTCGCGGTCAGAAGATGTTCGAACAATCAGGTAATCAGAAGAAGCTTGAAGAACTCGACATTGACTCCGTTCTCGAGAACGCCGAGGAGCACAAGACCGAGCAAGCCGCAGGTCTGACATCTGATGGTGGTGCCGAGTTTCTGAAGAACTTCGAGTATACCGACGTCAAGATCGATCTTGAATGGGATGACATTATTCCTAAGGAAGAGCTCGAGGTTGTCAAGGCTGAGATTCAGCAGCGCAAGGACGATGAGCAGACTCAGAAGCTTCTCGATGAAAGCGCTCCACGCAAGCGCAAGGCGAGTGCTGCGAGCGCACGTGAGCAACGCGCCGCCAAAAAGCGCGCCATGGAAGCCTCCCGAGATGTCGACGTTGACGATGATGAGCCATCAGAGGACGAAAATGTCAAGCGTGACCCGAAGCGTCCTCTCAATACCAAAGAGACACGAAACTTGGTCCGGGCTTATGAACGATACGGGTCGTTGGAGGAGCGCGCCGAAGAGATGCTCAAGGCTGCAAAGCTTGTTGGTCGTGATTCGGATGTCGTCAAGAACACCCTTGACACGATTATCACTACTAGTCAGGACCTCGTCAAACAGGAGCAGGCAAGGCTTAAGAAGCTGGAGATCGACGAGAACCGCGCCATCACAAAGAAAGACAAGAAGGCTGTGCTCTTCGATTTCAATGGCGTAAAGAAGCTGAATGCTGAGACCATCATTGATCGCCCGATCGAAATGCGCATCCTCAAAGAAGCAATACAGGGCGTGCAGGATTGGCACAACTTCCGCATTGCGGACGCTATCAAGCCCGCGAGCTACTCCTGCCCTTGGGGCGCTCGGGAGGATGGCATGCTCAGTGTAGGTATCTCTCGCCATGGTTACGGTGCCTGGGTGCAGATTCGCGATGATTCCGAACTTGGATTGGCCGGCAAGTTCTTCTTGGAAGAGCACCGTGTCGACAAGAAAGAGGAACGTACTAAGGGAGAAGAGAAGAACGCCAAGTCCCCTGGTGCAGTGCACTTGGTGCGCCGTGCTAACTATCTCCTTACTGTCCTCAAGGACAAGACCGGTGCGGATCCCAATGCGAAGCGCCTCATGGAGAATCACCATCGCAACAACAAGAAGCACCACCTCAATGCTGCTCGCCGAACCGACAAAGCGTCGAGTGTATCTGCCAGCCCTGCACCTCCAGGGCATGCCAGGAAAGTTGTGTCGCGTGATATCGCACGTCCTATCCAGCGCACGCACAGCAACAGCGAGAGCCGACGCCCAGAAGTCCGATCGGAGCATCGAGAGCGCGACAAGCCTAGGCATAGTGATCAGTACAGGCCTTCAGAGGGACACCGCCGCGATGACCGGGGCAGCGCCGACAGACGGTCGGAACTCCCTGAACGCACAGAGACCCCCGACTTCAGAAGAAAGACCAGTGGCGATCTGGAACGACATCGTTCGAGGGACGATCGACCGCGCCTCTCGGAAGAGCGAGCACGTGCGATTAGCCAGAGCCAAAATCCCAACCGCACTGTTGACTTGACTCCCAAGGCAAGCAATCAGAAGAAGCCGGAGGATTTCGTCGAGCGTAAGATGCGACCAGTGCGCGACAATCTTAGCCGCCTCAAGAAGGCTACGGCGAAGAATTACCCGCAGAAGGAGATTATGATCAAGGTTCTAAAGACCGAGTTGATTGCCATTGGCAACTTTGTTCGGGCAGAGACACGTGACAATGCAGAGCTAGAGGAGCGTCTGTGGTAAGTTGACTAAGTGACATGCATGACAGACCTCTCTCTAACCTCACACGCAGGAATTACACAGTCAACAACCACTGGCCACGAACCGGCGTTACAGTCCCACAGGTCAAGGGCATGTACAGCAAGATGCGCAGCTCCGAAATGAACGGCAAGCAGTCCTCTGCAACTCCGCAGCAAAGCAACGGACAGAAGACGGAATCGCAACATACTTGAAGAGAAGGCACGCTTCGGCGTTTAACTTAAGACCATATCTACACGGCGTTTTCGATTGTATGGTGCCTACAATCTTGTTTCTTTGGGCATAGCGTAGGTGTTCGGTTGTTGGATTACTCGAGATATCTTTCTCGTGCAACATCCTACTTTGATTTTACTGCATGAGCCGCTACACGCGAGCTCACTATGGTGTTTACATGGGTTCAGCAGAGGCGCATCACACGGAACAAAACATGGCGGGTGGTTGCATGAGCATTTACGACATTCGGCATGGACACGTGCATCATTCTTACACTGCATGAGAGAGGCACGACTGTCAAACAGCGCCGATATTCGTTCGCTAGATTTTGAATTTACACCCAGTGGTGTCATAGCTGACTAGAAACAATCTACAGTCACAAACATAAATCACTAACATAAATCACTCATTCTCGTGACCTGCTCGGTGACCAGTGATACGCCTAGCCTCACACTCGCCCACAATCAATACTCATGTAGGCAAAAGTCACACGAGTGCAGGGTGCAGTCGCCTTGCTGCAGAGAGCAACCGTCAGCCTTAGTAGCGGTCAGGCGCGCTTAGTGCAAAAAGAAGTCGCGAAAATGACGTCCAATGGCAGGGATAGACGGCCGCACGAGCTGCAAATGATTCGGGGGCCAGCCACGAACTCAACCATCATGGTGCTAAGTCGCAGTTTGCGAGTCAATATACAGTCTTGCCTTTCCCAGATGCTCGTGTGTCCACAAATCCGATAGAACCACCGCCATCATGCTACGGCCTCGCAACGCGCTGGTATGCGGCCTGCTCTTTTGGGGAGGTGCTTCCATGGCCGCCCCGCCTAGTGCAGTAACTGCAGTCGCGCTGGGCGAGATTGGGTCCGACGCCGCGGCAGCACAGAGCGGGCGAAAGCTCACAGGCCGGTTTTTGCACATTACAGGTGGGTTTGTGGGATTTTATTGGAGCGTGCAGTGTGGTTTGGCGCTGATGACATGCTGCAGACTTCCACCCCGACCCGTTCTACAAGACATACTCGAGTACGACTGCTGAGGCGGCATGTCACCGCCAACGAGGACCTGCCGGCATCTACGGCGCTGAGACGTCAGGGTGTGACTCGCCGTTTTCGCTGGTCAATGAGACGTTCAGATGGATCAAAGAGAATGTCAGGGACGACATCGACTTTGTGATCTGGACTGGTGACTCGGCGCGACATGACAACGATGAGAAGCATGCGCGCACGCAGAAGCAGATCATAAGCCAGAACGAGTTCCTGGTCGAGAAGTTCGGGGAGGTGTTTGGCGTGTCTGACGAGGACCGCAGAGGGACCAACGAATATGTAATTCCTATCGTGCCAACGTTTGGCAATAACGACATTATGCCGCACAACATTTTCCTCGAGGGGCCGAACAAGTGGACGATGAAGTACCTCGATATCTGGCGCAGCTTCATCCCGGAAGCGCAAAGGCATCAGTTCCAACAAGGCGGCTGGTTCTCTGTCGAGGTCATCCCAGCCAAGCTGGCTGTGGTTAGCTTGAACACGATGTAAGGGACTCGAGGATACTTTAGAGCACGATGCTAATAGATTGACAGCTACTTCTTCACATCAAACTCCGGCGTCGACGGCTGCGCGAACAAGCATGAACCCGGCTACCAACACATGGAATGGCTGCGCATTCAGCTCCGAATCATGCGCGAACGCGGCGTCAAAGCGATTCTCATGGGACACGTCCCGCCTGCCCGAGTTGACAGCAAGGAGAGCTGGGACGAGACTTGCTGGCAGAAGTACACACTGTGGGTGCAGCAGTACCGAGACGTGATTGTGGGCTCGCTCTACGGGCACATGAATATTGATCATTTCATGCTGCAGGACTTCGATCAGATCGACGAACACACAAGAAAGGGCGACATGGCCGCGCAGACTCGAGCTAAGGGTGTCGATGGCGAAGTCAGACTGCTCGAGGATGGCGAGGTTACAGTCGCGTCTGCATCAGACTACCTCTTGAGTCTACGAGACTTTTGGGCACAGCTTCCATCGCCTCTCGCGGATTCGAACAAAAGGGCGCTTCCGAAGTCCGGCATTTGGGACGAAGAGGAGGACGAAAGCTCGGTCTGGGAATGGCTGATGACTAAGGTCACGAGCTCGAGGCGCAAGAACGCTAGGAAGAGCGCACAGAAGAAGTATATTGAGAAGATTGGAGGAAAGTACGCCCAGCGCTACAGCGCATCGCTCGTCTCGCCCAGTGTGGTACCGAACTACTATCCTACCCTCCGCATCATCGAGTACAACATCACCGGACTCGAACACCTGCACGTTCAGAGCACGTCCTCGCCCTCTCAAGGTCATCAGCAAGCCTTTCTTAAGCACCAGTTCTCAAACGATGATGGGTACAAAAGGGAAGTCGATACATTAGTTAGTCAGAAGGAGACGCAGAAGAAAAAGGAAAGAGCTGCTAAGCACTCAAAGAAGTACCGCTTCAAGGTGCCTGAGGGACCATCCAAGTCTGCACCTCCTGGTCCGGCTTACTCGCCACAAGTCCTGACATGGACTCGGTACACCCAGTATTTCGCCAACCTTACGCGCATCAACAATGACTTCGTGAATCCTCAACATCACCATTACAACGTGGACGGCGAGGACACCTCTGCCAATGAGCTAGTCCCACGAACAATATTCGGTCTTGAAGTTAACAAAGGTGGTGAAATCGAGAGCAAAGGCTGGAAGGAAGGAAAGCATGGACACCACAACGGAAAGCACCCACGACCCGAGCCCCACCCGAAGGACTTTTACTACGAACTCGAGTACGACACAAGGGAGAAGAATTTTCCTGATCTCACTGTCAGGAGGTGGGTTGAGTATGCGAGGAAGATTGGTGGTGGCCGCGCGAAGGGTGCGAATGTTGATTACGAAGAGAGGAACATGGATGAGGTTGAGGGACAATTAGACACAGTCGACGAAGACAAGCTCGAGGCAGAGGGCAAGAAACACAAGAAACACAAGAAGGGCAAGAAGCATCACAAGGCTTCGAAGGAGTGGTTTACATTCGTCAAGCGGGCCTTCGTAGGCACCATGGATCCGCATGAGATCAAGGAAATGTTTGGGCGGTCTGCTCCGGTAGCAGAAGAGGTGCAAGAAGTCGTGGAGTTGTGATCGTACGGGTACTGCTGTTGTCTGGATACCCTGTGGACTTGGGTATGGTTCAAGTCTTGCTCTTTAGCGTTGCATATCACGACATTGGGTGCATGATGGAGAGGAGCATTGGGAGGCGTTAAATCAATCATCATATTGGATATCATTCATCACTTCAGCACGTGGGTACGTCTTGATGGTCTCGACTTTCACATAACGTGCCTGGCAAGCGAGTCGCGCAGGCAAGCGAGTCGCGCACCCCACCAACTTTACACACCTCCACAAGCGTATATCTCAACAACGTGATAATATAATATATAGATAATTATAGAGTAAATTAAGCAGTACTCTAGGTATCCTAGATACACGTACGTGAGTTATGACCAGTCTCTCTGCACCTCTTGCAGCGCGCGAGAGCCTGGTGGCTACGGCCTGATTGCTCTCCTCCTTGACGCTCTTCACAAGCAATCTGCTGATCAGCCTCACGTTGAGCAAGTAGATCCTCTCCAGCTCCCTTTATTAAGACCCTACAGTACTGTATACGCTTTTTCTTACACTGTTTACGCGCTGACGCTGCCTCATTAGCCTTCTCAAGGCTAGCAATCTGATCGCGCATCAGCTCAGCTGAGAGTATCATTACCTCAGCGCCTTTCTTAAGCTGATTGATCGCTTCAATAATAGAAGCAGGCGATGAGCTCTTATGCCGTCGAACGCGATCACGTACTAACGTTGATTGAGCCTCAAGCTCACGTACGTTACTCGGCGTACGAGCCTCCCATGGAGCCTCTGGCAGAGCAGCTGGAGTAGGCGTACGCAGCTGCACGTCAAGCTTTGATAGAACAATATCTAGCTGAAGAGGTACAAGGCCTGCGCCTTGAAAGGCTGAGCAGATATTGGCTGAGGTAAATGATCGACTGATCGCTGCCTTGAAGGCTGGCAGGAACTCAAGCTTGGTGATATGGTTGATGCGGTGGCGGATCAGAGCCTCAACCTCGCGGCTGTACGCGCGCTTCAACAGCGAGAAGCAGCCAACGTCAAGTGGCTGCAGCAGGTGCGATGAGTGAGGCGGCATACAGAGAGTGTAGATGCTATTCTCCTTACAGAGCTCTTAAAACTCAAGAGAGTGGTGGCTCTCATGGCTGTTAAGGACGAGCAGGCGACACGTGCTGACAACACGAGTCTTTGTATAAGCGTTAAAGTGCTTTAGCCACTCTACTCCTAGCTTGTTATTAGTCTAGCTGTTGTCACTAACTGCAATCGCCTAGTCACGTGGGATCTCTGCTTCCTCATACCAGGCAGATAGATGATACTAGCCAGCGAAGATAAGGAACGGCAGGACTGACCAGCCAGCAGCGTTAATAGCAGCGATCGCTGTCACCCATTCACAGTCGCCAGGCTGGAGAGCCTTTGGCCTGCCTCTCCTCTCTGATCCTGTCACAACAAGCTAAGTCGTGATCTTGCCTATTATAAAGCCAGCCTTGTTAAAGTTGTAGACGTCATCATCGCAGATGCTGTACTTAGCCTTTGTCTCCTCTACAAGCTCAAACTAGCTCCTGATCAGGGCTGGATCCTCGCATAGAGCTCGCTGCCTATCATACGCTCGATTGAAATGCGTCGTGAGACTGTCTGTACGCTTGACAAAGTTGGCTGGCCACTTCTGCCTAACCTGGCCAGCGCTGCGCGCAGCGAGTAGCTTATCAGCCATATCACGTACGGCAGCGTACGTAGGCGCGAATCCACGTGTATCTAGGTCGAGTATATGTCTAACAATCACTTCTTCCTCTTGCTGGGTAAGCTTCCTTAAGTTGGGCTGGCAATCGCGTTGGGCAGGTTTCCCAGCGCGTCAGTCGCGCAGCGTTGATTCAGGAACGTTAAACGTTGATGCAGCACCTCTAACGTGCATTATTAGGGTAGTATTAATAGCTGAGATAGCAAGCTGAATATCAGCTTCATTTTGAGGCAAAAGAGTACTTATTTGTGGTGGCATTATTATTAGAAGGTAATTAGAGCGTTAAGAAAGTTGGTAGGGTGCGCGACTCGCTTGCCTGCGCGACTCGCTTGCCAGGCACGTTATCAATTGGCAAGAAGAGCTGTCAGAACCTGCCTTGTTTTCTCTAGCGCAATATGGCGCCCAATAAGACTGAGTCATTGCTGACTACCTTCCATCAATATCCACAGCTTCCATCTTGCTCCTACTGTACTTCTATCAACGTTTGGAAAAAGCAGAAAATCACGGACAGTTCAGCATCAAATCAAATGTCGACTCCTGCGAACCCTTCGGTAGGTTGGATCGGTCTCGGCTCGATGGGTCTGGCCATGGCTCTCAACGTCCAAAAGCATCTCAAAGCCACAGAATCGCCAGACTTGCACTATTGGAACCGCACGATTTCGAAAGGAGACGAGTTGAAAGAGATAGGGGGCAAGCCTTTTGGCAGTCCCTTGGCAGTGGTCTTGAACAGTGGCGTGGTGTTCATATCTGTCAGTTCCATCTCAATTTACCGGACTACGTACTGATAATCTACGAGGTCAGCGATGATCAGACCTTGAAGTCGGTTGTCGACCAGATAGTATGTGCTGGTCAACTCCTCACTGGTACCATCTTTGTAGACACAACCACTATTCACCCGGAAACCACTAGAGCTGTGTCGAGACGGCTCGAGCAATTCGGTGCCGTTTACATCGCCGCACCTGTCTTTGGCTCTACACCTGTCGCCCAAGCCGGTCAGCTTCTCGTTGCTGCTGCCGGTCGCAAAGACGCTGTTAATAGAATCGAGCCGTATCTAACGGGCGTCATTGCCAGAGGGGTGATCCGAGTTGGCGAAGATCCAGCGCAAGCACTTCTTCTCAAGACAACGAGCAATATTCTGACGGCAGGCATGATGTACCTGATCTCCGAAGCACACACTCTGGCTGAGAAGTCTGGTCTCCCGTCATCAGTCCTCGAGTCGCTCATTGAGCAAAATCTGGGCACTTATGCGCATGGTGTGTCGAAGAGGCTAACAAGTGGTGCTTATTTACCAGCCGAAGGACAAGCACCGCAGAGTAGCCTGGAACTTGGGATCAAGGATGTGCAGCATGGTGTCGATTTGGCGAAGAGCAAGGGTATGAAGCTGGATGTTGGAGAGGTTTATGTGACTGCCGCGAACAAGGCAAAAGAATGGAGTGCGAATCAGGGGCGGGCGTTGGATAGCAGCAGTGTCTTCGGTATCGTGAGGAAGAGGGCTGGCCTGGCCTTTGAGAATGAGTATGTGCAAAAGAGAGATGCACAGAAGAGAAAGATGAATGATGATGATCGCATACGGCTTGCATATAGCACGATCTAATTTTGTATAGATGATGAAAGTGAAGGTCCATCACTTCCTCTTTCACTGCGTATCTGCACTACATGCGCGTTAGTATGGGTCGCAGCATTCTCCTTAAAGTATCTCGCTTTCCTCTGATTAATTTAAATCAATACCTCACACCACCTCCACAAGCACATCAACTTTGAGCAGTTCCTCAAGCAACATGGACTCTAAAAGGAAGGCAAGAACCAGCTCGCAACGCGCCAGTGCCCTCTCCGATACAAACATATCACTAAACTCGCGCGCTCATGCATCAGCGGCACCAAACTGCCCAACCATGGCTTCAGCATTTGGCCTACTGTCTACCGAGCTTCGTAATATGATCTACAGCGCCCTCTGGGAGTCATTAGGTGCTGTTGAGATATGCTGGTATGGACACCTTATGAGAATCCACTACAATTGCGTTGAGCCTGCCGAAACTTCGTACACCATCGGTTAACCTACTTGGCTTCTCACCTGTGAGTCGATCCTCTTCGAAATACTCAATCGCCTGCGTGTCACTTCTCGAATCGAATAGGAGTTTGTACAATGCCTACGCAACAAGTAGGCCCAAGGTCCTGCGAATCTCATTCACATTCAATTGGACGGGCGCACACTTTGCACGCAGCGAGATTGTACCTGAATGGTTCTATTCCGTTGAACTGGTCAAGGATTTCGGCGCAAAACTCTTCCAGCTTGAGATCACCAACGTGCACCCTCAAGGATGGTATGTACGCAGTTCCCTACTGGCCAAAGTGTCAACAGCTGCTAGAAAGGGACATTATAAGAGCAGGAAGAAGGGTAATCGGAACAGATGGGAGGCTGAGCGTCAAGGTCGGCACAGGCACTCCTCCACAGTCTGTGCTTTTCACCTACGCGTAAACCAGTATATTTGATCTAGGAGGGGAAAGACGAACTTAGTACACAATAAATACATGGCCTCTTTTAAATTTTACCTGACTATGCTACACTTTGTCAAAAAAATTCCATAGGTTTAGTGTACCTCCTTATGCCCGACCTATGAGTAGGCGGGTCGCTCTTTCACTCTCACCTCGAGATAAGCTCAAGCAAAATCAGCCTGTCTTTCGCACACAGCTACGTATAACCCACTTGAAACCCCTTACAGTTGCAACGGCGCAAGATCAAGGGTTCGTCTAACCACGAACACTCTACTACCAGCACCACCACCAGATGTCACGTTTCAAAGCTGAGAATTCCGCAACTCGGTGTACGATGAGCTCTGGATGATCAGACCCGTCGTTAATCTTCAGTAGCAATCTTAAAAGTGGGTAACCTTAGATGAGAGCAAGCGAACTTCCTCGTGATAGAATTCAGTGTCAAAAATAAAAACCCATTACATTCGAGTATTACTAGCTGCCAAATAGACTACACTTCGGCGTTCCATTCAGACTCCTATGCAATTGTTTATTTTGTCGTTATAGTCAGACACGTCGACTATCCATCGTACCTTCTCATCCAGGTCATCTTCTGTGCCGCATTGAGTTCCTCGTGAGAGTCTTCGGGATCTTTCCAACAGCGTTTTCACCGTTGTCGTGGTCAGCTGGAAGCAGGATAGAAACTGCGCCAATGTCTCGAGCCGAGTTTCTCGCCCGGGTTGAAAAGTGGCGCACTAGCGCAGCTGCGAAATGAATGGTGAAATTCAGCTCTTGGACCGCTCGGATGGAGACATGCATGTGTTCCCAGGAGTGAGGATCCCCTTCCTACTATCGTAACCTCCTTGACCACCGATAAAAGATCTGCAGCCTGCTCAGCTCTGCGCTTATGCATCGGTGCGTGATGGGCTTAAGCTTGAGCCTGAATGACTGCTCTGGCCTCACTATGTAGTCATCAGCATCGAAGGGACGAAGCACTGGCTTCTCACCCTTCTTGCTGGAGAAGGGTATCTCAAGATCTAGATCAGAAGAGGTACCCTTTCTGGTCAGATGGCGAGTTGTAAGGCTCACAGTGTCTGGATCGTTGCCAGAAAGGCAGGCCTTTCCTTCTTTTATGAGCTTGTTGGGCTTCATGCACATCAACGTTTACTGGGCTTGCAAAGATGGGAGCAAAATTAGATGGGAGCAAGTCTAGGAACAGCGCAGGGAGGACGTGAAGCGCTTAGGCAGGATCTACGAACGAGTAAATAGAAACCTTCGTAAATGTTTCAAATTTTCACATTAGAGTATTCTCTACATTCACACGCTATGTGCTTCAAGAAGAGCGAAGACATCGACGAAGGTCGAGGTTGGAGTGGTTATGTCATGAAAGCGCTTTTGGCAGCTGTCACAGAGATCGCCGACTCGCCGACATCCGTGGAACTTCTTAGAGCTCTGCGTGTCTGTCATGAACACTCGCCTCAACAACAACAATGGCGTTGCGCAACAGGTTGGCAGTCTCTACGGCTTCTGGCTTACTTCGAAGCTCAAGACAATTGGCTCCAAGAACAGCACCGCTGGCTGCGCTCTTGAATGCTCCTCCCACGCGCCACTTCTCGCAGCTCAACTCAAACGCCGCCTCCTCATCGAACCCCACCAGCATCTTCAACCTAGGACAAGTCAACTCTCAGGCTGGACCTCCCTCATACTTTGGATCACACAAGCGGTTACCTACAAATACTGTTGTGCGATTCGTACCACAGCAGACGGCATGGATCGTCGAGCGCATGGGAAAGTTCAACCGCATACTGGAGCCTGGTCTAGCTGTCTTGATCCCCTTCATCGACCGGATAGCCTATGTCAAGAGCCTCAAGGAGAATGCGATTGAGATCCCTAGCCAGAGTGCCATCACAGCAGACAATGTCACGCTGGAGCTTGACGGTGTGCTGTACACCAGGGTGTTCGACGCTTACAAGGCGAGGTAAGCATCATCAATGGCTCCATGATAAGCGCGTCTATTGACGAGCATTAGCTACGGTGTTGAAGATGCCGAATACGCCATCTCCCAGCTCGCGCAAACAACAATGCGTTCTGAGATCGGTCAGCTGTCGCTCGATCATGTCCTGAAGGAGCGCGCCAACCTCAACGCCAACATCACCGCCGCAATCAACGAGGCTGCCCAAGACTGGGGCGTCACCTGCCTGCGTTACGAGATCCGTGACATCCACGCGCCCGAGCCTGTTGTCGAAGCTATGCACCGCCAAGTCACCGCCGAACGATCCAAGCGCGCCGAGATTCTGGAGTCTGAGGGCCAGAGGCAGTCTGCTATCAACATCGCCGAGGGAAGAAAACAGTCAGTCATTCTCGCCTCCGAGGCGCTCAGGGCTGAGCAGATCAACATGGCAAGTGGTGAGGCAGAGGCTATCATGCTGAAGGCACAGGCTACTGCTAAGGGCATCGATGCTGTGGCCCAGGCCATTGAGCAGGGACAGGGAGCAGCGCAGAACGCCATCTCGCTGTCAGTCGCTGAGAAATATGTCGATGCCTTCGGCAACTTGGCTAAGGAGGGTACAAGCGTCATTGTTCCAGGCAACGTTGGCGACATTGGCAGCATGATCGCCAGCTCGATGGCAATTTATGGAAAGGTCAACGAGTCGTCAAAGAGCTCAGCAGCCAAGCTGGTTACAGATTTCTCGCAGGACTCCACAGGGGCTTCAAAGAAGATTAAGGAGCTCGAGAGCCGTCTCAGCAAGACTGAGAACGGTGGTAGCAGCGTTCAGGATGAGATCACTAAGGTCATGGATCAGAGACTGAAGAAGTAGAACATTGTGAAGATCTGAAGACGCGTAAAGATCTTGAAACACGGATCGATTGTATATTATACCACGCTGTATCAGTAGCAAAAGTCATCACATAAGTGAAGCAGTGGTTCACTGGTCAAACCTTCACCTGCCGAGTAACCTAACTTATCTACTATGTCATGATCGACTCAACTACCTCTGGAAGCATCTACTCACCTCACCAACCTTCCCACAACATCAGCAAGCAGCTTCGCAATCTGTTCGCCATCCTCCCAAATCCAATCGTGTCCACCTTTCAAGTCCCTGACCTCCAGTACCCTACTCCCCTCCCCGATCTCTGCCTCCCCGTCCCCATCCTCCATCACGATCCCCCACTCCTCGCGATCAAGCGCTACGCACATGACATCCCTTTGCTGCCGCTCAATCAACTCGTCCTCATAGCTATGCGCCAGTATCATCAATTTGCCCTCTTTCCAGCGCCGTGTACCATACTGGCCCGCCACAGGACTCACACCACGGTAGGCAGACGGGTCGTTGCCGAATGCCCCAGTGATGAAGTTGTAGTAGATCCTACTAATGTTCTCGGGACAGGTGGGTGGGTTGTGGTTCTGCAGAAGCAGCGGGATGTTGTAAATGCCACACAACAATACCAGTCCTTCTGGTCCACCTCCTTCTTGGTCAGATGATGCAGAGAGGCCAGTCCCAGACACATACTGCAGCAACAGCGTCGCGCCGCAGCTATGTCCCACGCCTACCCAGCGCTGCATTCCATACTCCCTCAAAAACCGCAGTGCGGCAGCGACGTCTTGCACATGCTCGGGATGCACTACGTTGCGCGAGGCATCGGAGGGCGTGCTGGGCGAAGTAGGATGCGCAGGGTAGGGCGAGAGGCGGTAGTTGAGTGATGCTATGCCTGCAAGTTTGTCGATGGTGGGGGAGTAGGACTTGAGCAGGTGGGCAAGGGTGGGCTCAATGCAGCGCGAGTCTTGCGTTGGGTCACGCCAGGCGCCGCCGTGGACATAGCTGGGTTTGTTAGCATGCGATGTGGTTGTGTCGAGATCGACAGTGGAACGCTGGTGGCGAGCCGAAATCGGAGTGAGTGCTTACACGATCCATGTGGTGTACTTGGGGTCAGATCGCTCGAGAGGCCGGGGAAGCCATATGTCGAGGGTTTGAAGGGGTTTTGACGAATCCGCGTATGGGATCGAAGGGATACGTTTGGGGTATTGTGTCATGTTGCGCCGGGGGGGGGAGGCTGGGGATTGTTTGGTTATGGTGTTTGGCGGGGTGTTCACGCACGACACAACAGCTGCATGGCGGGAGTGGAGAACGAGTCAGGGGCGATCAATTGTCTTTCATTCAGTCTTGCGACGATGCTACATTTTGTATCGTACTGAAATCTCCTAACGCTCCATCGTCAATGCGATGAGCGATTACTATTACTTCCGATCCAAAACGGAATTCAATTCCTGGCAATGGTGCTGCCCGGCGCCGATTGCCTTACAATGCAACACCAGGTATCTCAAGGACAGTGAGGCGTCAACTGACAGCCTATTCGAAATAACAACCAAAGAATCCTGCGCTACGCGACATGCGCGAAGCGGGTGCACGATGCAATGTGCCATGTTTCTCACGAACGACATCAAAGGCTTGATGCTACGACACGCTTAAAAGAAAGCGGCAATGAAGGCAGCGAAACCGACCATGGAGCCAGCAGCAACCTTGAGGTTGGCAGCGGCGCCAGCAGAGCTCTGAGCACCAGTACCGGAAGCAGTGGAGGAACCGGAGGCGCGGCTGGCAGAGGCGTGACTGGAACCGGAGGCGGCGGAGCCAGTGGCGCTGGCACTGTTGGAGGCCGCCGAGCCAGTGGCAGTTGCGCCCAGGATGACGGTGGTGGAGTTGTTGGCAGAGACAGTGACCAAGCGGGTGGAGTTACCAAGGCCATTAACGGGGACGGTGTAGATGCCAGGGGCCACAGCGGGAATGGAAGCAGCAAGGCCAACGCTGGTATCAGCAGCAGGCTGCGAGGTGACAGCAGCTGGCTGAGTAGGGATGGAGGTGGCAGCAGCGGGCATGCCAGTCACAACACCAAGAGAGTTGGTCTGTGCGAGGTAGCTGGTCTGGGGGAATGGGTCGACCGAGGACTGAGACGTTATTAGTATTGTGGACCGATCGACCAAAATGTGGAAAACATACAGAGTCAGCTTGAGCAAAAGCCGCAGCGATGAAAGCAGTGACAGCGAAGGCGGTACGCATTTTGATGTTGTTGTGTTGTTGAAGTTTAAAATTAACGAATGATGTCGAATTAACGATAGGAGTAGACGGCAAAGGTCTCAAGGCTGTAGTGGTAGTAAGTGATGGATGAGTGAACAGGGCAGCTCTCAGCAGGAGCGCTCCATTTTATAAAGCGACGCGTCGCCCTCAAGCCCAGCTCGGAATAACAAACCCCTGGCTGGCAGCGCCACGGGCAACCATTATCGACTGCGCTAGCCTCCAGATGTCTGTCATCCCTGCTTAGCGGCCCGCCCACCGAGAATAGCAGCCACCCACATATCCGTGCGTCGCGCATCCCTTCCATTCGTGGGCCAGACGTTTGCTCACGCGAATTTTCTTGTTGAATAGCGCTCGTGTCCGCTAAGATTTGGATGGACTGAGGCGATGGTGAGGACCAAGCGCGCGAGGCGGCACACCATTGAGTTTCTAAAAGTCGGATGAGCGCTCGTGAGACGGCATCGAGTCGATAGCGGGTGCAGGTTGCTCGCCACCAGCCATTCGGTTTCAGGCCCAGCAGGTGTTCTGCCTCTCGGTGGTTCCACACGCATCGGCCACTGCAGCATGTTCCTATGGAGACACGGAGACGTGGGCATGTCTTTTGATGTCACAATCGTTAACCTAGGTCTCTCTCGGGCTTGCCCTTCTCGTCTGGAGCTCCGGGAGCGATTCATCACCCGCCGTGCAATTTCTCTTCCCCAGGCTCATTTCCGCACAATTGATATGAACGGCCTGCAATTCTCAGTTCCCCATGAAGAGCGGATGTTTCGCTGCTGTCAGAACACTGACGTGGCTAATACATCCTGCGGCCAGCGACACTAAAAATAAGTTTTTGACTGGCAGTGTCTCGAAGATTCGTGAACGTGAGCTGTGTTGATGAAGGTGGGTCTACCGTTTGGACCGTGGCGAAGTGGATTCCGGAGCGGGAAAGTGCTGCCGACATCAGATGATGCTAGGCTGTGTCCTCGGGAGATCGCAATCCTTGCCGAGGACTCCTTTCTCAGCAATGCAATGCTGGCTCTTAAAAGCTGGGAGTACCTACACGGTTGTTGCGAGATGTGAGATTCCTTGACGCTAATCCCCCTTTCGAGAGGGCCAATGGCAAGGCGTTGCTTTGAGCCTCCTTCAGGAATTGCAGGCGCCCGTGAACAACGTCAATCCGCATAGGAGAGTTTGACAGCCATCCAGTCTGAATTGCAGTATCAATTGCTGATCGCTCGTAACAACTGCGAGTGATCTGCTGAATTGCCCACAGGAACACGCGGCTTCCATCAATGTCGACGAAAGAAAATGCGACCCATTGTCAGAGCAATCATCTGATGTCGACGCGTGACACCTTTGTCTCGTTGCCATCTTCAAGAAGACAAGATATTTTTACTGCGGAGCAAGCGCGATTCAAATTAATACGTTACAGCTGCGTGCAGCAGCAAAGTCATCTGAAGACAGCTAACATTCGAATATTTAGGAACAGGCACGACAAAACATGATGTAAGGAATAGCTAAAGCCAGACTACTTACGACTAATCTTTGCATCAGCCCAGTCGCATACTAAGCCGTGTCTTGGATCTGCGTCCAGATTAAGGTCGTAGCCAGCAGGATCCAGGTATGGCTAGAGGAGAGTGTCGTCAGCCCTGGACGTCTGGACACTGCGATTGTCCCAAAGAGACGGATTAAATAGGCGTGTAAAGGCATGCTCTGGTGGTGATGGGATATTGATGGAGGACCAGGAGCTTCATGTTGCTTGGGGCTTTCATTCAAAAACTTGTTTCACCATGGGCACATTTCGCATGGATTTTATTTGGTACTTGTCTGTCGTGGATACTCCGAGGTCTTCGTTATTTGCATGGTCCTGTGGGCCGACTTCAGGTTGCCAGGGGCCAAGGGCTTAATACATGCGACGGGAATCTTCCGTTCCACAAGGTGTCCGCAAGGAAGTTCATGGAATAACCGGCGCATTTCTAATAATCAAATGAAGATCGAGGTTCATGAAACTGAGATAGAATAAAAAACCACTCAATGTTACGTTTCATCGACCGCTACATTGTAAATTCTTGTTCATAGATTGAACTCTCACCTTGAGGGAGTTCTACCTGCGACCTCCCGATGCTAGTTTACACCACACCACGCCTAGTCGCTCACGCCCTCGCCCTAGTCCAGCAAGTTCTGCACACTTCTAGTGCGCCTACCCTCCGCCACAGCCCTCGGGAGTCCAAGCCCCAGCGGATCCTCATCATTACCGCCCATAAGGCCACCCCGTGCTTGGTACTGCGGCGGCAGGTGCGCTGGAGCAGTCTCCCACTCTGCCCTATGCACAGTGCGCTTTTCCGCGGCCATAGTTAACTTAATGCAGTAGCCCACAATCTTGTCTCGGATGACTCTGAGATCCTCCGCGGTCAAGTCGAGGGTATCGTAGCTTTGATAGAACTCTTTAGCGCGAGGGACCCAAGTGTTGAAGAGGTTGTGAAGGCGTGCACGCTTTTCGTTCGCGGTTACGGTGGCAAGACGAGTAGTTCTAAGAGGTGGAGGCTGAACTGGGTCGGCAGGAGCAGCAGTAGGCCGAGCTGGGAGGTTGACTTGAAGGGGACGGGTAGCCGTAGTTCTGGTAGAGAAAGGCCTTGGTGAATGTGTTTGCGTCACCCTGGAGCTCGTTGAAGCAGAATTGTACTGCCAAGTCACGATGGTATTGGAAAAGCTATTATGTGCTGTCAGCAAACGACCAGTATCGAATGGTAATATCAGGTTGTACATACCAACCATACACATGGCTTACCGGCCGATACCACCATCTGCTCCAGGGGCTTTGATGGCTCCTAGATGCAGAACATCGGTTGCCAGACCCTCCAGACCTCCCTGAGCCTGGCCACTTCCTTCATCGTTGTAGGTGTGCCTTACATGCTGATCGAAACAGCCCTTCACCTGCGGAACCTCCGAGCAGGACAGACTATTGCAACGCTCCGTACATCCTGAGCTGTAGTCCTCCACCCACACCGTTAGCGCTTCAAGTCCAGTCCAACCTCGAGACACCGGCACGTTGTTGGCTGGCTTCCATCCAAGGTTGCATTGACAGTAGTTCTGAAGGCATCGCGCGTTCTGTCCGCAATAAAATTGACCCAACACTCCACTGCTCTGGCATTGGTTGATAGGGCACACGTTATTACCTACAGATACGCCTGTACCTATCTCCTCACTATGACTCTCGCCATCGTTGTTCAAAGGGTAATACTGCGTCCATGAAATCGCATTCATCTCTCCGTTCTCGGTGTTGGGTAGTTTCCACCACGGTAATGGTTTCTTCGGCTTCGTTGGGTATGGACTATCTGTAGAAGATGCTTCGATGAGGCTATCGGAGACCGTATCTCGTACTGTGCGTCTGAGCTGCTGTGAATCGGTAGTGCGAGTTGACCGTCTGTTATGCAAGGCATGCGAACTCGTGCAAAGACCGAGTAGAGTAAGCGAGAGCTTCATGGTTATCCACGGGGAAAGGAAGCAGGAGATTCAGAATTCTGAGGGGACGTCTGCCACATTTTCAGTCACAACGAGTGGGTAGCTGAATTGAAGGAATGAAGTCAAACGTGACGTATGGAATGGAAGGCATAAGCTTGTGATATAGAATGCCGTACAACGTATGACGGACGCACTTCGGTAATGCACATCTTCTACCCTACCGTCCATCATAACCCGTCACATGCCCTGCGTCTTCTCCAGATGGCGCACTTTTTGCCGTTTTGACTGCACCTGCGAACGCCGCAGTGATAGCCGGGAAGTCAGTGCATACGCTGATACAGTCGAAGCCCCTCTGTACGTAACCTTGGGCCTGCTGACCGTCCGTGCAGTAGATGCCCACCTTCTTGCCTTCTGCATGCGCTGCATCTTTGATACTCTCGATGGCATCCTTCAGTTCCTGGTGCATCTCGCCCAGGATCGGTCGGCCAATGTTGTTGCCTAAGTCGAAAGGCCCAATCAGAAGGCAGTCGACGCCAGGGATCGCAGCGATCTCCCTGGCAGACTCAAGTGCTGACTTGGTTTCAATTTGAATGATTGTCTGAAGTGAGGAGTTCGCGTTCTGGAGGTAGTCGGTGAGCGCCTCGCCGTTGAAAGCATGAGGCGAAAAGGGCGATCCGAACCCCCGGTTGCCTTCGGGTGGGAACTTCGCTGAGGATACAAGTCGTTCGGCGTCGTCTACGGTGTAGATTAATGGAACAATGATGCCGTGGGCGCCAGCATCCAAAGCGCCTGTAAGCGTCAGCGCCAGATGTACGAAGTTTGTACAACGTAAGACCAAGGACGGTACTCTGACCCTGCGGTACCTGGAGAAAAAGTGACGTCTTAAAGGTGTTTCCTTATATAGCGGTGATGCTGTACTTACGCTTGACCATCCAAGCCTCATTGGCAGGTACACGAACGATGGGGCTGACGCCTTCGCGGGCTATGGCGATGACGGCTTCATGCATCTCTCCATCTTCTTGCTATCAGTTTGCTGATCATACCTCCTGCTGGAGCATACATACCATCGATATTGCCATGTTCGCAGTCAACACAAACCCAATCGACACCTGAACGGGCGATTGCACGGGAGTGATTTGTTCCTGGCAGCATCTATCGACGCAAGATTAGACAGACAACATGAACGACGAAGTGACTGCTCTTACCTGCCACCCTCCAAGGGCCGGTCCTCCTTCCTTGAAGGCCTTGTAGATGGTGCTTCGTTCCTGGAGTGTGTTCATTGTTCTGAAGGTTACGAATGGGCGCAGGCTCGAATTTGTATGTTTGGAGGTGCGAGTAAGTACGCTGGCAATCGGTCGCAAGAAGAGCGTCTTTCTGAAAGAACAAGCCTTCGTCATGCTTCGGAGAGAAAGCCACCCCTCTTGCTAGAGCCTACCCCACATCGCACACACACTAGTGGATTGCAACACTCTGAGGTCCTTACAGGGCGCAGGGCTTGTCGAAGACCTCATGCTAACCAATGTGTACGACAAAACTCCTTGAATCGCTGTTGTCAAGATCGTTGTGAAGATCGATTAATATTCTGTCTCCAATTGATCACCTCGCGAATGAGCATGCAAGTGGCTTGGGGTGTCCAATCCCTGCAACTACGATCGTTCTGCCTCGTCCATCAACTTTGTTACTTCTTCTTCCTTGAAGCGATGCATGAGCTTCAGTGAGGAGGTTGTCGTCTCAGACGCACTGGCTTTGTCGATGTGGACCTAGAAGACCACTTAGGCACTCGGCAGTGAAAGTACTTGAAAGATAACTTACCACCGGAGTGTCAAACTCATATACTTCTTTCCATTTCTCCTGACCCGGTTCCATGACATTGATCTCCTGATACTGCAGGGGTCTTGTCTTGTTTACGTTCTGCACCACAGCTTTTGCAGTGTCACACAGGCCACAGGTGCTTCGAGTGAAGAAGGTGACTTGGCACTCGAGCAGACGAGACGTAGCACGAAACATGGCTCGATTGTGCGGCAAGCAGTGAGAATAGTCGTTCCGAGGCTCAGGCGATTGGATATATGGGACGAAAGCGGAAAGCTGTGCAGCTTCACCGCCAAAGCTCAAGGTTCCTTATCGATTGCCAACGATGACGGCGGGTTTGCTGCTTCCAGAATATTCCGCGTCAGAGCATAAACCTGGAGAACACATGAACGCACGCTGCCACGGAAGCACCCGCTAAAGCACTCCTTAAACTTCCTATTACACTCCCTCAACATGGCGAAAAAGTGCGTTCACAAAGGCTGCGGCAAGACATACGAGAATGAAGAGGAGGAATGCGTGTACCACCCTGGCCCGCCTGTCTTCCACGAGGGGCAGAAAGGTGCGACCCATGGATCTAAAGCTGTCACTCAAATGCCCTCGGCTGATGTGCTTTTCTAGGTTGGAAATGCTGCAAACCCCGCGTTTTGACCTTCGACGAGTTCCTCGCGATCGAGCCTTGCACGAAAGGGAAGCACTCGGACGTGGACGACACACCCGCGCCCGAGAAGATCAAAACGCCTGACGTGCCCAATGGTACTTCTGTCAACCTTGGATCGCTGCAGGAGTCTCTTCCAGCACCCGCGCCTCGTCTTCCCGCCGCCCAAGCTACACCGCGCGCAACAACACCGGCTCCTGCGCCAGAGTCCGAAGATGACGACCCAAACGCACCACTGAAGGAGGGCATGACTTGCAGGAGAAAGGGTTGTGGAGAGACATTCAAAGGCGGAAGCAGAGAGGGCGAGAAGTGCGTGCACCACCCTGGTGTACCCATCTTCCACGAAGGAAGCAAAGGGTACAGCTGCTGTAAGCGGAGAGTGCTCGAATTTGACCAGTTCATGACGATGGAGGGTTGCAAGACAAAAGACAGACATCTGTTTGTGGGGAAGGCAAAAAAAGAGGGCGAGGAGGAGAAGGTCGACACTGTGCGGTAAGTCAATACGCCCAATCACAATTAGAATCTGAAACTGACATTGCGCAGACACGACTTCTACCAGACCGCAGCGACCGTCACAGCATCACTCTACCTCAAGAAGATCGACAAGTCCAACGCCATCGTCGACTTCCAGCCCGACCACGTCAACCTCGACCTTCGAACCTCTGACAGCAAACGCTACAACACCGGCTTCCCGCTGTTCGCCGGCATCAAGCCAGAAGAGAGCAAGTTTAGGATTCTTGGCACCAAGCTGGAGATGACCCTGGCCAAGGCAGATGGAACAAGCTGGCCGGTACTGCGCAGCGACGAAAAACTGACTGGCGAGTTGATCCAGGTCGGCAGGGCGGGAATGGCATAGGATAGGCAGGATCAAATGATGAGACGAATTACGAAGTTAGACAAAAGATCAATTCAAGTAGCGAACGACGCTAATTCATCCACTGGCTGGCATTCATTCCACCTTGACCCATCTCGCAGGTGGACATGATACATGCCATCTACCACTTCTCAACCGCAGGCCTAGTATCCAGCTCCCACGTGAAGTTCGTCGTCGGCTGGGTATGCAGGTACCAATAGTCGTTCGCAATGCCATCAGAGCTCAACTTGGCCTCGGGCCCGAGACCCTTCAACCACTCCTTCGTGCGCGGGATATCAATCACACCATCAATAATGGCATGAGCGACATGCACACCCTGGGGCCCAAACTCCTTGGCCAGACTCTGACTCAGCGCTCGTAGCGCCCACTTCCCCGTCGAGAAACTGGCCATCTGCGCACTGCTCTTTACGCTCGCCGTGGCACCCGTGAAGATCAGCGTCGGAGGGTGTTCACCTTGCTCCTTGCCTTTCAAGAGGAGAGGGAGAAAGGTCTGACTGAACAGGATGCCGCCCAAGGCGGACACGTTGAGAGATTGTTCGAACACGCTGGGATCGATTTCGAGAAACGGTTTGCGGAGGAAGCCGCCTGAGGCGTTGAAGATTGCTGCTGCGGCGCAGACGCTGTCCCCGAATTCTTTCTTGATGGCACTCAATGCGTTGGCAAGACTATCTTTCGACGATACGTCGGTTGAGATGCCGATAGCTTTGCCGCCGCTCATATTGATTTCATCGGCGAGGGACTCGAAGTTCTCTCGCTTTCGTGCAAGCAGCACGACAGGGTATGTCTTTGCGAATCTACGGGCCACTGACGCTCCGGTCCCTGGGCCGACGCCGGCGACGATGGCGATGAGTTCGGATGCCATGTTTGTGCTATCTGTGTCGATGTTAGGAGTTGAAGTTGTGGTAGTAAGGTGGTCGGCTATACGGCCAAGTCTGGAGGTATTTGTTGTTGGAGTCGTGGTAGTGGTTAATCGAGAACACCTGGTGGGATTTGTGTGAGTGATTTGTAACTCGATACTTGTTTTACTAATTGCCGGAGTTGTACACGGGAGCGGAAGCTCGCCTTCACACACGAGATGTGCATACGCGGAGTAGACTACCGCTAGAGCCGAGTGACGCAATTGATGATTAGTCAACCTCACGCAATACAATATGCATCACGAAGAACAGTGTGAAGGCCAATAGGATATCTATCGTTATTGGAGAAGTCTAAACGCATTTGTTCCGCAGAAATCACCACGGAGCTCGTCATTGGTAGATTGGTCGTCTGCGGTAAGGCCTTGCGTTGAAACCGAGGCGCGAAGACAAAACCAGTACCACTGTGCATAGGGGTATAGAACTGGAACGCTCAAGGATCATGTTGAAAGTTGATATGCGGACATCGAAGCCGGGAGTTGTGGAAATAGCAGGAGAAAGCAGAGGGGCGAAGCCGTTACGAAGATCGAACGCCCCGGAGGACTGGAGATGGACGGCGGGCTACCCTACTTGACGCTGCCGTGGGACGACCTTTGCCCTCTTGTGGGTCTTGTACGACATGACGCGGCCACCCTGAGCGATCTGTCCGTTGCCATTGCCACGAGACATAGTGCATCTCGGCACATCGTCATCGGACGACATGGAGGCCAAAGCGAAAGAGTCGGTGTTGTGGCCGTAGAAGAGCATGATGCCATTCCTTGTCTTCTTCACGCCCAGGATGCCGATGGCTCCAGCAGAGTTGCTGTGCTTTACGCTAGCATGGCCCATGAACTCGTTCTCGATCATGGATCTGAGAGCTTCGTCCTCGGTCACCTCCGCGTACTCACCACCCTTCTCTTTCTTCACGCTCTGGTAGAGTCGCTCTGCACATGTAGTCGCTGCCATAGTTGTTGCCATGTGCTCGCCCGTGCCGCTGGTCACAGTCGCGACCGAGGCTTGTTCGCTGTCGTCAGGATCGAGAGGAACGACGGCAGCGCCAACACCTACAAGAGCGGCAGGTCCTACACGACCGCGGTACTTCATGCCGATACCACCAGAAGACGCACCACAGGCGATGCGGCCCCAGCTATCGATGGCAATGGCTCCAACAGTATCGGTGATGTGGTCCGGCTTGTCTTCAGATGGCGGAAGAGAGTCTTCTGGCCTTCGCCCCGGCCCATCTGGAACTGAACTGAAGGAATTGTCCTGTTGAAAATGCTCCAATGTATTTTTGATGCGTGCCGATAGATCTTCGTCCAGCGGAATTTCGGGCACGAGTTCGTCGCTCACGCTGGGTGGTGGCGGAGCCATCGGTTTGGGTGCACTGACTGTTGCCATGCTAGTAGAATCCGACTCCTCAGCTGAACCGTCGCCCCAGGTCTTGTGTGTTGTAGAGCCGTTCGTTACCAGACGAGGCACATCTTCCATCTCGTCGTCCTCGACGATCTGCTCGGACGTGGTTGCTCTGTTTGCTCTAAATTGGCCAAGGGTGGGCACTTTTTGGGTGCTGTTGATAAAAGCGCTTCTCGAGGACTCCGCAATCGATGGTGGGCCAAGGTCACTGGCGAAAGGTGACGGGGCAGCCGTAACAGGGCTCGGTATACGATCATCGCTGAGCCATGAACCAGAAGAGAGTCCAGACTGTGCTGTTGGCTCAGAAAGGGTGCTTGACGCATTCTCGGTCGAGTAATACAGCGATTCCTCGTACGGTTCTGGGGAGGGCGATTGTAGCAGAGAAGGGTCTTCTCGGAGCATCGCGTTCATGTGCCTTTGACGGAGTTGGCTGTGCTCGATCTCGTCTTCGGGAGCAACATCGGCTCGCAATCTGTAGCAAGTTGGGTGCTGACCAGCTTTCTTCGCCTTCTTCTCAGCATTCTTGAGATCCGATCTCCAGCGAAGCCAGCGTTCTTTTGCGGCCGCGGAGACGAGCATCTCATGAGGAAGGATCGGTATACCTAGCTCCGCCGCAAACTCAGTCGCTCCCTGGGCGCACAGAAGATTCGGTGGAACGCGTCGAAGGGTCAGTGGCTTGCTAGTATGCTCATAGACCATGCGTGCTAGTGAAATTGGGTTTTTGATTTCTGGACAGGTCAGTATAGACGCAGAAGTGGTTAAGTGGCACATACGAGCAACAGCGCCCACAGCGCCACTGCGTCCAAAATGATCTACGACTGACGCATCGCACTCTACAACTCCGTCCATGGCGAGGTTGCTGCCGAAGCCTGCGTTGGTGATCTCTCGGTCCTCAAGCAACTTGATTGCTGCTTCCACGGCGTCTATGGAGGAGCCGCCGTTCTTCATGATGCACATGCCAATGGCAGCGGCGCTGCAGACTGTCAGTACGCTACCCCATGTAGTCGCGTGTAAGACATTTAAGAAGAACGTACTCATTGCATGCTTCAAGATGTATCCTCTCGTTTTGGTGACTGTGGTACCCAGCGCCTGCATGGACGATGATGACGCATACCTCGTCGGCCGGCGGCGGGCTACGCGTTGCTTTTCGAACGAGTTGGTCGACAGGGTAGGCACCATCATAGTAGCGGGTGGACGCCGACATGTCCTTGGACTTGGAAAAGTGTCGGCGAAAATTGCGGAATCGCGAACCCAGGCTCACGGAGGAGCTGTGGAGCTTCGCACGATCGTGTGGCGGCGTGTTGACTCTGAACACCGACTGCAAGCTAGGCTTGGGTTTGCGAGGGCTTTGGCGCAAACTTCTGAGGATGCGCGACTAAGTTGGTAATTTGTTGCTATCGTGAGAACAGTAGTCAGGTGCTCAATAGATTGAAGATAGGGCGGAGTTGAGAAGGTCTGTAGGTGAGTGACTGAGCAGAGAAAAAGAGAAGAGATATAAAGAATGAAAGTCGTTCGCACTGTTGGAGAGAATCCACTTGCTGCAGCGGCGTGGTAGTGAGCGGATGTGCTTGGTGAGAGAGCTGGTAGTCAGTAGGAGAAATCAATGGCAAGGCCGCGTTGACAGTGCGAACGGCGGCTCCTTCCTTTCGAGCTGCTCATGCCATGCTGTAAACTCTGCGGTGTGGCAATGGACCAAACCATAACATTGGCATATTGGCGGGACTTGATGGAGGAAGGAACGAGCAAGTCCAACTCGCGCTTGAGGACGTGAGCAGCTCCCCCCACATCTGCTGTCCGCTCCGCCCCGCCCTTGGCGCGTGCCTGAGCCAACCCAGCCATTCCACTGACGGCGGTCCCACTACTCGCTGCTGGCGAACACCACCCAGACATCACCACCTTCTTTGCGTATACGAATCCTTGCCAGCAGACCCCCTCTCGACAGTTCCAGTGTGAGAGCGTCCTGCACACTCCCGCAAAGATGGCGTCTCAAACCCCCGCCGTTGTCATGGACAAGTAAGCTCCCAGCTGCCTGTGGGCCTTGCATTGCGATTGAGTACTGACGGACGCCTGCAGCGGTACGGGATACTCGAAGCTCGGTATGAGACATCTCACCGCAATATAACACCACTCATAGTAACGTCATACCCCAGGTTTCGCCGGCAACGACTCCCCCTCCTTCGTCTTCCCCACCGCCATAGCCACTCGAGGCCCAACTAGCGGCGGCGGCAGTTCCGGCTCTGGTCGCCCTGCGGTCGCAAACAAGCCTTCCTTCCTGACTGGCGGTGCTGGTCCCAGCGGCCATCTTTCAGGGAAGCGCGGTACTGAGGACCTGGACTTCTACATTGGTGACGAAGCTCTCTTGGCCGCAGGAGGCTCCGGCTACGGTATCAACTACCCCATCAGACACGGTCAGATTGACAACTGGGTACGCTTAGATATGAGAATGGGGAAGCTTGGTGTACTGACGGGTCCTAGGATCTTATGGAGCGCTTCTGGTCCAACTCGATATTCAAGTACCTGAGGGTCGAGCCCGAGGATCACCACTTCCTCCTGACCGAGCCCGTAAGAAGCGCTCTACCCGAAACACAGAACGCCAGACTAATAGAAGACAGCCGCTGAATCCCCCGGAGAATCGTGAAGCCACTGCCGAAATCATGTTCGAGTCGTTCAACGTCGCTGGTCTGTACATCGCCGTGCAGGCTGTCCTCGCCCTCGCTGCATCCTGGACCAGCTCCAAGGTACAGGACCGATCGTTGACTGGTACCGTCATTGACTCTGGTGCCGGTGTCACCCACGTTATCCCCGTCGCAGAAGGCTACGTCATTGGTTCTTCGATCAAGAGTGTCCCAATTGCTGGTCGCGACATTACGCAGTTCGTCCAGTCGCTGCTCAGAGAGCGTGGCGAGTCGGACTCGTCTCTTGCGACCGCTGAGCGCATCAAGGAAGAGTACTGTTACGTCTGCCCGGATATTGTCAAGGAGTTCGCGCGCTACGATCGCGAGTCGGACGACAGGTTCAAGCAGCACACTGTCACGTACGCGAACGGTAAGACTACCACCGTCGACGTCGGCTACGAACGCTTCCTTGCGCCCGAGATCTTCTTCAACCCCGAGATTTACTCGTCCGATTTCCTCACCCCTCTTCCCACGATTGTCGACAACGTTATCCAAACCTCGCCCATCGATGTACGAAGAGGACTGTACAAGAACATTGTCCTGTCCGGTGGTTCGACACTTTACAAGGACTTTGGCCGTCGTCTGCAGCGTGACATTAGACATTTGGTCGATGCTCGTATCAAGGCCTCGGAGGCACGCAGCGGAGGCGTGAAGAGTGGTGGTCTGGAAGTACAGGTCATTACACACAAGAGGCAAAGACACGGCCCATGGTTTGGTGGATCTTTGCTTGGTCAGACACCTGAGTTCAGGAGTTACTGCCACACCAAGGCAGAGTACGACGAGATTGGCCCCAGCATTGTTCGACGATTCGCGCTGCTGGGTGGGCCGGGCAGCACTTAGACGTGGAGATGGGCGGACGGAGCAGAAGGGCTTTGAGCGTGATTCTGAACCTTGCGAAAACTTAAGAACATCAAGCCACATGATCACCCATGCACACGCTGAGCGACGAACGCCACCTTTGAGTAATATCGCAATTGCCGAGGTGGATTGTAGTATTCTGCTACCAAAGCAGCTTTCCAAATGAAGCAATACGAACGCCAACCATGCATGAGCGACTTAGTCACGGGGAGACGTATGCGCGACATATCCTTTCAAGCAGCGCCGTTCTGGGCACTCTCCTCGATGACACTACTCTCCACCTTCTCCTAAGCTCTCCCCATCTTCCTCCTCAACACAGCAACACCCTCGACATGCCCGGTCTGCGGGAAGAAGTCGAACCCGCGCAACGATTCCATCTCATAGCACCCCTCGCCAGGGCCGCAGCCGGCGTCAACGCCGGCCATGCCGGCGACAAGGACGCCGACGTCGCGGGCCTGGGTGTGCACGTTGCAGCTCACGTAGACGACGCGGGCGGGGCCGTACTGCAGCAGTTGGCGCAGGAAGCTCTCGTCGCAGCCCTTGCGCGGGGGATCGAGCATGACGACAGTCTGGTCGGCGGGCGTGGTGATGGAGGCGAACAGCTGTGCGGCGTCGGCGGCGATGAAGCGCGCGCGGTCGGGCGTCAGCCCGTTGATGGCCGCGTTCTCGGTTGCGCTCTTGATCGAGCTCGAGCTCACGTCGATGCCTAGACTGCTCTCGAACAGGCTGGACAGGGTGATTGTGAAAAGCCCGGAGCCCGAGTAGGCGTCGATGAGGTACTTGATGTTGTGCCCGGGCTCGTTGGGCAGGATGTGCTCGCGGATGTAGTTTGTGAAGGGCGGGAGGATGGAGTTGTTGTTCTGGAAAAAGCTGCCGGCCGGGTTGATGAAGCGGAAGTCATCAATGTACTCTGTGGTGCGGGCGTTGGGGTCCGTGACGCACGTCTTGCGATGGACGTGTGCGCCGAGGTCTTCGTCGACGGCGTTAGGATCCTCCTTCTCCACGCTGTATTCTGCTTTCGGTATCCGTTGGGTGTTCTCACGCAGGAGGATAGTGGCGCCCTTGTGGTATGAGGAGAGCGTGTCGACGACCTTCTTTCGCTCGCGCTTGTTGCCTGCGCGGACCGCTTCGGTGCCGATCGGGCAGTCTTCAATGTCCATGGTGATGCGCGTTCCCTTCTTCATAAAGCCGATGGATGGGACTTCTTTGAAGCTGCGTTTGATGCCGTTGCGGCCGTCACTTCGCCGGGAGTCAGGAGGGCCGTCGAAGTGCGGTGTGAGTTTGGTGCGGTATCCATATTGCAGCGGCGAGCCGATTGTATCACCAATGGTAGGGATGAGCTCGGGCGACAGGTTGGAGAAGTTCTTGTAGGCGCGCTCCACGATGGACTTTTTGTGTTGGAGCTGGTAGTCATAGGGCAGCATCTGGAACTGGCATCCTGAGCATTGCGAGAAGTAGGGGCATTTGACAAGGGACTGGTCGCGGTGTGGTGAGGGCTTGCTGACTTTGACGAAGTCGGCCATGGAGTACTTTTCCTTTTCGAAATGCTTGAAGATCTTGGCGGTCACCGTGTCGCCAGGCGCGGTGAATGGAACGGCATAGACTTGATCCGAGTCCGAACCCTCCTGGAAACCAAGACCGTCTCCGGTAGATGAAAGCTCCCTGATGGTGACGTCGATCTCGCTGAACTTTTCTGGAAGTTGTGTCGAGACGTCCCTTCCTTCTCTTTCTACGTTGAGCTTTTTGATCAGAGCAGTGACGTCTTCCAGCAGGATTTCCTCTGTGGTTCCGTTGGTCTTCAGGATCTGACTGCTCACGGCATGTCCGTTCTTCATCCTCTTGTTTTTGAACCTGTAGCTTCCCCGTGACCCTTCCTCTGTCCGCAACGGGGTCTCGAACTGCCTCTTCGCGGCATTGCTCTCAATCGACGCCACATTGTCTGCTGCTGAGGCCATGCTGTGTCGTACGGTCTGGCAGAGGCTCTGGCTGTTCCAAAGCGTCCGCAGCGGCCGTGCTAGTAATCTGGTGGACATGCAGCGCCTCGCCTGGTGCTCACAAAAAAGTCATGTTAGTCACTCAGAAGGGCATGGCGGCGATTGGCTAGCGCGGAATAGGCGTGATTAGGTAAGCCGTTTTTCGCAGCGCAGTTGGAACTTCACAGCTGCTCTGGAGGCACGGCAGCACGCGCAGATCCCGCCCTCGAACCCTCGTTCTCTCGCCCTCGCGCCCCTCGCCGCCCTCGTCCGCCCCCCAATTGGCCTCCCCGCGGACGGCCCCCCAGCACAATGAGCGTCTGCCGGCCTGCGCGATGCGTCTTCGCCAGAGCGACGGCGACGGCGACGGCGACGGCGACACCGCAACGGAGCTTCCACTCGTCGGCGCGCAGAGAGGCCCGCCGGCGACGGCCGCACTACGCCTCGATCAAGGCAGCAGACCTGCAGCAGCTGGGCGAGCTGGCGGAGAGCGCATACCCCAAGTACGACACGGCCGAGGTCAGCCTGCTGGCGAAGCAGTACACGCCCGCGCAGGTTGCCGCCATCCAGGCCGCCGAGGCCGCCATTGACCCGCGCGATGTGTACACGCAGGGCCGGACGCGCGATGACGCCTGGCGGCTGCCCTACGCCGACGACATGGCCGCCGTCGACCCCGTGACGGACCACCCGGAGAAGCTGGATGCCAGCGACATCCCCGGCAAGTGGACGTTTCGCGAGGCCAACGAGGTCGAGCGCGATGCAAACATGGCGCGCGTCGCATCCGAGACACTCGCCAAGATGTACCCCGACGGCGTGCCCGAGGGCCAGCTGGACGCGGCGCAGCAGCAGCAGCTCGAGGACGCCATGGAGGCGGCCATCACGCAGGCGGCGCTCGACCCGCGCAGCACGTACACGGGCAAGAACCAGGCCGCCGTCGACTCGCTCGCCGACCCGCGCCACAGCGCCGTCGCACAGGACCTGCCGCGCCTCGAGAACCGCATGGCCCGCCAGACGCGCCACCTCGGCTCTGACGAACAGGACGACCCGCGCCAGAAGCAGCTGCTGCAGTACATGGGCTGGGACAAGACGCAGCTCAAGAAGATCCGCACCAAGACGCTCGTCTCGCACGGCGTCGTCAACCAGACCCGCATGGGCAAGATCCGCAGCCAGTACTACCTGACCATTGCCGGCAACCAGGATGGCCTGCTGGGCGTCGGCGAGGGCAAGAGCGTCGAGCCCGAGGACGGCCGCAAGCAGAGCATCATGTCGGCCATCCGCAACATGAAGCCCGTACCGCGCTACGAGAACCGCACCATCTTTGGCGACCTCGAGCGCAAGGTCGGCGCCACTAAGGTGCAGCTGTTCGCCCGCCCGCCCGGTGCGTCTCTGTTTTGTATTTATCGAGAGAGGCCCCCCACGCTAACACGCCACAGGCTTTGGTCTGCGCACCCAGCACCTGATCTTTGAGCTCGCCCGCGCCGCCGGCCTGCAGGACCTCGCCGCCCGCACCCCGCGCTCGCGCAACAAGATGAACGTCATCAAGGCGACCTGGGAGGCCCTGACCGAGCAGCGCCTGCCCGACGAGATTGCCCGCGCGCGGGGGAAGAAGCTGGTCGACGTGCGCAAGGTCTACTACGGCGGCAGTGTGCACTGAATGTGTCGATTGGGAACCTGTACCACATGACATGCTGAGCGTGTACGATTGGGGATATTGTAATAATCCATGCTGAGCCGTGTACGATAGCAGTGTGAATATTGTACCACATCATGCATCGCAGAGGATAGCATCGAGACAGCGCCGCATTGTAAACTTGTACCATACAGCCTTCCAACTACGCTTGGGGTATCACATCACATCACACCATCTATTCCTGCACTCTCCCTCTCTCCCGTCGTCGTCACTGCGCCCACGCCTGCTCGCCCTCGGCCCCATTGTCCTGGATCTGCTGGTTCAGTACGATGCTGTACACGCTGGCCTTGAGCAGCGTGAAGACAAGACTGGTCTTCCTCTCCAGGCCGCGCAGCCCATCGAGCACCGCCGCGCTGGGCTGGTCGCTGAGCTCGCCGAGAAGCGTCGACATCTGCCTGCGTCAGTGATCACAGCAACATCTCTACAGAGCCCGCAGCATCTCTCTACAGAGTCCGCAGAGTCCGCAGATGCTGAGTGCCGCGCGAGCAACGCACAGTGTTCATGTTCCCAAGCAACCGCGCGTACTCGTCCAGCACCTCTTGCTCCAGCGACGAGAGGCTTTCATCGTCGTCCAACGCGGCCCCCTGCGACGCCGTCGACGCCTGCACGTCTTCTGTGTCCGCCATGTCTGCCTGCCGTCTCTCCACCCTTCTGGCTTCGAGTGCTTTCGATCTCGCACCGACGGTGCGCTTCGGACAGTACGGGAGGATGCCTTCGAGGAATGTATGCGCAATGGTCGATTATGTGACGTTCGGTAGCAGGTGTTTTCGAGTCGTCTATGATGTTCGTACACGGTCGCGGCGAGCGCGGGGAAGACGCGCCCTCCGATTGCTCGGTTCTTGGCGCGACGACCATCACATCACATCACATCACTCACTGCTAGACGTTGCCTGCCAATCCGTCACAAGTCTGCTACTGCTACTTGCATTGTATGCACGATGCTCCATTCTTCTCAACTACTCCCCCGCTGCCCACCTTGTAACGAAATCAACCCCCAAAAATCGCTCTTGATGATAATAAACGCCCGAGGATTTAACAGTACGCTCAACTCTTGTCAGCTCCAGGAGTCCGAGGTAGATGCTCCAACAAACGCCGTTGCCGTGAGAGAACCCCATGTCTATCAGCTATAACAAGTGAGTGGAGCTGAGAGGAACGCATCATCAGAACGCCTCCCATATCGATATGTAGAAAATAGAATGAAACATCTTCGCCGCTAAACTGTCGTGGCCGTTGCTAGTACTACCTTGAGCCCGATTTCTGTTGCGCGAGATGCTCGTGGTCATGGACCGCGTGGTTGTGATCGTCGCCATCGTGGTGTAGCGTGACACTATTGAACTCCTCGAACGGATCCGCCATCTCGCCCATTGGAGTCGCAAGGCCCGAGTCCAGTGGTACACCCTTGACCCGTGACGCTCCAATGTCGACACTCTGGCTCTCCTTGACATTCCTGAAGTTGGGCGTCTCAATTCCGTGACCCTGGTGAGGGACGATGGGAGGTTTTGAGTGGCGTAGCAGCGCCCATTGTGTAGTGCGGAAGAACGGCGCAGTCTTGATATCGGAAGCACCGGCGCGAGATCCCAGACGTCGAGTCTCGTCCTTGATCAGAAGCTTGCGGACCAGGGACTTGCAAAGGCTATACGTTGTTAGTATCGTGCAACTTAGTCGTGTACGCCGCACTTACTTGGACACTGGTGGCGCACCAGATCCTTCGGGGAATGGCACCTCATCCCTCAGAATATTGGCAAAAGTCGCATTACGGTTCTTACCCTTGAAAGGGGTTGTTCCGTAGAGCATCTCATATATCAAGATACCGAGCGTCCACCAATCGACAGCACTGGTGTGTCCACAGCCCTTGATTACCTCAGGAGCAATGTATTCCTCCGTCCCTACAAACGAATTTGTACGAAAGTTGTTGATACACGACTTTGTATCAATCGTAGGTAGGTTGCTCGACGAAGTGCCATTGCGGCCGCTGAGAATCATGGTAGGACGACCTCCAGGTTCCGACTGTTTCGACAAATCAAAGTCTGACAACATGATGTGACCGGACTGATGCAGCAGGATATCTGATCAAGGTCAGTGGAATACTTGGCCGAGAGGTAATGTCAACGTACTCTCTGGCTTCAGGTCGCGGTATATGAAGCCCATCAAGTGCAGGTATTCCAGCGCGGCCGTGACTTCGGCGGCATAGAAGCGCGCCGCATCCTCATCGACGCACTTGTTTGGTCGGGTCTGCAGAGCCCTGAAGAACTCACCGCCACTGCAGTATTCCATGCAGAGGTACAGGTGGTCTTCGGACTGGAACGAGTGGTACAGAGTAACAATAAAGGGGTGGTTGCTCGTAGCTAGAATTTCTTGCTCGGCGAGAGCACGCTTGATCTTGTTACGCTTAATCATCTCCTTCTTGCTCAGCACTGGTCTCGGTTAGTCATGCCTTGTGTTGGTCGTCTGTGGCACTCACCCTTCATGGCGTATAATCTGCTGGACTTCTTCTCTCGCACCAAGTAGACCTTGCCAACATCGCCCTTGCCGATTAGCTTGATCTTGTCGAAGCTGGCAGGCCCGACTTCTACGTTGCGGACCTTGATCGAGTTTGAGCTGTATGTTCTCCGGAAAGCTACCGACTGACGGATCTGACCGGGCGTGGGGATGCCCTTGGAAGTGTCTACTGGTGACAAGCGATCGCCATCTTGCTGGACAGTCTCTACCATGCTGAGAGTCGAGGAATTGGGGTGCAGCAGGACAGGCTGCTTGGCGAGCTCTGCAGTCTGTGGCCGTTCAGCGGAATTGGCAGAGGAGAAGAGGCCCTGTGCATTGGGTGCAGACGCTACCCTTCGCAGTTTCCTTGCCAATTCCTCTTTGCCGGCGGCGGTGGCCTGGTCGTTCGCTCCACTGACGGCTTCTACTTTGGTGGTTGGTACATCTGGGGTATCAGGCGGGGTGGACGGCACGCTACCTTCGTTGTGATGGCGGAGGGCGGGCGGGCCCTGGTGCTGGAAGTAGGGGTTGGCGTGTGCGGTCGGTGACACGGCGTCGTCTAACGGGTTGCCCTCGCTTGTCACCGTGGTGGAGCGATTGCGGGACATGTGTGGCAGGAAACGGGAATGGCGCGAGCCCGTCTTCTCGCTCTTAGGAGTGTGGGTGCCATTGGCCTCGTCCGAGTGTTTACGCGTGTCGGCGCTGCTGTTGATGCGGAAGAAGTTCTTGATGCGCTGCGAGACCTGGCCGTCCTTGCTGTTGACGGGCTTGTTGGTGGACAGCGGATTGCCGGAGAAGGCGCGCTTCTCCGTCATGGCGGTGTTGGTCGACGAGTGCGAGGAGCTGAAGAGCTGCGTCATAGCCGGTGCGCTGGGAGCGAGGGGCTGCTGCAGGCGAGAGATATAGCGGCAAGGAAATGTGGGCGGCGGAAGAGCAGGGGGCCGGCGTCGTGATGTGTGTCGTGTGTCGTGAGTGGGTCAGTGGGCCATGGCCAGCCTGGGTGATGTCGATATCAGGGCTCAGGGCTCGCTGAGGCGTCTGTGGCTGGAGCGCGACAAGGCCTTGTTGCGGCCGGCTCGAAAGAATGTCGCTCACGGGGCGGCGAGCGTGCAGGCAGGAGGAATGCGGCGCAGATGGGGGTGCAGTGGCGCAGCGGTGCAGCGTATGCTCTACTACGGGACAGAGGGCACGGCGAAGTGAAGTACTCCTAGCGGTCGTCGGCGCTGAGAGGGCAGCCAGAGCCGTGGCCGTGCCAAACGTGCAGCGGCGAATGATGGACAGGGAAGTGGGGCCAGAACCCTGACGAGCTAGCCTGGGAAGCCGCGCGTGAAGCTGCACCAGTGCACCGGTCGAACGGCGGAGAAGAAGCGAGCAGAAGGGACTGGTAGTGTTTGAGTCTTCGAGAGGCGCTGTCTGACAGGCCGTGGATAGATGGATTGATTTGATGTGGCCTCTGTTCTGCATTTCCAAACCGTTGCTGATGCCACCGAACGAGCAAATATCTCTCTGCCCGCCATCGACGCCCACTGCGCCTCGCACCGGCATCTTCCCCACCAACCTCGATTTATCAGCAAACAACAACAACACTCACATGTCATCGTGCCCACCCGCGTCGCATTCTGTCCTGCTCATGTTGCACTGCTGTGAGTGCCGCCTGTCCCTTGGATTCACACCTCTCCGCCATCCACAACAAATCCCTCTGTTGTGTTGTTCAGTCGTCCCTGACGATCTGGCCGGCCAATGCGCCGGGCCACCGCTAGAGTTGTTCTGGAACCCTTGCTGTTCGGGGAAGCTCCACGGCCTCCCCGTCAACCTCCGCTAACTGAACACCCTCGCACCCTCACATCGGACAGTTTTCACCATATCAAAGCACCACAACAGTTTCAACGTCATATTATTATTATTATCTATATGAGAGTCTGAGTATGCCAACCGTAGAATTACACAATCTCTGAAGACCTGAACAGGGCGTCCAAGCATAGGAGGAGGCTGAAGTCTAAGTTGACTTGAGCCAAGTCCAGCAGTCCACAACCGCCAATACCAATACTCGAGTGGTGTAATGCCTCCGAAAAAAACGCTATAAACCTTGTATGCAATCCGCAATGTCTTGCGGAACTTCGTAGGAAGGATGATCGAATGCTAAAGTCCATGATTGTAGAGTGTGAAGAGTTCGATCACATGAGCATGTGTCGAATCTGGCGCAAGACGAAAGACAGGTCGAAGCCTCAAGCGAACCAACGCCGAAGAACGTCGATCCAGCGGTCTGCACCAGTCGAATCATCTAGCGTCGGCCGCCGCTCCTGCGCTTCTCTTCATCACGATACTCTTCGATCTCCTTCTGCTCGGTTGCCTTGATGTACTGAAAGCGGCTCTTCCACTTCTCCGACCGCTTCACTTTATCCTCAGAAGATATACCACGCAGATCTTCTTTCTTCCCACGCCTAAACTTGCTGGTGACTTGCTCAAGCTTGGCTTTGGCAGGGGAATGTTCACCGGATTTCTTGGGCGAGCTTGGTAGGTTAGCAGGCGAAGATGCGGTCGTCTCTGGTGCGGAAGCAGTGGGCTTGGTTGGTGAAGCAACCATCTTTTGCTTGCCCTTTCCACCAGAAGGCCTGAAGCAAGAAGCACCCGCATCTTCACCGTCGACAGACGTTGGCGCAGCCGTTGATTGAGCGTGGCGGGCGCCCGATGAACGGCGGTTGTCGATGCTTGTTTCCATGACCAAGTCAGCCAGATCGTCCATGGCTCCATCAAGCCCTGACACGCGGTTGTTAGCGAAAGGCCGAGCTGCTGGCATGCTGTTTCCACCAAATGCTCCAGGGCCGACCTCCTTGTGACCTGGGTAAAAGCGCTGCATGGTTTGGGGGTTGACGTTGGTGCGATTGGCGAGCTGATTGCCTGAGAGTTGACGACCAAATCCGTTGTTTGCCACCTGTAGAGTGGAGCGGGGTGCAGTACCTTTCTCCGTTGTCTTACTCATCTCATTCTCGGGACTGGGATACGATGAGATATTACGATAGCCGTTGGCCATCCTCTCGGGAAACAGACCGGCGGGGTTGGGGTATTTGGCGCTCGGATCATTGAACTGGCGAGGCTCCTGTGTGAAGTCGACACCTGGAGCAAAAGAAGCTGGAGCATTGCGAATGCTGCCTTGTGGACTGTACGTTGAGTCACGACGCGAGCTCATGATTCCATTGCTCTGGTTGACACGCACGTTCTCTTGACTGCCTACTGGGGCCTCACTGCGATTGAACGTCATGCTGATGGCGGAGTCATGAGGCGTGTAACTCGCAACGAGACCGTGCAGCGATGGCGTGCGAGAATCAATGATATGTGTTTGCGATCCGCGAGCGGACGTGCTGCTACGGCGGTTGTTCAAAGAGTCAGCCAGGAAAGTCAGAAGACCTTGGATGAATCCTTGCAGCACCTCAGGGCTATCAGGCATGCCGACATGATCATAGCCGGCTTGGAAGCCTTCTTGGTAAGTGGAAGGTATGTGTGCCACGGCCTTGGGCACATTGAAAGGCCAGGTCTCCTCGGTCGCTGCTCGCTGCTGATGTTGATCCTGGGGCAGCAGGGTATTGCTTGCAGTAGAACGCAGACTGCTGCCCGTCTGCAAAGCACGGCCCTGTGGAGCTACGGACGATGGATTGATCGCCTCTTGCTTCAATGGTGAGAGCGACTGGGGTTTTCCAAACGCATCTGGCCAAGCACCCATCTTCGGTGCAGGCTCCTCGTTCCTTGCACGGCTTGTATTGCCCTCGTTCCAAGGACTCGCAGGCCAGGTTTTCTCTGGGGTCGCTGGAACGACCCTATTGTCATCGCGGGCTGGCTGCGGCACACTGGACGGTGGTGCCACCCGAGTTGAAGAATGCTCGTGAGTGTTCGTGGGGAAGAAGTCTGTAGTGTCTACACTCGACAGGCTGGGTTTGTGAGACAAAGTACGGTGAGGCTGTGAGTTAAATTGGGAAAGATCTTGTTGACGCCAGGGTGAGCGCTTGTTTGGAGAGGGCGTAGGGGGACCAGTTGGACCAGTCCCAGTAGCTGTGCTGCCTTTCGGTTCGTAGGTTGGACTCTTTGGGTCCAGAGCTGGTTTCTTGGAATCCTCGTGGGGAGGTTTGATCTCGATGGCACGCGAGCGCCGGTTGCCAGATCCAGGAGAGTGTGGAGGTGGGTTCGCGGCTGGTGGAACGAAAGGCGTAGCCTCCACGCTTGGGAAGCTTGAAAACGCACCGAAAGTTGGCGGGTACATAGCCATGGGCGCGTACGGGTTGGTTGCAGGGTAACCGTACATGGACTGGGCAATTGGCTGCTGGTACGGAGGCATAAACGATGCCATGGAAGCTGGTGTTACAATCGTACCCAGAGGGTTGGGAGGAGCGTCCTGGTTTGCAGTCGCCGGGTCCGACTCAAGGACCGAGATCTGCTTGCGCAGTGCATCAAGTTCGACGATTAAGCCTCTCTTCTTCTCAATCATGGAAGCTCGCCAGCTCTCAGTTTGATGACTGGACTGCAAGACCTCAGTCTGTTCGACTGTTCGAAGTTCCTGCTTCTTGACCGCCTGTTGGACCCTGAGCGTAGGAAGGTCGAGTCCGGCGAACGGTGTCTGGGAGTTGGTACGTGGTGGAACAAACAAATGTCCAGGCAAATTACCCTGGGTGGATAGAGAAGATGTGTCGTTGACCTGCGTAGCAAGTGTCTCCTCGGCTACACGTGTGGCAGCGGGCACTGCAGACCCGCTGTTGACAGTAGGCAGCGCAAACATACGATCGCCAACGACAACAATGGGCTGACCGCCAATGATCTCGATGCGAGCTGTGCTATTCGGCGATGGCTGCGACGGCGCAGCCATGATGTTACCGGGCGTGACGCGGAGAGCCTGGGGGTTGTAGATGTTGAAACTGGGTCGAGCACCTAGCGGTGGCAGATCTCCAGGCACAATGCGTCCACCTGCTGTTACACGCAGACCAGGAGGGCTGCCGTGCTCCTTGAGAAGCCTCTCGGCTTTGCCACGCTTGATTGAAGGGGATGGCGACGGTCGCTTGTTGGCGGCTGGAGGTCCTGTCGCTGGGACTACTTCTGGCGTGATTTCGTGGGGTGCCTCAGTTGCAGCGACTCTAGGTATGAACGTTCGCAAGCTTCGATCAGACCTGCGGCCAATCAATTGCGCGGAGGCAGTGGGACGTAGAACGTGTTCTTGTAGAATCGTCAGTGATGGTTCGGCTGGGCTGTGAGAGGAGAGGCTTAGTGGTGAATGGGAAAAGCTTGCAAGCGTGGGAAGGCATGTAAAAGATCCGTGTAGGCGTAGTGGCTGGCGGTGAAGTGAACGATCAGAGGTGAAGGCGATGTGAACCCTTACCTTTGATCACATCTTCGTCCGCGAACCTGTCCAATGATACGGCTGACTCGGAGACCGAGTCGCGCAAGGCAAGTAGCTCCTCCAACTTGTATGCGGGAGCCATGACAGGTGCAGTGTCGCCCTACGTGGGTGCGCCGCCTTTCTGGTTAGGTGTGGAGGCCAGTGAGGCAGTCAGTGTCGGTCCAGACGACCAGGTTGTGAAATGGTCTGATGCGAATATCCTGCAGGGCTAGTCAGTGAGCATCCAACATCAGACGGCTCGATGGCATGTGGGGTGCAGCGGCGACGACGTACCTCAAGCTGATCTAAGAGGTGGTGCAAAGTGAACGAGTGGCAGCTATCCAAAAAGCCGGACACAGCAATGGGAAAGAAGACGATCAAGAAGATGGAAGACGAATGAGTGTGTTGTGGAGACGGAGAGAGGACGAGCAGGGACCGGAGGTTATGATCTACGTTCTGTTGCACCTCCCTCGATTATTACGTAGTAGTGGCAATACCGTAAGGGAAAGCTTGGTTGAGACGGAAAGGTCAGAGAAAGGCGCAAACGCGCGTAGGTGCGACTGCCTTCAGCTTGAGAAGCAACAGCAGCGGAGGAAAGCGCTCTGCCAGAAAAACGGGCTGAGCTTAGAGAACACGAATACACACAAGAGATCGTATCAAGAAAGAGGATCCGTTCGCACCTTCGCTGTTAGGTTGTGAAAACATATTGAAACGATGAGCGGGGGTATCAAATTTGTCTCCTTTGACGCCTTCGCTATGCAGCTTTGAAACGGACTATATAGCACCTTAGCACCGTCGTCAGATCTACATAGCAGGCCTGCGACGACGATACGCGACTGTGCCATGCCGTGCTCTTCTTTTATCTCCTGCGAGTGGCCCTTATGGCAGGTGCAGGCTCAAATGCGTCGTCATCATCAGAGATCTCATCGTCGCTCTGCCGCAGTGTTAGTCTCACTGCTTGCTGGTGGGTATGTACATGTCACTTACAGGTTCAGCGGTCTTCTTACCGCGTGGCGCGATGTCTCGCGTGGGCTGGCTGCGTTGTGTAGAAGGCTGGGAGAAGTTCAGTGTGCTCTGCTTGGTTGCAGCTGGTGCCCTTGTCCGGGTGGAAGCTGATGTCTTCTTAGCTGGTGACTTCGTCCTAGCCGGCACCTTCGCTGGCGCAGGCTTCTTTGCAGTTGCTTTCTTCGCCGGCTTCACAAATAAGTCTTCTGCACTCTCCTCATCGTCGTCGCTAATCATAATCGCGTCTCCATCCTCATCTTCTTCCTCTTCTTCAACGACCTTCTTCTTGCCACGCGTACCTTTGGCAGCGGGAGCGGCTTTCTTCGCCGCCGCGGTATGTCGAGCGATCCCTGTAGCTTTCGCATGACCACGCGCAGCAGGCTTCCGTGTAGGTATAGAGCCAAAATCGTTGTCGTTGTTTTCCGCTTCGTTGTCTGAACGTATTAGAGCACCAGGTTGATCGTTCCAATGCCCGTCTTCTTCGCTGTCCCATGTGACTGGTTTCGGCTTGGTCTTCGACTTGCGAGTCTTCTTGAGCTGACCAGAGGCAAACAAATCTTCTAGTTGGGATCGGTACTGCTCCATTTCATCTGCAATGTCTGACTCGTCGATTTCGTTCGCGTCCATCAAGTGCTTAAGTTGGTTCTCCAAGCTCTCATTGACGAAATGCTCCATGGCATGTTTGTCGCCCTTATTGACGAATTGGGACACAGCATCGCCGAATGAGTTTTGTGGTAGGATGGTCAGCGACTGCGCTGTGAGAAACTCTTTTACGAGTTTGTCCACGCCGATTGTACTCAGAGTTATCTCTTCCATAGTCTTCTCATCCGGCATCTCAGCGTTACTCTTCATTGTGCCTTTGCATTGGTTAGCCAAGTTTCTCCATCAAAACGACGGTACACTTACGAGCAGGAGCCTTCTTCTTGCGGTGAAACTGTACAATGTCATTGACATTGGCAACGCGGTCTATGAAGCGGTTTGAGAAGCGCTGTGGATTCTCGACGTTGAATTCGCCAGGCTGAGGAGCAGTGTACTCGACGCGTAAGCGCACTAGGGGCCGGGGAACTTCTAGGTCCTCATTCTCATCGCGATCGTCCTGTAGCTCGAGCCACTCCCTCTTTGCTTCCCCTATGAGATCTTCCACAATCTGATTGAGATGCTGTGTGATCTTTGCCCGGTTGTCTGAGGTTCGCCAAAGCTCTTTGTCCTTGATCACCTTCTCTTCGGCCAGTACAATCTCCTTCATGATGAAAGGCCGGACGGTCTTCAAGCGTATGCTTTCTGAAGTGAACTCCTTCCCAGTGACGCTGACAATCGCGACATGCTTGGGCACGGCCTCTCCAGGCATCAGAGAGGTCGCGACAGATGACCCTGGTTGCATCACGTGGAAGCCCATTTCTGGGTTATAGCGCGGGTCGATGAGACACTCATGTTCGTGGCCCCAGACGACAAGGTCCATGAAGCTAGGCAGAAAGTTCTCGGGAAGATAGCTTGTCGATGTGTGCGCATGGTGGTTCTGATGAACGCTCATGATGTTGAACCATTCGTCCTTCTGTGTGCCAGGTTGGAAGAACTTGACATTGCCGTCTCGCCATGTGTGAAACAATCGTTCGTCGCGGACGTTACTGAGTCCATACAGTGCCAGCTTCGTGCCACCCTTTTGAAGAAGCACTGGCTTGACTTGAATCTTGTCGACTTCTGGAGTTCGTCCAAAGTAGTTGACCAGGCCAGACGCCTGCAGCAAGTCCAGCGGCGAGAATGAGCCTTCACCAGAAGGGTCGTCGTGGTTGCCGTGGATTGCGAACAGAGGTATAGCCACATTGATGTCCTCGTCTTCGTAGTTGACATGGTCGAAGATGCCACCAAAGTTCTCGCTTGCATCGCTCAGCAGCTCTAGCTCACAGGGCTTCTCGCCCAGACAATTTTGGCGTATGGAGCGCATGACATGATACATCGACTTCCGTGATGGCTTGTTCTCGTGGAAGAGGTCTCCCGCGTGCAAGATCATGTCGACGTCATGCTCTTTCGCCAGACACATCACTTCGTCGAAGGTCTTCCAGCTATCGTCCTGGCGGTGCGCATCGCGTTCGTTATAGCCAACGTGGCTGTCTGTCGCGACGAGGATGCGGATCGTGTCTGCGCCTGGCCATCCTTGTCAGCTCTTACATCTTCGCATGCATCCTCGGTGACATACCTCGCTGCTGTGTGCCCCGCGCACGTGGAGGCATTGCGTGTGGTATGGAGGCTCAGGCTCCGTCTTCGAATGGAGTGATGCCCTCCACAGCTTCTGATGAGACAAGACGCTCTCGCACAGCGCAATCGAGGCACCTTTGTGGATTGCGCACCTCACCCCAACTTGCTGACGCGCGACGCGCTTCAGTCGCTAGTCTCTAGCGTTTCCGCGCTCTCAGGTGACGCTGAACGGAAGAAATCGAGCTCAACCGCCGACCTCACCTCAGGGCAGCACACTACAATGTTTCCCACAAGGGCGCTCTGCGCGCGATCGGTCTGGAAAGGTAGGCTGGAATGCTGTCGAAGTGAGAGAGGCCTAGTTAACGATGCACATAGGCCCCAACATCCTCCCGTAAGCCCTCTCGCGAACTTTCTCCTCCAGACTCACTAAACTTCCAAAGTCTTCCCATTGCGCGCGCAAAGGCCGGCGAGCGACAAGCCCCAATCAAGACGCAAGCGCGCTCTGCTACCATCCTGCCGAACTTTGTTGGCCTGAAGTTCCAGGTTCACAACGGCAAGAAGTACGATGATATCACAATAACAGAAGACATGGTCGGACACAAGCTGGGCGAGTTTGCACCGTACGTCAACACCAGTACAACATGTCACAAAGGCCGTGCAATCTGGAATCCATGGCTAACACGTGCTGACAGGACACGGAAGAACTTCTCATACAAGCAGACCAAGAACAAATAGACGCTGGGTCGCATATGCATGGTATGGGAGTTCGGGTATCATTGTGTTCATCTAGATGTACTGCTACTTGTACAAAATGCAGCCTGCCATACTGCGGCTGTGGTTCTTCGATATCGATTTGACTTCCCATGCGCCTGTGAGACCAACCAACGCCGATAATGCATGTCCGTCATGACTTCAAGAATAGTGCCCCACGCAGTTGATGTAATGCACCAGCTGCATGGGGGCGAGTGCGCGAGTGCGAAAGCTCACCGGTAGAACTCGCCGCGCTTAATGTTGACACCGTACTCCCCAACAGCCATGCCGAGATCCTCCATGGTAAGCACTGTCCGGCCCTGGCTACCGCCCTGTCCACCGCCGCCGTAGCCTGGCCTCTGGATGCCGAGGTTGTAGTCTTTGGCTTTCGATCCACTGTCTTTACCGCCTTGCGCAGGTGCCGCTGCACCTGGTGCTCCTGCTGCGCCGCCGAGTCCACCCATGGGGTTGTTACTTGTGGTGTTTGATGACCGAATGCGCGAGAACTGGTACGCGTCCGCGGCGATGTCCGCAATGAACTTTTGTGTCGCAAGAGCCAGGAGGCGGGCAAGGTGCTGCGATGTTTGAGGTGGCGGAGGAAGGCCGGCACGTGTCAAGTAGTAGTTGGTGACCGCATCTGGAATCTGAGCATTGTGTTAGTATGCGCCTTGCAGACACGTTGGTGAGGCACTCACTATAGGCGCATACTCGTCCATCTTGCCTAGGAACTCGCGCAACGTGGCGTCCTTCTTTACAGGTATGCGCTGCTCGAACGTTGCGGCAGCGTCTGGCACCCCGTTCGTTGCAGGCGCGTCGTCGTTCGCGCCATCGAGGTTCATGGCATCCGCTTGTGTCGCGTCGTGGTTGATTTCGTTGTCCGCGGCCTGATCGAGGTCGTCGGTCACTTCCATCTTGGTGTCTGGCGGTTGGGATGTGCTGTCGGACATGTTGTGGCGCCGGCTGCAATGTACAGACTGGATGGTGTGTGACGTGGGGACGCAGTGAGTTGCGGAGAGCGTTGCGGAGCGGGCGCGGAAGTGGGCCTTGGCGTGACCTGCAATGCCGTGACCTTTGACCCCGTCAAACAGCGAGCATCTCACCATCGGGTCACTAGTACGACGCTGCCATATGGGGCAAGGTAGTCCGTGGTACGATGGTACAGCAAGTGGTTCCCCATGCCCCAAGAGCCGCCATTCGCCTGACAGAGCCTCAGAGTCACATGGCTGCCTGGTGCCTCGAAGGCAACCTCCATGATAATGCTTGACTGGATGTTTGAGGCTAGTAGCTGACAGTACCGACGGTAAGCCTCACCTGACCTAATGTTTCGAGAATTTTCCTACCTCAAAACATTACTTGCATACATCGCCGGCTTCTGTGCCATATTGTTCTGGATAGTAGACACACCTGCGCTGTGACCCTGGAAAGACGCACCCTAGCGAGCGGCCACTACTCGGACTCAGACGCTCTCCAGGGGCACTAACTTTGAATCACAGCTACACAACATGAACTCATGGGGGGCATCCAAGATCAGCAATTTCACAAGTTCACCGCCTGAATTACTCGAATTAATCTATCACCACCTCGAGACTATGGATGGTGTCCACAACCTTGGTCGTAGTCACATCAAGAGACGGACAGTCTGTACCGAGATTATGCGGTCTATCATTGCAGGATAATGGGTGCATCGATACGGCTTGCAGCTTTGCAACATCCTAGAGCCACACATGGAGATCTGACACTTCCAGGACAGCGGGATACCATTCCCAGTAACTTCTGATCTCAGTAGTCAGGGCTACAACCAGTGGGAATAGTCACTTGCGAATGCAACAGCTGTAGTGGAGTGCATCTCCGGTCACTGTATACCTGAGACTGTCGTCTACGACATCATGGCGCGGTGTCAAGGTCTGCGAGTGATCGAAGACATATGGCTTCGAAGGCAGCTTGAAAAACCAGATCTCTTGGCCGCTGATGCGACCCTGGAGGTAGACGACGAATTTGTGTGCCGGTATATGTACCTCCTTGGCCAGTCTCAGAATTTAGAGCAAGGTGATCTTGCGGCCCCGAAGCAAAACAAATGGTGCGACTAACTCCGTTGGGTTATTGACAAACTCTCAGTACCCCTTGCGAAGCCATCGTTACATTGAGATACTGGATAAATGCAGAGCAGACCTTACAGCCCTAAGTCCTAATTCTGTTTTGGATCAATTGGACCAGCACGCTGCGTTCTCTTTCATGTATCATCATTTGTTACCATGCACAGCCCTGCTTTGCAGGAACAAAACTCGTCAAAGCTACTCTTTACTTTCAGCACCGAATGGGACTCAAACGGTCCGCCGTACTCTTCGAGGTGAGTATCATCATCCTGCGCGCAAATTATTGCCGGATTGAATGTCTCATAGGAACCTTTGACTGTTACCTACGGTTGGTCAGACATACTGCCAACCTCCAGACCTGATCCACCCTGCTGTGCGTCACAAAGGTCTGCCGACCGCACCCCTACCCCGAGACGCCATTGCCAGCGACCACCAGAGAATGGATGCGTCCTGCAAAAACCTTTCTTTTCCCTGCAAACGTCGCGCTTGGTGACGACGGGAGCTGGCTGGCACAGCTCTTCAACACTCATGTCGCTATCGTCAATAGCTTTTCCTTCGCCCAACCTCTAGGAAGCAATTACAACCAAGCCATGCACCGCGCTCTGCCGACATCATTCGTGATCGTGGACCATGCCAAATGTTACTTCCGTGACGCAGCAGTTGCCGCCATTGAGCAGGACTAGGGATTCGGAAATGATTTAAGGCTTGCCCGCGATGTACTCGACGAAGGGTAGCAAACGAAGGGGCTGTGGAGTGTGTGGTGGTGGGCTAATAGCGAAGACAAAGCCCGGGCAATCGTCACGAGGTGGAGGGCTAAGAATGGACCAAAAGCCAGCCACCTGTACATTATTACCCGCACTGCTTGGGGCTCTGGGTAAAGCAGCGGGGGCTCCTACCCATTGCAAGCTGACTATGAAGGTTAGACTGGTGTCTACATAGATTGATGGATAATGCTTTCTGTACGTTGATGGTAGTGCCCACTTGCGATTGCAATCTATTCGACACGCTTGACATGCAACTTGATACGAACTGCATGAATTATCTCGGCAAAAGACAAATGTTGTCGTGTGCTGCCGACAAGAAACTCCACAGTGCGCATCTTAGGATCCAACAGAGTGTGGGGACGCAAATGTTGAGCCTGTCACGACTGTCGAAAAAGTCCAAGCATCAGAACTTCCACCAGCGCCAGGATTAACAGCTATGAAATTTGAACGTGAGGTCATAGCAACTAGACGAAATTGAGACTGGCAACATTAAGCCCGCGTGCATTGGCCAAGTCCGTTTGCATAGGAAGACATGACGGTGCTCGCCGGTACACGAGTTCGAGTAGCACATGTCAGGGCTGAGTAGGGCAAGTCCACGGGTCACGTCTCACACAAGCAAGCGCGCCATCAATGTCCCATGCAGTTGCACGGAAACCGCATCTCTTCCGTTCCAAGACAGAAGCATGCTTTTCGGGATCACTCGGAAGACTCCAATGGCCACAAGCCGTTTCCCGTTCTTCCGTGGGCGCAGGGATGCTGCGCTTGAGCAGTGCTCCGGTATTTCTTCGAAGGAAAGGTCATCAGCAGCCCTGAACTGCAGCACCAATGAAATGCACGGACAATTTGTGTGCGCCTTGCCCGCGTTGGGCTCTCCACCTGCACGACGCATGCAGTTGAAGAGAGCGTGGAGTAGGCAGCAATGCTTCAGGTGAGGGGTGAATCTGTGAGGTCATCACCGAATCTTGCGAGCAAACAATATATGGTCGCGAGGGCTCACCTCACCGTGCAAGCAGTGACACGCGATGTTCGAGCCTGTCAAACAGGCGACGATGTCATCTAGTAGGGATTTGCAGCGCGTTCCTCGGCTTGCTGGGCGTGGATTTTAGTGAAAGCGGGCCGGTCTAGTTGGAATTTTGCGCGAAAAGTGACCTTTGCCCGCAGTGCCCAAACTCCCCTCACTGCGCTTGTACGTACCTTTCCGCACACACGAGACTCAATATTGTCAGGTCACTGGCTTTCGGTCTACTTCGATCGAGTCGCCCTGGACACTTGACACCCTCGCCCGGCCCATAGTTGTTCCTCGCACGCCAAATATCGCTGCGACTTCGACGCCAGGTGCCTGGAGCCCTCCGTACCTCGCTGCACGTCGACACCCTCGCTCTCCGCACATCCAGCTTACGGTACTACTGCCTGCGTGTCTGCTGCGTGTTCGTTGTGAACGTCAGCCAAACAGCCGATCGTTCGTGTTTAAAGGTTCGTCCCGATTGCTACTGCCTACTGTTTGCGCCCGAGGCTTCTCTGGGTCGCAACATCCTTCTACCCAGCCTACCGACCTGTCGAGTTTACGGCGGCTCATTCACTACTATTTACTGTCACATCGCCTTATTCGCAGTGCTGTTAAGCGCTCTTGCGAAGCATCTTTAAATTCTGTACAATCGCCGGATATCCACCGCAAACATCGTTTTAGTCACTCAATCTGAGTTCACGACCTGGACCTTCTACTGGACGCACCCTGTCTTCCAGCCACATCGTCGATACTCTTGCTAACGTTTTTCGGCGCAGAGCTCGTGCGAGCGCTCCGGAAGTTTCCCCGAAGTTATTTCATACTTCGTAGTTGCGCCCAATTCGATCATTCCCGAGGTGCCGAACTCGAGCTAGGTCGTTCACTACTTTGCATTCAGCAGAGCAGTTTTTCGTAAAGCACAAGCCTCACGAAAATCGACGCTTGGTTATATCACCCGACAGCAAGTGCGGAGAGGTCAACTTGCCTCTCCGGACATACCAGCGCCAGCACTTGGACTGGCCAGCATACTCTAGCAATCCCTCCAGGGATTTCCAGCGCTCAGAACCGCCTCGACCCTCCACACAGCATTTCTGCTGAAGTGTACACTATCCTCAAGATGGCAGCAGCTTTCTCATACGCGCAAGCCGCGAAGGGCATTTCAAGCCCAGTCTCTGTCAGCAAGCCAGTCTCTGGCTCCGCGACACCGGCCAAGGACGATGCTTCCAAAGCCCCCATCTCCTCGATTGCTCAAGTGAATAGCTGGGCCGACGATGCCGAGACCGGGTCCTCGAGCGAACAGCCCATCGCGAACAGCGAGTCACGAACGACTTCCTCGAAGCCCTCGAAACCCGCTGAGTCGCTCGAGGCATCCACCACCGACCTCGACTCTCTGTCTGCCTCGACGGTGACCAAGGATGACGATACGTCCTCGCAGCCCAATATGTCTTCTGAGTCGACATGGGACAACAAGTCCCAGGCTTCCACCTCCGTCGACAAGACTGTCGAGCCTGTACATAAGACCCCAGAGAAGCCAGAGAAGAGCGAGAAGGGCAGAAAAGGCAAGAAGGGAGAAAAGGGAGAAAAGAAGGAGGCAGAGAAGGAGAAGGAGCCACCTAAGCCCCTCAAGGAGGCACCTCTGCCCACAGTGAACATCTGGCAACAGCGTGCAGACCAGCAGAAGTCACAGGCGAAGCCTGTACCGGCGCCCGTAACGAATGGAGTACCTAAGAAGAGTAGCGAGGGGAGACCTGCTACTGCCGAGACCAAGCCCAAGGGCCGTGAGGAAGACAAGGCAGCTTCCCAGCGAAAGGAGGCAAGAGGAGACGCCGAGAAGAAGGGCCTCAAGAGCAGACCCTTCGACAAGGATGCAAAGCCTGCATCGAGCCCCATGCCGCTACCGCCCAACCAGGACCAGGAGTCGTGGCCGACACCAGAGATAGCAGTCGACGAGGACCGCAAGAAGGCCCAAGAAAAGGGGGAGAAGGAGCGCAAAGACAGCGCACCCAACGGTACCTCCGGGAAGCATGAGTGGGTGAAGGTTCCATACACACCCTCGGTTGTCTTCAACACCCCGCTGCCCAATGCCGCAACCTCGCGCCGAGGCGGTAGGCCTGGAGGCCGTGGAGGAGCACATTCCGGTGGCAGACCCGCCGGGTTTGGTGCTAATGGTGTCGCGGCATCTGAGAAGGATGCCTCGGCAGATGCTGTCGCCAATGGCGAACAGCCTAAGCGTGAAGTCAATGGCGTCGCTGGTGACGCCTCTCCCAAGACGAAGCGTTCAGGGAGCGCTACCTCGCCAACGCTCAAGGAGCAAGTGCCAGCCGTCAATGGAGAGAAGTCTCTTAAGGGACCTGGTGCTGCGCCTTTCGAGCCAGAGGTACCAAAGCGTGCCTCAACCATGGGCGAAATGACGAACGGCAACTTCCCTCGTCAGTACTCTGGCAGGTCGGGCAAGGGCCGCAGGGGTGACTTCAGCGGCTCTGAGCGGAGAAGGGAGGGTGATGTCTCCCCCACCAAGGACGGCAACCAGACCGAGGGCTCTGAGAACGAGCGACGACCCATGGATGGGCCGAACGGTGTCAACTCCAAGCAGGGCCGCTACAACAGCTCCTACGCTGGCCGTGACAGGCCTCGTGGCGGTGGACGTGGAGGACGCGGCGGCTTCACCAATGGCCACCAGTTCACCAACGGGCATGCTCAGCAAGCCAGCGGATCGTTCACTATGGGTCCCGGCTCTCCCACTACCTTCAACCCTGGAAACACGTCCTTCTTCGCGCCGCCTCAGGGCAAGTTCAGCCGTAACGCCCACCGCTCCCAGTCTGTTGCTGAGTCCTACCGCTACCCTGGCTTCCAGGGCGCCCCTCCGATGGCTCCTCTGAACACGTACAACATGTACGACTACAACGCGGCGGCACCTATGAGTGCTATGCCCTACAGCCCTTATGGTGTCGATCAGTTCGCTCTGTTCCAGATGATCACCACCCAAGTGTGAGTGGTCCTCCTACTGCTTCCAATGACTGCCGCTAACCTGCCTTAGTGAATACTACTTCTCGGTGGACAACCTCCTGAAGGACATGTATCTGCGTAGGCATATGGACTCTCAAGGATTCGTTTCCCTTGACTTCATCTCCGCCTTCAACCGCATCAAGAACTTGTCTACCGACATCGAGCTTCTCAAGCTCGTCTGCCGGCAATCGAGCCATGTCGAGTACCTTACAGGGGAAGACGGCCGTGACAGGCTCCGTCGCCGTGAGGGGTGGGAGCAGTGGGTTTTGAGCATGACTGACCGTGATGAGTCAGCGCAGAACGAGGGCCCGGAGAAGCTGCTGAAGCCCCGTGTCCCTAACCCTGCAGGCTTCGATCAGTCAAACCCTCCCCAGTACCCGGCCATGCATACCGGCTACGGCCACGATGTCTCATATCCTGAGCACAACCCTTTCGTTCCCAGTGCGCCCCAGGACGCTATCGGAGCCCCTATCGAAACCTTGACTAACGGTACAACACCCGAAGCCGCGAACGGCGTCGCTGTCCCGAACGGTCAACTGATCGAGGAATCTACCAAGGCCGTGAGTGCAATACCCAATTTATTCTCTGACGCGGAAATGGCATGTTTGACCGTCTTTGTTCGCAAGCAGAACAAGTCGTCAACAGAATTGCACCCTTCAACTTCTCGAACGTTGCTAACGATTCCTTCGATAGTAAAAGTGGCGGCGTAGATGAAATGGACAGTGTGCCCAGCTACCATTCCTGGGCTACCGGCGCCGTTCCCTTGCAACAGTAAGCTTGTTCATCTGCACACGCTACTAGAGCCTCCGCTAATGCGCCAAGCAGTGATGTGGTCGGAACACCAAAGCCCTGAGAGTGGTGTGAAGATCTCTACACTACCTGTTCGCCTCTACTGGGTCAACGATGAGGAGCACCCAGTCAAATTGGTTCCTTCCGACGTCTCTCACGAACATTACTTCCAATTACGATCGAAAGCGCTACAGCGGCGCCAAAATACCCCCTTTGGTTCAACTTGTCACGACATGGAGGTCATGTACCACTTTTGGTCGCACTTCCTGATGCGAGATTCCAACACTCAAATGTACGAAGAGTTTCGAAATTTTGCGTTCGACGATGCACTTTTTAACATGACCGATGTTGGACTTTCGAGTCTGATCATGCTCTACAGCCAGTCTTTGTTATCGGTGCGGACTGTGGCTCGACACTGTGGCCTGCGAATCCATTGCTGCAGTAGAGTCGGAGGACGACGATCATTGCTCAGCATTGACGCAACTGCGATCTGACCTCAGTAGTAGCTTCCTTCACCTCAGCAGTCAGCAACAGTTACAACGGCTGCTCACGGACGATCTCCTGGCGTTAATCAAAGTCTGGTTTCAACCATCTCTCATTGTGCGGCGTTGTTATCTTCGGTTCTGTTGCCCTTAATACCATCAGGGCTTTCATTAGGGCGTTCCACGCATTTCCACAAAAAAGTTCGTGCTTCGGCGTTAGTACATGGCTGGCGGTCAGTCACCTTTCCAATAGAAGCTTTGCGTATGTTCCGGATCCTTTAAATGTTCACACGACACGACTGCCACATTCAAAATACCTTTGGCATCCTGGAATACAACCTAGACCCGATGTCCTTCGGCGAAATCAGGATGCTGGGTGGGCAATGGTAGTGGTAGGGGCGTCTTTTTGCATTTCACTTCATCGTATACGAACCCAGTTTCTCCTCTCTTGTGCGTCTCAGCAAAGCGGCATTTGGATCTGGTTTCGAATTGTCAGATGTCAATGCCCGAAAGTACATATGGAGTGACGGGCAGAATGGGCCTGTGTCTTCCGGCGCATGGCTCTGCTTGTAAAGTGCGAAAATGAAAGTTGGTGTATTTTTTGCAAGTTTCGCTCGTTATCACGCTTCATACTCTCAGGCTCAGAGGACGCCGTGCATCACGAGGGTGAGGCTGGCTGAGATCGTCATCATGCTTCGGCAGACCCGGAGTCATCGCCGAGACCGCGATCTGCGGGTGGCGAATGCCCGCGCCTCTCAATGTTCCCCACACCCGACCGGCTCGTCACCACTCTCCTCTCCAACATCTGGTCACATAGAGCAACATGGCACCCACCGGTGCTTTACATACGCTGGTGGTCAAGAACGCGAAAGCGTTCAAGTGAGTAGCTCGCCTTGGGCTCACAGGCGATATGCTGACATGTGATAAAAGGGCTGCCTGGCGTCATGCTGCGAAGCTCATACAGAATCAGCTGCCTGCTGGTTCACGCCCAACCCAGTCACAACTTCAACCGATTCTTGTCCGAAACACTCCCACACACCCTATACACCGCATTGCGTACCTGAAGCAGAGCAAAGGGCGCTGGTACACCACCCACAGCAACATCTCGGCTGTCGTACGACGATTTACCACCTCCGCATCTCGCACCTCGGGCGTCAAGTCCGACAAGTCGTCCTTCCCCAAATCGCGCATTGGTAGCATCGTCGTCTCTCAGGCTGGTCGCGCACCGTTCGCTTCGACCCTGCGCCCAAACCTTACCGGCGGGACACTGGGCCGCACAGCTGGAGGCTATGGCTGGGGCCCTGGTCGAGCAGGCGGCGCTCGATATTTCTCTCATGGTCCTGCAGCACCTGCGCAGGTCATCAACAACGTCTCACAGGCTGTCCGAGCCTTCCTGGTCTCTGGCCAGAAGGCACAGTTTGACGGCATTGACTCACACCGAGGTGAGAAGCGATTCAAGGCTGTTACTGCCCTGCAGGATCAGGTTAACCGCACCCTCAACAAAATTTCCAAGGCTACACCCGGCTCATACGTCAGCTTCAGCATCAATCCTACCGTCACCGCCCTTACCCCTCTGAAGGCAGTCAAGGGATTCGCCGCCTCGCAAGAGAAAGAGTCGCTCAAGAGCGAGGGTCTTTTGGACATCCTTTCAGTCGACTTCAGTCGCGCCGTCAAGGAACTTGCCGCAGTCCTGAAAGATCTACAAAGATTGTCAGAACTCGGTGATCTACCCATTACTTACGAAGAGTCTGCGCTCAAGATTCACTTCCCCGGTTGCGACCGTGACACGGTGGAGACCATCTGCAGTGACTTCGAGGTACAGCGAGGCGTAGTCCACCAGGATGAGGAGTTTGATGCCTTTGTTGGTACTGAGATCGCTCTTCTGTTTCCCTTCGCCTCAAGTAGGACACCGTCTGAGTGCTCGTTCTTCGAGAAGGCAGTTGCTGGCCGTCAGTACGTTCAGCCGATCGAGTGGGAGCAGATGCTCTCGCCCTCTGTTCTCAGCTCGGATGCGTACTCGATGCATTCGGAAGATGGCTTTGACGAGGTCCTCGATATCGAGGAAGAACTTACTAACCCGTGGCTGTCATCTTCGTTGCCTTCGGGCTACGAGTCGTTGCGCACGAGTGAGGCAGATGAGATAAACTATAATGCGCCGCTTGAATACCAAGGTATCGAAGGCATGTACAGATTTATGTCACACTGCCAGACGAGTGTGCGATAGTCTTCACAGGGAAGGCGTTACGAAGGGCGTAGATACCACTCAGCTTTAATTTGATGGAGGAAACACGATTGTTTTTAGGTTTCCCTACCTTTATAAATGCAGCGTGACTTTTACCACGTATTAATTTGCACATCTGTATACTTGCCGCGGATGCTCCCCGACATCGGATTACTCCGATTGCGTTCACGATGCCCGCTGTACGAGCCTCCGAGTACACGATAAAACACCTCTAACATAACATTCTACTCGCGAAGCATTGCCTTTTGTGTTTTGTACACCGTTGCCGTTCAGAACGCCGATAGGGCGTAATGGATGCCGTCAAGCCGCTGGCCAATCCCAGTTGGCGTGTTTAACCGCATTGCAATTCCGCTGTACAGAGCGTCACGTAAAACTTTCTACCCCGACGTTATATCCGCGCTAGCGTGGAGGATGAAGTACACCTCCACTCTCCATAGTGCCCTCCACTCTCTGCCACATTCTTGCGCAGACTATGGATTGCATATAAAGAGCCAGGAACGCTACGAATTGTAGCAATAGGTGCATAATTTCTCCGTCGGGATCTGCAGCGCAAGAACGTTTACTTTCAGCCTCCTTATTCCCGGGGCGGCGATCCGAGGTTACGAGCATCATGACGACTCACCACCAACCAAACGATGTATTGACGAACGCAACAAACAATGTGGCAGTCGCGAGCAGTGAAAAGAGCCATGGAACTCCAAACATGTCAAACGCACCCAGCGCCGAGAAACAGCAAGGGATGACTGGCGGCCAAGACACAGTAGCAGGCGAAGGCAATGCTGTCGTCGAGAAGAAGGCAGACGTACCTCCCAATGGTGGATATGGATGGGTATGCGTAGCAGCATGTGCCACCATCAACGCGTGCGTCTTCCCTCCCGCCACCTTGATCCCTCATCATAGCATGCACTAACTCCACCAGTCATACCTGGGGACTCAACTCGGCCTACGCCGTCTTCCTCGCCTACTACCTGGCCAACAACGTCTTTCCCGGCGCCTCACACCTCTCTTATGCCTTCATTGGCGGTCTCTCTATCAGCCAAGCTCTCATGGTCTCCCCCATCGCCACAGCCACGACCCGGATCTTCGGCACGCGGACCACGCTCCTGATCGGCGTGGCGCTGGAGACCATCTCCTTCATCGGGGCCTCCTTTGCGACGCAGATCTGGCATCTCTTTTTGAGCCAAGGCCTGTGTTTCGGGTACGGCATGGGTTTCCTGTTCGTGGGCAGCGTGGGCATCGCCGCGCAGTGGTTCACGACGCACCGCTCGCTCGCAAACGGGATGAGCGCCGCGGGAAGCGGACTCGGCGGCCTGATCTACTCTCTATCCGCGCAGGCGATGATCAAGAACATCGGGCTGCCGTGGGCATTTCGGATCCTGGCCATCGTAGCGTTCGTGGTCAACACGACCTGCGCGCTTATCATCCGGGACCGCAATAAACAGATTGGCAGCAGCCAGTTGAGCTTCGATTACCGGCTGTTTAGGAAACCGCAGTTTCTGGGCTTCCTGGCGTTTGGCTTCTTGAGCATGCTGGCGTATGTCGTGCTGCTGTTTTCGCTGCCAAATTATGCGCGAACGGTCGGTATGACGGCGCAGCAGGGCAGTATTGTGGGCGCGGTGCTCAATCTGGGCCAGGCGTTGGGACGGCCGCCAATTGGGTACTTTTCGGACTCTTTTGGGAGGTTGAATATGGCGAGTACGATGACGTTGCTTGCTGGCTTGTTTTCGTTGGTCATTTGGATGTTTGCGAAGAGCTTTGGGGTGCTCGTATTCTTCGCCATCTTGGGAGGGTCGGTTGCAGGCACGTTCTGGGCTGTTGCTGCACCTGTCACGACAGAGATCATGGGACTGGTAGATCTTCCGAGTGCATTGAGTCTGACGTGGTTGGTTTTGGTGCTACCTACGACATTCTCGGAGCCCATTGGGCTGGAGATCGTAGCATACAACGGTGGTAGCTACACCGGGGCCATTCTGTTCACAGGATGGATGTACATTGGCGCTGCCTGCATGCTGTGGGGTGTCAGAGCTTGGAAGATTGGCGATTTGGAAGAGAAAGCTGCGATAGCTGAGAAGAGCACATCCGATGTTGACCCTGTAGCAGGAACAGGCCAGGCGTCTGGTGGGATGGTGCCAGAGGGCTTCAAGAAGAGTCCTTTCCTGAAGCGGCTGATGATGTGGCAGAGGGTGTAGATACTGCCTCTTAGATAGCAAGACAAGTCGGCTGTAACAGCAGGATACTTGTAGCATCCAGAAGTTCAACCGGGTCGCAGGAAGCTCGCAGATGGCCACTCTTGACCAGGTATTTCAGGAACCTGTGGCCTGCAGCTGACTGCTTCTGCTGCTCGACAGCGCGCTTATCAAGAAGTATCATCTAGAAACCCTGATCAATAGTGCGATCAAACACTCTAGAATAATACATGAGTGCTACTTTTATCTTTGCAACGGTCGGTCGGTCGGTGCCTTCCCAATGCAACGCTGAGGACAATGGGACCCATGTCCGCGGCACGGGAACTAAGGACGCTAGAGTCCCCTTTTTCGCGTCCTGCACGCGTAAAGTGTGTGCAGACGTGAAACAGCCATGGACGCACTGTTTGTTGTTCGTCAACAATTGCGGAGGGGCGTTGCAACGGTCTGGCGGAGCGTTGTGACAGCATCTGACAGGTTTCAGAAGCGGTGTGACGGCACGCAGCGATTGGGTCGTTCGCTTACACACTGGATGCAACCGTGCTTTGGCGGTGGTAGGTGCGATTACTGGTAGGAAATGAAGCGCGCCGTAAAACGATGATTCGGGGGATGGGCTTGGATGTTCATTTCATGTTCTTTTCATGTTCATCATCTTGTGCATCATCAAGTCCAAGGATTATGCTGGTGAACCCTCGAGTCCTCTTGTTGGTGGCAGGGCCCTCACCACGCTCAAAACAGGCATGCCTGCATGCATTGTGTGTTGTACACGCCGGTTCCCACGTGTCAGGGGCCCATGGTTGTCCGCATCGATGAGGCCACGACCAATCGGCGGGCGCCTTTGCTAGCCGTCGTAGCTTGGGCCAGCTCCCCTAAATTCTTGACGAACGTTGCAGGGCTGCATACCTTCATCTGCACTGAGTCCGTATCGCTGCTGCGGTCAGAGGATGAGCTGTGTTCCTGTGCTCTCCAGACCAGTGCTCCATACCCTCATGCCGCTCCTTTAGCCGTGCGCAGTGGGCTTTCTTTTGTACATAACTATACCAGGCCTTATTGCATCACCGCCCAGCGACGCGTGCTTCCCGCCCGTCCCATCTCTCAGCGCGTGGAGTTGAATGCACGCTCGACGCACCTCAGAGTCCTCGCCTGTGCTGCCTTCATCCCCGCCAGCTGGCGCCCAGCATCTCGGCGAAGCTCTCGATCCGTCTGAAGAGCGCAGCGTCGTGTCGCCCGCGCAGACGCTGTGGACTGCATTGTCCCCAACTCTTACGCTCGCCAACTCTAGCCCCGAGCTGCCCACGCTCTCTACCCTCTCCGCCCTCGGACGCAGACCGCGCACGCCGTCCACTGTCGCGAGAAACGACCGAGACCGGCCAGACGACACCTCGTTCTACACGGCCAGCTGGGGCAGTCCTTACAGACACCCTCCCCCGGTCTTCAACCCTCAGCGCCTCACCTCGGCCACTCTCGACAGCGACGATCTCGAAGAGGGTTCTTCCGCCCTCCAGTTCGGCCTCGAGCACCTACTGCCTCCGCGACTCGAAGTAGAAGACGACGCTCCCGGCCGATTCAACCTCGAGCATCTCATCCCCCCTGTGGACCCAGACGGCTCGCCGAACCAATTCACACTCGAGAATCTCATTCGATCTCGACTCCCTCGATCGATAACACCGACTAGGGAATCACAAGCGTATTCTTTCACCCCGCGGGCTTCTGACAAGAATCCTACCTCGGAAGAGTGGGTTCGGTCATTCCTCGAGGAGCGTTGGAACCGAGAGAAGAACAACTGGAAGAGCGACATCAGCATTGATCTCGACTCCAGTGAAGAATCAGGTCAAGATCACGACTTCCTCTTGCCAGGCCCGCCGAAGAGAGGACACACAGCCAACAACAAGACGCTCAACCAGCAAGACTTCTGGCGCCACATTAGCAAAGATCAGAAAGAAGCCCTCGGCAGGATGATGTCCTCAAAGTATGCCGACGATCCCACGTCGAATCCTCGACAGGTCTCAGGCTCCGGTCCTGCCGCCTCACAGTTCCCTCCTCGAACATCGAGTGTGCGCAACTTGTTTGCATCGTCAATCTCGCCTCGAGATGTGACCCCTTCGCATTCGCCGATGCCAGTAGAACATACACCCAACCAGCCTCCAACACCCGTCGAGCCCACAAGAACGCCGATCCCAAGGACTCGCAAGAAGGTCATGGTCAAGGGCAAGGGCTGCATCATCTCGATACCACACGACATCCCAAGAGGTACTCACGGGTACCCACCGAAGCCCATGAGCCCAGCAGCCGTGCAGGCAAAGATTGAGGATTTGCAGCGTCTGGGCTACAACACAAGTGGTTTTGGTCACTGGAACGGCGTGGATGCTGGAGATCAGCAGGCGCACAACCGAGCCATATGGCCGACCGAAGACGATATGCGGGCTGAGCGCGCCAACCCAGGGTTGAGTTTCAAGGTCTACGTGCCGAAGAAGAGTGAATGGGACAATTACGTTAATTCGTTGGTGGAGGCGAAGCTTGCAGCCTTGGGAGTCAGTCTGGGTGGAGAAGACGAAGCGCCAGCACCCATGTCCCGCCAGGTGTCAGGACAGTATCCGGGTCTGCCCTTCTCTCCACCGTTGCCAACTCCGTCTGGTGGCAGTCACCGTGGCAGACAGGGAAGTGTCGTCACTGGTCCCTTCCCATTTGGACCATCACCCGGCCACATGTCTCGCCAATCGATCGCGTCACCAGCCGCATTCGGAAATGTTCGACCGAGCATGCACATGCACCGTCACTCGACATTCGGTCCCGGAAGCTTTTCTCACCATGGCATGTCTCCGTCTGTCTCCGGCACATGGTCTCCAGGTGGCTACTTTGGCTCTCAAGATGGACGTGGTGGTTCGCCAGCACTGCCTGCCTTGCCACCAAGCAGATCCGATCTTGCTGGGATGGTATCATCACCTCATTCGCCGTTCGGCAGGCGAGCAAGCCAGCAGTTTCCTCACTCGCCGTTGGCGCAGGACGATCTCATGGTCCAGATGCAAATGCAGCAACAGCAGTTGCAGGCGCAAATGTTCCAACAACAGCAGCAGCAGCTCATGGGACTGCGACCTAATTCTACACTTGCGGAGGTGCCGGAAGACGAGTCCGAGGAAGAGGTGCTGCCTCCTCTGAAGAATGTCACCAAGCCCGCACCGGAGATTGCTCACCCAACTCCTCGCACTCATCGCCACAATCTTAGTGAGAACATGGAGCGCGAGGCTGCTGATGCGGAGTATCATCTGGAAGAGGCGATCGATAAGCAATTTGCTGAAGGAGGTGATTTCAACACTGAACCTGAAGTCACTGCCCAGCGCAATGGTGTGGCTAACAACACATGGGAGAAGTCTCGCCCTGTCCTGCACCAGCCTCAGCCACACAACAGAGCGCATTCGATCACGAAGTCCCAGCAGCAGGTTCCTTTCGCTTTCCCTGCGCACCAGCCACACAACCCTCGCGAGGACAGCAACGGTGCCAGGACCAACTTGTCCGAAAACACAAATCCAAGTCTCGAGGATGGCGAGATCCGCTCGAACCAGCATTCACAGGCACCCTCGCAAGTCAGCAACCCATGGAAAGACTCAAAATTCGCCTACAACAGCACCACCTCTACTATGCATAGCAACCATGCTTCAAAATCATCGCTTTCGAAGCTCAACGTGGAGGCGAAAGAATTCAAGTTCAATCCTGCTGCTTCGTTCAACCCGGGATCGAGCTCCAACAGCAAGTCTAGCATTGACGGACTGTCAAGTTTCAACGTCACAGCTCCTGCATTCAAGCCGGATGCTGTCGCGTTCCAGCCCACAGCACCCACTTTCAAACCTGTTGCGGATGCGCCGGCAACCAAACCCGCGGAGCCACGAAATGGCATGGAAGCGCCTGAGTTCAAGCCTGCAGTTCCTGCATTCCCCAGCAGTGGTTTCAGCTTCTCGAGTCCGCCAGCATTCAAGCCGGATGCTCCAGCGTTCACTCCTGGAGGTGTCTCAGCTTTTAACCCTCAGAAGGTCGAACCTGCACCCGCAAGCTTTTCCTCAAAAATCTTCGGTGATGTCAACATCTCGGCCTGCGACATCATCAAGCCCGCTACACGATCCAAGGCTGTCGCTATCGTGCGACCCGATACAGCACGAGAATCATCTCCGGAGACAGTCAAGGACGTTGAGGATCGCGAAGACGCAGAAGGCCGTCCGATGCAAGCCGAAGGACGCGAGAAACGTGCCCGCAAACTACGCAATGACGGTGATGAGGTCCCTAAGTTTGCGCTGCAGCCCATACTGGCTTCGCAACCACTTGCAGAACCTTCACCAATCTTTGACGAGGAGGACAATCTCCAGGACGGTCCTGTTGAAGACAAGGAGAATCGCTCACCTGACGGCAGCAAGCGCAAGCCAAAGTCGAGCAGCCCAGTGCGAGTCCATTCCATTGTCGAGACCAAGAAGCCAACGGAAAAGGCTGAAACCGAGCCCATCGTTGCGCCCGACACAGCCAAACCTGTTGCTGACCCGTCCAAGAAGCATGAGCACAAGACGAGCTCGCTGTCCGCTACTGCTCAGCCCTTCGAGTTCAAACCTCAACATGGCAGCGCAGGTTACGATTTCGGCTTTCATGTTACAAAGCCCTCTGTGGTCAACGATTTCCTGCTACAAGGTTCACCACCAAGGAACTACAGCAGGAGCCCGGCAACCACTTACCGACCTAGCGATGATGGCTCTTTTAAAACAGCGCTCGGACGTGTTCCGTATGCTGAAAGCGAGAGCGTTGACTTCGATCCCTCGTTCAATGATATCGATGCTGTCATGAAGCAGATGGATGAAGGGGGCTCGGACTTCGGTGTTGAGCGCAACGACGACTCCTGGGAGCAGTCCTCTCCCCAGCGGACGCCTCATGAGTTTGACCGCTTCAACCTACGCCCTAACGTCCACCTTCGTAGCGACGCACCCAGTCCCAGCCCCCGCAGGATTTATGCCAACGGGCCAGGATCTGCGAATTCGCTGCAGAATCCCTTCGATGATGAGCGCGCTGCGCTGATCTCCACATCTCCTGTGCATCGTCTCAACCACGCTGGAGATTTGCCAGTAAGCGATTGGGACGACATCCTCACAGAAGGAGAAGAGCAGGTCAAGATGCGCAGTTCGTTCTTTGACAAGCGCGTTGATGACCTGATGGGCCGCTTGCTGCAGAACCGCCTGGGCCCGCTGGAGCAGACCCTGCGGCACGTTCAACATGCACTCACGACGATGTCATCCCGCCCATCGCGCGGCCGTCGTAGCTTGTCTACAGCTGGGCTGGACAGCGATGCAGACGATGAAGATGATGACATTGATGTCGACGCGCACTACCGCAATCGCTCTCCTAGGAAGGACAAGAGGCTGGAAAAGATTCGTGCCGTCGTTCGCGACGCACTCGAGTCGCACCAGGCACAGACCGCATCCATGCCGGCTATTGCACCCGAGCCACTGGGAGCTGAGAAGATTCGCGAAATCCTGGCTGACGTTCTTGTGTCACACCAGCCACCAGCTGCGCCTGTGGAGCCAGTCTCTACTGAGCAAATTCGCGCTATCGTCGAGGATGCAATTGCCTCCAACAAGCCTGCAGTACCTGAAACAGTTGTGGAGCCACTCAAGCCGGAAGACATCAGATCGATGCTCACTGAGACGCTTGCGCTTTTTAGCCCTCAGCCGACCGAGCCCATCAAGCCAGATGATGTCCGTTCCATTGTGATGGAAGCATTCGCGACGCACGCTCCCCAACCAACACCAGCTGCGGAACCACTTTCACCAGAGGCTATTCGCTTGATCATTGCCGAGACTCTTACAACGCACCAGGTTCCAGGTCCCGTTCCTTCGATCGTTGAGCCTATGCAGCCTGATACAATCCGTTCAATCGTCACCGAAGCCCTGGCATCTCAGAAGGCGAGCGCTTTGGAGGCACCTATCGACATCCCTCAACCTCAGTTTGATATCTCTGAGATTTATCAGATGATCGGCAGTCTTAAGGCATCTATTGCTCAAACTACGAGTAACCACCTACAGGCTGATGATGTGCGCGAGTTGGTCGACAATGCCTTCAAGCGACAGACTATGGAGGTCTCCAAGCGCGACGAGTCTGAAGCCATCATGAAGCGAGATGCACGTATCGCCGAACTCGAAAGCATGGTTGAGGACAGCACCCTCCGCCACGAGGCAGAAGAGGAGGCACGCAAGCGTCTCGAGGACCGTGAGGCCGACACAGCACGTTTGCTCAAGGTCACTGAGGAGGAACTCACGCTTCTTCAGGCGGCTGCCAAGGACGATGAGGCCAAGATTCGCGCTTTGTTGGAGGAACGCGATGTTCTACGACGCAACCTGAACTACCAGATCGAAGCCGATGATCTTCGCGAGAAGCTCGCAGTTTCCGAGGCTGAGAACGAAGAGCTCAAGATGAAGAACATTGCACTCGAGACCTCGGAGGAGGATTACAAGCAGAACTTGGATGTTGTCACCGCTGAGAATGAGGCACTGACATTCACCCTGGAAGAGCACCGCAAATCAGCAAACAAATGGCGGGCCGATATCCAAGAGGCACATCAGGAGAATGATAAGCTCAAGATGACCATCGAACAATCTCGCTACCAGGCAGAGGAGGCTGCTCGCGTGCGTGAGTCCATGCGTGGCAAGTTTGAGAAGCTACAGCAAGACATGGTCCTCGCATCCCAGCAGATAGCTGCCGAACGCTCTCAATGGCAGAAGAATGAGCAAGCGCATCTTGAAAAGTACGAAGTCCTCAGCGCCCGCATTGAAGCCGAGGGACGAACGCGCGAGCGTCTTGAGAGGGAGCTTGAGAGGCTCGAGATGCAGGAGGGTGAGGGTATGAAGCTGCGTATCCACTTCGAGCAGTCTCAAAAGCACAACGCCAGGCTTGAAGAGACTGTTGAGCAGTTGAGGAGGGAATCCGTAGAGCACCAAAATAACGCCCATAGGTACGAGCGAGACATGCGCGAGGCCAGAGAAGCGGCCCACGTTGAGATCAGACGTACCCGTGTGCTTATGGAGGCCGACCTTGACGCAGCCAACAATCAAGTCAACGTCGTCCGCCACAACCTCGAGAGCGAAGTCGCTCGTGTCCGTGCTGAGCTCGACAGCGTTCGCTTGGAGGCAGAGACTGCCAGGGAGAAACATGAGCTCGAGCTCGAGGCTGCGTCCGATGCTACCAAACAGGCAGTTGAAGAGGCAGTCCAGAAGAGCAAGCGCACCCTTCACGAGCAACAGCAGGCCTTCGAGCGTGGCTTTGACCGCCTTAAGCAGGAGCACGCTCGTGCTCTCGAATTCGCCAGGGAAGATAAACAGCGCGCTGAGGCTTTCCATGAGGATAAGCTTGCGCTGGCTGACTCCAAGCTCGACCACTTCAAGGACAAGATTGCGCTCCTCGAGGAGAAGCTTGTTGTTGCTAAGGAAGCTGCTAGCGCCGCTGTCGCTGCTGCCGCGAAGTCGCCCACAACGACTGGTCCTTCCACTCTTGGAAGCCACGAGAAAATCTCCCCTCAAGCACTGCGCGAGTCCATCTCTGTGCTGCAAGAGCAGCTCCAGGAGCGTGAGTCGCGCATCGAGTCTCTCGAGCAACAACTGTCCGATGTTGATACCGAGGCTCCTTCTAAGCTTAAGGAGCGTGACACCGAGATTACCTGGTTGCGTGAGCTACTGGGCGTTCGTGTCGACGATATCAACGATCTGATCAACGCCCTCGCGCAGCCAACGTTCGATCGCGAGACAGTTCGTGATGCTGCTATCCGTATCCGCACCAACCTGCAGATGGAGCAGTCGGAAAAGGAGCGCCTCATCTCAGGCGGACAGAGCAACTTCCCAACACTGGCGACTCTTTCCAACTTTGCCTCTCCCAAGGCTGTCCAGGTCGCCGCTGCCTTCGGCAATTGGCGCAAGGGCCGACAGAACGCTGCCTCCGCCCTTGCAGGGCCATCGGCAAGCTCATCGCGCAACCAGACACCCTCTCGCCCTACGACGAACTCTGCTCAGTCCTTCCTCTCTGGCCTGATGACACCTCCAACATCCAACATGCGTCGTACACCCGACTTCCCGTCGTCCTCAAGGCCTAAGGATTTGCGCTCGAACTCGATGCAGTCCACCGATTCGCGCAGCTCGACAGCAACAGAGCAGGGCTTCCCTTCGCTCGGAAAGCGAACTGCTGCACCTAGCACACCGCCGCTTTTGCGCAAGGCAAGCTACGATCGCGACGCCGCTGTTGAAGATTACAGCGATAACGGCTTCGACGACGACAGCACGGTCGATGGAGGCGAAGTGACACCCATCGCACTGAGCTTCGGCAACGAGCTGAGAATACGACGCGACCGTGACTAAACATTACGTTATCGCCATATATGACAACACATCTCCTTTGTATATGCATTGACTTTGCTCTTCAAGAGCAGCCTTTCACTATAATCCGCTGTACCTAATACTTGCTTGTTCCTGTATGTTTTGGTTTTGATCTGGGTTTGGTTTAGAGCGAGCATCGCCTGCGGACTGGACGGATATACCCCGAGACCGTTGAGGTTGGACATTACTGGCATCTAAATTGTATACTCGTGTACATACCCCCTGTCAATATTTCTTTGGATAGTCGCGACGAACGCGCAGTAGTATAGCTGAACATGGATTTTTGAAGTTTTAATCAGTACCGCATCGTACACAATTCACCCTGGCACCATCTCCGTGACCACAGACGGATGTACTGTCCGATTTATCTAGTTCCCAGAAGCGAGTCCATTAGTACAGCGGCGTGTCATATGCATCAAGCTCATACATCTACGTATCGACACTCTCCTGATCATGCTCACAGCTCACTCCCGTCTCGTCCCCTTCCCACATAGGGCTTAGCGGTCACGCACAAAACTCCGCCTCCTGGCCCCTATAGAGCCCCTGCTCATACGTTGCCTTCAACGTCATCGGTACAACCCCCTCCTCCATCCACATGATCAGCACCCTCAAATCCGTTGTACAAAATGGACCGTACAGCTGCAGCGTGTTGGTCGAGCAGTACGCTGCGCTTGGCACAAGGACCAGGCGGTACCCGTCCCCAAGAGCTTGGGCGGAAGCGGTGGAGATAGAGTTCTGGTACATGGCGCTGCGCACGAAGTCGTAGTTGTGCACTGAGTACGCCTCAGCGATCGAGTCGTCGGATTCGCTGTGGTAGGCGAGGATTTTGCCGCTGTGCGAGTGGCAGGTTGAGAGGTCAGGGAGCGTGGTTTGTAGTGTGGAATTGTTTTCGGGCACAGCTTGCTTCGTCTAGGAGACTGGGATATCGTGGGTGATGTTGGTGATGTTGGTGAGCGAGGGCAGCTCAGCTTCATTGAGCTTTTGGATGAGTTCCGCGACAAATTCGCTGCCGGTGCTGGGGATTTTGAGCTCGTGATGCTGTGTTTCGTTGTTTCCCGACTATGTTCGCGTCTTCAAAGGCCGTGCTACGCTGGTAGGAGAAGTAGGCAAATTTGCAGGGTTGACGGACTCTACTGTCAAAGGTCGTTTCTCAGTTCGAGGATGCTGCAGGCTGTAAATGACACGAATGTTTGTGGCTGTCATCTTCGCAGATCTAGTACTACTTGCACTCCCAATTATCCGGGTTCTTGAAGTCCGCGCCGACAAGCGTGTTGCGGAGCGGATACTTGCAGTGCCTCCTCGTGAAATCGACACCAAGAGATACGGTATCGTTGACGAACTTAGTGCCCTCGATGTATGATGGTGCCACGCCTTGCTCGACCCAGTCCACCACCGCTTTGAGGACGTTGGTCTCTCGCTCAAATGGTACACCAGCTGCTGCAGCATTGCCACCTTGACCCAACACCCACGCGCCGGGCCCCGAGTTGCAGTGATTCATGCCAGAGATGCGGAAGAATCGAATCCAGTTATCCATGGCCTCTGTGCTTCTGCGCCCTTTGAGAGCGTTGTACCAGCGGATTGTGTTGAAAGTGGTAATCTGGTTATCTTGTTGGCCGTGGTATGTCAAGATCTTTCCGCCTTTTCGTTCAAAACCTGGAAGGCTAGTAGGATATGTGCGAATATCGCCTGGGTTCAGCTTGTCTGCTGCTATTGTATCCTCGAGATCAAACTTGGATGCGTCCCAAGATGGGTCGTTGTACACAACGTACTTGAACCAGTCTTCAGAGTAGGCGAAGGGCGCTCCGGCATACAGACGATCGACTGCACCGACTTCGCTGCCTGGCTGCATCGCCGGATAGATCAGTGTGCCATCTGGATACCTGTAGTCGCTGAAAATCGTCTTGAGTTGCTCAACTTGCGAATCGTTCAGACAGTTGGTAGTACTAGTTCCATTGCAACGCAAGGTCGAAGGGTCGAATTTGCAGAGCGTCGGATCTTCGATTATCCCATCCTTGGCTTTATCGATCGTGTCACACTGATTCAAGACTTCGTCGTGTATCCATGTCTTCCAGGCTGTGGCTGGTATGAAATCAGACGTGCCGACCGCACCAGTGATGGTAAAGAAACGCGCCCGCCATGACACTAGGTCGTTGAAGTCCACTGCTGGTGCCCCAGCAACAATGCCATCGAAGTCGCCGGGGAACTTCTCCGCGCTCTTGATACCTTGTCGCCCTCCAAGAGAACAGCCAATATAGTATGACTTGGAGTGCGACTCCCCATATAGCTCTCTCGTAAGGGACTTACCGGCATCCGTGCTGGTATGAAGTCTATTTGACCGTCAAAAGAAGTCCGCGTTAAGATCGGACAATTTGGCAACTCACGATCTCCAGGCAAAGTCAATCACAGTCTCTGGATTATTAAAGAAGGGCAAGCCGTCAGTACCATTCTTCCCGTTATTCGAACCGACTGCTGCGAAGCCCTTCGATGATGTATAGGCAAGGTCTTCGTATTTGATGCCTACTCTTATCAGTACATGCATAGAAGTCAGACTGTGACCACAAGAGACGTACATCCATCAATACCTCCATTACCGGTCGCAAGGAAGCGTCCTGACCAATCCTCGGGCAGCCAAGCCTCAAAGGTGATGTTCGAATGACCCGAGGTCTTGATTGATAGGGCTACACGGCAAACGTTGGCAGCCACCGCCTGGGTTCCGCGATTGCAGCTTGCGACGTTGTCCGGAAAGCTTAGTGTCGTGTTGGCAGTGACATACTGAAGGACATTACGAGTTGCTCCAGGGACAAACTTCTCCGGCTTAAACGCCAGGCATTTCGTCTCGAATGCGGAGGATCCCGTGACTGGGACTGAGAGCAAAAAGAACGAGAAAGATATCAAGGCGGCGAGCATGATAGCTATCAAGCTGTGAGCTGTCGCACAGCTGGATCAGCTGCTCAGGGAGACTTTATAAGATGAAGACAAGTCCATGGGACGTGTGAGGCATGACTCGGACTGTTTGCCCAGCTATTGTGGGCGCCCTCCCGCCATATTGCTTCTGCCGGCTGTCGTACAGCGGTCCATGTTGCGGGATGAGCGGGGGACGGAAAGACTCGCGCCACACCCCGGCGTGGAACGGTAATCTCTTGCCTCACGTAAGAAGGGAGCGTCGAGCGGAAATCTGCCTCCGATGGAGAATCATCGGCCGCTTGGCCGGAGCGACTGGAGATTGTGACAGATCCTCCCATCCTTCGCGTCCGTTAACATGCGCGCGCACTGCGGATCACGCCCTCTAGCTGGCAGGTGCATGGCGAATGATGGATACAACGAGCGTTCGCACGATTGCGCAAGTGAGTACTAACATAATGATTGCAGAGCTTCGGTAGGCGATAGTGAAGGAGGGACCTACTGAATAATGGGCTCAGCGTCCCGCATGACGTATGTGGGTCTCCCACCAAAATACCACATCTCCACTACAACAACGTGCAGAGTACATGTCGCAGACCAAGAACTTAATTACACTTGGCTAAATACCATGCCCTGCCATTACCAAGAACCGGCAAGTTGTGGCAATCTCAGTGCCTGCAATCAACCACGGCGGAACGGCCGAGCTAGGAAGCCACATATGCAACATGCAGGAGTGCATTGAGCACGTCAGCATGAACAGGATCGAAAGCAACAAAATCCTTGAAGCGAACACGAGCTGGAGGCGCAGTCATAGACGCGATTACAGTGTCTAATTCGCGACGCACTGCCGGCCCCGCTCTTTTTGAACACATCCACGTGATGGTCAATGTTCCAAACACCGTGGAAATCACATTGAGCGCTAATGTAAACTGCCTGGAAGTAGCCAAACTGAGAGGCGATACTGTCATTGAGCGAGATCACTCATGGCGGTGGGAACGATCAAAGACCACATGAGTCTGACAGCTCTAGTCGCACGAGATTCAGAGATCTGTATCTGCGGGATCGTATCGTGAGGACGATGGTGAGCCCTAATCGCGGGTACCCGAAATAAGAACTCGTGTAGGCCCATAAAGGCGACACACAGCCTTACAAGGCAAATCTGGTCTGGTTTCAGCAGGTCAGAAGACCCGAAGAGCAAATGGGTCGAGCCGCATTATATGTGTGCCCCTGCTCGAGGTGCTGCACGTTCTATTCGTCCACTCTATACTTCCATGTCCAAGATCATAATGCCCGGCGGCAATACTCGCTGCTTGCGGAAGATGTTTGAAACCAAGGATGAGAATTCAGGTGAGAGATGATCATACTCAGCAATTGCGCCGAACAGGCCTGTAGGCAACGTTTACAAGACGTAGATTGTGGCCACTGACTTCGGCCAGCCCTACGGATTCATTTGCACTTCAGCTCATAGAGCACATGATGGCAGAACTCGAACCTGCAGGCCATCAGCTCGTCATAGTCACCGTGGTCTTCGGGCTCGTCGCCTTCTTTACTCTCTCGGTACGCATAGGCTTCAGGATCCGAAGCCGAAAATACGATGTCTCGGATACATGCCTGATCGCGGCTATGGTATGGCTTACGTTCTTGTTCTTGACTAAGTGAACTTTTGCTCACCAATTCAACAGATCTGCGGCATCATTCAGAGCGCTATTCAGATCACTCTCGTTGCAGAATTTGAATATGGGAAAGCAAAAGCCAACATTCCTGCCGACTTGAGGCAGTCCATGTTGCCAGCGAAACTGGCATACACCAACCAGATCATCTTCAAACTCACGACACCACTCTGCAAGCTGTCGCTCTGCCTGCTATATCGTAGCATGTGCTTTACATCGACCGACCGCATCATCCAGATGACCAGACTTGTCATATGGGCCACCATCTACCTTATCGTAGGAGCCTACTCTTCAGCATTCTTGATCAGCATCTTCCAATGTACGCCCATCAGCAAGGCATGGGATAAGAGTGTAGCTGGAACGTGCATCGACCTCCTCGCATTTCGCATGAGTACCGCAGTATTCAATCTGATCACCAGCGCCATGGTCATTGCGATACCGATCCCAACTCTCGTGAGGCTCAAGAAACACCGCCCAGAGGTCAAGTCATTGATCGGCCTAATCCTTCTTGGATCAGTTCACACCGGCCTGACCATCGCTCGATTCGTCATTATGTTCTACCCCGCTCCGCTCACGAAGACCGAACCTCAATACACGCACATCTTCAACAACGTACTTGCGGTTGTTGAGATGCATACCGGTATACTTGTCGCGACATTAGTTGTTATGCGCCCGGCTTTTCGGGCAATTTACAGGCTCGTAAATCCTTCGTACCAACCCCAAGGCGGAACAACATACTATGGGAAGCGAAGCAGTCGAGGGGTTGGTAGCGAGTATCAGATGCAGCCTTTCCAGAGTAGGGCTAAGACAAAAAGCCAGTTCAGAATACTCGAGACAACTGAGATATGCATATTGGAGGACGTCGCGGAGTCTGGCATTGGCGGACAGAGATCTGGTAAAATCAGCTTCCAGACAAACGTGCACGCAAGCGGCAACGGCACTGTTTAAAATATTCTGATTCCATTATACGATTGATCGAACAGCCCATTAGCAATCACCCATCTAGTCCGATCGTTCTAGTCTGGGACCACCCAATGTATGCACGACAAAAACCGTACACTTGGTTTAGACCTCCTTGGGACGTTGAAGCATGTCACACTGAGACGTGATGACTGCCTGAGAGTCCTCTTGAAGTCAGCTTTCATGCCGAGAACAATCAAGCGGTCGACAAGATCCTCGATGCAAATGGACATAAGAGAATCTCAAGCGCGCTTTCATTTTCTGGTAGGTGAACCACCAGGCGGTTGATCTGTCAGGTCCATACTCGCCGTTGATGTTGTCGTTAGTACCAGATAGCACAAGGCTCGCGTACAAGACGTTGATCGCAGCTTGAGATTTTCCGGAGGAATTTGGTGACTTCGTGAAAGAAAGGTTTTAGTGACCGTTTGTGTAACACGAAAAATCTGCTCAATTCCTGCTTCACCTTCAGTTTTCTGTGGGTCGACGCATCGATGTCGCGGTGAAGGTCAGCCGAAGATGTGCTGAAGCACGAGTCTGCACGAACGAGATCATAATGTTTCCGAGCTCAAGGAAAAGATCAGGGCTCGACAATCGTACTCAGAGCAGTTTTCCATACCAAGCTCAGTAAAGAAGACAACCAAGATACGTGTCTGCGTCAACTAATTATTGGATGATTAACATCTATGTTACGCATTTATAGCTCAGGGGGGTGTAAAAAGTCCCTAGCAAGCCCTCGAATCTGTCCCGAAGTCCGCCTTCTATGCTCCAGGCCTGGTGGCGCAGCGTGATGTTACATGCTTCGAGGATCCAGAATTTTCGCTCGCCGGTGTAACATTTCGCGCAATAACTTCGTGGGAGCTATGCTCTGTCACAAACCAATGCGGTAGACATGCCTCCAGACACGCTTGTCGAATGAATCGCTAAATAAGTGGCGTGAAACACCCCCTCGACAGAGTAGCATAGAGACAGACTCGGCGCTGCATCCCGAGGCTATGGCTCGAGAGAAAGTCTATGCTGTTGTGGCCTCTGCGCATGCCCGATCCCAGAAAAACTGGTTCGTCCCGGCCGTCGCGATGAATTCGCCCTGTGATAGTGATTGCATGAGGTAAGCGCAGTTTTGAAGGCCAGGATTGAAGAGGTAGCTCAAGCATCCATCCTCAGCCAAGCACAGGGCGGCACATGTCGAGACGTCCGTGGCATCGACAAGATTGAACGAGGAGGCGTAGTACTCGGCCTCGTTAGCAAAGCCCTCCACACCACAGGTGTTGTCTGGTGCTGTAGGTGCGTCGCAATTTCCGAATCCGCTCTGGCAACTTATTCCACAGAAGGCACTGCTGCTTCCACTACGATCTTATGTCAGCTCTCGTACCTGTAACACTGGGCGGAAAGGACTTACCAGTAACCGTACTGTGAGCAACAATCACCGAATGCTGATCCCAAGCAGGTAATTCCGTCGGGACTTGCTCCACATGCTCCATTGGTGGATACAACCTGTGTAGGAGACGGTGTAGCTGAGGTGGTCCTGGTCAAAGTAGTGAATGAGGATGGGGCCAGTGTCGACAAAGACGATGCTGGACTGGCAGATAACGATGGCTGGACGGAAGAGCTGGCGCCATTACATGTTCCGAAAGGAGCATTGCAGCCAGCATCACAGTATGTGCCGGTGCTTCCGCACCATCCATACTCACTGCAGCAATTGCCAAATGAAGACCCTAAGCACGTGAATCCTTGGGTTCCACCGCAACTTCCATCCGCCGAGACTTTCAAATCTGGAATAGACGAGGAAGATGTTACAGGAGCTGAAGACGACGGTGTGGATGATGAGACTGAATCTTTGGAGACCTGCACATCTCCAACGGACGAAGACGATACTTCAGAAGTCAAAGAAGTGGGTGTGGACGATGGGCGCGATGTCACAGGAATCCGAGATGATGTCACTGTGGACAAGGTCGAGGTGGCAGACGCTGTAGATAGTTTCGAACTCGCTGAAGTTGTCGCTACAGACGAGGCAAAAATTGTCGCTGACGTCGTTTGTGATTTTGGTGACGCTGAAGAAGGTTCTGCTGATGCTGAAGAAGACTTTACTATTGTTGGAAGAGACGACTTGCAGTCACCAAAGCCAGCCTGGCAGCCCGTTCCGCAGTACGTTGAAGACGAACCGCAAAATCCACTTTTGGAGCAGCAATTCCCGAACACAGAGTTCTTGCAAGTGAGCTTGTTTCCAGATTGGATACCGCAAAGAGCGGTAGTACTAGATTTGAGAGCATCAGCACCAAGGAATGGAAGGGCCGCGATGGCCAATAGTAGAGCAGAATGCATTGTGAGTGAAGTCGGACAAAACGAGTGACTAAGTTGAGTTAGGGTAACATTGGACAGCGACCGCTGCTGTAAGACCACCGGAAGAGAGCGGACGAGAATTTAAAGCAGTCTCAGAATGCCAATGCAATAGGAGAAAGAAAAACATTCTGAGTCGTGAATATTGATGAGAAGATGGCTAGGCTCTTAGGGGCTGCCGCTATGCTCTTCGCGGTGTAACCAAATTAAGAACATGCACAAAATACGATGCTGTTTCAAGGAGCGTCGCTTATGACTTGCATCGTGTTCAGCCCTAAGAAAAACGCCTCCTGCCATGTCAGCGCAGCCATTGTTGCGACAGCACCGAAGTGAGGCCTATAGTGTCTTCTCAAAAGTATGAGTGCGGCATATGTACTACCACCCTAGCAGCAATAATACCGGTACCGGTTTCTTATGCGATGTTGTGCAGCCTGTTCAGGCCCCCAGCACCGACGCAACAACCTCAGTCAACAGCATCGCGAGACATCCACGCAGTCCACTACCCAGGTATACATGAGGCAGAAATGCCGGCATGCGCAAGCGACGTCTTACGGCAACTGTGCTGACTATAGCGGAGTATAAGTGTAGGCTTGAGCCAAGAAGGTAGTGTGGCCGCCACCAATACCGGCTGCCCGCGTCGAGGGGCGCCTACTTAGGGAAGCCTGTCTCGGTCGCCTGGCGCAATGACGATGGCGGAGTGAGCATTTTTGCAGATGAGACCCAGTCGACATGGTATTAGCCAATTCAAAAGGCGATGCCTCTAGTGGGTGACCTTTTCTCGACTCGTATGCTTGGACCGTGACGGACGTGATCTGCGTGAGCTCACGCACGAGTTGGGTGCGTTTGACTTGCACTATCGTCAGCGCCATGCGTGCACTTTCAAAAAGGCCCCCGACCTTGAGCTTGCACATCTAGAAATCCGTGATGACGTTGATTCCAACGAGAAGCTATCGTTCTATCTTTGTGGTTTCCACGGGAGAAAGGCCTCATTGCTGGGTGGCACTTGTGGGCGTAGGTTGCAAGGTGCGCTCCGGCGCTTCGGTGCGCAAGTGGGAAGTGAGCGGGTGCTGGAGTTTGGGCGCTCAGCATTGTGTTGGGGTAGAAGGAAGACCAAAGTGAAGGTTCTGGGTGTAGATGTGGCTGTGAGGAAGTCAAGAAGTAACGAAGGTGGGTCTGCATGTCGTGATGACTGAAAGTGAATTTAACACGACTCTCGCCCACCCTGTGTGAAGAACGAAATTGACAGGCTGAGCTTCACATCCAAATGATCTGTACCACTGGATTTGGGTCCTCGATAGACTATCAGTCTATCACTAATTACACCCTAGTCTCTTGGTTTCGTAACGCAAGATGTCACTACGTGGCAATAGAGCAAAGCAGTTAAAGACAAGAGTGAGTCCTGCAGGGCCTAATCTTAGTGGATCGGTCCATGTGGAATGATAATGTATGTTGAACAGGATCATCATGCGCAGCGTGGTTACCTCTAATCTCACCCAATTAGCCTTGACTGTTCGTTGATGCCATCATCAATACGGTCATTCCGCAAAGCCTCACGAATACTCTCTTTTGACGACCAGCAATATAGCTCCCGATTGACGTCACTAAGTAGTGCCTTACCTGCGAATCATCAGTTGAGACTGTGCCATCAAGAGTCAACTCACCGATAGAAGGGAACTTGATCAACAGCCAGATAAAGCAGTACATGAAATACTCCTTGACGATACCCACATTAGCCTTCCGTCCCGCCAGCTTTTTTCCACGATCGCTGATCGTTTTGACTCTCGGGTGACGAATCTCATAGAACACCTTGATCGCTTTGTCAATGGTGAAACGATCTGGTGCTTGACCGTAACACTCTCTATCAAGCAGTTCGGCAAGCAGTAATGAGAATACCTGAGAGTCTTCGAGAGCTTGACTGGCACCTTGACCTGTCGTTGGATCCAGAGCATGGGCTGCGTCGCCAATCAGCACAACACCTCGCTTGCCCCAGTGTGGAAGTTCCGGCATGATCCAGGTAGGGTATATGGATTCAACATCCGCATTGCTGACGATGTCTTCGATGATCGGGTCTTTCCAGTGCTTGTGGCGTTCACTCAGGGCATGTCTGATGTCTCGAGGATCGACGGCCTTGATGTTGTGCAGCGTGGAGGTTTCGAATGTTGACCACCACATGAGTTGTTTCTCAGATATCGGACCGCCAGAAGAGTAGCCGAAAAAGCCACTGCCGCCGAATTCAAACACCATGGCTCTGTTGTCAGCAATGATGGGAGGAATCGTGGTGTTGTGGAACCCTCCTACGCCCGACTGTCCACTATAGTAGATTAGCGAATGGATAAAAGAACAGTCCCAGTGTGGTCGCCTCACCTGTAAATAGGTTGAAACTTCTCATCATCGCCGAAGAGGGCGTTCCGCACTACGCTCTTGACACCGTCCGCACCAATGACCAAATCTGCATTGTCCACCTGCTTTCGCCCTTGCTCATCGAGCATGTATACTTGCAGGCGCAGCGTAGGTAGGTCGAGTCTCCGAACGAGCTTCAAAACTTTCTTGTGCTTGATCGCCTCTTCACCATACTCTTCCACTATATATTGCCTGAGCGTGGTCCAAAGACCGTGCCGTGAACTCGCAATGCATACTTCCTCGGCATCGTCCTTTGCTCTTACTGCTTTGTCGCTCGTGCTTTGCATGCCCAAGCTCCAGCCGTTCGCACCCTTGAAGATGAAATGCTCTGCTGGAAATCCTTGGGCAACAACTCGGTCGTGCAAACCGAGGCTCAAGTCGCGCAAGACTCTCATGCCATTCGGTGAGATGCCGAGCCCGCCCCCAACAATTGCTGTCGACTCGGACAAGGCATTAAGGTTGACAGACTGATTAGGATGGGCCTGTGAACGAGAGCTTGACACTATCGAGCGAGGACGATGTGACTCGTAGATGGTGATATCGTGCTCAGAGTGAGACGGAAGATGCTTGCGTAGATGGAGGTAGGTAGACATCCCTGCAATACCTCCGCCAACAATAATGATCCTCATCGCGTTGTATGGAAAGTCGGGGATATTCTAGGACGTCACAACGGTACAGAAGCTTACCTACACTTGTATACTTTGGCCTTAGGCAGCAGGCATTAGATCTGAGCTGGCTATCCTAAGAGCGCACGCGGTACAGACGCGTAGCTAATACGAGATACGAGCAGGCAGCAGCATTTGTTGCATTATTGCTGCAGCAGAAGAGTAGTAAGCAGATACGCTGCCTTTAAAAGTAAGGCTGCACAATAATAGCAGGTAACAAGAACTTCTTGCGTAAGAGATGTGCTGGTACCTAACGCTGGTGCGGAGGACAGCAGCAGCCCTAACTAAGCGAGGAGCAAAAAGAAGAGCAAAAGACAAAATATCAGTCGAGGCACCAGCCCAACACACGCCCTTCAACCCGGGCGGGAGTATTCCAGCACCGCCGTCTCATGGTGAATACCTGACTGCTGAATTTCTTCACTCGTCGGTTGCATTCATTGCTTAGGTTCGTCCAGCATCCCTAGTTACCTAAGGGAGTGAAGCGAACACCACAAGACTCGAACTGGGCTCCTGCCAGGGTATGCACTGAAAGGTGTGCGTGGATAACGGTGAACCTTCTGACGAAGACCCATTACAGGTAGAGTATCTGATCGATCTCAATATTAATAATCTCAATTGAACAACGTGCAGGAGATCGCTGTTCTTCATGTGCATTTTCTGCGCTCATATTGTAGATTTTTCGCTCGTGGTCAAGTGGGGCCAGCAGTTGTTGAACGACTGATAGAACAAATGTCCTTGGATACCACAGCAACGCAAATCTAACCTCTCAGCCTGCAGTCCATTTCCATTTCTACCTGAAAATTAGCCCACCTTCGCGGAGCCATGGCGCAATCGCCCTTAGTTCCCCCCACCTGCGCTAGCCGTGGGGATCCTGTAGAGCGACACCTCGGTTTCGTCAGCGTCAATCAATGATGATTCAGTGCTCGAAGCATCTTCCACAGCATCGCATTTGCTGTCCGGGCACGAGATTCACCACTCCTTGTTGCAGCCTAGCATTGCAAGCTCGACAAACGCATACACTGACCAAACATGACAACCTTGTGTAAACGCGATTGCGACAGCGGATTGTTATCGTGGATGCGACCGGACAACACGGTACTCGATTGGTCGCGATCACCCATCATGGTCTTCAACCTTCACGCGTCACTCATATAAGGTATAAGACAATGCCGCGCCAACATGCGCACTGTTTGCAAACTCAAAGCCGGGAGTGTGCCTACCTTGCGTCAAAGACACTACTTCCAAATAAGATACGAGCAGCCAGTACAGTTCTACCTCAGATCCATTCGTCCTTAGGTCTCGCGACAGTACCCTCATTACGTTGATACAGCGCTCTACAAACATATATCAGCATGGCTACCCAGGCTGCTCTTTTCAAACCACCCAGATTGCAGCTCAATTTGGTCTCGCCCGACATACCACCGGAAATCATCCTCAAGATCATCCAGTACCTCCCATTCCACAATGGCAAAGACGTCCTCAGACTCCAACATGTGCATCCGCGGTTACGAGACCTTCTCCGAAACTACGAGCGCTCGCTCACACGGACGTTCATGAACCAAGAGCTCCCACATGCTTCAACAGACTTTCCATGCTGCGCAAAGTTCGGCTATCGATGTCTGGTGGAGTGCGTACGGAGATACGATATTGTAGACGACATTATGGATGCGTTATCATCGCGGCAGAACTACTACGCAGTGGATCGGCACAACGTACCATTGCTGAATACAGGGCTGCTGCTGATATACCGAGTTGCGTCTCTAGGTACGATCCTTAAGAAGAGACCTAGTCAAGAGCGCAAGCACTGACACAAACTTAGGAGACCACAACGCCCAACTCGACTTTATCAAATCACTTTCCCGCGACCCCCTCACAGCGATGTATCTCGCCCTCCACAATTCCACGCTTACAGCGCGCTACCACGGCTCAGGCTGGATCCACCAGCGCACATATGGCCGCTTCATGGACGCGAATCAGATCTCGCTGCGCAACGAATTGGAGTTTTGCTTCGCCGAGGCTGCTCTGACACTGGGGCCAGACTTTATCTCAGACCTCTTGCTCCGGCCCACGAAACCAGGCGCCGAAGCCACGTTTCTGAACTTCTACCATGACCACGGGACACACGATTGGGAGTGGCCGGGGTGGGGCGAGGAAGAGGGGGAGTTCAACCCGCCTAGGACGCAGGGGCCAAAGAAACAGGATAGGAGCATGGGAAGGAGTCTGTTCACAACTTTATTGGAGAGGCTAGCGGAGTGCTCGAAATGCTCGGTGGACGAGGTACGGATCAAGATCGAGGAGCAGACCAACGACCAAGACCACCCCTTGTCATGCCTAAACTTGTATGGCAAGGCGCGATTGATGTCAGGTCGGAACTGGGACTGGGCAGAAGAGGAGCAGCACAAAGGGCGGCGGGATTCAGTTCATTCCTAGCCTTCCCTGTCAATACCAACACATCATCCATCACCACGATATGCCCTTGAAGAGATCTTGTAGAACTCTGAAGTGTTCTCCTTGCGGCGCACGCGCTTGCCTTACTTGCTGACCCCAGCACCCTTGATCAATACCAAAAATTCGCAGCCCTCAGGGAGCTCACCGAAAGGCCAGTGGACCTTCTTCTTGACCTCGGCCAGTGCAGCCAAAGGCTCAGCGTGATCAACCAAGAAGTCGGTGTTTGCGCAGCACACCGAACCGTTATCGATGCCGAAGACGCTCCTCTTGAGCTGAGCGTTCCTCACATACTCAACTGGTGACGCAGCCATTATTCCCGCAGCATGCTCCTTCGCCATGTCCAGGTTGTCTCCTCCACTCCCTGCCCCAGGCATGCAGAGCTCCCAGAATGACGGCTGGATGTGACGACAGGAAACCGAAGCCTCGATCGTGTTCACCCTCGCGCAGCCGAAGCATGATCTGCAAGAAGTCAGCAGGATGATATGAATAAACAGAATGAAGCACATACCCTAGTTGCAAGCTTCTGTCTACGGTACTCATAGCTCACGCAGAGCTGGGTGACCCAGCAGATCTAGCGACCCTCGTAGGTCTAGCGAGTGACGAACGCATATCCTGCAAGCTTGTCGCCAGTCATTGCACGAACAAGCACGCTGTTTGTGTCCGGAGCCAGAGACTGCTCCCGAAGGCGCTCCACCGACATCTTTACGTGTGTGCTTGTCACTGTATCAGTGGGAATAAATGTGATAGAGACATTGAATTACCGGGCTTGCAGAATTTTCCCATCTTGTCTGCAGCATCCGGGCCCCAGACACCGTACGCATCAGAGAAGAGCGCAGCAGCCTGCTCAAGCATGGTGCCAGTCACCTGAGCAGCGGGGATAGTCTCAAAAGTGAAGCTAGACGACATTTTGAGTAATGCAAAGTTGGTCTCAAGGTGATGGTGAGGTTGAGAGAAGGAAGAAAGAATTACGCAGGCGCGGGAGTGCGTTGCATGTTGGCAGAGAACATGAGGTGAAGGGTAGAATTTCCGAACTGTAGTCGGCGCACAGAACCATAGGACAAGACAGGATATTTTGGGCCCTTGAATTATTGCTACGAAACACTTGCTCTCAAAAATCGAATTGCAATTGTACATGTCCAGGGAGCCAACGCCCCGCCCTCCCCGTCTCGGTCGTAAACGCACTGGGATAAGGCTGCATTGCTCTGCGGATTTGAGCAGGCCTTGGACGAATTCGGAGTCTTGGACAGATTTGCACAGCGTTAGGGATGGGTTCATGTTGGTCTAGTCTGAAGCTTCGGGGAGGAAGAGGGCTGCTGCACCGGCCTCTGAGGCTTTCCTACGAGTAGTTGGCACTGGTGGAGATTGTGGGTTAGATGAGCTGTGGATCGGATTTGTCCGACGGCCTGGAGCATGTCAGTTTGAGATATATATCGGCTTAACTACATGGACTTCTATATTTGTGGAGGTTTTCATGGTCTCGTTTTGCGTGATGCAGTATCCAGACTTACGGCGAGACGGCGAGAGGCACCTTAAAGCTTGCATGTAATGCTTTTTGGAGATTGAAAGTGTGAATTTGTACTGTGTGAGGCTGGATAGAGAAAGTAGATCAATCACGTCGTCACCGGTGGCGGCGATGCAGGCGATCTAAACCAGATTGGGCGCACGCGTCGATGTCCGCGGCAGTGCCTGACGATCTGTTGACATTGTACTTGTATAGACTTGCATGCTCGGTTCGGCGCAATCGGCGAATTCAGCTTGCAGCTCAAGTGAGCCCTCGTGAGATGTCAGGGGCGAAGTGATGTAAGGTGGCACACCATCAACTTGTCAAGGTTGCCCTGCAGAAAAAGCCGGCCCAATGAGCGCAGAGACTGGTGGACTGGGGTGGGCTTTCGCGCGTCATTTGGCAGCGCTGAGCATTGCGCGGCTCTCCAAGGCCACGACGCTGCAGACGCTCTCTTCTGAACATTCGCATTGCAATCGCTCTCAATCTATCGAGAGGGCTTTACGCGACCACTGGGCTACTCGCAGATCCAAGACTGCATCTATAATTGGCGACTTGAGATCAACGATCCCCGTCTCACCTCCGGAGTCCCCGCAACACGCTACCGTACTCGGCGTACCACGTACACACAATCCACGCTGGCCTTTGGCGCGTTCGAGCGATGCATGAATCCAGACGAAAAACGAGCCCACGGTGACTGCTGATAGAGCTGCCTACCCGCCAGGCAGGCACGAGCTCTGAAGACGTAACGTCGACAAGATGAGCGGAAAAGGCAGCTGGTGGAACAGCGCATTGTCTGGCCTCGAGTCGCGGCTCGACACCATTCTAGCCGAGGACGGCACTGTGAGGCCGGCAGACGGCGCTGCGAAGCAAGATGGCGGCGACAAGCCGGCTGTGGACAAGAAGTTGGCGGTCGAACAGGGCGGGCTGTCGCGCAACTCGTCACGCAGCAGGCCGAACTCGAGGTTGCAGGAACGTCTGGCGAAGGCCGTGACGAAGGGCACAGAGAACTCGAGGACATCGTCAGACTTGGGGTCGCGGCCTGAAAGCCCGGCGCTGCGGAGTCCAGGCATCACGGCCGTCGCGGACACGAGCAGATCCAGTATTGACTCGAAGACTTCAGAGCCCGCAGATGCGCCAAAAGCCGCTGTTCAAGAAGAGCCCGCCCAGGACGAGGACGTGAAGAGGGATGATACAGCCAAAGATTCAGCTGAGGCTGCAGCGTCAGTGGCTTCGCCTCCAATGGCATCACCGTCGACCACGCCTCTCGTCTCCGAGCAGCCAACAGCCACACGCATGCCGACCATGCCCATGCCATCCATCGTCACCCCGAAGACCTCGTCGCCGCGTCAATCTATCGACAGCAACCCCTCGCGACCGTCCATCGATCTCTCTGCGCCCACCGAGCCCGCCAAGCCTCCAATACCCTCCACGCAAGAACCCGACGAACTTGTACATGAGCTGTCGAGCTTGCAGCAAGCACACGAGGAGACGGTTCGCAGCCACCGAGACGAGCTCAATTCGCACCTCGAGCGCATCGATGCTCTGCAGTCCAAGCTCGCGTACCTCTCACAACAGCTGGCTGCTTCCGCAAAGGCAGCATCAGCAGACTCAGATGCAACATCGCAGGATAAGAAGCTAGCAGAGAAAGATGCACAAATTGCAGCGCTCATGGAAGAAGGGCAGAAGCTGTCCAGGACTGAAATGAAGCATATGACGACAATCAAGCAACTGCGCGCGAGAGGGCAGGAACAAAACAAAGAGCTCACCGCGCTGAAGCAGCGCTTGACCAAAGCTGAGAAGAGCATCACAGAACAGTCGGAACGAGCCAAGCGAGCAGAAGCTGGCGAGAAGGCGGCGCAGGAGAAGCTCAAGGTCGTGGATAAGATCGAGAAAGATATCAACACTATCAAGGCTGAGCGAGAGGAAGCCAATCTTACCATAACGGAACTCCGCAAACAATTGACCAATGCGCTGTCACGAGCGGAGGATGCCGAGAAACGAGTCAAGGCTGGAGCTCTGGAGGCCGAGCAGAGGGTCACCGCATCGCTGCAGGAGGACCTCGACAATCTGCGAATCGAGAAGAAGCTCGCTGAAGACCGCGCAAAGAAAGAGGTCCAAGCTGCCCAGGAGCAAGCAAAGAGTCAGCAAGAGAAGGCCAACGTCACTGAACTTGAGCTTCGTGGAGAGATCGCTGTAAGTGTCTGTTGCGCAGGTTCGGAACGCGTGCTTACATGGCTGCCAGAACCTTGAGTCGAAGCTCGAGTTGCTTCGTAGCCGCTCCGAGGAAGCCACTTCATCTGCAACAGGTGACTCTCAAGCGAAGCTACTGAGGCAGATCGAAACCCTGCAGACGCAATACTCGCTTGCTTCGGAGAATTGGAAAGGTATTGAGACCACCCTGACCTCTCGACTGACAGCGCTCGAGAAGGACCGCGACGAAACAGCGAAGCGGGAGTCTGACATTAGACGCAAGGCAAGAGATGTCAACTCAAAAGCCCGCCGTCTCGAGGACGAACTCGACACCATCAGCGAGCGAGCCCAGACCCTCGAACACGACCTCACCGAGCAACGCTCCCTAGCCCAAAAACTTCAGACCCGGCTGACAGCCGCCAAAACAGCCGCATCAGAAGCCAAAGCGGACCTCGAGCGCTCAAAGAAGATCTGGGAAGCCGAGTCTCAATCGCGCCTTGAAGAGGAAAAGCGACAATGGCAGTCGGAAGCCCAGCAACATAACCCCCTCACCCTCACCAGCCACCTCGGCGCCGACTCTCCCTCCATCTCAAACCGCCAGCGCTCCCCCGATCCCCTGGGCATATTTGATCGCCGCGCGCCGCGCCCCGTTGCCTCACGTGTAGACACGACGCTCTCGCCCATCGACCGGATGCTGGAAGACGCGCGGCGTCCGTCCCACGCAATGAGCCGGCAGAAATCGAGTCCCGGGGCGCGCACACCCGAGCTTGGGACGCCGGCGCGCCAGGACAGCATTGCGTCCGGGCTCTCGAGCCTGGGCGGTGGCGGCGTCAGCTACACGCCAAGCATCCAAGCGGTGGATTATGACGAGCCGTTTGATGGCTTGAGCAGCCCGCATCGCACCATCAACGATATGATCTCCGTCTCGACAGTTGGAGCGGGGCCCAGTGTGCAGCTCGTCGAGCGCATGAGCGCGGCGGTGCGCAGGCTGGAGAGCGAGAAAGCGACACATAGAGAGGAGATGCAGCGGCTGAGTGCGCAGCGCGACGAGGCGCGCGAGGAGGTCGTGAGTCTGATGCGCGAGGTGGAGGAGAACCGCGCGCAGAAGCGGAAGCTGGAGGAGCTAGAGAAGGGGCTCGCAGAGGTCAGGGAACGGTATGAGACGACGCTGGAGATGCTGGGCGAGAAGACGGAGAAGGTGGATGAGTTGGAGGGTGATCTTGTCGAGGTGAAGAAGATGTACCGCGAGCTTGTTAGCACCATGGGCCGGCCGTAGAATGCAACGCAATGGCAATGACGAGAGGAGATGATTGAGTTAAGTCCCTGGATGAATTCGGATTAGCCATGCGAAACGCCAATGATGCTGGGTATATCTCCACACAACTCCCTGTCTTCCCTTCAAACTCCATCACTCCTGTCTTCCTTTCAAACTTGCATCACTCCAAATCGATGCCCTCCCTCTCCGCGCTTTGTAAAATGAACCCCCTCGTCTTCGCATCCGGCGCATAATCAAGCGCAACCTTCTCCCAGCTGTCCTTCCTATCCCACTCCGCACCCCGCTGCAGCAAAAGCATCGCCGCATCCCCGTGCCCCTCGCTGACCGCATGGTGCAGCGCCGTCTGCCCATCGACATCCGTCGCATTCAGCGGGCTCTTCCCCGTATCCAGCAGCGCCTTCATCATCGGCACGTTTCCCGCCGCCGCGGCGCGGTGAAGCGGCAGTTGGCCTCGCTTGTCCTTGACGCGCGCGCTGGCGGGCGGTTTCTGCGCCATCAGGGTCCGGGCTATGTCGAGGTTATTCTTGGACGCGCAGAAGTGCAGGGGCGCTTGGCCAGTGTGTGTCTTCGCGTTGACGTCTGCGTCCTTAGAGAGCAGCAAATCTGCGACCTGCTCTGCGTCTCGGCGCGAGCACGCCATGTGCAGCGCCGTCCAGCCCGAGCCGTCGGTGGCGTCGACGTCGAAGTTCTTGGTCTGGACTAGCACCTGCACGATGGGCAGGTGGTTGTTGCACACGGCCCAGTGGAGCGGCAGGCGCTCATCGGGGTCGCGGAGGGTGGCGAGCTTGGGGTTTGCGGAGAGCAGGGATTCGACTTTTGATGCTGGGGGGTTATTAGTATGTGCTATGGGAATAGAGGGTTTGTTGTGGCTGTGGACGTACTTTGGCCTTCGCGGCAGGCTTCGTGGATGGCGTACTTCGCCTTGTACTCCTCTTGGGCGGCGACAGACATCTGGAGCTCTGAGTCGTGGTGGTGGTTCGAGTGGAAGCCGTGGTGGGGAGCTGGAAAGAGCTACGCAGTACAAGGAAGGCGGGGGCGGACTTAAAGATGGCGCTAGTCTGGCTATCTTTACAAGACGGTCGACCTGGACGTCTCTGTCATCTTCCTCGACATCTCTTGTCCGCCAGACGTCCATATTCGCGTGCATGGGTTTCTTCTGAGTGAGGACCTTGTTGCATTGTCAATGACGTAGCAGTGCCAGCCTTGCCTTCCCCATGGGGTTGCTCTGTAACCCCGCATCCTGACAGGGGGCTTCTCGAGATGAGCTGCATTCTTCACCTGAAGTTGTCTTAGCGCAAGCGACAGCCGATATCCAAGGCCGAGCTGCAGCCTGAAGGCATGGAGAAATTCTAATTCATGGATCTTGAGCAGACCGCTAGCGAAAGTTGAGGTTACGGGCAATATTGACCCAGGGCCGACTTGAGAAGATTCCGTCTGTACTATATATATGAAGAGGGTACTCAACAGAAGATGAGTTCCTATCAAGCAACCTTACGAAAGATCCACGATGCGTTTAGAGCCACTGGTCTCGGCGGCCATTGCGGTCGTCTCACCTCTGGTGCTTGCTCAAATACCACCATCGCCAGATCAGTATTGGAAAGTGTCTCCGCCTATCGACTATTCGGACCCCATTTACGCAGGCTGGCCACAACTCAAGGTCGATGCTGAGGCTCTGGTATACAAGGGCGCAGAGGTCAATCGCACCTATGCACATCACCCCGAGTTGTACCATGACGGGAGACGCACTTTCTTGATGTATTCAACCGCGCCCATCGATGAAGACTCCACTGGCCAGGACGCTTGGCTATCAACCTCTACAGATGGCGGCTTCACGTGGTCAAAGGGCTATTCCATATTGCCGGACGCGCTCTTGCCCAACCAAACTAGTGCCGCCAACTACACCTACTGGTGCGATAACACGATTTGGCAGCGAGCCCATCATCCTGTCGCGTGGGTCCCAATCGACAAATCCACACTCTACGCTGTTTCTCAGACGACCCTCCGCTATTGCTGGGGCGATGGCGCAAAGGGCACGAAGGCAGCAGGACGAATCGCTCGAGTCATCGACAGGTCTGGAAAACCGGTAGGCGATCCATGTTGGACTTCGCAAAACAACTGGACCGAGGTTGTGCGTTTCAACGAAACCATCTATGGCCAGAAATACGGCATGAAGTTCTGCAAGCACGCCACGCAGATCGAAGCCTACCTCACAGAGCCAGTGAAGGTTCCAGCCTGGGGCACCTGGCTATACCAGACCAAGCTCTTCGCCGCCGACGACACCCACGATATGCAGGAGCCGACACACTCGGTCTGGTTTGGCAACAAACTCGGCGGCTACTGGGAGCGCTTCTGGCGCGACATCTCCGGGTCAGATATCATCAGCAATGCGGTTTGGGTTGAGCACACATCTTCACGCAAGGGCGAGGATTGGTATCCCAAGGTCGAGAAACAGCACGGCAACCAGATCTTCAGGACCAACATCCCAGATGTGGGCAGCAAGCAGCATCTGGGCCTTCTCTCAAACGGAGACCGGTTTCTGATACATAACCCGAGAAATAATACAGAGAGGTATCGCCAGCCTCTCACTATTGCCACGTCACGCGGAGCCAATGGATCGTATACTGGCATCGGCGTGTTGAGAACGAATGCGAGCACAGTCATTGCGCCAGACACGAGGAAGCTTAAGAGGCTTATGTTTAGCTATCCTACGGCTATCATGGTAAACGGAAAACTTGTCGTGGCGTACAGCGAGAACAAAGAAAACATCTGGGTCAGCGTCGTGGATCCAAAGAATCTGCGATGAGAACGTTGACGTTATGGCACGCGCCGCCATGTTGTGTAACTTTTGTTCCCTGTGCACGTCAGTCTTGCGATACCGGAATTAGAATCAAGCCACACTTACCCGAAGTGTATCGGACGAGTTGCTTATGACACTGATTTCTGGCATCCCATCGCTCTTCCAGTATTTCTTCTTGTTGAAATTGTTGTTGCGCTTGGTTTGAATGCTGTGGGTACGCCTGCTGATGGTTTGTTTGTTGATTGTATGGAACTTGACGGTGAAGTTGATATTGTGATTGTTGTTGTTGATATGGTGGGTGCTGTACATGGGGTTGAGATCGATCAAGACGCTGGACGAATTGATTGGTCTGGGTCCGTATCTGGTCGTCACATTGACTGCGATGTCTTTTTCTACGCTGTTCCTTCTCACCTTTGTCCGCATCTGTCAACTTCGGCCATATACCGGCTACCGTTTCTTGCTTGGCTGGAGGGAAGCGTTTTCTGCAGATGACAACATCACAGTCAACCCCATCGGAGATTCGAAATCGGTCAACATGACAATTGCCACCCCCTTGCGTGTACCAAGAAAATTCGAATGAGTCGCCTGCATGCTGGTATCCCAATTGCAAAGCCAAACGGCGAGAGATAAGCATCTCCGAGACATTGTCGTCTAATCTTGCGGTCGCGCAGATTGTTTCTTCGTCGCAATCACTTTCCGCGACATGGTGTACGAAGACGTTAATTTGCTGGCCTGCGCACATGTCAGAAATCGTCTCGCTTCGGGGGAACATGAAGCTACTGGCCGTGAGTCTCCGTGGCAGGTTCCAAATCACTTTCCATATTGAAGTCTGATGCTTCGTTTAGGGTGCAAAGCTGATTCTTTTTGAAGTGTACAGCGCCAGGCTGATAAGGTGACGTTGACACGTAGACAGGCTGACAGCAAAGTTGAGACCTGCATTCACCTTTGAGGTGTGACCCCACTCGCCAGACATTGAACTCCCTTTCCCTAGACAACAGATTTCGGAATTACGCCTTTGCTGTACACCTTCGGACTTTGCCATGCCTTCCTCGGGCAATAGCCGAAACCACTATGCTGGCCTTGCCGGGCTCATGGGTCCCAACTTTGACCAAGGCTTCGGTATCTTCAAGAGGTTCTCGCAACTGAACGCACGCAACCTCTTATACATGCAAGCAGAGCTACTAGGATTGCAACATGAGTTGAACATACTGACAGGCCGCGACAACGCCGGCTTAAACATCACTTTCGCGAGTAATGTATGGGACATGCGAAGCGCGGACAGTAGCGAGCAATGGACTAAGATTCTCGAGATTCGTCAGAAACTACGAGAGTACAGTACATGCCCCTCCAACTGCCTAGCGGCACTTCTGCTTACATGGCTCAGATGATTGTCTGATCCAGCAGACCCGAATAGCGAAGATGGATAAGACAAACAAGTACGATCTTGAGTTACTGATCTTCTGGCTGGACCACAAAGATGGCGGCGACATGTTCCTGACAGGGTTGGAAGGTCAAGTTTGGGATGAGGAATACCTCTCAGATTTAATCTCCATATCGAGTCGCGCTTCCACGGATGGTTTCCAGAGATGGTTCCAGGAGCGATTACTACCACGGCTTCACCACAGCCTGCTAGACCTCTGGAGAGTAGGTGCTCTCTTTAGCCTTCTATCTCTCCCTGCAGATTACTTATTGACGTATCTAGGAACCCATGCCTGGTGCCGAAGGTACCGGTATCTCACGGACCAATGGTAGGCTACTCACTGGTATGAGCCGCACAGTCAACATCACGCTGTCATCTCTGATCCCTTCGGTTGCCGTCTTGGCATTATACTTCATTGACAGGCTTCCATACCGCTTGTTAGCGATCACAGGATTCTCTTTCACTTTCTCGCTTGTACTCGCCGTCTTCACTACCGCTCGGCCTATCGAGATATTCACCGCTACTGCAGCGTAAGCCTTGACTAGTCCTCCACGTATCCCTGTACTAATAAATTCTAGATTCGCCTCCGTGCAGGTTGTCTTTGTCGGTGGTACCACAGGCGGGGAAGGGGTTGCGCAGTGCTCGTGTACGCCTTAGTGCACACTGAGACATGAGAGCTTCTGACCGACTCACAAGACTGAGAGTCCAGACCGCACGTATCAATATGCCCGTGGCATAAAAATACGTGCATCCTCTTCGCTGGTCTTACATGCAGAATGTGGTGTACTAAAGTCTCCTATAGGCTGACTGCTGCTGCCTCGGGCGCGGAGTAGTCACAAGGCTGAGACCGAAGGGCCACGATTGGGTGCAACATGAATGGGCAACTTCAAGAGCATTATGAGACTCTCGGCTCTATCTTGTTTAACTTGACATACCAGCACCTGGAAATCACCAGTGGCTTCGTTGGACAGACTAACATACTCGGTAAGCGACATCCACCGATGAATGGCTCGACATTGACTGACCTACCCAGTTCTCTGTGACTAGTAGCCTGGCCTATAAGTAGCTGCATCGATAGGTCAGGATAATCGAGAACGTACCAGATCCTCTCAAGTCATGACTTATCGCTACGGAGGCGAACCGTGCGCCAGGCAGGAAGATTTTATCATCAACATCTACATGCGACCCCTCAATGGAGATAATACAACTAGAGTGGTACGAGCGCTGGTAGACACTGGCGCTGGACCACTCTTCATCAGTCCTGATATGGCCCGGCAATTGGGATTCAACCCGCGCCCATACCAGAGTGGAGGTCTTTACACGGTTCAAGGTGTCCGACTGAATATCGTTGGTCAGCTTGAAGCAGAATGGCGTGTAGAGAAGCGACGTGAATCGCTGGATGATACCTTCCTCGTTGTTGATAACTTGCCGTTCTTCGATGTTTTGATCGGAACAGATCGCTGGCATGATGTGAAGGGGAAATTACCACGGCATATCCTGGCCCAAGTGGAAGGAACAGCATCATCCCAGAGTACACATCAGTCGATCAATTACGAGGCAGATACAGTCACTCTAGTACAGGCGACTAGTCAGCCTGTTGAGAGCCGTAGCGACTACGGCAGTGACGATGAACAAGATTCCGGTCGCCACCAACCGGCCCAGACGGCACCTCATGCTCAACCCCGACTCTCGAACTCATCGTCATCTTCAGTTGCATCGCCTGGAGCCGTTTCTGAGTGGGTCTGGAGTAAGGAACATGGAAAATACTACAGATGTAGATGGGATGCCTATGGTAAGTAGCACACGTAAAACCGTCGTCGACAGATTACTTACGTCACGTAAAGGAAAAGTTGCGTACGAGTGGGCATCTAGTCAACAATGGAATTAGGTGCTTGCTCCCGCTGCATGGTGGTCTCATACCAGGGCTCTAAAGTGAACCCTTTCAAAATTGGTCACTGGCTCTGTCTGACCACAGAACTATACATTATATTTGTTGGATACTGCTGCAACTGGATGTACAATGCTATGCGACCCGTCTCCTATAGAGGTCAAGGGCAACACTTATGTGACATGGAGGCCTTGCTCAACCATCATCCGCACAAAGCTAAACATCCCGGATTGTTTGCAAGGCACGACATGAAAACGTCACGCGTCGGACATCTTCACATACGAAGTACTTGGAAAATGTCGCGTGAGTATGTCGTTAGTAGAAGTAAGCACTGAAGCAGCCTTGGGCAGCAAGCGGCGGACCAGGTTGAACGTAACTTGCCACTGTCCACCAAGGCTACTGCGGGGTACAATTAATCACCAAACTTTGCTGTTATGATCTACCTCTGGGGTGTTCATACTTGACGCCTCTCGCTTATTGGGAAATAGGCACCGGCATGCTGGATTCACGTATCGCAGGTGCATGGATGTGGACTTGCGATCACAAAGGGTATTACAGATACTATGACTCCAACGGTAAGACTCTGCGTGCGTCTGGCAGAGTAGTGGCTCATGGAACTCAGGTCAATCACAATGTGAGTGGTACTCGGCTCATCTAGGTCCGAAAAGTGGGTATGTAGCAGCGGTCACTGTGGTCTTGGGCTGCGATGCACGCTGGAGATGACGGTATTGGTGTTCCTAACTGCGACCCCCTTTATTCCTTCAACACGCGTGTTTGGCCATTGTGGTGCAAAAGTGTTGTCTTGCCCTCCACTTTGGTGTCCATGCTCCCTCCCTTCTTACTCAAGGATGCTGCAGCCCATCGATGCCTTCCACCAGACAAGATGTTGGCGTTCGAGGATGCAATGCTGAATCTGAGGCGAGATTTGTGAAGCGTCAGTGGACATTCAAAAAGCTTCCAACCCCATGATGAGGGCTGGAGGAGGCCGTAGTCTTCCCGAGTACGAGGGTTGCAGGATGAGGGTGTGCGATCTTGAAGATCCGCAAAGCGGGCTGGAGGTAGTTGAGGTACTGTTGGACACGGGAATTGCAGAAGAAGATTTGGTATTCCTGAAATTTGAGTAGTAGAGTGGAGGTAGTCGATGCGGTATTGATCAGAAGAGTCATGGAGCGAGATATAATAAGTAAACATCTTCAAGCAGGAGGCTGGAAGACTTCAGTAACATGTGGAAAGAATTTATTGGGGTATCATGCTGCTCTAAGACTTATCGGACAAAGACTACTGCTTCTAAGCATCGACTTCTGTCCTCATGCGCCCCCTGGAGATGGAGTCACCCAGCCCCATGTCACCTCCCAGACCAGCGTTGAGCCGCTTGGAGGTATTCAGATTATTCTGGATGCGCCTCTCCTCCTCCGCGTCCTTGCCCTCCTGCTCACGAACGCGCTCTGCGCGCTGCTTCTCGGTTTCCGCCGCGTCCGCCTGCATGGCTGCCAATCGCTCCTCGCGAGTACTCTGACTACCCCCACGGTGTGGCGAACGTGAGCGACGGCGATGATGGTCATCACGGGGCCTCCTCTCGCGGTCACGTGAGCGTGATCGATCTCGACGGCTGCGGTGGTGGCGTCTGCTGTCATCCCGGCGTGGCGAGCGTGAGCGTCTTCGGCGGTCATCGCGGTCTCTGTGCTTCCTATCTCTGTCCTTCTCTTTACTCCGCTTCTCTTCGTATTTAGCTTGCTTCTGTGCGTCCTTCATCGCCTTCAGCTGCATCTCCATCTTTTGCTTCTGGATCATCAGGAGTGGATCCTCGAGAACTTTCTTCTGTGTGTCGCGCGCTGAGTTTGCGTTTGCGTTTCCGAGTGCATTGATGCCGACGGTGGCGCCTTTCTGAAGGTCTTGGGTGTCGTTCTTGAGTAGTTGGTCGATCCTGCGCTTGCCGAGTAGGTAGCCTTCGCGCTCTTCGGTGACGCCTGCGCCGTCGCCGCTCGGTCCAGAGTACATCCAGTCGACGCGCCTTGTGACAGTTCTACCCCCGGCGGATTCTTGTAGCCTTTGGAGTTCCTCAAGTGCGCGTTCTTCTTCGCGCTCCTTGCGCAGCTTCTCGATTTGCTTGCGCTCCTCAAGCGCAGACTTCTCTTCCTTCCATACTCGCTCTTGATTCTTCCGCAAATGGGGATGCCATGACTTCTTGAGGTTGAGATCGCCACCCATGTTGACGGCGCGTGGCTACGGTTCGAGGAAGGTGCTGAGCGCCTCTGGGCTTGTGCGTAGGCGAAGGTGTGTGACGTCTGAGAAGATGTTTGTGACGATATGTGGCTATGGGGTGGACGAACGTGCTAGTGCATCTAGGCTTGTGAGTGAGAGAAGTAGGCGCGTGGTGTGTGAGTGTGAAGATGTTCTAGAGGCAGAAGGGAAGGCGGGCGGGCGACGCTTGCCTTGGCACGCTAGTGCGGCCCCGCTAAAATTCACGAAGGCTGCGCGCATTGGAACATTTTGTTCCTGAAGACTTCTTGACAATTGTAACGAATCAGGAAATCTCTCGGAGCCGGTCAGATACCTCGCACGGCCGCGTATACGTTCCTAAGCCCGGAACGAGGACCAAAACAACACGATGTCCACACGGAAGCGCAACGAATGGCTCGAAGCCGAGGAGAGTGACGATGAGCGCGGCTACGAGTCCGAAGAAGAAAGCAGAGCCCGCACACTGCCCTCCGCGAAACGTCAGAAAACCGCACACTCCGACGACGAAGACGATGGCTACAATTCCGAAGACGACGCAGAGCCAGAAGACCACGATGACGATCCAATATCCAGCAAAAACGCCGAGCTGAAGCGCCTCGAAGAAATCGCCGCAGGCCTCCCCCAAGATCTAAAGCTTGCAGCAGACAAAATCTCCGGGAAACCAATCGACCTTAAAGCGCCCAAGAAAGACAAATCCGGCGTCATATACATCTCCCGCGTGCCACCCTTCATGAAACCCACCGTCATGCGCTCAATGCTCACGCCCTACGGCGGCGTGGGTCGCATTTTCCTGACGCCCGAAGACACAACGTCACGGCAGCAGCGGCTACGGGGCGGCGGGACACGGCGCAAGCTCTTCCTTGACGGCTGGGTCGAGTTCACACACAAGCGGGATGCCAAGTTTGTGGCCGAGAACCTCAATGCGCAGACCATGGGCGGCAAGAAGCGCGGGCGCTGGCACGACGAGGTCTGGAATATCAAGTACCTTAGTGGCGTCAAGTGGGCGCATCTCGTCGAGCAGATTCAGAATGAGAATGCCGAGCGTGCGGCGAGGTTGAGGTTTGAGATCCAGCAGAGTAAGAAGGAAAATAAGAGGTTCCTTGAAAATGTCGAGAGGGGGAAGATGGAGAGCGGAATCAAGGCGACAAGGGAGAAGAGGGGGGATGTCGTAGATGCGACAGAGGACAGCGCGCCTGCAGAGGGGAAGAAGAAGGGCAAGAGGAGGTTGGAGTTTAAGCAGCACGCGGCAACGAGTAAGAGTGAGAAGAAGCCTGAGCCGGGGCAGGATGTGCAAAGGGTGCTGAGCAGTATCTTTTGAGCGAGCGCATAGACAAATGATACCAAGCGCGAAATGATAAATCTTCCTATGTAAAACTCCGCCCATGCTATCGTTGGATCAAGTGATATTTCCAACCCAATAACGCCATCAATCGTACAATGCCTGGGTATCTCCATCATCTTCTTTCCCTCTCGTCCTTTGAAGCTTCTATATCGCCGTTCCTCGCTCAAAGTTCTCCCTGATCTCTGTCGTATACCTATTGTAGAACCGCCCCAGCTTGTCGTTGAACTGCTTGTTCTTCTGGTTGATGTAGGTAATATCGCCCGTATCCTGCTCGTCCCTGATTCCCCTCTTCCTTCTCGCCTCCAACCTCGCCTTCTCGCCCTTTTCAATATCGCCCACGAGGCGATCGATTGCTTCCTTGCTAGGCTTGTGGTCGTGACTGTACTCCTCCTCAACAGCCGTGTTAACCCTCCCCTGCGGATCCACGGTGTAGATCTCCCCCGCATCCGTCTCCACAAGCTGCAGCAAACCTGCCTGGACCTGCCTCTGCAGCTTCGTCGCCTTCTCCTCCGCATACGCCGCCAAATCAACCTTGCTCATCTGCCCGATTTGGCGCTTATACACCTTATTCGCCTCGCCGCGATAATCCGCAAACGCATTGTTGTCCTTCGCACGCGCCTTCTTCGCCAGCCGCCTATCCCAGCTCTCGCTCTCTTCGGCAGTGTAGTCCCAGTTGCGCTTGCGCTCGAAATCTGGGTCGTCGGTTTTCAAAAGCTTGTAGGATGCTTTGGTGTGCGCGTCGGCTAGCTTGGAGAGTTTGGCTAGCCGCTCCGAACGGTCTTCGGCGTCGCGCACTTCGCGCTCTGTCGCTTTGCGGCCGGATTCTTTAGCGGCTTGGAGGGTTTTGAAACGCGCCATGCGCGCGGCGAGGGCGGCTTTTGCGTCTGTGGGTGCGGAGGTGGTGGCTTCTGTGGATGCGGGTTTTGAGTCTGAAGGTGTGTCTTCGGAGGGTTGTGCGGCTTTTGCGATGACCGCTGATGCAGCGTCTGCTTCTGTTGTGTCGGCCATGTTGTGCGATGTGTTGTGTGGTGTGTGGTGTGGTGTGGTGTGTTGTGTGGTGGTGTTGCAGGTGATGCTTGAGAAATGTCGAGGAATTGACGATGGCCAAGACCGTTAACGTTAGCGCCATTCGCACCCATGAACTCGGGACTGCTTCCTCACCCCGCTTCACGACGTTAAATGTCCAAACATCTGGCTAAACACTCGTGGCTATGCACTCAGGTACAGTCGTGTATCAAAACCAACAGCTGGTTCCCCGCGCACCAGTCCGATGCAGTTTACAGTTGATGGCGACATTCACCCGCTACGCAGGGATCAGGTAGGTATTTTCCCGGAGCTAATGTCGGCTCTAAGGCGGTCTGGAATGTAGTCCATTCAGTCAATCAACGGTGAGATGTTGAAGTAAATGCATAACACCGAGACTGGCCTTAGTGCCCGCGATATGGATACTGAAATGCAAGTATAACCTGATAGGCCTAGGCCCGCGGACAGGTAGGTCAATGATCCCGCACATCCAGGAGCACAATCTCGTTGCGAGGTTTCTCTTTTCAACTCCTTTCCTCGATGCAGTGCTTCGTCGAAGAAAGACGTGTTGTCCTCTCCCTTCATCGCCGCATCTACACAGGAGTTACGAATCACCACAGTCGAAGCGCCTGTGGACCACACAAGCACATGCATCATCATGGCCATATCTTGTACGACACTGCTGACACTCCTACCTCTGACATCTGTCATCATCCACGAGACTCTCCTTCGACGAGTCGAGATTGACCACCTTGCATTGCCAATTTTAGCCGTCAACAGCATTGCATGTCTGGTTGTCACCTACCTTTTGGGCTTACTTCAAGCAACAGCTCTTTTCCTAGCATTTTGGTCCTCGCTCTGGATATACATCGGCCTATACCGCCTTTTCTTTCACCCGCTGAGGAGCTTCCCTGGGCCGCTAGGAGCGAGGTTGTCAAAATGGTATACTATCAAGAACGTGACCGAAACACGATGGCATTGGCACAGAGTACAGCAAGATCTACAAGAGCAGTATGGGGACTTTGTCCGGACCGGGCCGCGGGAACTGTCCATCTTTGACCCTGAGGCGGTGCAGGCTGTCTTAGGCTTTCAATCGAAGACGAGCAAGGGTCCCTTCTACGACGTGATGGAGAAGTCACTGCACCTGAACCGTGACAAGCCGTGGCACCGCCAGCGAAGGAAGGTTTGGGACAATGCCATGAAGAAGTCATTGTCCAATTTCGCGCCACACATTGAGGAGATCTGCAATCAACTCATCGAGCGTTTGAGGGAGGCTGAGGGGAAGCCAGTCTTGCTTCTCGAGACGATGACATACTTCAGCTACGACGTTATGTCCGCCCTTGCCTTCGGAAAGCCAATGGGCTTCACCACTGGAGAGTCGAGTGCAGTCGCGGACAACATTTTGAATACCTTCACGCAAAGTCTCAGTGCGATGGGCATCATGTACCACATGCCCTGGATGATGAACGCTCTCGGTGTTATCACATCTCTTGCAGGTCCATTGAAGGACTGGACAGACTGGAGCATCAGCCAAATGAAAGCCCGCATGGCAGTGAGTGCCGAGCACAATATGCTACTACAACTTGAACATACTGACGAACTCAGATGATAGATGGCCCTCCTGACTTGATCGGAGAGCTGATTGAGAATACCTCGGACGACGACGCAGGCCGTGCCCTTCTCTACGGCGAGTCGCGTCTCATAATCAGCGCAGGCAGCGAAACCACTTCGTCGGCACTGACATTCATCTTCATGCAGCTTGCAACGCATCCGCATTATATGCAAGCTGTCCGCGAGGAGCACCGCGCGAATCAGTCTGATTATCACTGCTTCAGACCATTACCGCTTCTTGACGCCGTTATCAACGAGTCGATGCGCCTTTGGCCGTCCATCTTCTTTGCTTCGCAGCGTGTTACCCCTCCCGAAGGACTCACAATCAATGGCCGTTTTATTCCGGGCAACATGATCGTGCAGATACCCCCATTTGTGCTGAACCGCGACGCTCGCAATTTTACGAGACCTGATGAGTTCGTACCCGAACGATGGACGACCAGAGAAGACCTTGTGCTCAACAAATCGTCATTCCTACCATTCTCCACAGGATCGTACAGCTGCGTAGGCAAAACGCTGGCCTACATGGAGTTGCGTAGTGTGATTAGACGAGTGGTCAACGAGTTCGACATTGTCCTGCCGGAGGGATTTGTAGCAGACGAGTACTGGAACGGGATCAGAGATCACTTTACCGCAGGACCACCAAAGCAAATGGTGAGGTTCGTGCGAATCGAAAGTCTTTGAATCGAGCACGTGGACTCCAGATCACGCATCAGCGGTTGACAGCGGATCGATAAGCCTTTATGTACGAACGCGCAACTTGCCATGTAACGTGTATTTGCAACCTGCATCAATCATGGCGGGAAGTGCTACCTTGACAGCAGGGCCACTGGCGTCGCTGTTCAAACTACCGAATACGGAAATTTTGCAGAAAACAATCGATCACGGCAAATTCGAGTGAAAACCACCAGCCCAGCCTTGGCAATAAGCTTTCGGAAATCGGCGGTGAACCTAGACCTCCGCTAAGCGCAACTCACGTCATTTCGTAACTCCAGTTCGTCCCGTGCCTTCCGAGACGGAACATCAACATTCGTTCTTCCCTCCGACAACAATATCATCCGCACCTAGGGTTGCCCCTACGAAGGAACGATTAATCTCTCGAGTGAGCATCACAAGTGATTGGTGTGAACTACTGACGAGATACTATGCAGCGTCTGAAGTATACGCAATCGTCAGAGAAAGACCCTTGAATACCTCCTGGGCTGACTCTGGGATCGAAGCGTTCTGTCAACTCGACATCGAAGCCGAAGTGACGCAACCTCAAATCTGCAGATGACTTCGGAAGGTCACACAGAGCCTCCAGAGAAGCGCCGTCGAGTAGATCGAGTCACGGCAGCATGTGATCTCTGCAAGAAACGGAAAGTCAAGTGTAACGGCGAACAACCGTGTGCTTACTGCCAACGGAAGGGTCGTGCAGATACGTGCACATTCACAGCGCCGAAGGTCCGCGGGGCACGATCTGCTGCTGGGCAAACCCCAAACGGTCTGACGCCCTCAAATCCGTGAGTCTCGCAAATCTTGCAGTGGTCGGAGTGCAGGGCCCGTACGATCTAATACCGCTGACTCGGTGCAAGCATTGAGCAAGGAACCGCTCATTCAACGCCCCGTAGGAGAAGTCACGATGGCGCTGCGGCCATTGGCACATCTCTATCGCCCACCGTTAGCAGAGATGAACACCCAGAAGACACAGCTGTACCTTTAGAAGGTCGCATTCTGCGTGATGCGCAGGGTAAGGTCATCTTTGTCGGCGACTGTGCACCTTTGTCGTTCCTGCAGACTGTCAGGCACTTAATTGCGTCTGCTGTTGATGCGGACGCATTGCCTGCCCAGTCTTCCCGAGACTCCATCATCGAGGTTACCAGGCCAACATCTGCCGATCAACAACCGTCTTTGTCTATGTCCCTACACGAAGTGCGCCCCCTTGTTCAACAATACACTGTCGCAGTCAGTGGTTTGATCGACTTGTTCGAACATGACGAATTGATGAGTGAGATCAGCTCGTGGGCCATTGGCGCCCTCGCTCATCCTCCTGAGTCTGCGGCTGCTGTGTTCTATCTCGTCCTTGCGATCGGGGCACAGGAAACCCACGAGACCAAAGCAGAGGCATGGTTCACCTACGCGAGAGACATACTGCTGAAGCATCTGGTCAACAGCATGAACGTTTCTACCGTTCAAGGCTTTGCACTCGTTGCAGTCTATATGCTTCGCGCTTTCCAACCAAATGGCGCATACCTCTATTTTTGTAAGTATCTAAGGAATCTACGGTCGGAATGAGTTCTGACCAAGAGTAGCTTTGGCCGCTCGCACTGCATATGCAATTGGTTTACATCGTACAGAAGTCAACGCCTCTTTTGGAGAGCCAATAAAAACCATCAGGGGTCGCATATGGAAGAGTGTCCGCGTCGTCGATCAGCTTATTAGCAATCTGCTGGGCCGGCCACCGTCTACCTCGGACGTCGACTGCACGGTGAAGTACAGTATCACCGAAGTTGGCGACGACATAAATGCGCAGATCCTCGACGCAAGTGTGCAGATCTTCATGATCATCGAGCGTGTGGTTGTCGAAGTGTATTCACGCAAGAGAATATCTTTGCGTATCGCTAACTATGTGTCTCGCCAGCTCAAGACGTGGGCTTCGACTTGGCTCAAGCCCTTGCACGAAGCTACCAGCCAAGCAACTTTAGGCAGCTCGTCACCAGAAGCAGCCATTGGTGCTTGCTCTACACTATGCTCCTACTACTATGGTATCATGTTGCTGACGCGACCATTCCTAATCTACGAGCTGTACGAGTACATGGGCGCATCACTAAAAGGCGGCGGTACTCAAGTCGAACACGAGGAGAAGCGAAAGTATGCCGATGCCGCGCTTGATGCCGCATCATCATTCGTAGATACGCTACAGACCGTCATACATACCGGCAAGATGCCTCGTAGGATGCCTCTCATAGTGTGAGCTAGCTCATCCCGTAACAATGTTCCTACAGCTAACACGAACAGGTCATGGCTCTTTACCACATCCCTTGTGTTGGCAGTCGGCGTGCTAGGCCACTCAGGAATGACCTTCAAGGATGATTGTCACGCTTCGATTAGCTGCCTTGACTACTTTGGCAAAGTCGACCCGCATGCTCGGCAATACTCTCTCACTGTGCGGTCCTTACTAAAAACGACCACCACGCATGTCAAGCAACGAGAAGAGTACTTGCGAACGCAGCAGAAGCAGGCCTCGTCGCAGTTGTTTGGATTGCTACCTTCGACTGCGAACACGCCTCGACAAGACATCATCCACCGTCGTCGACACTCAACCGTGCAGCCATTCACCTCATCAGTGACAGAACAGGATGTCCCTGTTGCGCCTGCCACTTCTGATTGGACTATATATGACGCCGAATTCTTTTCCATGCCATGGATGAATGAGAACGACCAGGGACTGCAGGGATTCTTGCAACCAGGAACACACACCTTTGACGGTGCATCTATTGCGGATATACCACTGTTCCCTATGTACGACCATCAAAGTGGCGGGAGCTTCCTATGAGCTCAGAGAATTAAACGCCTTTTCCCATGCAGTGCTAAGAACGCATAAAACCAAGTGCTGCCGCGGTCAAGCTCGATCCGCAGAGCCGTACTCAAGCCACCATGGCGGACCACTACCGTGGGTGCTAAGCTTTGTATCGCATCCAATAATCCCTCACGAGACATTGGCTTCTTTTGTCTCGTCTCTGGACGTCCGCAGGAATGGGATGAGTTTTGTCCCGCCGGTGCCCACCAGCTCTTGCACTTGCCCCTTCTCCGCGGCCATCTTCGTGCTCATGGACGCGATGTCGTTGCGCTCCGCAAACTGCGCTGGCCTTCCCTGACGTGCGGGAATGATGATGAATCGTGTGACTAGGGCGATGTGGATATCGCGGAACCGGCTCAACGCAGCAATAGCTTCATTGTAAGCCTCGAGCAGCTCCGTGTCCTCTTGGTGCGAGTCGACATAGCTTCGAATGTTCGCGATGGACTCGATGTCATCCAGAAACCTCTTGTGTGGGCCGGGCATGTACTCGCGCATCTCGGCGTGGAAGTTGCCACAGCGGGTGTGGTTGACAGAGAGCGCGGCGTCGAAGAATTGCAGTAGCGAGCTTTGTCCATTGCTGCCGCCGCGGTACTTCCTCCACTGACCCTTACCATTGCCCTCATCGTAGAAGACGCCGTTCGGGAGACCAGCAGCCTCCATGTTCATGCTACCGGCCAACAGCGGTCGGATGGTGTAGTAGAATCTCTGTGGGTTGCAACGCTCGTCCATGCGCTCTAGCAGCCTTCCGATATCCTTCATGCTCTCTGTAAAGTATCTGAGTCCAGACACGATTGCAGGAACATCATTGTGCTCAACAGCCTCCATCGCCGCAAGCATAATGTGCAACAAAGGCCCAGCCCGGGCTTCCATTGCATTCGAGATGATGAGGAACCACGATTCGTCATCCGATCCCGTGGCTGTGTGCAGCGCTACCAGATTGTCCGGCTGAGTAATGTTGGCGCCTTTTTCGAGGGGTCTCCAGTTCCACAGGTTCAGGGCTGCATACGTCGCTATTGGGTGAACTTCGAGGTGCTCAGCGGCTTTCAGGAAGGGCACGGAGATGGTAGGGGGTAAGCGCTAGATTGCTTATCAGCAAAGGGTCACCCCAATGGAACGGCTGCATGGGACTCACTTCTGAGGGCTCAGGTCCTTGCCAGACGTAGCCTTGCGTGATGACGGCCAGCATTGAGTATGCTCGTTGCCATTCTGCTTCTGTCTTTAGGTATGCTGTGTCGAGGATGGGAAGCTCGTCGACGCGTTGGCGGATTTGTCGTGTCTCGATCAGCGTTGGCAACACTTCGACAATGGACTCCCATGGGAGGTAGTAGTCGTTCGGTAGACGGGTCAGTGGTGCACTCGCAGGCAGGAAGCCATTTTTTGAGATGCCATATGATGGCAGGGCAGCTGCGGAGGGAAGAGCTTCGACTTTGTGAGGGCTCATGGTGGATGTGTAGTGAAGAAGTGAAGGCTCAATTGGAGTCTAGAGGGGTGCATTACTACTTAACGGTTTCTGATACCGCTTTTACGTGCAAAAACAAGGATCCACTACTTGATTGCAGCCCATGGATCTCATGATCGCGGCACGGTGAAGCGAAGGCTTGGTCTAAGTGTTTGTAATATCTTCCGGTTTTGGAGGCAGGACGTGGTTCCGTTAAATATCCGTTCCGACGCTCAGCTAGGGTACAAGCCCTTAGAACAGAAACTCAACGGAACTATGTCCAACTACCTCCAAAAGCGGAAGGTGCTGCACACACTAGAGGATGGTGGCGTCAGATCGTCGGAAGCAGGCGACGGAAACAACTCCACGATTTTTGCAAGACGTAGTGTATATATGTCAGCAACGTGTCGCTCCAGCATCTGCTCATTCAAATTTCACATCCCTTCGCGGCATTGCATTTCTCACACCCACTCCAAGTGCTGAATCAAAAGATGGACGCTACCTCCGCTATCAACCAGCTCCGACAGGGCCAGAAGCCCGAGTTTCCCGCGAATGCCGACACGCCTGAGTTTGCGCAGTCTCTCGACAGCAGCAACCAGATCCTGAAGACTTTCCGAGACGAATTCGTCGTCCCGACCAAGGCGCAGCTTGCGCGGAAACAGCTCAAGGACGATGCTAAGACATCCGCAGAAGCCAAGAGCGCCGATGACGAGGGCATCTACTTTTGCGGCAATTCGCTCGGCCTCCAGCCCAAGGCTGTTGGCGAGCACCTGAACGCTTACTTGAAGACCTGGGGATCCATCGCCGTTGGCGGCCACTTCACAAACTTCGAGGACTCGCCATTGCCCGCGTACCAGGATCTCGCTGCACAATGCTCACAGCAGATGGCCGACATTGTCGGTGCATCGCCCTCAGAAATCGTTGCTATGAACACATTAACAATCAACCTTCATTTGATGATGGCCGCATTCTACAAGCCCACAGAGAAGAAGCACAAGATCATGTGTGAATGGCGACCCTTCCCCAGCGACTGGTATGCTATCGAGTCGCAAATCGAGTGGCATGGTCTGGACCCTAAGAAATCCATGTTGACCGTCGAGCCGGACGAGGGCTACCTTATGACCACCGAGCACATTTGCAAGCTCATCACCGAAAACGCCGACGAGATCGCTCTGGTCATGCTTCCCGGTATCCAATACTACTCCGGCCAGCTCCTCGATATCCCCACCATCACAGCACACGCACACAAGCACGGTCTGACGATCGGTTGGGATCTTGCGCACGCCGCTGGAAACGTCGAACTGAAGCTGCACGAGTGGGACGTCGACTTCGCCTGCTGGTGCACCTACAAGTACATGAACACGGGCGCGGGCTCCGTCGCCGCCGCCTTCGTGCACGAGAAGCACGGCAACAACGACCACAATGTCGGCCTCAAGGGCTGGTACGGCCACGACAAGTCCTCCCGCTTCCTCATGGACAACAAATTCAAGCCCACCCCCGGCGCGCAAGGGTTCCAGTGCTCCAACCCCTCCATCGTCGACCTGACGTGTCTGTCGGGAAGCCTGAGCGTCTTCAACAAAACCACCATGGCGCAGCTCAGGTCAAAGTCCCTCCTGCTGACCGCTTACGCAGAGCACCTGCTCTCCGCCATGGCAACACGGAACATCAAAGACGGCGACTTCCCGTTCAAGATCATCTCGCCCACAGACCCGCGGTTCCGCGGCGCGCAGCTCAGTGTCCTGCTGCAGGAGGATCTTATGGAGGACGTCGCTGCGGCACTGGAGAAGAACAGCGTCATCTGCGATAAGAGGAAGCCGGGAATCATCCGCGTGGCCCCTGCGCCGCTTTACAACACCTTCGCGGACGTGCAGAAGTTCATGGCTGTGTTTGAGAGTGCGCTGCAGCCCAAGACGGAGCAGAGCGAGGCGCAGGCCAGCAGCGTCAACGCGAATGTCGAGGCACGGCTGTGAGGAATCATGAGTTAACGAGTCTTGCATAGTTTAGCGTTCTGTATTATTGCATTTGATACCATACTTTCTACTATCCCGCTTACGTCTTCGTCTAATCGTCCGCCTCGCTCGCTGGGATACAATCAACGCCGATATCGCCCTGGATATTCTCGCACACAATCTGCGACGGCGAGCCCGCAGGACTCGTGATATTGATGTTCTCGAGATGAATCCCATTGCACGTCGCGCCGGGACTGCACGTCAGATCCGCAACAACCCTGCCGTTCTTCCCGCTCGAGCTGCCGGAGATATTGATGAAGTTGACGTTAGTGATGTTGACCTTGCTCGGGTACTGCGCACACGCGGTCGAGTTGATGTTGAAGTAGCACTGGTCCAGCACCACGGGCGCATCCGTGTTCTCAATGATGATATCCTTGTACGTGATGTTGTCGATGTAGCCGTAGCCCACGTCCGGGCCGGCCCAGGCCTTGAGGCGCGCGCCGTTCTGGCCGTTGAGCAGCGTGATGTTCTCCAGCCAGGCGTTGCTGATGTAATCCTTCACCCCGGGGTACTGGCCGATGGAGCCCATGGAGACGCCGTGGGTGCCGTTACACCACAGGTTCTTGACGAAGATGTTGGTTGTGTTGGGCTTGGGTGAGAAGCAGTCGTCGCCCACATTGACGCGGGTGTTTGTCACTGTCAGCCCGTCGACGTTGAGCGAGTCGAAGCCGTCGGTGTTCTTGGGCAGCGACGAGGCGTTGGTGCTCACGGCGTCGATATAGATGTTGTCGAAGACGACGTTCTTGGTCCGCACGAGGAACGTAGTCCAGCAGGGAGAGTCTTTGAGGTGCAGACCCGAGATTTCGATGTTAGTCGCATTGTCCGTCAGGAAGAGGATGGGGCGGTAGAACTTGTTGTTTGGGTCTAGGATCTCAGCACCTGAGAAGCCATCCCACCAGGCTTGACCGTTGCCGTTGATGATGCCAGTGCCTGAGTCGGAGTAGATTTTGACGTCCCTAGTCGAAGTTAGCCTTCGAGAGAAGTCCAGCACGATTGACAACTCACTTTCCGCCCCAGACTGTAAAGGTAATGCTCTTCTGGAAAGGGTAGTAGAAGTTGTTGGCCTGCCAGTACTTGATGTCGTTGGTGTACTTGAGCTCTCCATCGATGTTGACGTATACATCTTTCAGGAAGCTGAGGTCGAGCTTCTTGCCGATGACATACTTGTGGTTCTTCTTGAGGTGCACAAGACCGCCGTGGTTCGCCTTCTTGAGCGCCCAGAGGAAGTCGTCACTGATGTCATCTGTGTCGTTCTTAGACGCACGGATGGTGATCTTCTTGCGATCGTGCGCAACGGCGTTGCCCCAGTTGTCTTTCTCTCGAGGCTTCCTGGGCAGCAGTGAATCCGAGCGAGGAACCAGTACGGAAGCGCCAGCCGGGACAGAATTCTCGCTGAGAGCCGAAGCAGACACCGAAGTCAGAGAAGCCGCGAGGGCAAGAAGAACAGAGAAGGACCTCATGGCGCCGAAATGATCACAGACTGGTTTACAGCGTCCTATCTCGCAACGAGACGTCTTCCAGAGCAATTTATAGTCGGTCCTCGACCTCACTCATGTGTCTTCCGCGCCTTGGCTGATCTTGGCTCCATTATAACAGTGAACGAGTTTCTCCGCCATGGGCCTGAAATCTTCTCCTCGGCCGCTGTTCATCTCCACAGTGCATCAGTGCATGCGGGGTCCCCGCGCGCTAACCCCAAGCATTCCAAGCATCCTTGGATGAAGCTTGGGGCAGCTTAGGGTAAGCTTGGTGGGCAGGGATGTCTTCTGGGAGATGGGCCAGGTTGGTGTATGCGCAAGGTGTCGCGGTTCGTGGATGGACGAACGGCTAATTTCCCGCCAATTATCGAAGCAGATGACGACATCTCACGAGCTGCGAGTAAACAACCCAAATCTCGGTGTTTGCCTGTTCAAGCAAGCTTGGCCTTCATCTTAAGGGTCAAGGACAAGATGAGGCTTTCGCAGTAAGCGTGCGCCATGTGGCTGGATGGGTGCGGATTAAAAACCGCAGCGGCGTTTGCGTCGTGCCATGGCGATCGACCCGGTCTCTGTACGCACCAGATACGATCCTAGAAGTTGCCTCGAACGAACTAGACGCTCGCCGAGGATGCCTTCGACTTATCTGTCCAACCACTTGCCCACATGTCGAGTGCCTACTAAAACGATTTTTCGAGACCAGAAAGGACCTTGACCATCCCGCAGAAACAATGTGGAACGGACCGAGTTCGGACACGACCTCCAGGAATCTGGAGAGGGAAACATAGTACAAACGGATCTGTGTTCCAGCAGCGCGCATAAGTGCACCCTCACAACTGCCTTAGAGCGCTCTGAGGCTGATATTGTTCGGCATGAAGCCAAAGCCACGCCAATATGTAATTCAGACTGCTCAACTGTGTGAACGGACGACACGGGTTTGGATGACATGGAGGCTCGTAAGTTGTAACGCACGAGGAAGCTCGGTCTACAGTTCAGATCGCACGGTCGAGATGGGCTCTGCCTCGCGATTGAGTCGAAGCCCTCTTCACTGCTAACCAAACTTGCGCATCGCAGCCTCAAGTGGGCGACATATCGACTTTACTAGCTACCTTCCTAGCAACCTTCCCGGCTACATCAAGCTACATATTGCTCAACCCAATCATGCAATAGTAAAGACATGCACCTGCTGTGTACTTCCCCACACTCCGTTCCCCGTTGGCAAGCCAGCATTTTCCATCATCTCTAACACACCAAAAGAGTCCTCGCTTCACTTTCGAGCCCTTCATCGTTCATCGAATATCCTCTTCGGCCAAGACTCTCACCGGCACTTCTGCAAGCACGACCGTAGTCTCAACACAACAAGCTGCCACGTCTTCTGGAAGCGTGCTCTTAGGAAGCGTGTTCTCAGGAACGCTGCACGATCACTAACGAAGCTCGAAACTTTCGAAAAGCGCGACGTACCTCCTAGCTTGGACCGAGCACGCCGCTACGTTCCTCAGCACAAACCTCAGGCAAGCCAACGAACTGCTTTGGCTGCGCACATGGACACCATGCTCGCAACGCACCGGCGATGCAAAATTGGAAGCGGAATGCGCAATGCACGGTCCGGACATAAACGTCGTAGACCCGGTCCGGGGTTGGCTGCCCATTGGCACGGCGAGCCCGTTCCAGCAGCAGAGGACGAAGCGGCAGGGCACGAACGTGTATCTCTCGCGGTCTTCAGAAGTGAATTTGGTGGATCTGGATTCCGTGCATTCGAAGGAACCAATACGTGTACAAGAAGCTCTCTCGAACCCCTCCCTTCCAGTCAGCAACCATCTACAAGCCCGCTCGTTTCGGCGCCGGACTATGCAGGAGCGGCAATTCAGAAAGCGCCGGCGTCGCAGAGCTCGGCAGCTCGTGCGTCGTATCCACGTGTTTCGTATGTGTCTGCAAAGGATCCGATGGCGGGGGATAGTAGGGCTGCGATGGACTGTACGCGGTGTGCTGAGGCGGCAGGCCCTGGTGGTGGCGCGCGTGCTGCTCGCCGGCCCAGCCGTGTGGCGAGTACGCCGGAGCCTCGGCCATGGGCGAGTGCATCGCGCTGCTGCCCTGCACCGAGTAGTCGCCGCCCGTCTTGGGTGTGTTCGGATCCGGCGCTGGATGGCTTGCGAGCTCGGCGCGATTGGGCTCGGCGCCTGGTTGGTTGCTCGCGCGTCTGCGGCGTAGGATCAGGATTATTATGCCTATGAGGGCGGCGAGGCCGATTACGCCACCTACGACTCCGCCGGCTATGGCGCCCGTGTGTGATTTGGACTTTGGGCGGCTCGTTGGTGTTGCTGGAGCTGTTGTTGGGATGATGCGTGATGCTGTTCGTGGTGCTGCGGAAGCTGTTGTGCCAAAGTAGACGGATAGGTCGGGCACTGCGAAGCCGGCTGCTGGGGCTGTTGCGGTGGCATGTCCATCGACACTGTTGTTGCGTTGGATTAGAGTCGACACGTGATGTTGAGTGGGGATGAATACTTACTTGCCGCCCACGAGTGAGACGATCTTGTCAGGCACTCTGTATCCCGTCGTGTTGTCCTGGATCGCGTGCCACCACGCACCCTGTTCAGCAGCCTCTTGTCCAAGTAGAAGTCCGTGCTGGCCACCAATTTTGGGCACATCGCACTCTGGCAACGAAGCGTTTGGGATTTGTCCCCCGACGAAGAGCATCTGCGAGTCTCGTATTACGTCGCACGACATCCAGGCCTTGCCTCCAACATAGTTCGGCACGGTTGCTGGATAGACTAGAGTCCATTGGAACGAGGGTAGAGTGAGGATGTACAGTTCATCGACCGCTTGCTCGTTGTCGGTGATGCCGCCGTACACATAACTGTGCACTGTCAGTATCTGTTAGTCAACTCGAGCATCGTCCTTACAAGTTGTATGAAGACTTGTCTTTGGCCCAGATGACGTTTGCGCAGGCACCGCGTCTTGGCGATGGAACGTCACCGGCTGCGGTCTGAGTAGACCACCTGTTGTTAGCTATGTCGAAGAGCTGGATGTTCTATGGCTGTCATCAGTATAGGGTTGGACGGGTTTTGATGGTCAGCTTACGCTCATGTTGGCCTGTAACACGTTAGCGGTGATTGACTTGGCGATGGAAGGTCCGACTTACATAGCGCGTCATACCGTTGACCATCTCCACGCCTCCAAAGTACACAAGCATACCCGCAGCAGAAGCGGGAATGAAATGGAGCGCTCCCTCGGCGCGTGGTGTCTGACCAGACGTGCTGTTGTGCCAGGTTCGAGCGTTCATGTTGAACGAGACTAAGGAATTTAACATCAAACGATCACCAGTCCATTTCGGCATTGACAGGTTGGTCAGGTACCCGCCATAGTAGTAGGCAACTCCCACGTCGGTAAAGGTGCCAGCGCCGAGAGCAGGCCAATTTATGCCTGTCAAGGAGCCATCGGAGGCACTGGAGCGGTTCCATGTGTTGTAGAGGATGTCATACAGCCATAATGTGGTGAAGGACTGAACGTCGTTTGTGTTGTCATACTCTCCGCCAAATAGATAGAACAGTTTATTGATAGAGTCGGGCCATAGCACCCCGCCGCTGACGGAAGGTATATCTGGATCCTACGGATGATCAGCATACGTGAAGCTCAGATGCCAAGTACCGTACCGTACCTTTGTCAGATTGGTATACTGTGGTGGGAACTTGTATTCATTCTTGGTGTCCAGGACGTTTTCCCACATGAGTCGAGTGTCTATATAGATCAGCGACATGCATTCCTGTGCAACCCCACTACAGACTCACTTTGCTCAGCGACACTCTCGTTGTCCACGGATCCCCCGTAGTATATCTTCCCGCCGTCTATATACAGCTTGTTGTCGACCACACATGTCTGATGCAGATGCCGCCGACAGAAGTCGTTGATGGGATCTCGTTCGTTTGTTTGTGCGGCTGCCACAGCCAGTATCGCACTGGAGAGCAGGTACCGGAGTGCCATTTCCATGTATGAAAGGTTCGAAAGTCGTCAAACAGGTGGGTCCACCGAGGTATCAGGCTTTTGTCCACCGAGGTATCAGGCTTTTGTCCACCGAGGTATCAGGCTTTTGTCCACCGAGGTGTCAGGCTTTTGTCCACATCTGACGGGGCGGTCTCGAACGGGGAGCTGAAGTACCCAGCTGAGAGGCAGAAACGAGATTGGGGATCCGCTGGCCCATATCTGTCTGCACTCGTGCAGCACTCGTGCAGACTGGGTAACATGAACGTCGCTTGTCTGTGCTTAGGCGCGCACAAGGCCCTCCCCATCTGATTCGCCAATGCTCCTGATGTAGGGTGTCGAGTGTCGCGGCTTGCATATTGTGGCTTTCAGGCGATAGACGAGCGAGTCCACTTGGGCTGTCAGCTGCTTGTGGTTTGGGCATTTGTTTATTGACAGGCTTTCTCATGCAGTTCGGGTGCGGTGCCTTGGGTCAGTGCTCGCAGTCCTGTTGAGCACTCAGTCGACGTTCTCTTTGACGATGCCGTCAAGATTCCGTAATGTCGCACGGGTGTCAGCTGAGTCGGAAGCTGCAGCGATCGCTCTTACGTGGGACCTCACTCTCAGGCGATTGACAGGTTGCCTGGAATGCGCTAGCAGTCGGCATTGTTCATAATGGCAGCCCCTTGCAAGGATCCCTTTGCAATTATGGCGAAGCCTAATGAAAGGTTGTCGCCAGGTCGAGAATACGCAGATATCGACTTCCTTCACAACGGTGACACGAGGCTCGACGTCCGCAAATAACCTTCGTGGTCGCATTCGTCGTCTGAAGCTCACAGCTCGCTTTCACAAGGATGTTAACGTCCATCCCTGCGTAACGCAAATCCCGCCGTGCCGCAAGGTGTCCGCTTGTTTGGCATATTAAAACTCCCCACATTCATTCTAAAGCCTTACCACAAAAAAGAAACTCTTCTCTAACTTCTTCTCCAGAGACTAGCAGGGAGCAGCACAAAAATACAATGTGTTGCGGCATACTTTCGATGGCACATAATCGTCACTTGAGGCTTCATCGACTTTACGCCCCTGTGTTAGCGTCATACCTTAAGACGATCCAAATATCGGGCTACTGACTGCATGGAAAGACGATCGAAGAACGTATTCCGAGAGTTTTGTGCACTACGGTACAGTGTCCGTGCGCGTGACGACCGGATTCGCGTGACGACCGAACACCAAAAACTGCACCTATCTTCAACACGTCATAACTCAACGACCATGGCACCTATCAATGATGCAATCGCAGCCATTAAAGCGCTGAAACTAGGAGAAAAACTTGTTTATCAGACTTTTGCTAATAAATATAGTGTTAACTGTGTAACTTTGGCGCAGAGACATAAGCGCGTTCAGGCACCTCTAGAGATTAAGAACCTTAACCGGCAGAAGCTCACCCCACAACAAGAAGAGAAGCTTGTTAGGTATATAGAGGGGTTGAATTCTCGTCATATACCCCCTACAAGAGAGATGATCGCGAATTTCGCGTCACTAGTGGCCTAGGAACCTGTTAGTAAGAGCTAGGTTGTCAAGCCTCAGCTCCGGCCACTGAGACAAGCAAACCAAAAGGTAACATGGCTCACACTGATGGTGAGCCTATGCCAGAACAGTACTGATATCGTAAGACACAGGTCAGAGGTAGCTTTGCTACGTGCCTTGGTGTCATGGGTCAGAGGTGGCTTCGCCACATGCCCAGCCTGACACTAACTTACCTATTCACCCGCGTACTTGACCTTGCTGTCATCGTGATAGATCACTGAGCACGTGACGTGAAGTAATCCAGCTCTGATAGTGCTTCTTCTTACCCGCAGCACCCTTGAAAGTCCGCTAATGCAGCTAGCCGCACAGCCATCTAGCCACCTTGACAGTCCCCCTCTATGAGATAGAGATAATGAAGAGCAAAAGAAGTCAATAAAGACCACGATAAAACCAATGCTTAAAGTGTTATAGATCAGCCGTACAAAACCATACTCTTCCAGAGCTAACACCTGTACCTACAATGTTCCCACTCACAGATGAACAAGACGGCCGATACTCTGATGGAATCCATAGTACGTTCTTACCCTTATGAGTGATCCATTTCCTGTCTGAGCTGAGGCTAGTGGATACAAACTGGGAACGTGTGAGCTCTATGGTCTCCTTTGCAGTAAAGCCTTCTCTGCTTCGGAGGGCAATAGTCCCTATCTCAGTATAGAGGACAGAGCCAGTAGAGCCAAAGGATAAATCTTCTCCACCTTGGAGGGCAATAGTCCCCATTTCAGTATAGAGAATAGAGCCAGTAGAATCAAAGGATAAGTTGAAAGGAGTATGGCCAATTTCGAGGGTCTGGAGGCACACGCCACTGCTCGCATCCCAGATCCTTAACGCCCCGTCACCCGTCCCTGACGCCAGCCTCGTTGAGTCGCGCGAGAAGGCTACGGATCTGACTGTATCGCTATGGCCCTCGAGGGTCTGGAGGCACGCGCTCCACTTGTCGCTTGACGCTGGCCTGATGGTGATTCCCTTAGGCTCTTCGTGCTTGAATAGTTGTCTGGTCTGACTACCTATTGGGCTGAACAATAATGCCGATGCATACGACTGCAGAGGATACCCTTCGATGGCACCTTTATGATACATAAGGAATCTTCTTGCGTCTTGAATGAGTGAAGTAAGCTTATCCCCATCACGTAGGTCCTACTTGTGTTAGTATATAAAATACCAGAGATGTGTCTACTCCATATTACTTACTTGGAACAAAGAGCATAGTTTTGTCATAGAAACAATACCTGTCTCTACGGTCTCACATAGACTTGGCCCCTCTAGCCAGTAAAGATATTTCTTCCTTGCAAACTCACTGACTGCTCTCCTCACTTGCCGGTCACTAGCATCGTCACGTGCTTGGCACAGCTGGTTTCCTCAGCACTGAGCTACGATAGATTCAGAGTGTGGCGCACGCTTTCCGAAGTGCATATCACGTGACCTCTGGATATCACGTTCTCAAAGAACCCGCCCTGACGTTTCCAGCCACAAGCTGTCGAGCCAAGCTTGGCGTTTGTGCTACCATCGCTCAAGTCGTGTTATCAGTACGTTATGCACACGTTGCCGGGTAACTCGCGCTAGCCATATACAGAAAGCGTATCTCACAGGAGTACCGACAGGGAACTGCGATCTGAATTAATGTGATGGCGACATGTGCCGTGGGTCTAGCATCGGCTCTTAAACCCTACCAAAAGTGTTCTCAACTCATACAAGGTCATATACGAAGATGAGCTCCGACGCCGCTTTGGCTTGAATACTGTTCTGGTGATGCCAATATTTACACTCTTGGAGGGCCTCCCTCTGGATGTACGCGCCTCTGACAGTAACATGGTAATTTTGGTATGAAAAGGGCGCTACATCAACAGGCGATACCTTGGAACATGGCTGTGACGACGTAGTAAATAACCAAACATGCGTCGAGATGTACATGATCGAATGGGGAGTACCATCCAGAATTTGCGGCACGGAAGGACTTGCGGGACGCAGGGATGGGCCTGGATTCTTTATGGGTCGGCAACGACGTGTCACTGGTAGGAGGCGGGTGCGGGCAGACTGGCAGTAAGCGAGTCACGTGATGTCACCCTTTACGTCTACGCCTGTCTTTCTTTTCGTCTGTCCTCCTTTTCGTCTGTCCTCCTTTTCGTCTGTCGTCCTTTTCGCCTGTCTTCCTTTTCGCCTGGATGCACATGCTCAAGCATACACCCGTTGCCAAGCCTATGCGTGCGGGTTGGTCTTTGCCGACGTGGCCGGCCGGTGTTTTTGCTCGCAGCGCGTCTTGGGTCAGCGGTGCTGATGCTTTGTCGCGGGTCTTTTCCTGTCCAGACTCTACATGTCCAACCTCGCCCGACTGCTGATGCTCGGTCGCAGGTCTTCTGTCCAGACTTTTGATATTTAACCTCCCTCGACTGCTGATGCCTGGTAGCGGGTCTTTTCCTGTCCAGACTCTACATGTCCAACCTCGCCCGACTGCTGATGCTCGGTCGCGGGTCTTCTGTCCAGACTTTTGATGTTTAACCTCCCTCGACTGCTAATGCCTGGTCGCAGGTCTTCTGTCCAGGCTTTTGATATTTAACCTCCTCGACTGCTAATGCCTGGTCGCAGGTCTTCTGTCCAGACTTTTGATATTTAACCTCGCCCGACTGCTGATGCTTGGTCGCGGGTCTTCTGTCCAGACTCTTAATATTTAACCTCCTCGACTGCTGACGCTCGGTCGCGGGTCTTCTGTCCAGACTCTACATGTCCAACCTCCATGTCGAGTTTGTCGTTGCGACTTCTTCACGCCGTCTCGATGCCCGCCAAAGCGCCAATAATGTCCTCGGCTACGCCGCCCTTTTCCACGACCATCTTGGTCACCTGGCTGACCAGGGCCCGCTTCATGCCGCCTCGTGGCGGTGTCCACACGCCGGTCGTGGCCAGCATCTCCCGCATGGTCAGCGCCTGTGCGCTGCTGTCCGGCGCCGTTCCGCCTGTGGCGCTGTTCATGCTGTTTGGCACAGCCGGGGGCGTGAGATGCGAGGGCGGGTCAATGGTGCGTATCGACACGATCCTGGCGCCGGTGCTTGACGAAGACGAAGTGGTGCACGCAACAGCCAGCACGGCGTCGGCGACGGCGAGCTCCTCCTTGGCGGGGTCGAAGATGATGTTTGCACCTACGGCCATGGCGAGGACGATGACCGGGGGCTTGTCGCGCGGGCAGCATGTCGAGGCCGACTTGGGGTACAGCGGGGCGGCGGCGTCCCAGTCGTCGTCGAAGAGCGGGTCTTCGTCTTTCTCCGACTTGAGGGCGGGGAGGTGGGTGGTGAGGAGGGCGAGGTGGGTGGCCATGGAGAGCAGGCCGAGGGGGTAGGAGAGGGGTGGAGAGAGGAGGAGGATCTGGGAGTTGTTAGCCACATGTAGCAAGAGAGCAGGCAGGGGTGCGTCGCACGTCAATGTACAGCTTCCAGTGGAAGCGGCGGTTGATGTACAGGCGGTCCTGTAGGTCTCGGCTGGCGAGCAGGCTCTCGGTGAGCATCGAGGCGAGGAACACGGGCAGGGCGTCGTCGTCGCGGAAGCCGGGCACCTCGACGCTCATCTCGAGCCAGCCGTTCTGGCCGTGGCCGTGGCCGTGGCTGTGGCCGTGGCCGTGGCTGTGGCTGTGGCTGTGGCCGTGGCTGTGGCCGTGGCCGTCGGCGTTGGGCGTGTGGCCGTCGGCGTTGGGCGTGTCGACGTCGCCCTGGTCGCCCAGCGCGGGCCGCTGCGGCGTCTGCTCGACCTCGGCCTTGACGCCGACCAGGGCCTCGGTGCCGTCCTCGAGGGCGATGCGGGCGCTGCCGTTGGCGGTGGGCAGGACGTCGAACTCGGCGCGCATGGAGCGGAAGTCGCGCGGGCCCTTTGTGACATCGAGGCGAAGCGGCGGGGTCTGGGCGAGGGTGGAGCGCAGAAAGGCCAGCTCGGCGGGCGAGAGGTTGACGAGGGCGGCCTGGGGCGGCATGTCGGGAGGCGGTGCGGACTGTTTTTGCGGGTGTTGCGGGTGTCGCTGGTGTTGCTGGTACTAACGGCGGCGGCGGGCGGCGGTGGTGAGCTCGAACTTTTGTCGCAGGGCGGCGGTGGGGCCGGCGAATCAGCGGCCACAGAGTGACGGGATGGGCCACGGCAAGCTGCAAGGTCGCTGTCAGCCTCGCCGGGGCTGCGACTGGGATTGCGACTGGGACTGGGATTGCGACTGAGACTGGGATTGCGACTGAGACTGAGATTGCGACTGAGACTGAGACTGTGACTGCGACTGAGACTGTGACTGCGACTGCGACTGCGACTGCGACTGCGACTGCGACTGCGACTGCGACGGCCTGCCCACAGCCCGCTTTCACACCAGCTACCACACCAGCTGCTGCGCCAGCCACCACAGCAGCTACCACGCCCGCTGCCTCCCGGACCGCGCACTGCACTCTCCAGCAGTCAGAACGGCTGCTGTCCGCCATGTCGCGGTAGTCCAGCCGCGCACTCCCAGTCACGCCCCCGTCACGCCCCCGTACCACGCCCCCGTACCGCGCCCCCGTACCGCGCCCCCGTACCACGTCGCACAGGACCGCCCGCCCGCCCGCCTCTGCCTCCGCGCCCGCGCCCGCCCATGCCGTCGCCCTCGTCGTCGAAGCGTAGCAGCGCGCTCCTGGCCATCGACAAGCTCGACTACACCAGCCCCAGCCCGCGCCGCCCGCTGCTCGCCGGCTCCGACGCCTCGTCCTCGCACCACCCGAGCTCCGCCACCAGCCACGCCGGCAGCTTCTTCGAGCACGTCGCCGAGGGCGTCATGGAGCGCGACCGCGACCGCCTGCAGCGCCTGGCCGTCCGCTGGCTGAGCTTCGCCTGGGCCGTTGTCAGCTGCCTGTGCGCCGGCAGCATCACCGCCTACTCGCTGTACGCCCCGCTGTTCCAGAGCCGCCTGCACTACACCCAGCTGCAGGTCAACCTCGTCAGCATCGTCGCCGAGCTGGGCATGTACCTGCCCGTGCCGCTGTTCGGCTACCTGTGCGACCGCCTGGGCCCCGCCGCGCCGTCGGCGCTGTCGGCCGCCTTCTTCGCCGTCGGCTACCTGCTGGCCGCCTTTGCCTACCGCAGCGGCCCGCCGCCGTCGGCCGGCGGCCACGGCTGGCCGTTCCCCGTCATGGTGCTGGCCTTCTGCGCCGTCGGCATGGGCACGAGCTGCATGTACCTGTCCGCCGTGACAACGTGCGCCAAGAACTTTGGCCGCGGCCGCGCCAAGGGCATCGCGCTGGCCGTGCCCATTGCCGCCTTTGGCCTCAGCGGCATGTGGCAGAGCCAGCTCGGCGCCCGCCTGCTGTGCGAGACGGCCCCCGACGGCTCCCGGGGCGACGTGGACGTGTTCCGGTTCTTCGTGTTCCTCGGCCTGCTGCTGCTCGCCGTCGGCCTCGTCGGCACCCTGACCCTGCGCATCGTCGACGAGGAGGGCCTCATCGACGACGCCGTCGACGAGCTCGAGCGCTCCGGCCTGCTCGCCCACGACGACTTTTACACTGCCCACGACGCCCGCGACGCCCGCGACGCCCACACCGCCCACGACGACTTGCACACCGCCCACGGCGACTTGCACACCGCCCACGACGACTTCTTCGCCGCCGCCGCCCACAGCCACGGCTACGCCACGGTCCCGTCCCACGGCCTGTCCGACTCGACCGTCGACTTCCTGCAGTCCGAGGCCGCCGCCCTCAAAGCGCGCCACGAAGAGGATGCCCGCAAGAAGACGTGGCTGCTCAACGAGGAGACGCGCCGCTACGTCCTGGACCCGACCATGTGGTGGCTCGCCGCGGGCTTCTTCCTCGTCACCGGCCCGGGCGAGGCCTTTATCAACAACCTCGGCACCATCATCAACACCCTCACCCCGCCGCACGTCGACGCCGCAACCACGCCCGCCACCCACGTCTCCATTGTGGCCATCACATCCACCCTCGCACGCCTGCTCACCGGCACGCTGAGCGACATGCTGGCCCCCACGGCGCCGCTGCGCAGCCACCTCCAGGGCCCCTCCAGCCTCGCAAACTCGCTCTCATCGCTACCACCCCCACCCCCGCGCCGCTTCACCGTCTCCCGCATCACCTTCCTGCTGTCCTTTGCCTTGCTGCTGTCGCTGGGGCAGCTGCTCCTCGCCTCAGGCGCGGTGCAAAACCACCCATCGCGCTTCGCGCTCGTCTCGGCCCTGATTGGCGCCGGCTACGGCGCCGTCTTCAGCCTGACCCCGATCGTCGTCAGCGTCGTCTGGGGCGTGGAGAACTTTGGCACAAACTGGGGCATCATGGCCATGACGCCCGCCGCCGGCGCGACGCTGTGGGGCGCCGTGTATGCGTGTGTCTACCAGCGCGCTGCGGATGCTATCGCTGTTGGCGGCAGACATGTCGATGATGTTTTGTGCCATGGCACCAGCTGCTATGCCCCGACCTTTTGGGCTATGGCTGCGTGTGTTTGGCTGGCCATGGGCATGTGGCTGTATGCCTGGAGGGGGCCTGGCGGGTGGCGGAGGAGGGGTGTTGCTGTCTAGTCTTGTGTCTTCTGCGTTGCGTGTTCTAGATTCTGCATTGCATGGGTTTTGGTTTTGGTATCGGTATTGGTATCGGTATTGGTATCGGTATTGGTATCAGTATTGGTATTGGTATTGGTATTGGTATCGGTATTGGTATTGGTATCGGTGTTGGTATTGGTATCGGTATTGGTATTGGTATTGGTATCAGTATTGGTATCGGTATTGGTATCGGTATTGGTATCGGTATTGATATTGGCATCGGTATCGGTATTGGTATTGGCATCCTCGTCAGCATCTCCTCCTTGTACATACACTCCATCCACATCCATGGGCAGGCTTGTTGGGTCGCTTTCTGGCGTTGCATGTTCTGGATTCTGCATTGGCATTGGCTCTGGTATTAGCATTGGCTTTAGTATTAGCCCTGGCACTGCCCCTCATCATAAACATCCATCCTCATCCCCCCTCAACGCCTTCACCAGCCCCGCAATCTCACTCCGCGCCTCCTCGCAGCCCATACGCGCCTCTTCATCCGCAAGCACCATGGCGCCGACGAGCTGCTGGATCCGGTCCCCCCACACTCCCAGCCTCAGCGCGAACCCCTCGGGAAACGCGCCCGTCTTGAGCCGCGACAGCGCAGCCCCGCGCTCCATGCTCGTCCCGAACCGACACAGCATCTCCACCGCCATGACGCCGAGCGCGAACACATCCAGCTTGTCGCTGTTGCGTCCGCGCGTCGCAGGCCGGTACAACTCGGTCCCCACCGGCCTCGCCGCGGCGGGCGCGCACCGGTCGTCCAGCGCAGCGACGAGCCCGAAGTCGCCGATGCGCGGCACGACGTGCACGCTCCCGCGCTCCGGGCAGGGCTTGCAGGTGGAAAGGTCGACGGAGCCGTAGGGCGCGCGGCGAGCGGTCGAGAGCGCGAGGAAGACGTTGGCGGGCTTGAGGTCGCGGTGCACCACGCCCTGGCTGTGCAGGTACTCGACGCCCGCGGCGATGCTGCCCAGAAGCTCGAGCGAGACGCAGGCGTGGAAGCAGTGCGCGAGGGCTGGCGTGCTGGAGGAGCACGACGCCCGCTCTGGCGATAGGAAGGCAGCGAGGTTCGACTCGTAGAGCGACATCTGCACGTTTAGCGTCAGAGCTGGGCCGGCGCTGCGGGTGCGCATCAGCGCTCGCTCCGGCATGTCGCTGTACGAGACCATGCTGTCGGATAGCTCCGTGGTCGCTTCCTGCGAAGAGGGCCGGTGCCGCCGCTGAATCATCTCGATCTCGTCGTCGTCAGAGTCCTCGGACACATCCTCGACGGCGCTCATGCGAGACCTTGTCGACGAGATGGTGGCGATGGTCGCTTGGCTGGCCTGGCTGGTGCGTCGGTTCCTGCGCTTGACGCTCAGCTGCTCGCGCAGTGAAAGACGGTGCGTGCTGCGCCCGGAATCGTCGGCGGCTTCTGCATCGCTGGCTTCAAATACGATGCCTGCGTCGTAGTCGGCCGACGGCTCGCCAAAGTCGATGCCGTCGAATTTCGAATCCAGGGAGCCCACATCGGAGGGGCTGGAGGCAAACTTCGCCGCATCTTCGAGCAGTCGATTGTTAGGCAGCATAGTTGTGGTAGACGTCGATTGCGTTTCTGTAGGCATTGCCGTGTACTCCAGCCAGGCATTGTGGTAGCGAACGATGTTTGCATGATCGAATGTGGCCAAAGACCGTACCTCTTCCAGTATACTGTTCAGTTCATCAGGCCCTTTCGCTAGCTTGGCCTGCGGCACTATGATGCGCTTGACCGCGTAGAAATGGCCGTCGAGTTTGTGCTTGACCTTGAACACTTTCCCGTAGCCTCCTTTCCCAACCATCTCAAGCTCGGAGAAGTCCCGCGCGTAGCGATCGTTCTGGAAGTCTGCGAACCACGGAGCTGGAGCAGGCAGGTCTGACCGTGTCTGTATATCAGCCAGAGGTGGCTGAGTACCTACAGCGCGTCCGTTCCTGTGACGCCTGACTAGAGACTGCGTAATCCCGGGCCCCTCTTCAATCGCCTGCAAATGCGCGATGGTAGTCTGGTGGAGGCGTTCTTGCATCTGCGTGCGGAGAGCACGAAACTCATCGTTGGCGTATCTAGTGTCCATTCCGTTCGGGAGCTGGCGAGCAATTTCTTGGTATGCTTCTTTGCCTTGTCTCTGTGCCTCTGCATCGGTGGGCTCTACGTGCAAACGTGCTGCCGCTGTTGTGATGGCATTCTGTTCGAGCATCGCGTGGAATGTCAAAGCCTGTATGTCCTGGGTCGAGAATCCTCGTGTGTCCAGGGACGGCCGTTGTGCGTTGATGGGTCTTTCAGACGCATCTGGCTCTAACGTATTGACGCGGGAGACTGAGCCATGTTGCCATGTTACCGCTTGCTCGGCATCTTCCTTTTGATCATAGGAGGCCTCTGAGGACGATGACGAGGAGTCTCCAGGTCTACGAAACATGGACATGGTGCAGGTGAGTAGGAAGTCGCTAGGCCAATGTGGGCAGGTGCACTAGGCAGGGGATCATCCAAAGATCAGTTGGTGCAATTGAGCTCCAAACGGTCTTGTTCGGTGCCAGTGAAGCGGTTGGGTGTGGTGGTGGTTTCAAGTCATGTGTTGTTCGTCGTTGGTGTTGTTATGTGTCCCTTCATCTGGCTACAGCGACAGTGAGGACCTGCTCGTTGTCGGTGACCTGATGGGGCAGGGACCTCCATCTGTGAAGGTCCCTTTGCGGTCTTTAGAGATGCATGGAATTCGAATGTCTCAGAATACAATGGAATGGGAACGTGGCTCGTTCGGCCTTCGAGATGCGCCAGAAGGGCGCACAGCAATGTTCAACTGATGTGACGTGGTTTAGGCGAAGAGCCTAGGCAGAAGTGGGGTAGTGGCTTCATTCACCTCTGCGTGCACGTGCGCGACGCGTCCGGGGACAGCGACTACGCGACAGGACAACGACGGCGATGCGCAGTTGAAACATGCTTGGCGCAGAGTGGTCGAAGACTTTCTGGTAAGTATCCAGTGACTCTCTTTAGACTGGCTCATCGCAGGTCAGCACAATGCCGCGACAGCTGCCCTGGAAGAGCAGCGGGGGCGGGGGCAGCCGCACACAAACGATAAAGCCAGCTACGCGCAAGACGAAGACAGCTGCTACATCAGATGACGTCGACGACGACTTCTTTGATGGCACTGTGTCCGCCGGCAGCAGCAAGGACAAAGGTGAAGGCAAAAGCAAAGCAAAGGCAGCCTCAGATTCAGATAGCTCCCTGCCAGAGGCCGGACCATCACCACACACCCCAAAATCAAAGAGAACTGAACCCAAAGAGCGAGCGCATTCATCTTCGCCGCCACCTCTGGCAGACTGTGCACCCCCTCGCGATGAGCCTATGCGGAAAGGCGTGTCCAAGTTCGACCTTCGAGATGATGAATGGATGATGGTCGAAGACGAGTTTCTCGAGACTGCAAAGCTTTTCACACGGCACTTGCACATCGCAGAGTACGACAGGCTAAAAGAGAGAATCGAGGCGAAGAAGAAGGACGCTGGAGTCGCAAGACCTGTTGTCGCAGGCGCAAAGCGCTCGGTAGATGGCGCAATGAAAGAGCGGGCAAGAATTCAAGAGAGCAGACAGAAGAAGGCCATTCGAGATGTTTTCGCCTCCCAAGGTGAGTCAAGTGAGGACGACAGAGCCTCATGTCGCCCGGAGCCAAGCAATGTCCCTTCAATTACAGCACGATGTCCTCCACCTACGAATGAAGCACAGGAGACTGATAGCGACGACTTGGATGCCCCGCGCCCGCCGAAGCCAAAAGAGCCATCTCCTACGACTTTGACTGTAGCGAAACCATTGCCAGCAACAAGACCGCGGCCCGCTTATCCCCAGAAACCCAAGCCAGCAGCGGAGTCTTTCGTTAAACCTTCTCTCCCGGCTACGACAGCACCAGCCAGACCGCGCGCTCGGCCTTCGCGAATGACGCCTTTCGATATGCTTGACGAGTACACGCCGCCGACTTTCGACACAAGAAACCCGCCTGCAACTCCTCGTGATGATCCGCGCTCTCAGTCGACATCGTCCGCTCACTCGTCCTCTCAGACTTCGGAAACAACGACTACGCGAACTGTCAAGCCGCGGCGTTCCATAGATTTGCTCGATGACTGGGGATCCTTGAAAGACACCATTGGGATCAGTAAAGAGGTGGCAGATAGGATCGCAAAGAGGAAAATTGAAAGAGCAAAAGAAGGGGACGCAACAGCCAAGAAGAGGGTCACCAATCTAGATGATATCCCTACATTTTTGTTCTGAGTCTTTTTGGAGTTTGGAGTTTCGGCAATGATACCCCGGCTGTGATTGACTTGATAATGGTCGTAAGGAGTAGTCAGCAAACGATCAAGATTAGATTTGCGTATTATTCCATTGTATGTACGGGTATCATGAAAGACAGAATAGATGAACTCAATCATGCCTCGCGACAAGAGTGATCTGAAGCGTCAAGTTAACACCATTGGCCGCCGGAGAGCCAAAGCCTCGTCTTTCTAGAAACCATCACTGCTGAGTGCTTAGCCGAAGAGCTTGTCCAAAACCTTGTTGAACCGGTTGGTCTCCGGTACAGCCACGAAGTTGCGGGTGTACTCTTCGATTTCAGCCAGATCAGTGACGAGATCGGCCTCGTGCGCCTTGACGATCTTGGTCTTCTTGACAAACTTCCAGCCAAGGAAGATAATAGGGAAGAGAAACACCATCATATAGCTAGGAGCGTGGTCAGTGACAGGTTGGTGAATTGAAGGAGTAAACTTACGAGAAGAGAAAGTTGGGAACGTCCCACAGGCCTGGCAGGAACACTGTGTAGCCACCAACAAATGTCATGATAAACGTGCAGGTGAGGGCATAGTACGCTGCATACGGCTGCAAAATACCAACATACGGCAGTGTCCTTCGATCGAGTCCTTGCGCTCTACACGCCTTGTAGAAGCACAAGAATGTATAGCACATGACGGAGAAGTTGATGAGCTGAGACGCCGTGACTAAGCTGACAAACCAGCTGAGAACAACCGCGGAGTTCTCACCGAGCTGCAAGAAAGAGAGCAGGGAGATGGCAAGGACGACGACAACACATAGGTAGGGAACGCCCTGCTTAGTGCACTTGGTTAGGACCTTGGGCGCCTTGCCTTCAAGTGCGAGACCGAAAAGAGAGCGTGATGCGCAGTAGACATAAGAGTTACCAGCGGAGAAGGCTGAAGCGAGAACACCAGCGTTGACAATGTGAGGAAGGACCTCGATTCTGAGCCTGTTCATGGCAACAACGTAAGGTGATGCGGCGGCTCCAGGCTTACCATCGGCAAAGGCAGCCTTCAGCTCGGGGTCGTTGTATGGCACGTTGATACCGACAGCCAGTGAACCAAGGACGAAGAAGGTTGTGAGACGGTAGAAAACGGCGTTGTAGGCGCGAGGCATGACCTTTCGAGGGTTCTCGGTCTCTCCAGCGGCCATAGAAACGTAATCAGGACCAGCGATCGTGAAAGAGGCCTGGATCAAGCATTGCAAGAAACCGAGGAAGCGTCCGAGATCTCCGCCGTAGTACAGTGGAGCGAAAGATCCGGGATTCTTCCAGTACCTGAAGCCATAGCGGTCTTTCTCAGGGTTTCCGCCAAGCATGGAGATGAACGTGAAGATGAGGAGACCGATGATGAGCAGGACTTTTCCAACAGCTGCCCAAAATTCAGTCTCACCGTACCACTTCACGGCCATCATGTTGATCACGCTGTCGCTGCGTTAGTTTATTACAACTTGAATCTTTGACCGCCACACATACCCGTAGAGAACAATAACAATCGCAATGATGGCACCGACGGGCACAGCATCGCTCCAGAAGTTGATAATGACATTGCAAGCCACAATCTCGAACGGTACAAGAGCGGCCTCGAAGATGAAAAAATTCCAGCCAGCAGCGACACCGAAAGCATCGTCGACGAAGCGACCTGCAAACCGGATGAATGGTGAAGATATAGGTAAGTACGTGACCATCTCGGCGATACCTGTGTTGAGGTTAGTTCAATCTCCGCATTGGGTGTGTGGAATGTGGTGCTCTTGGCAAACGGTAGAAGCTCTGGCATTGTCGCGATGGGAGATGTTGCTTGGGAAATAGAATATTGGGAGTCTCACTAACAGTGACCGCAAGGATCACAGTACACCCTAGAAATTGAAATCAGTAATTGTCTGTGGTGTAGGTGCATGTTTGCCTGCAACTTACACAACGAAAAGGCAATGAACAGCGACGCGGGGCCGCCGTTCATCAAACCTCGACCGATCTGGACATAGAGAGCGGTGCCAATTGTTCCGCCAATTCCTATAAGTTGGATGTGTCGACTTTTGAGCTTGCGGTGCGTATTGTCGTGAACTACTCTAACAGAGCCAACCGAGTCGCTGCGCCGGGGCTCAAAGTGCTTCTCTTCATCGACAGAGATACCTTGCACCTTCTTGTCGCCAGGCCCATTTGCGAGGTAATCGATGCCGCTGGAGGCCATTGTTGGAGGGTTTCGGGAGTAGTTGTCCGCGAAATTCAGCAAAGATCTTTAAGTAGAAGACAGAAATACTGCACAGCGAATTCCATGTACCACTAGTGCGGGCAATTCAGTAACTCGTGGGGCTGTTCGCGGTTGGTGTAACGTGAAGGTAAGCAGCAGACGGAAGAAGGGCACGGAGGGTTGATGAAATACTCAGTAGCGCTAGCGCGGACTCAGTGAAGGTGGATGGCCGCATGGGTCTCCGACAAACCGCTATGAATGGAGATGTGGACCACCCTAGCGCTAGTCTAGAACTTCACTAGTTCTGCATGCCGTTGCTCGACAGTCGGTGTAGCGCCAAAAGTCGATTGCACACTGTAGGTCCAAAGTGTGATCTGCTGATCATGATTGCTTTGTCTAGACTTAGTGGTTGTGAAGACACTTAATGGTTCCAGTTCCAGAATTGTACTGTGAACTTCACGGCTTGCCATGTGAGTACGCTTTCGGTAAGGATGGTGAAGATAGCAGCGTGGTGTTGCATGGTCTGGTCCGAGAGAGCTACCCGCTAGTCTGAGATGACCGCCTTGCGTGGGGCACCTTCAAGCCAACCGTTGGACCAGCACCAAACTCAGGACTGACGGATACCTGTACTGTCCAGGTACTGTTTGCTCGCAGTCCCTTTCACGTTATTCCAGGGTTCTTTTGGCCCGTAAAAGAACGCTGTGATGGCGCCACCGCTCTCGGGCACTCCGAATATCCACGGCTCGAATCTCGAAAATGCCTCCAACTCTTGACTTTGCCTTGGCCTTTGCAGCTTCTCCAATTGCAGAGACAGTAGCATGTCCTACGGGCTGAACATCCTCTTGGCAACTCTGGGCTCGAAGGTTGGCGGCAGGCTTCGTAGAATCTGCCACCCGCCACAGGCTTATCTGAACATCGAATAGGCCGGCATCTAGCTCGCGTGCTTGAGAGAATTTGAGCGCCGCAGCTCCGGATCCCAGGATTCGCGTTCGAAGACCCAGGGCCGTTGCCTCGGTATGTACGACAGCTCGTGTGTGCGACGGCGCGACCTCTCACGCAGCACCGGTCTGTCACCCGGCTGTCGTGAGCCTTGTCATTGTCGAGCTGAGAGGCGATGCAAAATGACGTTTTCGCATGACTGTACGAGTTAGCCCCAAGGCTGGCTTGACGTTGCAGCAGAGCCTGCCGGGCGGGCGAACGTACAGTGACCCCACGCTCCCCGCTGAGAGGCGCGAACGGTTCGTTGCTTTCGGTCCGTGCTCAAGAAACCAGGTGCCCCCAATAGTACTTTGAGGGTACCATGGACGATACAACGTACAGGGTTTCGTGCTCATGCAAGAGCATGAGGATAGCATCGTCTTGCTTATGTGGCGCTTGGTCGCTCCTGGGTACCCGCACTGTGTGCAGCTTGCCAGTTTGGGCAGAGACAACAAGAGCTGGACAGGAGAATCAAGTGCATTGCACCCTGCTTACGTGAAAAGCCGGCACGCTCACAAGGTGAAAACTGCTTAATTAAAACGGTCGCCACGTGCGAATCGACCGACTGCAGATATGTAGCTCGAAATTGTAGGTTGCAACTGCTAACAGCTGTCAGTCAACAACACTAAGAAACTATGTAGCTCACGATACCTAGCTCCACGCAGCCTTATAGCGGTCTTGACTCGCCCAACGACCGACGTTCGCACGATTAAGATCAACAATAACAAGTATACACGTTATTTAGGAGGCGTAGGTATCTCATAGGTCTCGTGATCAAGGCACGACATTAACCACACCCGCCGAGCTTACTCACAGGACAGCAGCGACACCAGCGACACCAGCTGCGCGCCGTGAGATCGAGCAAGAGTGGCGGTATACGACCGATCCTCATCTACCGCCTCGGGCGGCCCCAGAGTTCCGTCCCCGAGATGATCCGGATGAACATGTTTGGGAGTACGGGTTTAGAGATGCCACTGGAAAGGTGATCAGGGGCAGGGCACGATGAAGCAAATGGAGATGCATAAGGCAACACGACACCGTGAACTACAGGAGAGGCGGACAGCATAGTCACGATTCTTCATGCGTTGCTGTGACGCAATTGAAGCCTTCATAAACAACAATAGTTATCTAGTCTGAGAGGCTCTTGGTTGATGATTTATCCTGATAATCTATGTCATAATCCGCGCGCTTCGCCGCTCTCTCCTCATCCTCGGCGTATCTTGCTTCATCACCTGCTCCAATCTCTTCGGGTGGGGTTGCTGACCGTTTCCGCTTCTTGACCTCCTTGGCAAATACATGCTTGCCCAGTACTTGCTCTTCTCTGCTATCTGCCGCATTAAGATATTCGCAGAGTTTTGACCCAGGAATGCAGATGAATGTGTCTTCCTTGCCCATCTCTTTCTGGGCAAGTCCTTCGTAGGTGAATTCGCTGAGGCGGAGCCGTAGGCCAGGCCCATTTACGGCCTTTCCTTCTTCGTCACGGAAAGCCTGTTACGATCGTCAGAAACTTGCAAAACTTGTTTAAGAAAAAGGACCTACCTCATCTGCGACCTCTTCTACAGCTCGCAATTCAAATCCGTCATCAGTAGTGACCAGTTCGGGTCGCCAGACCGATAATGTTGCTTTGCGTGATTCCTTGTTGCCATACTCAATATGTACGCATACGACAGCCCGCACGCTGGCGTCGGAATCCAGGATGTAATTCTCAGCTAATCGGCCTAGGCACGACTTCTTCTGCGAGTATGCGACTTCGACGATAACGCCTGGATATTTGGCGCCTTTATGCCTAAATGACGCGTCTGGCTCGTACTTCGATCTGCTAGACAAAGCGCTGGCGTCGAACCGTATTTCAGTCGATCGAGCTGAATGCAGTTTCTGCGCGAATTCAGACTTCTTGCCTGATCCGTTCTGTATTGTTTTCAGCTGGCTTCGAATATCATCCTCCACTGCGTCGATGAAGCGTTCGTGTATCTCGGTAGGCATGCGAACGACTAATTTGCGTGTATCTCCGTCGTAGTCATACCTGGCGCATACCCTGTCAGCTATGGTCCCTGCAGTCTCTGAAGTCTACTCACCGTATCTTCTCTTCCACGTATCCCGAAAGCACATCGTCTTGTTGAAGCGTACTTTCTATCTGATCGTACTCTCCATCTACAAGCTGAAACTCTGTCCGTGTGTCTCGCTCAACGATACTTCCTGAGTGGATTTGTCTAAAAAGTGCGATAACGCGAGGCGCCTCCGTAAATGGCTTCTTGTCGGTCAATGGAGGCGTCAAAGGCTGATCTGTGAACCTTAGGGGTGGCGTGACGGCCTGACGCTGCATTACATCTGCTTGCGATGTTGACATAGCAGTATATTGTGCTGCATCGTAAAGTTGGTTGGAAGCCTTCACTCTCGCGCAAACTGACGGATCGTCTCAAGCTCGGGTGGTTTGGTTGACTCAGCAACAGCGCCACACAGCCAGGGAGCCAATGACACAACTGTGGCTGAACGAGCAAGCCACCACCCCGCACTTTATCGCAGTAACAATTTAGCAGCGTATGCACCACCGCAGGCAGCGCCTTCAATGTATGATACTCGGTGGACACTTATAAGAGATATCATGTTTACTCTTGTCTTTGCACTAATTACACTGCCCTCAATGTTGGTCACCACATTCGCGCCACCAAGGCTCTCCATGGTTTTATTGCAGCCCCATCCTCCGCAAATGTCGCCGTGGATGGCGGCAGCGCCAGCCCATCACTCATTCTCGCAGCTTTGTCCGTTGGCTCTGGAGCAGTTACATCTTGCTCAGCTTCTGGCACGTGCTGTTCTTCACTTGGCCGGGGCGCCTTGGCCTTCGGCGCAGCCGCATCTGTCACGGAAGCAGCACTTTCCCGTTTCCGACCACGTTTCTTCATGCCAGTAGCAGCACCTTGGGCCTCTGGTGCCGCACTTGCGACATTACTAGCTTCTTTAGCAGCCTTTTTGGCCATTTTCTCCGCTGCCTTTGCGTCCATCACAGCGCGTTCTGCTCGCTTCTTCTCGAGGTCCTCATAGGTCACCACTCTTGCTGTACCTATTACCTTTTGATCAGCTGCTCGGCGAGCTTTTCCCTCATTGTTGATCCTAGCTAAGAACTGATTACGACTGCGAAGTAGTGCAATTGTGGCGATATATGTCTGAGCAGCGTTTGCCACCTTCTGTTGGAGCCTCGCTTTGTGCTGGCTGCTCGCTTCGTCGTTAGGAACCTTTTTGATCCTATCGAGTAGTGACATCAGGGCCTCTCCTGATCTTGGCGTTGCAGGCGTAGGCAGTGCTTCGTAGTCCGGACGAACACCCATGTTTGACTCATCAGCGGTCGAGATAATTGGATCAGTGGGGGGTTTGGGTATCTCTGCGAGTACTCTATTGGGATTGAATGGGAACAGACCGCTTCCTCTCCAGGCTCCAAGGATGTTCCTTTTCGTAAATGCCCTCTCCCTTGCTGGGCTATACAGATAAGTGAAGTGCTGCTTGCCAACTGTGTTTACCCCACCCAGCTCCATCCTTTCAACCTGTTCGCGATAGGCTGTCTTCAAGGGCCCAAAGACGCCGACATCACACGGCTGGAGCTTGTGCGAGCAATGGGAGGGCATGCGGCACAGCGTGATATTGTTTTGAAAACAAAACTCCAAGATTTCCAGGGTTTCATGCGTTCCGAAACCATCCCAGATAAGTAGCCGTGGCCTCATGTTAGCCCGTTCCTTGGTCTGGGGGTCGAAAACAAGCTTAAGCCACTGTAGGCTGATGTAAGAGTCAGTGAATCCAGTATCAGAGACCGCATATACCCAACCAGGAGTTGGATAGGTAGTCTAGTTAGCTCGATGGGTTTTGGCGGGCCAGATTATCATAGGATTTAAACATCTTCCATCCGCAGAGACACATTCAACAGCAGTTACCATGGTACGCTTGACATGCGCACCTCTATAGGCGTGTGTATCATCCTTACCGACTAGGACTTTAACGGAGTTTAGCATACTTAGCATAACACCAGTCTCATCCATATTATAGGTGTTCTCTGATAATATAGCTGGGTTTTGTAATTCATTTCCAATCACTTCAAACCAATACTCAACCTTATTGTAGATGTTATGTCGGTTCCAATCCTGCGGCCTGTTCTTCTTTGCTATGAGCTCTGGACGGTGTTTTTCGAATGCCTTAGCCCAGTTTGGGCCGGGAGGCTTAAGTGGCCTGTCCGCTAGGGGCCGATTGCGAGTGGCAACGAATGCTATTGCAGCTACATGCTTCATGCGCACAGGAGTTCCAAACGCCTTCTGTTGTAACAGAAACTCGACGACGGCGTTCGCTTCGTATGGGGTGAGGTACCGCTGCTTTTGGGCTTTGGCGGCTCTGGATTCTCGTTCGAGTTTGCGATGACCGAGGGTAGAGAGAGCTACATTAAAATGTGCTGCTCGAGCCGCGAGGGTGTCAGGAATGCCTTCAGGGAGTGCTTCGGTCAAAGCTCGACTCTCCTTGTCCATGGTTAGCCCTCTGAGGGAGGTGATGTGGGAGGAAGGGAGCGGGAGGCAGCGAGTCTAGGTACAGAGGCAGTGCAGCCAATGGAGCTAGGACACGTAGCTATTTTAAGACCGAACAAACCAGCTTAGACTAAACAAAGACCATGTTTACGCCATAAGGCACGTGATAGCATCTAATTAAATACAGTAAAATACACAGTTGCTAAATACGCACTAACATGCGCTAAAGTAGCGAGGGAAGGTGAGACCCCTCATTCTGGTTGGCGAAAGTCCCGGAAGCACCAACATCAAAGGTATAATGCCTACAAAATCTGCGAACCTGTCTGTTATTCCTAAGACTACCGTTGATTGGTTCCAGAAGCTGCCGGCCTGGGGTATTAGCTGCGTAGACAAGGGTCGTGCAGTTGAAGAGGATCTGGAAATAATGACGAAACAATCAACAGCATGGCCAACAGGATGGTAAGTTTCACATCGCACACCCATGGCAGGTACGGAATTGCTATTGAATATCACTCCACAAGCTACAAGTTCAAAGACTTGTGTAGGAGAGATTTAGGACAACTAAATAGTAAACTCATCTCGTCACGGAGTGGCTCTCGTTACATAGTGGGGGATATTAGTTAGTTTGTTGCTATACAGTAGTATCTTTACCCTTCTTGTGAACTATTTTATCTGTGCGACGTTAGTGTGTCTAGCAGTAGGAGGTTTAAGCGTTGTACTCAACTGCTGCAGGCTTAATTAGTTAGCGAGAATAGTAAGCTTGTTAAAGATTCCGCGATTAATTATGCTAATTGAGAGGTTTTGGTTAGTTATCTAGTCTAGTGCAAATTTAGAGCGCTTTTGCTGCGCGAAGGTTGAGGACGCTGCTGAAGCTTACGGCGCAAGCATGTTGTGTAACGAGGGCATCGAAAGTCGCGCTCTCCACCGTCTTCGGCTGTTCTGGTGGCGATGCCATTTGCGAGCGCCGTGGCTGTGATAGTAGGAATGTAATAGCTAGTGAGCGGGAGTATATATTGACACTTCTTTTTTATGTAATGACTATGCGCTTACTATTTGTACACTTTCTGTCGTAACATCAGAAGTTTGTCTTCATTATCCTACGGGGACGCTCAGGAAGAATTGTGTCGTTGCTAACGGCGCCATCGTTGTTGCTTCTCTTCTTTTTTTGCACTGGTTGAGAGGCTCATCTTTGAAGTCGCACTTCGGTCCAGCCCAACCTTCGTCCTCCACTTATCTCAAGTTAGCTGAAATAAAATGACAATTGAACAGAAATGGTACTTACCGTGGTCCTATAACTCTGCAGACAGCAACAGGCACAGATCGCGACGATGCCAACCACAGGGACAGCTTGAAGGCCTCCACGGTCACACACGAGGTAGCCAAGTCAACGGCTCCTGCTAAGGGCGTTGTCGCTGCTGCAGTCATCTGATAGCTCCACACCAGGCTCTCGGGTACGCCTCCTCAACCACAACTAGGTATCACAGCATCGGCGGCGACTCAGCAGGTACAATATCATTGGTGAATAGCCAAGTCGTTAATTACTCGTTCTCGAAGCCTGAACATCTAGCGTAGAGTGACCGCTCACTGGCCTGCGGAGCGGCATAGAAGTGGAGCCCCTACAAGCAGAGTGCGAAGACAATTTAGGGAGGGCCTTGTGAAGTCCACCCATCTCAAAACCTTGTGCGTCCAGCGCGCGATCAAGCTCCTGTTGGAGTTCGTGCAGTCTGTCCATCGTAGTGAGCTCGCCCATCCAGCTTTTGCCAGTCTTGTGATCGAAGTGCATGGCTTGGACAGGTCCGCCGTAGCCAGTAAGGTCAGCAAGTGTCGGCGGGTGAATGATGATCGTTTCTTTTCGCTCGAACCCTTGTTCGGTCATGAACGTTCCGGCTTCGATAATCTCAGGTTCCCTTCGATATTTGGGCAAAGTCGTCCGTCGGGAGTGAGGACTCGAATGCTCGCAGATCGACCACCAACGATTGTCGCCTGTACGAGCGGGCAATTCATCGGCGGAGATTTCGATGAGTCCCTCTCCATTTGGGTTGGGAATCCAATGACGAGGCGGGAGAACCTCTGTCATCATCACAGGCTGTATACGGTGGAAGTGTTCGTAGTTGTGAATCTCGCGATAGATCTTGTGTTGAACAACCTCGTGCTGGTGTGGCTTGATCACTTCGTGTGTGACGGCTTTGTAAGGTTAGTCGATATACCAGAAAAGAGCGGAATTCGCGTACCAGGAGCCCATGTGATGTCTCCATCTGTGTCGATAGTGTCTCTGAGATCCACAACGCCATCCTCACGCAGCTTTCTGGCCAGCGCAGTCTCTTCGCTATCTGCCGTCCCATCCATAATAATGTGATGTACGCCAGAGTGTGATCCTGCGACCTCGTACGTTTCTTGTGGTGCTCTGGACGTGTCATTGTCGCTGTCCGACATATTAGGCTTCCTTTTCTCGCACCCTGGCTCCGCACGAGCGGCCTTGGGAGGGAAGCTCGACTTCTTCGCAAATCCTTTCTCATATGCACTTGACTCAGCGTGCGGGCGAATACCGTCGATGAGACCACCATTGGCTGTGATGTTGTCGCCGAGAGTATGCTTCCCAGCATAACCGCCAGTCGAAACTGAGCTCAGCGTGGCCCCGGATTGTTTGCGCGAGTGTACTTGAGCGGATGGGAGGTTCGAAACAGGAGCAGCTCGAATCAAAGTTAGAATCTATACGTTCTCACTGTCGTTATGGGCCAGCCCCTTGCAGACAATAACAAGATTGATACTTACTTGAAGAAGATACAGCTGATCCATTGTGCGCGACACCAACTGTGCTGCGATGTCCACCATCGATCGATGTACTATAACGTGCAATGTTGCGGTCGGCGACATCTTCCTCGTGGCGTGCCTCGCTCTCCCCCTTCATGTGTCGTCTGTCCCCACTAAGTGTGATGTACTCGTCGCCATGGTCGTCATTTACCGGTAAGAGCGCCGGCAGGTATGCCTTGTAGTCGTTCGCTATGGCACCGCCGTTGTGGTCGGCGGAAGCAGATGCAGCTGATTGCCTAACAGGTAGTTGGTTCTGGCGTTGATCATCGTAGATGGAGCTGACTGGTCTGCTGCGGCCGGTGTAGATAGACCCAATTGCAGATGAATCGGCTGATGTGCGATCGTGCTTGTCCGAGAATACGGGCTGTCGATCGGCGCGTGATGGGCTTGCTTCGCCGTGTTGAGATTCGTTTCCCAAATGCTCGTCTGAGCGTGACGAGCTCCTCAATTTACTGGACTTTCGAAAGACGGATTTTAGCTTCTGTTGCATGATGCTTGCTCCTCAACAAGAAGCTTAGGTGATTGATAGAACGCGCAAAGTCTAGGAAGCGCAAAACTTAGGTATAAGCTGCTGGAGACGGCTCGTAACACAGGCGGGTCTATGTGTACCAAAGTGTTAGATGTCAAAGGCAACAAAAGGGACCATGGGTCAGCTATGACGCACTCAACGTGCTTTCCAAATGCTCAGAATACTTCAGTACTTCGTATGTAAGGGAGGTGCGAGGCTGCTAAACATAAAGTCATATGGAGGACCTAAAAGAACAGTCCAGATGCCATCTAGTGACAGCACGGTCAAACGTCAGCCCGCTGCCATCGACGTGACGCCATGGCTCGCCAACGGCAACGACGATGGGCGGCAGAGCGCGGCAGGACATCAATCAGACTCGATGGCGGAGTCGCCGAGAAGTCCAGGCGTTACCGGCTGTTCCTCTCCCTGTGCTCGTCCAGCGTACCGTGGAGCTCCCTTGTTGCCTCTTCAGAGCAGAACTCAGTTCAGGCTGCTGCTACTGATGCATCTTGGTGAATGGCGTACTTGATGACGTAGCAGCATCACGATGCTCAACTGCTCTTCCACCGCAACCGCCTCAACGATTAGAAAGGGCATATCAGGCCCACTTAGGCACTGTAACGATGCCACAAGCATCGCGGCGGGTTTGCAGTGGTCATGGTGGACATGCACGGCGGGATGACGAAAAGCAAAGAAGGTGGCGAACGGCGGGCGGCTCCCGCTGATGATCGTAATAGCGTACCAAAGGACAGGGAGATCCTCAGTGCGTCAGTCTCGAACGTGGCCATGGCTCAGGCGCCGCGAGCGAAACAGGAAAAGACATACACCAGTAATGCGGGCGACGCGTAGGGAGTGTGGGGACAAAAGACATCGAAAAGGTGCTCGCCATGAAGTTCTGGCATGGGTTCAGCGTGTGCACGGACGGCAGCTGACTAGCCGCAGATCTTCACGTCTCCTATTCCCCCACTTGACACAATTCCAATTACACAGCTTCGGTTGCGTTTGAGCCTACCTCATGGAGAGCAGAGGTTTGCCTGAGTGCTCGTAGTGTGCAGAAAATCTTTGAGGTAGGCAGGCAGGCTCGTAGCAGCAACCTCAGCGGATGGCCTAGGAAGGACTGGACCGTACTGCTCTACTTGCTCGAATAGTGGCCGGCGACATGAGCTTAGATCCCTCCCCCTGACGTACATCAACAAACACGTCTTTGTGCCTTCCTCGGAGCTACCGCTGCCACATAGCGAGACCCATCAAAATCGAGACCACGCTTATGCAGCCAATGAACACTGCCACATGTAGGCAATCGCCGAGCTGGGTCGGTCATGGCGATGGGGCTAAACCGCCGTGCCGTTTATGGCAACGAGCAGGCTTTACCGACTTCGAGGTCCTATCAATTACGTCGTCCTCCGTATGCTCCAGCGAAGGAGATGTATAAAGGGTTCAAGCAGCTGCTACCCATAGATGCCATACCATCATCAAACATCAATTTCCCAACTTTACAGAACCACAACTTCTCAATAAGACTTTCACCACCCTCATATTAATTAACAATAACACTCCATAATGGATAAGGCTAAGGCAGCGATTACCGACTTCATGTCCAAGTCTGGACATCACGACACCACCGTCCACGAGGCCGTTGCTCCTGCTGTACAGCACGAGGTCGTGAAGCCTCATGTACACGAGGAGGTCCAGACTGCCGTGGACAAAGAGGTCCACCAGGACCATTACCACCGCACAGTTCAGCCCGTCCAGGACCGTGAGGTTCTCCCCGAGCAGCACACTGCTAAGCTCGGCGCTGTTCAACATCGCGAATTCGATCACCGTGACCACGATACCACAAAGAGGAATCTTATCGACGAGCAGGCCCGCTTCAAGGACGAGCGCCATGTAGATGCTACCACACACAGCCAGAGCGCCGCTGCTGCTATCGGCGGTGAGCACGTCCACCACCACATCCACGAGACCATCCAGCCAGTCGTGCAGAAGGAGACCATCCAGCCCAACGTTGTCCACACCACCGTTCCTATTCATGAGGTTCACCACAACAAGGCTACCCACCATAGCACAACTGCTCTTCCTGCCATGACTATGGATGAGTTCAAGAGCAAGGGTGGAGCTCTTACCGGCCGTGAGGAGCGTTATGATGCCTTCGAAGGTGTTCCCAAGAACATCGGTGCTGGCACTGCTGGCGGCTTCGGTGCTGTCCGCGAGGGATCTGGTCATCATGACCACCACCACGTTGATGGTGCCCCGCGCCACGGCGACTTCGATAAGTCTACTGGCTCTGGCCTCACTGGTCATCACGGCCAGCAGCACAACGACTTCGCTCGTGACAATCGCACCCACACCACCAAAGATGGTCTTCCCGATGCACTCACTGAGGATCGCTCCAGGGCTGATGCTCACAACACCCACACCCGTGACTCTACCTCCAGCGAATCCGCCGAGCACAAGAAGCCAAGTCTTATGGATAAGCTTAACCCTAAGGTTGACGCGGATGGCGATGGCAAGGCCGGCTTCATGAAATAGATGCATGCACTCTCGCATCCCTTTTCTTTTGACGTTTTGATGAGCCACGAGCATGTAGATACCACATCTTAGTGTACAGCAATGCGAAATAAATCCTTCACAGCCAATAACCATGAGTGATCTTACGCATCGTGCTATTCGTCGAATCTGACTGACTTCTCTGCAGTCATCGTGAAATCATACCTCATACCTATTTCGTCAACCAATGTCTCCCACCATCGCACAAGGGCTAACGCTGTAGTCACCCGTTCTTCGTTGATCAGAAATACCCCTCAATGACGTCTGGTCTACCCTAGCTTCAACACAATGGACGTGCGGCAGCTCAAAGGGTCCACTGCTCCAGCCACAGCTGCCTCAGGCGGCTCGTACCATCGAAGTACCGACTGCCTCAGGCGGCTAGCAGAATTCCGTAGTACGATGTTGCAATAACTGACTGTGACAAATCTACTGAACTCAGCACTTCAATAATGACGCATCAGAGCACTCTCTGGGCAATGGGCTTCCACTCTGAAGTTGGTTTCTCGGTTGCAACGAGTACCACACGACCTCCCGTCCAAGACGAACCCTCACTTCGGTTGACAAGATCAACACCTGCCTCTTGTGCGAGTTTGACCGTCTCTTCGAGGCCGGTTGCGTCGACCCGTGGACAGTTATGACTGTAGTCAGGAGTCAACCATGACCGCTACATGGATCGATTGGGTGAGACTTACTATAGCAGGCTGACATGCGGGTTGTACGTCTCTTCCGCCCACTTCCTGGCTATGCCCTCGTCCTCGTGATCAGAAACCTGTTTCCTGCAGGCTTTTGCTAGCGCTTTCAATCCCTCTGTTTTCTGGCACTTGATGTAGAGCTTGCGGAAGTAGACATCCTCGCTGTTGAGCTCCTCGAACTCGATCTTCACATCTCCACCACCCGGAAGGTCCAAAGAGTCAATCCATGTCTGTGGCTCAGAGCCGTAGCTTGACAAGTTTACCAAGTCAGACGTTAACGTGACGTGAGGGACGAAGAGATCCGTTGAGTTGAAATGTGAGGCTGTGCTGTTGATGAGGGATGCCAGCCTCTCATTCAACGGATGTGAATCCGGCGGGAGGAGCCACAGGGATGATCCAGGCATGTCGCGCTAGCAATCGCAAGTGTTTGGGGGAAGTGATTAAGTGTTTACTGCACACCATTGTCGCTGCTCAGACGCGTCATGGACCCATGGTTCCTTTAGCTGCGCGTATCTAGCTAGCGCCAGCTGCTCCCTCCCCGCAAAACGCGATCCTTCCGGCTCGGCGTCGGTTGCTCTGCGGCACTTTTACCGCTAATGCTCCCGCGGCGCCGTTCACATGTGAATGCTGCTTTGACACGAGACTCCTCAATGACAGCAAATACCCGACCCGGACAGCAGACACCGCGACGACATGCCATTCAGTGGCGCCATCAGCCGATCCCCTAGACGTTGTCACGATGGCTGGCGGGTTGCTATGGAGCGTATTTGGCTGCTTCGCTGAGATCTTCTTGTTCTGGCTACGGGTTTGTTGCTCCTCGTGCCGTTATAACGACTTGTAGGCCTCCCGCTAACACCTATGCTAAAGCGACTATTTGCATGGTGGACCAAGAAGAGTCCGAGAGATCTGCTGCTCGAAACCATAGCAGATGCACGCTGCTTCGAGGAATGGGAGGCATCAGGTAAGCGATCGACTGCTGTATCTTGAACTGTGCTGACTTGCCTTTCAGCGTACCACCTCGATGAGCTCCAAGGGTACGATCTCTGGCGCCAGAATGCCACGAGCAAGTACTACAACTACCGTCTCATACACCAGCGCCTCACGGCCATCATCGAGACCCACGAAGATGATGACATGCTAGGCCTAATTGGCCTGCTGAGGAGCGGCCTCGTTCGAAACCTCGGAAACATCACAGCACCACGCCTATTTGACCGTGCATACGGCGGAACAAAGCTCCTGATCGAGGACTATGTCACGCAAGTCTCGTACGCGATCGAGTACCTCACCAACTACCCAACGACGGCAAGCTCAGATACAGGATTGACGAACCAGGCGAAGCTGGATGTGTTGCATGATACAAGGCAGGCATTTGGGAGATCGGTGCTGGTGCTGCAGGGTGGGCAGGTCTTTGGCATTTGTCACTTAGGTGTGGTCAAGGCACTACACCTACGTGGCTTGCTGCCTCGTATTGTTGCTGGAACTGCGACAGGAGCCATCATCGCAGCGCTGGTAGGCGTGCATACCGAAGATGAGCTGCTGGACTTCCTCAACGGCAAGAACATCGACTTGAGTGCGTTCAAGAAGCGCCCACAGAAGAAAGGGTCGAAAGGTAGCGGCTGGCTTGAGACACTCACGCGCCGTGTCAGACGTTGGTGGCAAGAGGGCCACTTTCTTGATGTGGGTGTGCTGGAGCAGCTTCTGAGGGCAAATGTTGGGGATTTGACGTTCGAAGAGGCGTACACCAGAACGAAGAGAGTTCTGAACATCACCGTGACCACCAGCGGTGGCGGAGGCGTGCCAAACCTATTGAATTATCTCACAGCGCCGAACGTGGTATGTGTTGCGTCCAGCCGATACGGACCTCAACTGACAAGTCTAGCTCATCTGGTCTGCCGCTCTTGCTTCGAACGCGACCGCATCCTCCACGCTCTACAACCCTGTCGTTCTGATGTGCAAAGACGATTCTGGCGCCATTGTTCCCTGGTCTCCAGCTTCAGACACCACGTTCCGCCCATGGACTCATGCCTCCTATACTGACCGCCAATCGCCACTGCACCGCATAGCTGAGCTCTTCAACGTCAACCATTTCATCGTCTCGCAAGCACGCCCCTACCTTGCGCCCTTCTTGCGGTCCGATCTACATCATCCGAACCCTCGACAAGATGGGCGCTGGAAGCTCAGCATGCCAATTCTCAAGCTTGTGGTGCTGGAAGTACAACACAGGCTGCACCAGTTAGATGAGTTGGGCTATCTGAGTCCGAGCATACGCAGGTTCCTGCTTGATGAGAACATCCCTGGCGCGAGCCTGACGCTAGTTCCCGAGCTCACGCCAGGAGACTTCTTCAAGCTGTTGGAGAACCCAACGAAGGAAGCGATTGACTACTGGATTTTGAAGGGCGAGCGGAGTGTGTGGCCAGCTGTGACGGCGTTGAAGATCCGGTGCGCCATTGAGGTTGAGTTAGACAGAGGGTATCAGCTCGTTAGGAGGCGCAGGCCTTTCGAAAGTGTGCGCAATGGCAGCTTGAGGAAGAGTGGGAGTCGAGGAGAGGTCAGGTCGGCATATGGAAGTCAGGACTTCGGGCAGGGTGGCCGGACACAGAAGAGAGCGAGGGCGGAGAGCTTTGGTGGGTAATATCTTTCGAGCGACGATAAGCTCACATGCATAGAGTAACATGGAGACCACACTTCGTAATGAAGTCATTTCAATGTCTCGGTATCGGTCCACTCAGACCCTTCATGAGCGAGAAGCCTAATAATGCTCCCATACCGAAGGCTATTAGTGTGTTCATCGACAATACCATCTCCTTCTGGCCCTGGTTCAACTTCCTCGCCTTCTCAGCGTACTCCTTCTTCCTCTTCTCAACCTCATTCGCAGCTTCGTTCTGATCAAGGGATGTCTTTGCTGAGGCACCACCTTTATAGTCCCTCACCAGTGGATCATCGCTCTCGCTCAAGTCAATCCAGTCCGACTTGCTGTCCCCCTGATCCAGCGGACATCTAATATTCAGCCCCCCAAACACGCCCTCCTTCCCCTCCTTCTTCGAACTCATTCCCTCTGGTAACCACTCCTCCAACATGGACGCAGGCAAGCTTCTAAAAACAAGCCCCATCCACATCTCCAGCACGTTCAACAACAAAGCCGGGTCTTCCATCCCAGTCAACGCATGGCCGCCCATAGTTGGGCTTGGAAGTGCAGCAAGCACACCGATGGCGTTGTATATCGATCGCTGCAGGGCGTAGTAATGTAGGGACGGGTTGTCGCGCCGGTAGCGGAAGTTCAGATGCTGGGCGATCCTGGGCCGCAATGACCGCGCTTGACCAACGTATATGCGGACGCGTTTGTCGAGCCCGAGGATCCCATTCAGGTAGATTGCGCTGGCGCCGGTGCGGAGATCGCCGCCTATGGGTTTGAGCCTGTTGCGCTGTTACGTTCGGCCCTTTGAGGAATCGCGCTTCTGAGGTTCGAACTGTACTGCAATATTTTTTCGACAAAAGTGGTACGTACGCATCGAGACTCCAGCGCCCGTTGAGGTACGTCCAGACGTGGGGGCGAATGCAGCGGAAGCAGAAGTCGTCGAGTCCGGGATGACGTTCTACCCATTTTCCATATCTTGCGTAGTGCTTAGACTCTGGCTCTTCCAGGCTCGATAATAAGTGCTTCAATATGGTTCGCGCTTCGACGTGTGCTGGCGTGAATTGCGTGGGCAGATCGTTCATCCTGGAAGCTGTGGACGTCAAGGCTGATGTCGATGAATTTGAGATCCACGACTGTGAACTCGTTTGCGACGTCTGCGAGTTCTGAGTCGCCTCCATATTGTATACGATTCCAGTACCTCAGGTCGTAGTCTTGCAAGCTGCAGGACGTTAGGCAGACTACCAATTGCGGCTAGTATCAAGGCAGCAAGAGGCGAAAGTCGACGTGAAGCTTTCTGAGCGCGTGCATGTGCGTCTGCTGCCTGGCCGATGTGACTTTGCACGACGATGTCTCGAATGACAGACTCTTGATGTTTTGTTTGTCTAATGATGAAAGATGTTGGTGTTCGCTTTAGTGGCTGGTGAAGTTGCCTGATAAGGCAGGAATTTTACTTTGCTGTTGATTACGGGCGCTCCTCGGGATGGGTACCCATGCAATGAAGCTGGATCCTCCAAGACTTGTCTTCGATGTAGCTGTTGTGCATAATTTGATGGGCTCGAAGAGCTTAGGTGAAGCTTCCAAGATCGGCATAAAGCGTATAAACATATGCGGGCTTCTACACAGTATGTACTATGAAGCTCCGTCTGTCGAGAAGCGCTGCAGCCAGTCCATAAGGTGCTGAGATGCTGTTGCAATAGCAGAATTTGCCAGACTCGAATCGCCTCCTCTTAGTACGAAGACCAGATTTTCATCTCGAGAAAGCTATACAGACTCAGAGGTCTCATAGATGAAGGGAGGGTTAAGGGTTCTTCGTGCACGATTTTGTCTTGCCAATCTAATCTAATCTCATCACCGCCCACCGCCGAGCTGGCCACGACCCTTGCGACTAGAGGCCAGAGCAGCACACCAACGCTGCAGGCTTCCATTATACCACGCAACAGTCCGCCAGTCACACTTCTTTTCCTACCTTGTACCCTTCAACTACTTCCAGCACCTTGACGCGACTGCTACACCAGCAAGATGGTACTTTCCTCCCCGCATCAGTTGCACAAATGCACCTGCCCGAGCTTCACCCGCTCACTTCACTCCAGGCGAACGTAATAGCAAACTCAGGCCACGATGATATGATTGTACGTCTACACTTTCACCTCGAATACTCCGCGAGCCTTCACACTACGCAGCGTTCTTCGATTCTCGCACCTGCGCTCCTGAACGAAACCATGCGCAATGGCCGGCAACGATATTGATCTGCTGTCAATAGAGGCTAATGAAGCTCAGCATGATGCCGTTCTGGATTACTATGGCAGGCGGTTAGCAACATGCTCTTCGGACAAGACAATCAAGATCTTCGAGGTTGAGGGAGAATCCCACAGGCTGGTGGAGACCCTGAAGGGGTACGTCACCGTGGCACACAGACGTAGCATGTTGTTGACAGCTTGACAGACACGAGGGCGCTGTATGGTGTGTAGCATGGGCGCACCCCAAGTACGGCAATATTCTCGCATCTTCGTCCTACGACGGCAAGGTCCTCATCTGGCGCGAACAAGGCGGCGCCTGGCAAAAGATCTACGACGTTGCGCTCCACACCGCGTCTGTCAACCACGTCGCCTGGGCACCCCACGAGGCCGGATGCCTCCTCGCTTGCGCTTCCTCTGACGGCAACGTCTCGGTTCTCGAATTTAAGGATAACAACTGGACACACCAGATCTTCCAGGCTTGCGGCTCGGGTGTAAACAGTGTCTCCTGGGCACCAGCTGTTGCGCCTGGCCAGGTCATCAGTGCGAGCGGAAACCAGGGCGGCACTGCACGACGATTTGTCACCGGCGGTAGCGACTGTCAAGTCAAGCTTTGGGAGTTCAGCGCAGAAACAGGAAGCTGGCAAAACACGCAGATTCTGTCTGGCCACACAGACTGGGTCCGCGATGTTGCATGGTCACCCACCGTCCTCTCCAAGTCATACATTGCTTCCGCCTCGCAGGACAAGACTGTGCGCATCTGGACATCCTCAGACCTGCGTATGTATCGGACCTACAGGCAGACGATTATTGTGCTAACTGATTTCAGACGACTGGAAATCTACCGTCCTCAACGTTGACGCCGCCGCATGGCGTGTAAGCTGGAGCCTCAGTGGCAATGTTCTCGCCGTCAGCACTGGTGACAACCGAGTTAGCTTGTGGAAGGAGAGGCTAAGCGGCGGGTGGGATTGTGTCAAGACGATCGAGGAGTAGAAGACATTCGAGGACGAGATGTTGTGAGCACGCATAAAAAGCGCGGCGATAGAAGAGAATTGGCTGGCACCGCACGATTGCTGGCAGATATCGAGCAGGTCGTCAGGCCTCGAAGGACAGAATACTACCAACTCGAGGCCCTTCTGCCTCTAACAGTTCAAGGGTTCGAACGGATAATCACACCGATGCCTTTCCAGAAGCAACACACTTTCAGTGATCCTCGTGCGCCAATCGCCCCATGCGGCAATTCAAGCTCGACACGTGACCGACCATGAATACCGCGCATTTGAAGAGAGTCGTGAACACAGCCTCTAAGATACTCAAGTACTTCTCAATACGTGCTAGTCATATTCAGATACACCGCCTTGCACTTCCCGATACAGGAGTGGGTCTTGTGACATGTAAATCCTTCAGAAAAACGGGACGGACGTCTCAAATCGTCGACAGATTACACAGATGTCCATGGTTGTGGTGGTTGCCCTGCGCGTATAATTGACGCAGCAACCGACGGTCCGACTGCCAACGCTAGTGAACTGCGACGCCCCGGACACCAAGCTGTCAGCGGCAAACTACATGCTCCTTGTCTCCAGATCTAGCCCGCCGTGAACGTGGGGAGTTGATCAATGAGAACGGAAGTTGAGCCTTAGGAGTGGGCTAGAAATGACGACAGCGACAAGCGAGGGACACTAACAGCTAACAGGTCAAGAGCGTGCCCCCCAACAATATGAGAACAATGGATTTCTGCTGCACATGCACCTTTCCTTAGCGGCGGATCCCGGTACAGGTAGGTATACAACCGAATAAATAGACGTCAATTGCTTGGGCTTTGCAAGATTCTCCACGCTCTCTCCCTCCTCTCCCCCACATCAACTACAAGACAATGTCTATCATCGACACCACCAAAGACTTGTCGGCACTCTTCACGCAACAGGTCAAAGTTACGCCTGATGCCATTGCGCTAGAGGACGAGAAGAACACATATACATACCAGCAGCTCCACGACAAAGTCTCTGAGCTTGCTCTACAGCTCCGCGGTCACGGCGTGGGTCGTGACAGGCTAGTCGGTGTGCTACTACCGCGTTCTGCCGATTATGTTATCGCATGTTTAGCGGCGCTGGCGGCAGGTGGAGCCTTCCTGGTGCTCGAATTAGCTTATCCGCCGGATCTACTTGCCGACGTGCTCGACGACGCCAGACCTACTGCTGTGGTCACAATCAGCGCCGAGGTGGGCAAAATCTCGGCGGGAGTCCCGTTGGTGGTGCTGGATGAGCAAGATTCAAAGAAAAATGGCCATGTGGACGAGTCAGAACTACTGCCTCTGCCAGAAGAGACGGACTTGGACCGGTTATGTTTTGTTGCCTACTCCAGCGGCACAACGGGCAAGCCCAAGGGCATTGCCAATCCCCACAAGGCAGCTGTGCTCTCGTACAACCTCAGATTTGGCTTCTCAGACATACAGCCTGGAGACCGAGTTGCTTGCAACGTGTTCTTTGTGTGGGAGATCATCCGACCATTGCTGCGCGGAGCAACCGTCATTGCTGTCCCAGACGAGGCCAGCTACGATCCCCGCATGCTTGTTGATCTTCTCAGCTCGAAAAAGGTCACCGAGACACTCTTCACACCTACCCTGTTCGCCGCTGTACTAGCCCGTCACCAAGCGCTGGAGACACGCCTTCCCAATTTGAAGACAGTATGGCTAAACGGCGAGGTAGTGACCACCGACCTGGCAAGACGAGGACTGAAATCTTTGCCAAACACCCGCCTCCTCAATGTCTACAGTGCCTGTGAGACACACGAAATTGCTTGCGGCGACATCAAGGAGATGCTTGGGCAGCTTGAGAAGGACGCCCCCTACTGCCCGGTCGGGCCACCTCTGATCGACAAGAAGTACGTCTACATTCTAAACGAGAGTGGCCAAAGAGTCGACGAGGGTGAGAACGGCGAACTTTTTATAGGTGGCCATCTTCTTGCGCGAGGCTACCTTAACCTTCCGGAAGTGACTGCGAAAGCTTTCACGCCGAATCCCTTTAGCTCACAGAAGGGTGCGCGAATGTATAGGACTGGAGACAAGGCCAGATTACTTGCAAATGGCCTCCTAGAGATCACCGGGCGTGTTGGTGCGATGATCAAGATTCGCGGATATTCGGTTGTACCTGGCAAGGTTGAGAGTGAGATCCGAAACCACCTTGCAGTTAGCCACTGCGCAGTCATTGCTTACGGCGATGGAATCGACAGACAGCTTGTTGCATATATCGTCCACGACAAGGACTCATCTGAGCAGCGTCCCGTTGTCGAGATCGACAAGGCCGGACGCAGCTCTACTGCACGCCGCATGCTGCAGTCTTACCTCGCACACTACATGTTGCCTGCTCTCTGGGTCGAGCTGGAGACACTGCCTACCAATGATGTTTCCGGAAAAGTGAACGTGAAGGCCCTGCCGCCGCCGAGGTCCAGCTCACCAACTGGAAGTGCCCGCAGGTACGAGCAGAGCCCGATCGACATCGAGCAGATTCAAACGATTTGGGCCTCCATTCTCGGCATCAGTGCAAGCTCTATTACCCCAGAGTACAACTTCTTCGATCTCGGTGGCCACTCACTTTTACTTGCTGATCTTGCTGCACGTCTTTCGAACACTTTCGGTTTCCGAGTGCCAGTCGCTCGTCTTGCAACACCAGCAACTCTCAACGGTCACCTGGATACCGTTCGTAAGATTCGAGACGGTGCAGTAGCTGAGGTTCAGGATAACCTACCTGCGGTTCTGAAGGCTGATGCTATCTTAGACAAGGACATTCAGCCCAAAGACGCCAAATTTGTCGCACTCAAAGACGCCGAGACTGTGCTCCTGACCGGTGTCACAGGTTTCTTGGGTGCATTTCTCCTCAGAGACCTCCTCGAGCACACATCCGCTACCATTATCTGTATGGTTCGTTTCCCTGATGCCTCGCAGGATGATGTTCCGGCTGCCATAGCAAGGATCCGCAGCAATCTGCTCGACTTCGGCTTGTGGAGCGACTCCGTGATGGAGCGTGTCGAGATCCTACCTGGTAACTTGTCTAGGAAGCGATTTGGTCTGCCACCAAACACATTCCAAAAGCTCGCTGATCGACTCGATGTCATCGTTCACGCTGCTGCCACTGTCAACCTGGTATACCCATACGCTGCACTGCAAAAGCCAAACGTTGGTGGTACAAGGGAGATACTTCGTCTTGCCAGCGCCGGTAGCGTCACAGTGCAGTACATTTCCACTAACGGTGTGCTTCCTCCCGCCAAGGGTCGCAAAGGATGGTCCGAGGATAGCATGCTTGGTGTAGAAGACGTACCAACCAAGCTGGCAGACGGTTACGGTCAGACCAAGTGGGTTGCCGAGCAGCTCGCACTGGAGGCGCAGAAGCGTGGTCTGCCCATCAAGATCCATCGTCTAGGTACTATCAGTGGTCACAGTGAGACCGGTGCTGCCAACGCCTGGGATTTGCTGACCGCGTTGATTGTCGAGTCTATCCGCATCGGTCACTACCCAGACGTCAAGGGCTGGCGCGCTGAGATGACACCCGTCGACTTTGTCAGCAAGGCTATCTTACACCTCAGTGATCAAATCGAGACCGAACAGACCGTATTCCACATCGGTGACCCAGACCCAGTGGATATCAGCAAAGTCTTCGAAGACGTTGAGAAGCTGGGTTACCCCACCAAACCCATGGAGTTCTCGAAATGGGTTGCTCTTTGGGACGAGAAGCGTGGCTCTGCCAAGGGTGGTGTTGGTGCTTTCACAGTCGACATCCTCCGCAGTGGTATGCCCAGCATCGAGTTCCTGAGGGATGTTGTTGTTCTTGACAACAGCAAGACACGACCCCTTCGCTCGGCCGTCGAACGCCCCAAGGTCGATGGGGCTCTTCTTGAGACCTACACACGCCACTGGTACGCACGTGGTTGGCTAGCATCGCCGCCTCAGAGCCAAAACGCTGTAGGCGGCTCCGCACGAACTCTTCCATGCCGAGGACCTCTGTACGGCAAGGTCGCCATTGTCATGGGCGCCTCTTCAGGTATCGGTGCCGCCACTGCTGCAGCTCTGACGCGCGAAGGCTGCCGCGTTGCCCTCGCAGCGCGCCGCATTGACGCTCTCGAGAGCTTAAAAAAGCGCCTCACCATTCGCGAAGGCAAAATCATCACCCAGAAAACTGATGTCACCGACAAGGCTCAGGTTGCAGCCCTCGTCGCCGCAACAGAAGAGAAGCTCGGCCCGGTCGATATATTCGTCAACGTCTCCGGCGTCATGTACTTCACCATGATGGCAAACGCTCTTACAGATCAGTGGGATCAGACTGTCGATGTCAATTGCAAGGGTATCTGCAACACTATCGCCGCCGTTGTGCCCGGTATGCTCAAGCGCGGAAAGGGCCACTTCGTAGCCATCTCCTCAGACGCAGGGCGCAAGGTCTTCCCCGGTCTCGGTGTCTACTCAGCTTCCAAATTCTTCGTTGAGGCGACACTGCAGGCTCTGCGTGTCGAGACTGCTGGAACTGGATTAAGGGTCACAGCTGTGCAGCCAGGTAATGTTGCAACGGATCTGCTGGGTATGAGCACGGATAAGGAGGCGCTGAAGAAGTACGGTGAGCCCAGTGGCGCGAAGGTACTGGATCCGGAAGATGTTGCGGGAAGCATTGTGTACGCGCTCAAGCAGCCTGAACATGTCGCTGTTAATGAAGTGATGATCGAGCCAAGGGATGAGCCGATCTAAACGACGCCAGAAGGTCTGGTAGCTGCAAGGCATTCTGAGCGATCGAAACAGTTGCCAAATCATGAATTCATTATCACCGTCTTCACTGGATGATATTTCTCAGTTCCGACTTTGCTATGGGAGCTCGTCATTTACTTCTTTCCCGATCCTATGTATACTGTCTGCGAACCCTCTGAAGCCTGCCGCAGCGTTGTGTATGCTCTCTTGAGCTTGTGCTGAAATACTGCGTACCATCTGTGCTCCTCGCTCGATATCCCGTTGTGCTTCTGTAAGCTTCGTGGTCTGCGCGTCAACTTCATAACTTACTCCTCGCCCAACTTCTACGACATTACTACATGCAGCCTCAACACCACGCTCGAACTCTCTGCATCCCTGACTCAGATCGCCACGTACATGCTCGATCTCACGCACCGCTGCTTCAAGACCTTCCCAGTCTCGACCCCATGGTCGCAGCGCTTGAGGGATGTAGTCTATGTCTGTTGTGGACCAGTGGGAAAGAGCAACAGCGCCCGAATCTCAATCGACGTGCAGGAGACTTCCACGACTATATACGAGACAACAAGTGAATTCCATCTCCCCATACGTTTACTCGTTTCCAAGACTGGTCAACCATTTGAGGAATCCCATGTACACCATTTTATGGATGCGGCGACGCATCTGCAAGCCCGTCGCACGTTCTGACCGCCAGAACAATGCTAAGTGAGTATGCCGTCAGGCATGTATCCTGAAGAACATACAATGGGAAGCCAAGGAGGTCTATGGAGAACTGTGGTGGGTGGGTTCGAGCTGAAGAAGGAGTGGAGGTCGTATAAATACCGTGTCCGTGCACCCAACGATCGGAGTCAACCAATGATCGTTCCGAGCCTTTACGGCCATCACCAAATTGAGGCTGTAGAGCCACCTACAATAATAATTATCGAGAGGTTTTTTGGTGGAGTATTCTATAGACCTATGCAACAGAATTCCTAATATAAAGTTACTAGTATTCCGGGGCAGTGCAGCCACTCTTTGTATATACAAGTTTGTCGCCTGGCTTCAGATCATCAATATCTGCAAGCGCATCTGAAATCCCTGGCATGGTGGTTGAGTAATTACGCGTTGAAATCTACTGCAAATGTTGTGCCCTGATCGTTGGTTGACTCCGATCGTTGGGTGCACGGACATGGTAGGTATGGTAGGTCAGAGAGCGGCTCGTGCTCCGGCCGTCGAAGGCTCAAACCGCGGATTGAAGAAGGCAGAACAACACCACTTCTTCAGCTCTACTGAGTCAGTTGTCTCGATACTCTCAATCTATCACAAAAATTTGCCTGCGGCAGTGCAATTTTGCAACCGAGCCTGCAAGCTGCAGCGCTCAAACACGAACTTATGCATGTGTAGGTAGTGAGCCCTGCCAGAGCCCCTATCCGTGGTTCAACTGGCTAGGCGCGACGCCACACTCGGAAGGACAGCAAGAGGGTCTTTGAGGGCAGATTGAATGCCAGTATGGTGCGTTGCGTGATCTGCTGCAGAGCAAGCAGTGGGGTCCGCGGCCAACCTGTGCCTGGCAGCCTGGCAGGGTAGAGCATATTGAGCTCTCTTTGGACCCGAGTCACTTCTGGTTCTACAATCTGATGGAATTTTCTTTAGAAATACGGGAGCGACTCTCGATGCCTTTCAGATGCAAGCCAGTCAAAATCGGGGCACAGATAAAGCACCAGAAGACGCAGATTGGTCGATGATAGCAAACAGTCAAGGATTATCTTCGAGCACTCTTGGAAACAGCACCACCAATGATATGGTTGCGTGACAGAAACTGAATATATACAGCGGTTGCAGATTTACGAGTACCTTACATAACGAAACAAACGTCTCGCAATACCATCTCTGGCTACCATATCAATTACATAACTAGCGCAAGCAAGAACGGCCATAAGATCTGTGGCCAGTTTCAGACATAGACGTTGACGACACCCTTCTGAGTACCTAAGTGGGCGTTTGAGATGTGGTTGTACGATGCTCTTTGTTGGATGAGGCATTGTCGCAGCAGACACCGTAAACTCGTTTATAGTACCCCCCACGTTCTGTAGTACCCCCCAAAATCATCCTCTGAGCAAGATTTCACTTCTAGTACCCGGATTTTATCAGCGAGAGTTTACGGGTATGGATTGGGATGAGCAGCGGATCGCTCCGGAGGCTTCAGACCAAAGGCTGGGGTAAGCCAGTCCAGTTCAGGTGGATCAGTGGTATATGAGCCGGCCGTCTTCGAAGAACAGCTTAGCAGAGGAACCTGATCACTTCTCACTCAACACTATCTGCCTTTCAAGATCATGCAGCTTCAATAGGCATGATGCAGAGTTATGTAATGTTACTGATACATGAGTAGGGCCACACGCCGGAATACCAAACCTACTGCCGAATACTGATTTATAGCTCTTACGCTAGCTTTATGTCAAGAGACACATGGTATCATATACCTGCGTCGGGAGAAAGCTCATATCAGTGAGGGCGAAAAGACCGTGGGTAGATAGGCCACGATTTCCAAGAGATCGCCAGAGATCGCCAGGTCACCGGTGATGAATGAGTGTATACGACAGTGTATGTATATTGATCAGTAGCTTTGTTTGATTCCTGCTCAACGTCTATCTCTGGGCTACCTTGTGAGTACCTTTCACAAGTCCCTGAAAGTGGTCTCCTAAGCCACCCTGTTGGTGACCTCGACGAACTTTTGCCACTGCTTGTAAGCCTCGCCGCTCGAGACGGCCCACTTGGCTCTCCTGACACCCTCCTTCCAGCGTCCCCCTCCAGGCCCAACCTCCTTAATGACATTGCCATCATCACCTTCACCCATGTCGCTCGTGTCAGCGTCGCAGATTCCACTGATGACGAGTAGAGCAGCTGTGTTGATGTAGACGAAGTGCAGGATTGGGTCGTCTGGCGAGACTTCACCAGTCAGGATCTTCATCAGGATCTCCGCGTTCTTCTCTGGCGACTGGCCGGGCGAGACCTCGCTCAGCGGGTGCTCCGGCAACCCGAAGTCTGCAGGAGAGAGCTTGAAGAAGTTGATGTCGACTTCGCCAGATGATGTCTCAACTAAGCGCCAGCAGTGTGTAGGTCCTGCACAGGACAGCTCGTCCAGCTCCTCGTCACCACACATGACCAAAGCCTTTCTTGCACCCGACTGACGGAGCGCTTCGGCGAAATCGGGAGCGATCTCCCTTCGGGCTACACCAAGGACCCGAGCTTCGATCTGGTCGTGCAGAGGGTTCGCAAGTGGTCCGAGAAGGTTGAAAATTGTGCGCCAGCCGAGCTGCTTGCGGATGGAGGCGGCGTGCCTAGCTCCGGGGTGGAAGATTGGTGCGTACAGGAAGGCGTAGTTGGTCTCAGAGTAGACTTCATTGATAGTTCTTGGTGCGACCGCAGTGATTATTGGAGCTTTAGGTAGTGTGCAAGTCAAAAGATCTGCTGAACCAGAGCGTGATGTGGAAGCTTTGTTGCCGTGTTTTGCAACCATAAGTAGGGCACTGGCAAGGATGGATGATGTCGTTGAGATGTTGAACGTGTTGTGCGAGTCTCCTCCTGTGCCAACTATGTCGACCTGAGCAATCGTCAGTCACGAAAGGCGAGAAGTCATTGTGAAGTCACAGTGCTTATGTGGGATGCAATAGTGTAGTACGTACCAGCCCTCCATGGTAATTGCCCTCTTTCCTTCCACGCTTCTGGAGTACCTGATTGAGCGCATTTGAATCGATCTTGGACGAGAAGTCTCTCATAGCCTTTGAGCACTTGGCAAGAACCTCAGCCTGCCTGTCTTCATCTGTGAAATGGAGACATGTCAATAGAGCACCAGTTTGCACCTCTGATAGGCTGTTTGTGAAGATCAAGGAAAGAGCAGCAGCAATCTCATCTGCGGTAGGTTTTGTCGACGATGTTTCGTGCCAGAGTCTCTTCAGAAGTGGAGTGATTGATACTTTGGGGTCCTCGTCGTTTGCCGTTGATACCGTGGACGCCATCTTGGTTGTTGTATCGCCTGGTCCTTCTTGATGCTTTACCTAAGCAGATGCAGCAGCTGTCCGCGGGGTAGGAGGGGTAGTTTGGAAGTGGGGTAGCGGCTGATTGTGAAAATGAATTGTCTCCCAATAAGGGTCGATCGTGGTTCAATTGCTCTTCAGAATTCGCAGGTGCCCCTTTCATATACCTGAAGAGCTTCGCCGTGTTGACTCACTAATCCGGAGATCCCAGTGAGTTCCGCGTCGACGAGCTCGGGCTAAGCCCGATCGAGCACGCGACCGCGGAAGAATTGATTCACCGTCCCGTCTCAAATTTCGAACTGCGCGACGGTCGCAAACGGCGTGTGCAAGGTCAAGACGTGTCAGAGTATCCTCTCTGATAGTCCTTGCAGTGATAATCCCCCGCGACGCCAAATATCTCAAATGGGGAAGAAGCGGACCCATGCTGAGACTAAGGATGGCTTTACGAAGCCGCCTCCGGGCCAGAACCGGGTGAAGAACGACAAGAAGGATGCGCGCAAGGGTGGAGATGCTGGAAAGAAGCGCTCAGCATTGGTAGGACATGTTCGCGACGTTTGGGAGATGGTACACTAACGTATACGCCAGGTATTCAAGGTGCAGCCTGAATGGCACACTGTCGAGCTGCCTCAACTTCCCATAGTCGAGAACCCTACGACCCCCCCGAAATACATTCTTGACGATCTCCACGCCTACGCTGATGAGCTCCTGGAAGCAGAGACGACAGAATATGCCGCCTCGCACATGTCCAAGGATGCGTCGCACAAGTTCATGTCCACTATCATGGCATCCGGTACTATGGAGGATAAGGTCTCGGCCTTGACTCTGTTGGTTCAAGAGTCGCCACTGCACACTACTAGGGCGTTCGAGCAGCTGCTAGGCTTGTCGCGTAAGAAGAGCAGGAGTGCTGCGATGATGGCTTTGGCTGCGCTGAAGGATCTGCTGGGTCAGGGCGTTCTGTTACCCCCGGACAGGAAGCTAAAAGCTTTCGCACGGCAGCCTGGTCTTCTGAGCGCGCTACAGGGGAAGAACATGCACTGGAAGTATGGCGAGAAGCTACCCGGCGAGCTGCAGAAGATCCACTTGATTTCGTGGTCCTACGAAGACTGGCTAAAGAAGCAGTACTTCGAGATGCTCAAGATTATCGAGGGCTGGACCAACGATGAAGTCGAGTACTCGCGGAATCGCGCTGTGACCTTTGTCTGGGAGCTGCTGAAAGAGAAGCCAGAACAGGAAGAGAACTTGCTCAGGCTGCTCATCAACAAGCTTGGAGACAAAGAGAAGAAGGTCTCGTCGCGGGCATCGTACCTGCTACTCCAGCTTCAGATTACCCACCCGCTGATGAAGAGTGTCATCATCAACTCGATCGAATCAGACCTGATCTTCCGACCGAACCAAAGCGCGCACGCCAAGTACTACGCCGTTATTACTCTCAACCAGACCGTCCTTAGTGTGAAAGAGCAGGAAGTTGCCAACAAGCTGCTGGAGATCTACTTCAGCATCTTCCTTGGCTTGCTCAAGAAGCAGAAGGACCACGAGAAGGAAGAAAAGAAGATTGCAGTGCTGAACAAGAAGGGCGAGGTACAAGGCGGTGGCGCCTTGCCTGGCAAGATGGCGAAGAAGAAGGCTGAGAAGGACGCCACTATGGCATTCAAGGTCGCGGACGAGTCGAGAGAAAAGCTGATCTCTGCTATCCTCACGGGCGTCAACCGCGCCTTCCCCTTCGCCAAGACCGACGATGCCAACTTCGAGGAGCAACTCAACACCATCTATCAGGTCACTCATTCTTCCAACTTCAACACTGGGATCCAGGCCATGACTCTTATCCAGCAAATCTCCACCACCAAGAACATCTCCACTGATCGCTTCTACCGGACACTGTACGAATCTCTCCTCGACCCACGCCTCATTACGACTTCCAAGCACATCATGTACCTCAATCTGCTCTATCGGTCACTCAAAGCGGACACCAGCATCAAGCGCGTCAAGGCATTCGTCAAGCGCTTACTTCAGATCATCCACATGCACGAACCTCCTTTCATTTGCGGTGTTCTCTATCTCATCAACGAGCTTATTGCAACCTTCCCCAGCATCAAGGCTATGTTGTCAACCCCAGAAGACCATGTCGACGATGGCGAGGACGAGCACTTCGAGGATGTACCTGAGGAAGGCGAAGAGAAGGCGGATGAGAAGAAGCCTGTTAAGCCTGCTTATGATGCCCGGAAACGAGATCCCGAGTACGCTCAAGCAGACCTGTCGTGTTTGTGGGAACTGCTGCCACTTCAGGTACATTACCACCCTTCGGTACATGTTCTGGCATCGAAGATCATCAACCAAGATGCCATCAAGGAGAAGCCAGATCCAACTCTCTACACCCTCATGAACTTTCTCGACAAGTTCGCCTTTCGTAACGCAAAGACTAAGGTACAAGGCGTGCACGGATCCTCGATCATGCAGCCTATGTCTGGCACCTCAAAGGCTGCCGACTACCTCATCACAAACCGCGATGGCGATCGCACTCACGATCCCCTCAACTCGGAAGCTTTCTGGCGCAAGAAGGTCGACGATGTCCGCGACGACGAAGTCTTCTTCCACACATACTTCGAGAAGGCTGGCAAAGCCAAGCAGGCCGACAAGAAGGCGAAGAAGAAGAACAAGCAGGATGCGGATAGCGAGGACGAGAGCGGCGAGGACGAGATTTGGAAGGCACTTGTCAAGTCACGACCAGATGTCGAGGGCGACGGCGGCGACGATGACTTCGATGATATCGACATGGACGATATGATGAGTGACTCGGATGCCGAAGGCGGTGTCACCATGGACGATGGCGTTGAACTCAACCTCGGCAGCGATGACGAAGGTGATGCACCTGTGCCCGCTGCCGATGATGATGACAACGACGATGACTTCGAAAACTTCGACCTCGACGACGAAGACGCATTCATGGACGATGATGACGAAATCCCCGTCGACATTGGCGGCCTCATCGACGAAGAAGGCGAGGACGACACCAAGGATGGCAGGAAGAAGAAGAAGAGGAAGCTCAAGCAGCTCCCCACATTTGCTTCTGCGGACGACTACGCGAAGCTCATCGGAGACGACAGCGAGTAGAGCGAGCGGAGCAAGTAGATGTAATTACTGGTTATGTATAGCACACCTGTGGAGCCAGTCGGAACGGGCGTTGGGCTATGATGACAGGCGCATCGGGACGTTCACGGAGTTCTTTGCATGCTTCTGAGCGACTTCATGTAGATATCCTTTGCGAGTGTAATAACAACCTTTGGAGACACAAAGACTACCTACACATGTACAAATTGGCATTGACAATGGACCGAGAAAGCAAATACGACACCGAACCACACTGAGGACTCGAACTACCAGTGCGCGTGGTTTTCCTTTACCTACTCGATGAATGCCGACACTACATCGAAGAACCTGCAAATGCCTAGACACCACACGCAGTGCCAAACAGATGCTGGAGCATCAAACGAGACTCAAGCATCACGCACAAGCGCCGGCGCATGGGATGAGAGTACTAGAGATACTATAGCCTCGGATATCATGGGGCATAATGCATCAGACATGAAAAGAGCAGACATGAAGGCATCAGCAGGGCATACAAGCATGGCTCCCTCAGTGGAGGTGATCGCAGCGGTCGCCGTTCTACCATGTTTGTCGCGACTACTGTTACCAATTTGCCTGGTCACAGGTAGTTGCTGCCGGTAAATGCTCTTTCCAGATCATATGTCGCCTTGAATGCAGAAGCAATCCTGTAAAGGTGGCAGGTGCGGCGGGCAGCTTGCTACTTCTCTCACCTAAAATATTAATTCCAAGACCAACGCGCTGATGCTCACTGCATATCATGGCGATTCGACTTTGTTCCCAATACTCAGCGCATTGGCGCACTATTGGGGACGATGGCATGGCTCATAGGGCATGACTTGAGGCGACCATTGCGACACTTCAACAATTATGCCTATCTGAGTCTATTTATTCCTCTCAGGTTGGGCACACCTCTCTCTCGTCCTTGGACGCACCACTCTCCCGCTACTCTGGCACACCACTCAGGGCCATACTAGTAGGATTGTGGCCGTGCCTTTATCAGATCGATTGCAGAACTGGGACATTGCTGCTGTTCGAGCTTCTGTGTGGGCTTGCGCGCGTGAACGAAAGAGGCAGACAGGTGCAACTGTGCTGCACAAAACTCTGTCGGTTGTAGAAGTAGCGAGAATGCGTTGCGTATACGCAGTCAGGGTTAAGTACTGCACGATCTGTGTTTATACTGATACATGTCTTCGCTGTGAGCTTGTGACAGTTGATAGATAACCGTGTCCGTTGAGTCAGGGGTCTCGTTGCGCGTAGACGTCAGTCTTCATCTATTGTTGACTGTCGCTGGATGCCGGTAACGGCGCCGCGCGCTTGAGCATGTAGTGCCCTCACTGACGGTAATCTGTCGTAGTGTCTCTTACCATGCTGGCTACAAGTTTTGCTCACACAAAAAGGGTAGATGTAGGGTAGAGTAACAAGAAGCAATCACTGAGTATTGGCTGCGTGCTTGATGTCTCAGGCCTCAGACTATAGGAATAACCTCCCTACAGAACAGCACGGTACAGTCCAATGTCAATAACTTTAGCCTCGATCTTGATCGATATTCAGTCGATACCTGTAGAGCAAGCATCTATGCATCGCAAGCGCTTAAGGAGGGGGCAGGATCGCTGAAAACCGCCTGCTCTCAAAGGATCAACACGACGCTACTTGTGTCATGACTCCAACGAGAAATCCTTCGCAACGCGCGGGGGTCTCGAGAACCCCGGTAATGGGCAACGGTTCGTCTGATAAAAGAGCGGAAGAGCGGAAAGCACGACGCGGGGACAAGAGACGGGAAACTGAGAACCGATTCCGCTTCTTTGTTCCACGCCTGTCGCGGCAAGCATCTTCACGAACTTGGCATCATCTTTGCATCAATTTCTTCCGCAGTGGGGCCCACGCGTGACTGTGGTTGTGGGGTCGATGTTGTTATGCAAAGACGTGATGCTAGCGCAAACGGCGACCAAAATATGGGGATATTTGTCGCTAGTACGCCTGACAGATCTGGGTCGGTATCATACTGCCGAAACTCAATCTGGCTATGACTCATCACTTACCTTTTTTTCGCAGCAGTTCATGCTGTTGGGAGCTGTCTGCAGTTAATCGGTCGGAGCTGCAGAGTACAAAAGGAACTGCCTGTAATTGTGGGGTACATGGATCATCCGTGTCGTTAGGGTGATCTTTGGTACAGCTGTCCTGTTTGGTTGGAATCGTTTCCTGGTATCGTTCGTTGTTGATAATCATAATCGGATCAACCGAGCCGTAAGGCGAACTGTCGATAGCGTTGGTCTGTTCGAAAGAGTTCGAGCCGGTTTGTAGTACCGAAGTTGTCAGCCTCAGATAGCCTTAGTTGAATGCACGATATGTAGACTAACGTAGCTCGAGCAATGTCAACCCGCTGGGCTCGTCAACCTGACTGACGCTTTCACACCAGCACATGAAAGTTCGGTGGAGACTAGTCGAGAGTAAACGGTGGCTATACAGTCGCGGTAAGGTCCCTGCCTGCAACCGTGATTATTGATTCGTCTCGACGTTGCCTTCTGTACAACATGATTGGGGCGACCATAACCTGACTTGCGCCTGAACTTTATCATCGCCTGTTCTGTGGAGATCCTCATCCGAGTGACCAATGGCCGCACAGCCGTGGTAGGGGTCGTGCCTGTGGACGCAGAACTGGTTCTCTTGCAATTTGGAAAAGGCAGCCACAATCTTGCTGACTCCTTCCCTGACTTTTCGCGGCGTGGAGGGTGCTGTGCAGTGCTGAAGCTACCGTGCCTCTCCATGATCCGCCTTCGATCACCCGCTCCATTCAGGGCTTGGAGCACTTCTTCAGCTGTAGATTCGAGTGTGGCAAAACAATATCGACCCACCCGACCAATATTCGAAGGTACTGAGGCCGGACAGACACCTCAAGAACTCAAGAAGTCTAGAGTGGTGTGAAATTGCGGAGAACCTGCTGCCGTACGTAGCGAGATGGAACAGTTGGTCCTGGAGCAGTCGCGGTATTGTGACGCTCGAGCCTCTCCTACCAAAGATGAAGCAGAACCTGTGCTACATTATGCTAGCCTAGAGGACTAGTGTGGTGTTAGCCATCTTCTTGCTCTTGCGTTGTGCGTGATGCTAGCTCCCTGCCGTGAGCTTGTAGGGAATGGGCGATTTAAGAAACGAGAGACAGATGACGAGCCGTTCGACTATCGCGCGACGCATTGCCGACGTAAGTGTGGATGCTTGAGGATGTTGAGATCTGGTGGTGGGCAGCGACTAATTGCAGTCGATTTTGCAATCCAGTGTAACAGCTTTGTACACCTACCCCGTCAATATCAAGCAGCTTGATCAGTTTGCATATCGCTATATGTCGATACAGTCCCAGTCTCTGATCGACCTGGAGAGCGGAGGCAGTGCTTCTGGGAAGCAGGATGTACCTTAATGCCTTCCTGTGCCGTGTGGTCAGATTTCGGGGGCACGTTGAGCTCTTACTCTGCTTGGTTTAACTCGGATTCTTCCACGTCTGTCAGTTCAACGTGATTCCATTCGGAGTCTTCATTCTCAAGAACACCAATCCTTACTGCAATGACTTCTACCGTCAAGTCGACCTCACAATGTCTCAAGGATTGTTACTGAATTAAAGTAAGCGGCTACGATTTCGTATCGCCGTACCACTCAATCATGATAAAGATAAGCCGAGGGTGATATATGTGGCGGTAGTGCTCACCGTCGAGCTCAGGCCAAGGTCTGTAGTGAGCCGCGGACGGCACAGGGAATCTCCGCGTCGAATTTCATATCTGCTGGCAAGACATCTCGCGTATGCCTGCCCAACTGTAAGAACTTGTGGCTGGGAAGGAGCTCGTTAATTGGTCAAACCTTGGCATCTGTACAGACCAGGATGCAGTTCGACGCGGAGACCTCCTGGACGACAAGGTGAAGCAAAGGAAAGCTGCCGGTCCATTGGCAATGCTTGATAGTCAGAGGCCTAGACCTGTGCTGGCAAGTGCCATTCCATAGTGTCGTTGATCAAATGTCAATACCTAGTGTGGGAAGTCTTTACTACTTCCCTCGAAGCGTTGATAGGCTGTGGAAGGCAGATCAGCTCGGATGCGAATGCCAAGTGCAGACGATCACCTTCCTACCTGCTTTGATGAGGCTTGTAGCCGACAGCATCTCGACTCGGGGTTAACAGAGGTTCCTGCTTAACAGTCTGGGGACCCCTGCCATGTCGGCCTTCGTTGGTCGTTCGGGGTCTTGTGTAAGGTTTGAGTCGGTAGACTACTCGGAAAGGCTGCTGTCATCGGTCGAAACGTACCGGGCGTATTGGAAGCGTATCCAAGAAAACCTGACAAACGACTAACATTCGGAGAGAAGTCCTATTTGAGAGTTTCGTTTGTAGACTTTCGCCCTGCACCTCTTTCGGCATTATGATAGCGCATCTCAAGAAGTCCGACAGGATTTGAACGGTTCAAGGACGCCGGATGTGGGTTTCCGTGGGCGCAATTACTATGTAGAAGTGCCTTTGCACAGCGCTGATCCGCAAGATGGAGCAGCTTGCAGTGGCATCGGACCGTTTGCAAGCGTTGAAAACCGGGATCATGATCGAAATGACCGGGAGCACGAGGAATTCCCCACCTTCTCGGTGTTGAATGCCGTTTAATCGCAGGGTCCAGATAACAACCTTAAGGTCATTATATCTGGATGGGGGACAGCGAATTAACGCCTAAGTGTCGTTGGGATGAATGACTAGCGCAAAGTCAGTAAAAACACTCGAAGAGTAGAATGCCGAAGATCACGAACGAATTCCCGCAGTGAAATGAGCGCTCGTTGCGAGCGTTGCGACAGGCATCAATTTCCTATCGGAAAGAGCACCGAGAGGCGTCAAGAAGGATTCAGAACCCAGATACTCCGAAGTTCCTCGTAACCGGTGAAGTTTCCCGGTTCATATCCACGTGGAGTTTGATAAAAGAGTGGTACGGAAGATCGGAAGATGCACTTGGCGTCTAACACACAAACAGAGAAGTGGATGCCCTGGACGACCTGGGTTACGGCGTGGACAGCCGTTGCCTAGTCATCTTGAAGATACCCAATGAAGCTTAGACCGATGAAACTGGCGCTCGATCTAACGAATGAGACCTGTATTCGTCTGCGCGGCGGCAGCGTGCGGTGGCTTTTGTATGACCCCTCTTTTCAAGCTCTGGAATCTGTCGTCTGAGGCATACCTAGTGTGCTCGTGAGCTGAAATTGACTTGCGATGCTGGTGGAAGTGGCTAATAGAGTCTGGAGCCTGACAAACTGCATCTGATGAGAATTCAAGTTGCTGTTCGCGTGGCAGTAGTCTCGTCTCGAATATGATGTAAAGATGCTGTAAAACTTTGAACAGTCGGCCCTCCGCTAAAAAAAAAACGAAGGCCAGGTAGCTTCGTCATGTCTGCCATGTTTCGAGGCTGATCTTACTGCTGTGAAGCTTGTCTTGAAAGGTTATTCCTGTTAATTAATGGCTTTGACTGATTAGGCTGTAAGGGTCCGTGAGGTGTGGGGCATTTTCTGAGCGTGCAGCTGACGTGCAGCTGTCTCCAGCGAGAATGGCACGACGTTGCGCGTCGAAATCATTGATTGGATGGCCAAGTTTTCCCGACTCCAGTAGTACCTAGCTATCCAAACTTCGCTTGCTGCAAACGTCAAAGCGGTCACAGCAGGCAAACGATAAGAGCAAGGCCTCAGTCGAATTACTCTGCATGCAGAAGTGAGCGAGCGTTATTGTTGATGAAGCTGAGGGCCATTTCGGCAAAAATCACGCGCAATCAATCTCACGATCTATGACATCACTTTGACGGGTCGGATCGCTCTTTCTGACAAACTGAAAGTCGATTTGTTGTCGAATAAATGACCAATTTTCAGGCGAAGTTGGCAGATCAGGCAGAGTGCGAGACTAGTGTTCGGCTCGGGATCGCGTGTGTGCGCTATCCGAGCCGGCCATTGTTGCGTGCTCAAGGAAACTCAGGTCGTCGGCTGCTGTCCAGTAAGTTACCAGCCTTGTCAACAATCAAGTCAGTTTCGACCTCACACCCACGCGCTTACCCAACAAGGTAGGAGTTGAACATACGCAGGTAACTGCTGGGCTCGAACAGGTAGGTAATCAATCAAGTCAATCCGAGGTCGCTGGGCCCCACTTAATTGATTGTTGACAACTGTGCCAGTAACTCTAGTCGTAGCAATGATACCGCTTAGCCTCACAAGCTGCCATACCGGAGAAGGTCAAGTGACTGTCTTGCACGGGCGGGCGTTGCCAAGGACGAGGACTGATGCATACTGTGTAAGCACTGAAGCAGCTTCTCAGTAGCTACCGAGCGGAGTTTGAGCCGCATGGTCTCAAGAGCTTGAGCTAGCGTTGCTTGAAGCCGTGGCTAAGGTATATTGGAGAGAAGAGTTCTGGTAATGCAGGTCTGAATTCTCTGAATGTACCAGAATGATAGAGAATTTGGAGAACACCACTACTGCAGGGCGTCGCGGAGGGCGTCGCGGAGGTGGCAGCCATACCGGCAACCAATGAGACGAGCGCCATCACAGTCATTCGATATGTCACTTTGTACCTTCTCATAGAAACGGTTAGTGCAATTGCCCAAACACCTGGCGTTAACAGCATGACTTGGAGCGGTCCTTCCGTAACGTCAATAAATCGCGGCATTGCACGCTATACCAACGACGGGCAGTGAGAACTGTCATCGGTGAACTTGACGCAAGCATAAGAGGGGCCTGTGAGTATGGAAGTAGTAGGGAAATCCCGGCAAGTGATCCAAGCACAAATTGTTGAGTTGCGGTGGAAGGATCTCATGATGCCTTCTTCGTGTTGAAAGTGGTGGCCAAATACCTATTGGCAGCCCTGTAACCGGCAGAGTTCCAAGGCAGGGCGCAAACAGGGACTTCCAGCGCTCGCAGAGCCTCATTCCGTTGAGCTAGGTAATGAGTATACGATCAGCCGATGTTACCAGGTCCGCGGGACTATGGTTGTGGATACATGGAGAATGGCATGGCCTTTGAGAGAAACTGCATGGAGACGACTGCACTGGGACTGGCGCTCTTTGTGTTGTTTCGGCATGCTCCGCGTTGACCAAAGATGCTGTGGGGCAATCAGATCGTTTTGGAGATGGGACGCAGCACGGCGTGAGACGCTTGGTATCGCCTTGATTGTACAGTTGCTTAGCGGGCCGTCGAGCAGGAATTGAGGCTGACTTGGCTCTTCGGCAGCCGAGTCGATCGCTGTGGTGACAGGAGATGACTGCCGTATTGAGCACAGTGTTGTTTGCTTGGCTGGCTGTTTTGTACCGTATGTTATCGCACGGTAGTGATCAAATAGCAGCGTCACTGGCAAGTCGGCTGCGTGGGTGAGAGGGCTGTTGACGGGGGCTACGGGGACTAATGGGCCAAGCAGCCGTTCAGCAGCAGGTCAGGATTCAGCGGCAAGTCCGGCAACCTGGAACATGTTCCTCAGCCCATGATTTGGCGAATGCTCTGACATCATCTTTTGCACTGTCGCGGACTAGTCTATAAGCGGCTGGCGGAAGCTTCGGAAACGCAGGGCAGAAACATCTTCTCGGCGTGTTCCTGGCCATCGTGCCTTGGAAACGCACGCGACGGGGAGAAAAGGGTCTGCAAATGGAGATGAGACAGCAAAAAGGACCGGTGTGGCTTCGACAGTGGGCAGAGGTACGCGCTGCTATGGGGTCAAAGGGCCCGAAAAGGGTGTCGATCGCACAATCGATCTCGATCCTAGAGGTCATCTTCTGTCGCAACGTTTGAGAAGCGCGTGGAAGAGAGGCCTGGACCCCTCGGAACAGAGACGCGACAGGGTGCGACAGGGTTCATGTGGCTGAACGGAGCCAAGGTGCAGCATGACGTCGCTGCCGTTGGTCGTTTTTCCGATTGCTCCCCATATTCTCGATGGGCTAGGGAAGTGCACCGGCTAGCGTCTTGCCATTCGCGGAGAGCAGCGACCAGGGTGTAAGACCCTGATCTTGCATTACATCAGACATCGCAACGTTCGCCCGCGTGCCTCCTGTACCTCCCTCGGGCAACCCGCAGCGTGCCCACTGTGAAGATGCGTGCGGTGCCCTGGGTCTGGTCGGCCTGGTGCGACTTTGGGTTACCACATTCTGCGTAACCTCGACGACTCCGCATTTGCGACTGTAAGCAGTGTGTCGCTGGCTTGGCACTGTGCGCTGCTTGTTGCGACGGCCAACTTGGTGCTATTGCAGTGAACGGAGCGCCCTGCGTGCGCCGCATCTGGCCATCTGGCACAGCGGTGCTCGGGGGCAGCGGGCGCGTGAGCTGGCAGATGGTCAGCGTGGGTCCTCATTGGTGCCCTGCCCGTCGCCCGCAGACTGCGCTGCCAGTTCCCTGAAATGCTGTTCCCTGAATGCTGTTGCGCTCTCATCTCGATCTGAATATCCACCATTGCTAGTGCGGCCGACGTCCGTCGGGCGATGCGAGCTGCCAGCGACACTGCCCGCGCAGCCGTCTCCTTTGCTCTGCCGGAACTAACTCGCTGCTGTGTTGCGAACGGTAGGCAAGCGTGTCGCTCGTCCCCGCGCGCTGAAGCCTGCTGCGCAGTGTCGAGTGCCCTGCCGCCTGCCATGGCTTTCGCAAGACAGGCGCTCCCTGGACGTGCAGGCCGCGCGCGGCGGGACTCCTCTTAGGCCCTGGTAGATCGCCGTCACCAGTATCCTTGCAAGGCGCTGCAGCGCGCTAGCGTTTAGCACGGCCTGCATGTCAAGATGGGATTTTGCATCGACTTTTTCAGTTCCGGCTGATCCTTGTCGAGGTACCCTGCTGCTGCTAGGTCCAATCTGCTCTGCGTCCTATATCTGTCTCTGCTGTCCCGCGCCCTGGAGCGAACGCCCAGTAAGCTCACCCATTCGACCTCAATACTCTCCAACGTCCCTCTCTCTACCAAAGTTGCCTCATTCCCAGCATCATCACAGCCCAATTCAACTGTCCAACCCCTCACCACCAAACCACAACGCTTTTTTATTTGCTGCGCTTAGCTGTGTGGTAGTCCCCACCGTCGTTGAGAAGCATTTGTACCATACATCGCCCTTTGCACTCCTCACGTGTGGCGCAAAATTACACTGCAAATCTGGTCGCATTCCTTTCACTGGCGCGGATCTGTGCCTTGCCTGGTACTTAAAGAAACATGGACGGCAAGAACTCTTCGGGACGCCGCGTGTCATTGTTAAACGACGGCCCTGAGGCACCAACTTTAGTTCGCCTACCCTCCATTACTCCTTCCCTTCGCTCCCGCACATCCAGCTACACATCCTCACCAATTGGCTCCCCGCCAACGCCGCGACTGATCCGCAGCGACTCCTCGGATTCAGCCACCATGAACACACCCTCGCCCATCACTCCGGACTTCGCACCCTTCGACTCCATGTCGCAGGGTATGCCTTCGCCCGGCTTTCCGCAGGACCATTATTTTGCCATGCAGAGCGCTGTCATGCGCCAACACAACATGCACATGAACGCCATGCCGCACAGCGACATGAAGTCGGATACCTTCACCAACTACGCCCCTCACATTGTCAACCAGGTGGCCTACCAAGCCCAACCCCAGGTCTTCTACAGCCCCCAGATGTCTGAACAGCACATCTCGGCCCCTGCGCCTGCGCCTGCCAGCGTTCGACCAAAGAAGAACAGCTACCCTTGCCCCATGGCTAAGCAGTTCGGTTGCAGCGACTACTTCACCACCTCTGGACACGCAGCCCGCCACGCGAAGAAGCACACCGGCAAGAAGGACGCGTTTTGCCCGGAGTGCAACAAAGCTTTCACTCGCAAGGACAACATGGAGCAGCACCGCCGCACCCACCAGAGCGGCCGCAGTGCAAAATGCAGCGACAACGGCGTCAAGAAGGCCAAGCCTGCCGCCAAGCGCCCAAGGGCGTCCCCTATGCAGTCCTCTGAGCAAGCGCAGCTCCACAGCGTTGATCCTGTCCTTCACATCACCCCACATCCCACAGGCTTCATTGCCCCTGCGGTGCCGTCGGCGGAGGACGCAGGCCAGTACGCGCAGTACTCCCCTACCCAAGAACAGCGTTCTACGCACGCGTACCCTGACCCCACCCAGTACTCGATGAACCACCTGTACAACACTGGTACTTCTTCGGGTCTTGATGCCCTTGCCATTGCGGCGAGCAGTGAGAAGCGCAAGTTCGAGTAACTTGTTGTTTGTATTCTGGCGTTCACGGTCTGGTTTTCATTTCCATCGCCACTTCAGCGCGGCGTAGGAGGCCATCTTTCGAATTTCACGGCGTTCAAAACCCTTCCACGTAAGGAATAGACGCAATTGCCGTCATGGCTATGAATGGTGTGAGAGGTCTATTGCAGACGCCCCATCATGTATTTTCTTTCTCTAAATTACGGCTTTGGCCAAGCTACGGCTTTGGCCCACTTGTCTGGTTGTTCGCGAGACTCATCTTCACTGAGAAGTAATATATGGAGTCGATCTGCGACGAGACTGCCTGGTGGTCGGAATCACAGGCAGCATGGATACCCCGCCCGTTGTTACAATGGGCACATTGTTTTTAGCTACATCGGTACATTGCTACCTGATTAAAAAATCAATATTCTCTAAACATCATTGCCATCTCAATTGCCTCAGCTGCTGCCTCACTTTTCTCCACTCTCTGCATCATAGTTCTCGGCGCACAGACTTTTTCCAACGGTACTGTCCTCCATACGGAGCAGCCCGCAGCCGCTTTCCTTTGGCCATGATGATGCGTATTCCCTACACAGTGTACACGTATAAATGACGGCTGCAAGCTCTACAACTGATTTTTAAGGATACGGTCCACGCTAAGTCATGATATCCGCACGCAACCTTGGTACTTTGATAGGAACTATTGGTTACGGGCTTTGCATGAGGATAACAATAATTTCCAGGGTCCACAGTCCCAACTCACCAACCAACGATTCCTTCCCACGACGAGATCTTCACTCTCCACGGAGCTGGAACAAAGAAGGACGCGCAGCATGGATATCCTTCAGCTCCGTCCAATCCCTCTCCGTGCCCAACGTTATTCTACCTACATCCGCGAACCTTACGTTGTGAGATGGCTGGCGCCAGCTCCGGCCGCTTAATGTGCAGACCCTGCAGACGGCAGTCCAGACCAACCACCGCCATGATCTACCGAGCTAGGAGCAAATCCCGCTCGTGGCCATTGGTTCTAGGATTAAACGGCCGCTGCGACAACATACCACGCACCAAAAGCGGCTGTCAAGACATACCTGCTGCTGCTCAAATTTCTGTGTACCAATTATTAGGCGGACAACTGCAGATACACCCCAGAAATCATTCGCTGTTAGAACTATACTTGAGCTAGAGCTCTTGCCCCTCCTCGAACTGCTCCATGCCAAGTGTTGACGTCGAGGTGAGAAGTGCGACCGCAACCGACACCGCCAATAACCATGGATTGATATTCTTCGGCTGACCTGCCCATGGAAACGTAATTACACTTCCCGTTATCGAGATTACAATTCGTGCAGCGCACCAGACCGCTTCCCCGAGAGCGAAGCCCAACTGTGTCTGCGTTGAGGCGAGGCCGGGCACGCACATGCAAGGACAACACAGACCGAACGACCCTAGGGCTCACCAGCACCGACAGGGTCTTGCGGTAGCACTGCGTCTCGCTACGGAGCAGCCATCTCCCTGTCGCGGCAAACCGGATGGTGCAACTCTCATTTCCTCGCATCAAGACCCCGGAGAAATGGCGAATTCCGACCGACTTGCGTCAGGCATTCCACCTGAAAGGCAACATCAGGTCATCCATTGCTCGAAGATGCACACGACCACAGTAGGCTCAACATCGGCGGGCTTTCAAGCCATGTTCATGCGCCAAGCTCTCTTTTATGGACTCTTGCCGTTCAACGCTCTGGCAGTACCCATCCGTTTTCTGTTCAAACAATAATCTACGCTCTGGTTGCGCAAAGTGACAGCCACGCACTCTTGATTACCCAACGTTTGTCCACCAGTGCAGTAACACACGCAACACGAGACTGCCCTGACCCACTCCTGTGGTCATCTATTGTTTCTCCCGCCTGACTGAATGTGGCCAGCCTGTTGTGACACCTCGTCTCTTCCTCGTTTATCTACGTGCAGATCTCGAAATAGTACGACAGTACATGGGCGCATGTGGGGGAACGCAACAATCGGGAGCGAAACGCAGATCATAGTTTCAGATTTGTGACCACATCAATGTTATTGCCGCTTCCCCGGTCCATGGTCGGTATGGCAGATTAGCGATGGAGAAGACCAGGTGCCTGTGCAGGTGCTGATGCGGAAGAAGCTGATGATACCATGTTGATCTCGGGGATTTCGATATCGTCACAGAAACGAGGACACCACTTCGACTGACAGCTTGTCGTCATCGTGGAGGTGTTGGAGAGCCGACGGTCAATGCTCTGTTCGCTCGAAACAGAACGCCAGACTCACCCTCAGACATCCCGTGCGGGCAGCGAGTTGTGCATGAGAGCCATGTGTGAGCTCGTACAAATGCGGGTATCTACTGTACCACGTCGTGCCGTCTCAACCCTTCAGACTACGCACGTTTCCCGTGCGCCAGTTTAGCACCGTGTGACCGCGGCCGCTCGCTTCCTGAAAACGTCTCATGGGGGGGGGGGGGGGTTCGAGATGAGCACTATGGGACGACTCCCCGTACGAGCGATACGAGCGATGAAAAAAAAGCGACAGATTTGACAGCCCAACAGTTATTGGAGTTGCCATTGGACAGGCAAGTATGCATGAAGCAGACGGGGTACCTATCTACCCTCGTGGTTCTACACAACACAATTGAATTGCGACCCTGTCACAACCTCTTGCAAGTTCGCTAGAGACCACACGCGCCAAAAATATCAAGAACCTTCCGAGAGGATATGATCTACACTCCTCATATACCTGGTCCAAATCAGCACATGTCATCTCGCACCTGCAGTCCACAGCTCACTCCCCACATGTGCACCTCAACAATCATGACTCGCGGCACGAACCACAGAACACACACCAAAGCAACTCACAACTCGTTCGCAAGTACCAAAATATCCACGAACGAGTCTAGGCGACCTGTCACTCCTCTCTTGACATCCAGGTCCTGATGCACCTACCACCGTGCGGCCTGTCGTGCAGGCCCGCCAGCCATGCGATGTCACGCAGAGATGCCTGCTGCAACGGGCAGCCGTAACTGTCGCTCCTGTCAAGGGACTTTCGTGCATGCCACAGGGCCTGTCAAGGGGGTTTCGTTCGGGTGGTGTGCAGATGCGGTGTCACCGCGCTCCGCGAGGGCTAGACGAGAGTCCATGTATCAGCCTCCGTGACACAACGTGGAGGGAAAGTAAGCATCCCATGAGCTGGAGGGTGGCGTCGGACTACATGTGTGTGCGCTCGCTTCTGAGGACCACGACAGGTTTGTGTGATGGCACACAGGAAGGGTTCGTGGGGCTCTGGCGAGCGATGTCGTGGAGTGGTGAGAAGGTAGGAAAGTGTTGTCGTGACGGCGGCAATGGGGGTACTGGACGAGGTTGTTGATGTCCTCACTGACCATATCAATTAGTGCACTTCGGAGTCCAGAAGACATAATGTTCACTTATTGTACAAGCACTTGAACGCTGAGCAGCCACCAACACTCTGATTGACATCACACATGGCTGCATGTCCATGGTACGGAAATATAACACCGCTGGCACAGCGCCAGGTCTGACACTGACATTGACAACTACACATACCCATCCCTGCATCAATTTTCGTCCTGCGTCTGTATTGACTGCCCTGCGTGCACCGTGCAACGCGACCAGAACACTTGTCATTCTTACTTCGTGCCGTCCCGCTTACGACTACGATCTTCCCGGCGCAGTGATCGAGACACATTCCCAGTTGGGGGAATGGAAAGTCCCGCCATGGCAAGCAGCAGCTGCGCGAGCTTACACACTGGGCTCTGAGGACATGTTGCGAAGTGGTGGAGATGTGCTGGCGACGCGGGTGCAAGTAAATGGGGACGGAGCTGACTTTGGCACCACGTGGGTTATCTGCGTGGATGCAAGTATCCGTGTGTGTGTACGTGTGTGTGTTTGAGCGTTCTCGCCACCGTGGACATGCGGTGACTTCCGACTTGAACCGGGATTTTGGAGGCGAGATCGGGGAATGTTGGGGGCTGTATGAATTATTGGGTCATCGTGGATTGCTGGGGCATCGAGGTTCGAGAGTCAGTCTCTCGGAACGGGTTGGGCTGGTCTTTGCTGCTGTCGATGATTGCGGGGGGCAGGTTGATGCCTCGAACAAGACCACTCAGGTGAACTTGGCTGTCTGCACATACTTTGCGAAGCTCATGTCTTCGCCTGAGGGCGCGCCGCTGTCTCTCAGAGCTTGTGAGTACCGTGCCTTCAGGTTGCTTTCTGGGTCCATGGCGTCTTCCTCCGAGTCGAAATCGTCGTCAAAATCGTCCACGGGGTGCTCGTCATCATCGTCATCCATATCTTCTGCATCGCTTACTGTCTCAGGCTCTTCTTTTCGTGGTGCCTTCTTCGGCTTAGCACCTGTAGCGCTGACCTTCATGTCCTTCATGAGCTTGCCAAGCTCGCGCTGTCGGGATGCTTCTTTCTCTTGCTCACGCTCGGCTCTCCTTCGCTCCAATTCTGGCTTGTAGTCGCGTTCGAACTCCGCCTTCTTCTCCTGAATACCTTTGAAGAAGTCGTCCATGCCGTCGCCTGTCATGGAGCTGACGCCAACAACACTCAAGTGCTTGTAAAACTCCTCCAAAACGAGGGACATGCTGTTGAGCAGACTGCTCATGTATCCACTTCCGCCAGTGACGCCGTCACCACCAAATGTGCCGCCCTCTTCCTCGTTGCGCAGCGCAGCCTGGAACGCTTCGAAGTCTGTCATCCACTCCTTGGCGAACTTAGCGTCCTGTGCGTCTGTCTTGTTGAAGACCAGTATCATGGGCAGCTTCGTCTTGTACAGGATCGAGCAGGCGTACAGCATGTTCGACATGAAAGTGCTGGTGCTTGTGGTTCGTGGCGTGTCAATAACATATGCAACAACGGTAGGAAATGTGCTTGCCAAACTAGACAGCAAGATCTCTCCACTTGCTGACCAGACAAAGACCTCGATCTGGCCCGGTGTGTCTACCAAGATGTGTTTGACTTGCGGCTGTTGCGCAGGCGCGGCTGCCTGCTTCTCTTTCCCACTGTTGGTCATGAACTCGACAGTTGTCTGCTTGGGCTCTGGTACCGGTGCCGGAGCCTGTGTCCTCTTCTCCAGCAGTCCAATCACCTGGTCGATCTTGGTGCTGAACAGATTCAGGCTGGTCAAGATGCCGCCGTTGGGCCCAAGATTGAACTGTTTCATGACCTCCTTGTAGTTGACGCTGTCACGAATATCGATGTTCGGCGTGAAGGGAATGTGGTGGACGGCAGGGTCAAGGTTGATGATGTACGGTGGGGTTGGTGCCGTCTTCGAGACGGCAGGCTCTTTTGACGTAGGGTCGGGGTGCGTATAGATATGAGATACGAGGCGTTGCATGAAGGTAGTCTTGCCAGAACCAGCCATGCCTACGCAGACAATAGCGACTGGTTGCTCTGAGCTTGCAGGCGCGCTGCTCGTGGCTGTCGAGCTCTCTGGATCTTGTGTGGGCGCCATGGTGCTGACGTCTGGGAGTATGTGGCGAAGTCGAGGGGTTGCACAGTCGAGCGCTGTGTGCTTTAGTAGTTGTCTGTCGAACACGTAAAGGAGCGTATTGTTGGTCAAAGTGGAGCGTGTATGAAATACGAAGTAATGCTGCTGTCGTGAAATTCTTAGCGGGGCGGACGCGCTAGGGCAGGCGCGCCGGTGATGTCAATCCTAGCTGCCAAACTCTCGTCATTCGTGGACCCTTTCACCAGCACGCAGCGATCCACCAACACGTCTAGATCTTGTCTTGACGATGGGTTTGGAGGACTTTGAAAAGGAGCTTGCAGCGAGCAAGGTCAAGGAAGACAGGAAGAAGCGCGACAGAAGTCGCAGTCGAGACAGGCACCACCGCTCGGGCAAGCACCACTCCTCGCGCCATCACCGCGATGACCGAGATCGAGACGTGCACCACCGAGACAAGCGGTCGCGACACCATCGAGATACATCTGCAGAGCACTCGCAGCGAAAGCGGAAGGAGCGAGAGCGCAACGACAAGTACGATGACCGATCACACCGAAAGCACAACGACAGACGAAGCCAATTTCCCTCCAGCGACGACGAAGATCGCATGACTCGAAAGCGCAAGTCGCATCAATACAAGGAAGATGAGTCTTCTGGCGACGAGGTGCCCCAGGAGAAAGACTACGTCCCTCACGATGATGAGCTGCTGGACGAACAGATTGAGAAAGCAACAGGTGCAAACGTGCAGCGAGACGATTGGATGCAGGCGCCATCAACTATGGATATAGACTATGTCCAGAGAAAGAAGAGGGAAGAGAAAACAACATACGTTGCAGCCTCCGCAGAGAAGCAACACGCCCTGAAAATCCACAAGGCTGAGTTGAACCACCATCTCGCCGACCTCGATAAAGACGAAGGAATAGCGACCGAGGAACCAGCGCAGAGAGAGGTCGACTACACATTTGGAGACTCGGGCGCACAATGGCGCATGACAAAGCTCAAAGGCATCTACAGAGACGCCAAAGAGACAGGCCGATCAGTCGAGGAAGTAGCGTTGCAAAAGTACGGCGATTTGCGCGACTTCGACGAAGCACGAGAGGAGGAGATTGAGCTGGACAGGCGGAACATGTACGGCAAAGACTATGTTGGTAAAGAGAAGCCTTCAGGAGAGTTGCACGAGGAGCGCAGGCTGAAGGCAGGCATCCACCGTTCTTCTCGAGAGGATGACGAGATGGAAGACATGCCTCAAGGCCAGGCAGTATCGGATCCTCGATCTACAACGAGAATTATCGCGCTCAGTCAGACAGACCTGAACAAGCTCAAAGCTCAGATGATGAAGGCAAAGCTGAGGAAGTCGCCAGATGCAGCAAGGCTCGAGGCCGAGTACAACGCAGCGATTGCGGGTTCTACCGGCAGCACAGACCGCGACGTAGTCGTGTTGAATGCCATGGACAATCGAATGCTGGCTGGAGGTCGACAGGGTGAAGTCATTTCGCTCGAGAACAAACGCGGTGTTGAGCGAGGACTGGTCAAGGAGAACGAGGATATGACCATCGAGGACATGGTCCGACAAGAACGACGCACGAAGGGCCAGAATGAGGGCCAGCTTCTTGCTGAGAAGATTGGCAAGGATGTCAAGTTCGACGTGAGTGCTGCTAGACTCCTGATCATAACACTTGTGCTGACGCAAGACAGAACGACCTTGATTACATGGACGAGAACGCTACAAGACTTGCTGCTCGCGCCCCCAAATCATCCATCAACCTCCGCAACGCTGCGATCCAGGACTACCGAAAGACGAACCGCATTCTCGATTCGTGTCCACTTTGTCACCACGAAGACAAATCGCCTCCCCAACCTCCGATCGCCCCTATAATATCTCTGGGGACGCGCACTTTCCTTACACTGCCCACTGAGCCAGAAATCAGCGACGGCGGTGCGGTCATAGTGCCCATCCAGCATCGTACCAATCTGCTTGAGTGCGACGACGATGAATGGGAAGAGATTCGCAACTTCATGAAGTCACTTACTCGCATGTACCACGATCAGGGCCGCGATGTTCTTTTTTACGAGAACGCTGCCAATCCTGGTCGTAAATTGCACGCCGCTATGAATGCGGTACCTATTCCCTTTGAGCTTGGCGAGACGGCTCCCGCCTTTTTCCGCGAGGCCATCCTCACTTCGGACAACGAGTGGAGCCAGCACAAGCCTATTATCGACACATTGAAGGCTTCCAAGTCAAACCTCGGCAAGCAAGCTTTCCGCAAGAGTCTAGCGAAGGAGATGCCGTACTTCCACGTGTGGTTTGAGCTCGATGGAGGAATGGGTCACATCGTGGAGGACGAACGCCAATGGCCACGTGCCGACCTCTTTGCACGAGAAGTTCTGGGAGGAATGCTGGACATAGGCATTGAGGTCCAGAAGAGACAAGGCCGATGGGTTAAGGGTGATCGCAGGCCGGAGAGATGGAGGAAAGGGTGGAGGAAGTTTGACTGGACTCGAGTGCTCACTGAAGGGTAGTCCCTCAGGATAAGCTCAGACGTAGACATTCAGCTTGGCTTTGAACGGACAACAACACCTGCCTGGGCCATCACGCGTATAAATCGTGGGATGAAGTCCCCCAGGAATGCTGTGCACGTTGAGGTTTCAGATGGTGGCACAAAATTGGATACGAGAGGAACCGTCACGCTTTGGAAATCAGCCTCGAGCGATCATATCGTGTCGTACATGCCATATACTCTCACACTTGGCCCAATCAACGATGACGTTCGGCGTGGCATGATAAGCGTCCTGTCAACAACAAGACCTGTTCGTCTCAGAACTTCTTGGGATTCTCCCTCCTACCGGTATTTCAATCTCATCAACTGTTGGGGATAAGGGTCCCGCGCCTGCGCCACAAAGGCTTTCGTAGTTGTTTTGATTGACACGATTGACACCCCGCCGCTGTATTGGCCCCACTACCAACACCTGCTGCGTTTCCGCGCTCCCGCCTTCCTGCCAGGCGAGCCCTTCACTGTCCACTTCCCCTGCAGCGCCTCTCCGCGTCAGAAAAGGGGCGAGCGTCAGTCAGGCATCAACTGCGGGCTCTGGCATCAGGGACGACTGACGACTGACGACCCACAATTTGGCGCCACAGCCACTCTCAGTTCACGCGCCAGCACTAAGAGACAGTGCCTTTTGACGACATCTCCGCCCACTACCGTCATTGCTAGAACCGGCAACCCCAGCAACGTCGAGCCCCCCATATTCTTTGCTCTGCGCTCCACGACGCGGCTCCTTCCGCGCACAGCGTCACACTGCACCACCGGCGCCTGTTTGGGCTCCAAGCATCAAGCACACACGCCGGCCAGCGCCAGGCACCACCACCCCTCGCCGCCCCCGTCGGCGGAGAGACGCAGCACCGCCCTCCCCGCCGAATAGAGAGCCGCCGCCGCCATGTCCAGCGTTGACGAGACCGTTGCCAATGTGCAGCGCAAGATTGACCGGGAGCGAGCCCTGATCAACGCCGCCAATGCCATGCGCCAGTCGACCAACAACCCGGCCGTGCTGTCGCGCCTGGACGGGCAAATCAAGGACGGCCGCCGCAACATCGAGTACTTTGAGTCGAAGCTGCGCGACCTGAGCGTGCAGCGCACCGCCGCAGGCGTAGAGAACATGAGCCTGCAGCAGCCCGGTGGGTCTAGCATCCGCAAGGGAGATAATCCGCTGACTCCTCCCCCCAAAGACGGCTGGAATGGCTACATGCCGAACGAGCAGGGAGGCTACAGCGGGCAGCAGGCTCTTGGCGGCGGCACAGGGCTCATGCCACCACGTGCCCCATACGCCTCGCCAGCACCTGGCGCGCCGAGCAAGAGGCCCAACTACAGCAAATTGGGTATGAGCACTGTTGATTCTCTACGAACCGTACACTGACGCATTACAGACCTTATCCGCTATGACACGCAGCACCTGGGACCCCGCATCCAGCTCATGTTGTCGCAGCTGGAGTTCAAGCTGAGTGTCGAGAAGCAGTACAAGGATGGCATCGAGAAGATGGTGCGCCTCTACCAGATGGAGGGAGACCGCAGGAGCAAGCAGGACGCCGAGACCAAGCGCATCGAGAGTAACCAGAAGATTCAATTGCTGAAGCACTCCCTCAAGCGCTATGAGGACCTGCACGTTGACATCGATGGCGCAGACGACGGCGATGGTAAGCTCCTGGCAACATGCACATAATCTTCGCTGACATGTTTGTAGACGATAGCTTGAGCGTACCTAGCCAGAGAAAGCCTCTCAGCGGTCACCTCTCCCTGACAATTCACGCAGTCGCCGATGTTGACCACGCAGCTACCGGTCGCTTTAGTCGAGGACCCGAGACCTTCATCAACATCAAAGTCGAAGACACTATCAAAGGACGCACCAAGCCCTCGAGGAACGATCGCTGGATCGAAGAAAGACATGAATTCGACATTGACAAGGCGAACGAGATTGAGATCACGGTATACGACAAGACCGGTGACCACGCACTGCCCATTGGTATGCTCTGGGTGCGCATCTCAGACATTGCTGAGGAGATGCGTCGAAAGAAGATTGAGACCGAGCTGCAAACCTCTGGATGGGTTGCTGCAGACAAGATGGGAGGCCACGCAGGCATTCAGCCAGATCTTCAATTCCAGCCACCTCCAGGACAGAATCCTGCTGGAGGAGCTGGTACCGGGCCGGGCGGTATGAGACCTGCGGGAGCCGGGCAACCCCAGACAGGACCCATCACAATCGATGACTGGTTTTCGCTGGAACCTGTTGGCCGTATTCACCTCACGATGGCGTTCGCAAAGCACACACAGAACAAGACTCCATTCGATGTCGGTCTCGGTCGAAAGGGTGCTGTCCGTCAGCGCAAGGAAGATGTTGTCGAACAGTACGGACACAAATTCGTGCAGCAGCAGTTCTACAACATCATGCGCTGCGCTCTTTGCGGCGACTTTTTGAAGTACTCTGCGGGTATGCAGTGTACTGATTGCAACTACACGTGTCACAAGAAGTGTTACCCTAAGGTGGTCACTAAGTGCATCACGCAATCGAATGCCGAAACCGATCCAGACGAAGCCAAGCTGAACCATCGCATTCCTCATCGTTTCGAAACCTTTTCCAATATGGGAGCCAATTGGTGCTGCCACTGCGGTTATGTCCTACCGCTGGGACGGAAACAGACCAAGAAGTGTGCAGGTATGTTTTGGAGGCACTCTTTACATGTCGACACTAATCATCTGCAGAATGTGGTCTTACTTGCCACGCTCATTGTGTGCACTTCGTACCCGACTTTTGCGGCATGTCGATGGAGACTGCCAACCAGATTCTTATGGAGATTAAGAAGACCAGAAAAGGACAATCGGCTTCTGGCTCGACAATGACGAATCGAACACTGCGTCAACCGCAGAAACCGTTGCCTCCAACGCAGCCCCCACAGCCTGGCCAAGAACCACCGCAGACCGATAGGTACTCGTACGGCAAGAACGAAAGCATTGCACCACCTGGCAATCAACGAACGCAATCGTATGCACCATCATCCCAGGCTTCTGGTGCTGCGCGCACCTCTTACTCCTCAGGTGGCTCAACTGCGCCTACGTCACCCACCTCTTCTCAACGACCTTCCTCAGGACGAACGCAGTCCTCGCAGTCCGCGATTGCCGCCGCTGCCGCTGTGATGTCGAAACCTCCGGTGGCCAACGCGGCTTCTGATTATAGACGTTCCCAGGCAGACTACCAGCCCTCTGCTAAACCTGGCAGTGGATACCCACAGGATCAACGTACGCCGCAGCCTCTCCCGCAACAAGCCACATACAACCCACAACATTACGCAGATGTCGATAAGCGACAACAGCCACCGTATTCTCCTCAGTCAGGAGCGCAGTACGGCAACAATCAGTCGTACGCACACCCTCAGCCTCCACAGGCTGCGCCTCCACAGCAGCAACCTCAACCCCCGGCGAAGGATCCCCGCCCGCAGCAACAGCAGCAACAGCAACAGCAGCAACAGCAACAGCAACAGCCGGCATCAGCTTTGACCAAGGCTCCCGAGAACAAGGTCACTCCACCGGCCAACACACAAGGCACCGGCAGGAGGATAGGATTGGATCACTTCAATTTCCTTGCGGTTCTTGGAAAGGGTAACTTCGGTAAGGTCATGCTTGCGGAGACCAAGAGCACAAAGCAGTTGTATGCCATCAAGGTCTTGAAGAAGGAATTCATCATCGAGAACGACGAGGTTGAGAGCACGCGCTCTGAGAAGAGAGTGTTCTTGATTGCGAACAAGGAGAGACACCCGTTCTTGCTTAATCTGCACGCCTGTTTCCAGACAGAAACTCGTGTCTATTTCGTCATGGAGTACATCAGTGGTGGTGATCTGATGTTGCACATTCAGAGGGGTCAATTCGGTACCAAGCGGGCCCAGTAAGTCACCTCGACAGATGCTGTCAGTATCGTTGCTAACAATACTTTAGGTTCTATGCAGCTGAGGTCTGTCTTGCCTTGAAGTACTTCCACGAGAATGGTGTCATTTACCGTGATCTGAAGCTTGACAACATCCTGCTCACATTGGATGGACACATCAAGATTGCCGATTACGGTCTCTGCAAGGAAGAGATGTGGTACGGCTCGACAACCAGCACCTTCTGCGGTACGCCTGAGTTCATGGCACCTGAAGTAAGTTATGTTGCATTGTGGAGAAAGTCCTTTGACTAACGCATCATAGATTCTGCTCGACAAGAAGTACGGCCGTGCGGTCGATTGGTGGGCATTCGGTGTTCTGATCTACCAGATGCTTCTCCAGCAGTCGCCTTTCCGTGGTGAAGATGAGGACGAGATCTACGACGCCATTCTTGCCGACGAGCCTCTTTACCCCATTCACATGCCTCGCGATTCCGTCTCGATTCTCCAAAAGCTGCTCACTCGCGAGCCCGAGCTACGACTTGGATCAGGTCCCACCGACGCGCAGGAGATCATGTCTCACGCCTTCTTTAGGAACATCAATTGGGATGACATCTACCACAAGCGTGTCGCGCCGCCATTCGTCCCAACAATTACCAGCGCCACAGATACGAGCAATTTCGATACAGAATTCACAAGCGTAACGCCGGTTCTTACGCCTGTGCAATCTGTTTTGTCTCAAGCAATGCAAGAAGAGTTTAGGGGCTTCTCCTATTCCGCTGATTTCAATTAAGCATGTTTGCTTTCCTTCGGATACCCTAGGCTTATTTCGCAGTGCGTCACTTTCGCGACTGGTCGAAGAACTCAAGATGGCGCGGGTTGCGTGCAGCACCCGAACTCATAGCTGCAATCGTGGGGGTGGAATTTGTTGGGACTGTGAACCTTCTTTTTCTTCGTTCTTCGAAAGCAACAGTTGTAATGCATCATTAGCGGAGCAAGTCTGGAGCCAGCGCGCTACAAGCAGGCCATCGTTGGCGGGAGGTGTTGGTCGGCTTCACGAGTAGCGGAACATAGAAATGATGAGCGAGCGATGTGGTGCTCGAAAAGATGGCAGTGAGCGGTAGTTGAGGTGTTTGGAAACGATGATTCACCACGAGTTACAGGATAGATGAAACAATCATTTGCGCACTACTAGTTCTAAGACGGGCACCATGGTGACCGATTGTTCTGCTTCAGTGGCCGTTTGGCGCCTCTCTTTGTCTGCACCCGATCTTGACAGCGAGCAACTTCCCTTTCTCCCACAGTTTTGTTTACATTGCGCAATCGTACCAACACTAGCCAAAATTTGGTACCTTTTTGACTGCCTGCATGCATCTGCAGCATTTCATGAAACGACCGTTTACGTACCCACCCTCTCGTCGCCTAAAAGGGTTCCTGCAACGCCACAGCTACAAGGCATTCGCGCTCTTAGCGCGCACACCTGTCACCTGTCGTCTCGCTTCCCTGGTAGCCGATCCCCTCTAGCCTTAAGAATGGATGCCCCGCCTGCATCTCATCCGGAATATAGGTTAGGTGCGTACGGCTAAGTAAGTTAGTGGAGAGCTTTCAGGGTTTCGAGGTAGCACAACGAGAGCCTTCTTCAGGCCTGTCATAGGTATTGGAACACTAAGTCTGGTCCAGACTTTATCGACGTGCTGCTGTTCCTGACCGGGGTGGACAAATCGAAAGACAGGATGGTGATCCTACACAATGCGATTATTGACAACTTATGTCAGGGTCGCAAATGCCGTTGCCAATGCCATACAACACCGGACACAATAATGTGATTTGGGTTAGTTGCAGTGCATTACATGCAGATAAGCACATCGATCGACTGAGCATTTAAACGGGCTGTGTGCGACTGGCTGACCTATCGCGAGCAGGCAAAGGATTCATCCTGCAGCTATCTCATATCCTTGGCGAGAGCCCTGAGAAAAGACGCTCCGTTGCGAATGATCAGATCGGCTCCAGTTGTCTGTAATGTGCCCGGTTGAATCAGCATCGGGCGCCAACGAGAGAGATCTTTCTTTCTGCCATCGAAAATAATTGCGTACGCCAGCAAAGCCACCTTCCCTGCGAGGTAGTAGCGATCATGCACAGCTGTCTTAATCGAGTAACGGACACGCACAGAATCTTTGCGGATCCTGGCCCGACCATACCACCGCTGACTGGCCCCGCATCAGGCCTGCGGACAAGGAGAGAGACGCAAGGTGTGTTGTCGAGCACTCGCGCAATACTTGCTCTGGGAAATTTCTGAGGACGTGATCAGATGATCATCTCGATCGTTGTGGTCGGTGAAGCAAGATGCGGCTGACTGGAAAGCGGATGACTTGATTGATCGAAGAGACTCGGCGCGCTACGTGCGCCATCCAGCGGTGGCACCTTGTCGCTGCACGCAATCGCACCCACGTGTCAGCGTCTTCCCTCGAGAGTGACATGTCGAAAACGTCCTTCTGTTCAGAAAAACCGCGGGATAGGGGAAATCCGGAGCAAGCGATTCCTCTGGCCGGCCCACATGTGGTCCCGCTAGCAACGCAACCCTGGCTCTGGGGGTTGGGTTGAAGCCCAGAGTTTGAAGGCGCTGTTTGCATGAGCCTTCTTCCTGGTGACCAGGAGACATTAGTCAAGGCTGGCTTAGCGAGAGCGAAGAAAGCGATTTCTGACGTGCGTACGGTCGCACGGCAAATGACATCGATTTATCATTTCTTGCGGTAGAAAGGTACCGGCGGCCCAAGCAGCTCGGGTGCCTGTTGATGCAAGGAGTCCTAGTGCCAAAGCTCCAGCCTATGGACCGAAGGGAAGCGCGACGTTAATACCGAACGACCACCCGGCAGCAGGCCTTCCTAGTCCTCACAGCAATTACACACATTCAGGTATCAATCAGCACACACGTCAGCAGCAGAGGGAGACGTCGCGACACAGCACAGCCCTTGCATATTTTCGCAAATTCTTCCCCGCCCGCACGTTTCGGCTCAGCTCCCCGCATCTCATGTCCTGAACATTAAGCGCGAGGCTGTTCGTCAGAGACGAGGCGCGCCAACATCCAGACCTCGTCCAGAGTTCGCACTCTCAGCCCGGTGTTTCTAGCAAACTACCGTCAAAATTAACGGCTTCACGGCTCCCAGCGCCGCAGGCGCACGGTCGCCGAGGGCGAACGGTGCTGAGCGTCAGATCTTGAACACATTCAATGTTCAACACATACCGCCGTCGCCGTCTGTACAGCAATCGCCAGTGACACAAGCAACACCTTCGACAGTGGGAGCTTCTGGCTCTCCACTGCAGACACCAGGGTTTCTCAATGCCAACACTGATAGTGCAGCAGAAGCCAAAGGTAGACGACAAGAAACGACGAGGATGCGATCGTCAATCGCTTGCTGTGCATGCCGCCGCAGCAAGACCAAATGCGACAACAACGGCATCCGTTTGAGTGATGGTAATCTCGCGCCATGCAAATCGTGCGCAACGAGTAAGAAAGAATGCACGTATCCGCCGCCGGCGCCAGCAGCCAGTCATTCTCAACGACGTGAAAGTACAGCGACGACGGCTGGCGAAGAGGTATGTGGAAACGTATTCTTCTCATTTACCACTGAGATCTTTCTGAGCATAATCGAAGATAATGTGCGCATGGTCATTCGGTACACAGGATAAAGACTGCTCCGTCACATTATACCGTTATGTAGTGACTTCGTACTGACGATCAAACAGGCCCCTCCGAAGAAGCGCAAAAGGCCTATCGTGCCTACAGTAGGACCCCCCTTCCGCGGTAAAGGCCGTCTGGGAACTCCGGAAGATGCTCTCGAATCCGACCTACTGACACCGAAACTTTGGGACGAGCTTTGGGCTATCCACGAGAGACACTACTCAATGGAGTTCCCATTCTTGCACAAGAGGAACTTCCTAGGTCCTCTTCAAAGATTCCCGCCTGTCCCGTCCTCGGAAAAGGGACGTGCTCTTCTGGGCCAACGCACTCACGATCCCGCATTGGTGCTGGCATTCCTGACACAGACATCTCCATTCCATCCTGAGCTTGTAGCACAGACTGGCAGTCCTTACGATACTGCCGAGTTCTATGCGGTGGCCGCACTCAAATACCTGGATAATACTTGGAGCAGACAAGGTGAGGCAGCCATGCAACAGATCCAGGCGCTTCTCATGCTTGGATATCACGCGTGGGCTGCATGTCACAGCATACCTGGCTACATGATGATCCGACAAGCAATCGCTTTCGCTGGGGTGCACAAATATGCGTACGACGAGGACGCCGAAGAGCGACCCTCAGGAGACGATCCGGCCTCGAAACGCGACCGATTTATCCAACAAGAATCGCAGCGTCGCACATTTTGGAGTTGCTTCATTCTCGACCGCATTCTAAGTGTGGGAAAGGGACGTCCTAGAGTTATACAAGTGAAGGATCTGCGTGCTCTGCAAATTCCATGCAGCGACAAGAATTTCATTTCTGGTCGGGCGGTTAGGACTAGACTGTTTGGGGAGACTGATGAGGACTACGCGAAGCGGCGCATGGAGATACATGACGAAGCCCTGCAACGCAATTGTGGGCATGATCCTGCACGGATCGAATGGGAGGACCACCGTGACGACGGTGTGTTCGGTCGCTGGATCTATGCTTTGGATCACTTCGCCGATGTGAATGAGTGGTCCAACAATGGAGGCAGACGGTACGTGTGGAGAACGTCGACCGTCACGAGAGATATATCGCTAACTGTGGCAGATCGGAAAAGCCAGAGATCGGACCATGGAATCCGGAAACGACGTATTACCAACTTGACAAACGCTTGATGGAAATCAAAGAAGACTTACCAGATGAGCTTCAGCTCACATCGATTAACACGGAGAACCATGTTTACGAAACACCCTCCACTACTTCAAGGACATACTATCTCATCCACGCCGTCCTCCAGCTTTCTACGGCATACCTTTATCCCGAATATCTACCAACCTATGGCTTCAGGCTACAGAAGCCGCAAGGCCCAATGGATGCACCCTTGGTGACTGAGCCAGTGCCCGATGATCAGCCAGATTATTGGGTGGACAAGGCTAAAGAATGCTTCGAGTATGTAAAAGACTTTGTCAGCATTCTTCGATCTTTCAAGGAGAGGGACTTGGTCGTAGAGTCACCCTTTGTCGGACATGCAGTGTACAAGGCGGCGTGGTGCGGTAAGTGAAATCTATGGTCTTGTTTGACCAAGGCTGACTGATGCAGCTTCTTATTGTCATCATGTCCCCAAGATGGACCCCTCGCGAGCTTTGGACTCCAAGCTTGAGCCGAATGCTTGGGACGTCACTAATCAGGTCTTGGACAGCATGAAGAGAAAGTTCAGGGTTGTGAACATAATGTCAAGGGGACTGGCGACCGTCGCTTCCACTTACACCGACAGACTAAGGGAGTGGAGGAACTCGGGAGGAACTCCTATCAGCACATTCAGCGAGAATGATGGCGGCCTGAACGAGTACGCTGCAAAATTCGAAAGGGCCCACAAACAATTTGGAAGCCTCGAGCATGACCAGGATGATTTGACATATCCCATCGACAAGCCCTACAGCAGGTTAGAGCATGAAGAAGATCTGTCGGAATCTGTGTTGGCACAAGGTCCTGTCGCGTCTTTCAAATCTGAGCCAGACGAGCCACGCAGAAGCAATTCGGCCGCTACATCAACCCAGTCCACGTTCACACCAGTCAACCCTAGTACTACAGCCACTCCAGTGCAGGCCGAACAGTCGAACAACAGCAATCAGCCATCTAATGGTACGCGGCTACCGTACAGTCCGCCTACATCGCTGGCGCCGCAGCAATCACATTCATCGCAGCCGTATCCTGGCCACTTCCCTCAATATGACGGAACTTACGCTTATACCGGCACAACATCTGGCTTCCCTCAGCCCGTGCCCCACTATGGTGTCCAGGCACCTTACGCCCAGGCTTCCGGGCCAAACCACGGTCAAGGCAACGTTTCGTATAACCCTCAACGGTTGATGGAACTAGACAGAGAGGGCAATAAATCAATCAACAACAACAATGAGCTATATTTCTACCAGAACGACGAGTGGGCGGAGGGTTTATTTTCAGTCGACCAAATGTCAACCCAAACGCAGTACTTTCCAGGTCCCCAGGCTCCGTACGGAGCGTACCCTGGCCAATGGTCCGGTCAGTAGCTGGGGTCAAGGGCAAGGCTCGATCGTCAAATTTAGCCTGGGCATATCTTCGATTCGGACGATTTGCAGCTCAATCGTTGTCTTCCTTCTTGTATTCGCTGTATCAACATCCTCTCTGGTAACTTCGACACATTTACGACTTTCTGCTATATATCCAAGACATTTATCAGGCGATAAATTGCTGTGTGGCCTTTGCATCGCACGCTCGTTGCATTTATCTTCAGCCCTTGTTTTCCTTTCAGCGCGGAAGGCGTTTCTTGTTCGCAAATACATCATTGCTAGATCGAGTGGCGAATGCTGTGCATGGTGAACAGCGTAGCGAAGATGCATTAGAGGAGTTCGGTAGCAGGCTATGTGAACGTGTGAAAGACCTTTGCTTGACGGCCTCTTTCACGATTGTGCTTTCCCTTGCGAATGTCGTGAGCGCAGGATCTGGTCACGTCATATATGCAGGACTTCTTACAGAGCCGAAGATGCTACTTTGAGTCACATCTGCTCTTGAATCGATTGGTCGTTGGATTTTGGTGTGGAAGTCTACGACTCGCTTCGTGCTTGCTTCAGTATCACACGTAATGGCCACTGTCACGGTGAACCTCAGGTACTCATAGCCAGTGTTGCACCCAGCTGTGTCTGTGAATCAGGGCGGCACCATCTGGAGTGACCACCCCCGTATTCGGCGGAGCCTCGCTTACTTGAACGTTCCTGACAAGTAGTGTGTGCGCATGAAGCGTTCTGTAGACTTCGAAGCCATCGAGATATTACAATAACCTATAATTTGAAACTACTCCCAAAAGTCATTCGTTCTGGTGGTCCTTCAGAGTCTTTGTGAGCATAAGTCCGTCGAACAACCAGAGTGCTCCCCAAACAACGCCATCTATAAACTGTATATCACTTACACTAACTTCAAACCCGTACAGTGATGACACCTGCAGTATCTGGTACAGCATCACCAGACCGTCTGCCAGCCTTCGAGCATCCTCATTGCGACTCCCGGTAGAATTTGATCAGCTGTGGCCTCCACCTAACAAGAACATGGCGAATCGTCCGAGTCCGTACGTTCGCCTATTCTTGCCCTTTTCGATCCTGGCTTGTCTCTCGGAGTCGTTGATTTTCGCTTGCTCGTCGAGATCCTTGAGGTGTTGTACAATGTCTCGGCGCGGTGCCGCTTCAATATGTTCGGAGGGGGTTTTGGAGGTTGTTTGTGGGGTTTCAGACGATGCTTCTCGTGTCATGTGGAAGGATTTGGATTTCTATGGAAGATCGAAGAGGGCTTTTAGGTTCTCCGAATGCAAGCCAGCAGAGCCTGTACAGTTCCCCGCAGAGGTATATATCACTACGATGGCTTGACCACATGCCACTTGGAGAACAGCAGGCGGCAACAGACAAAGCCACCACGAAGCACACCCCAAATCGCCATGCAGTGTTGTTTCCAGGACTCTACAGGCAGTGCTCGCTATTATTTGTCCCGTCCCGCTGCACATCGATCCTCGTTGAGCTATTGTGGCTGGCGAATGGGTGGCCTGAGATAGGTCACAAGGCCTCCAATTCGGGGCTTGTTTGCACCGACTGATGCTTGCCGAGGCTTCGCTGTGCCGAAAGAATGACGACTTTGTCTATCATCGGGTGCGTTACGGGTGTAAGACTGGGAGGCTGGATGGTAGCGAATGATCATAAGGCTGTCAAAAACTTGAGATTGGTCGAGCAACATGATATCACATTTGCTCTTCCTCCGTCGAACAATATGTCTTGTTATGCCGCACCTGCCGTTGCAGCGATGATACCGTTCTTTCGACTGCGCTTCCTCTTCTGCCGCTGCTTCTTGTGCTCTTCCCTGTATTGCTCCGCGGCGTACTGGTCGTGATGTGATGGAATTAAATAGCCGTATGAATGCCCACTGTGAGGACTTGCGTGTTGTGGCTCTTTGTTGTGCATCTTGGATCCACGCTGTCCCATTCTGATGAATCTGAAGTTGACAGATGATGGAGGTAGTGCGAAGCTAAGGTGCGATAGACTTGATGTTGATTTGAACAGTCGGTCGGTGACTGAGGAGGTGGTAATGAAGTGGGTGGTGACTACAGTGGTCATGCAGAGATTATTTGAAGACTCGCTTTTGTTTGTCTTGGTGGATGTGAACCGACATTCTACCTCCAACGAACTATACACTGGCAAATGTTTTATCACAGCCACTCAGGTTTAATGCTTAATACAGAAGTGCGAGTTAGTTCTATGGTGATTCGAAAGTTGATGCTGTACTTCCGTACGGTTGTCCGACCGTGTGAACGACACGGCCGCTGGATCTGCGTAGGGCGCAGCCGACACGCTTCCGAGCCGCTGCACGTACACTTCGACACGCGTGTATCGCGACAACATTGCGCTACCATCCAAATTTCTCGAAAGCGATAGAGTCGAAATTCTATTGAAATGGTGACTGTCAATCAGACCAAAAGTCGTTCTATAGAAAGAAGAATGACGTTGACGTCACTCTCGCGAAGAACCACTTGAGGAGTGGCTAGCTGCATCGAGTCAATCGTATTCTTCTACGCATTACCCATCTTCGAGAAACCGATAACGGAACCTTTCCCTCTAAATGTGATCCCCCTTAACTGTTCAAGGTACAGCGTTGTCGGACTCCTACAACGCATAGGATATGGAGAGTGCTCAGCCATTGACACCGAGCGTGTGTCGACTGGACTCTTCACTTCCGGAGACAAGGCCGGCGCTTCGACTCGACCATCGGGAGGAACATGACGGCGAGTGTGCACACTGTCGACGTCCATTTGAACCTCTTAATCCTTCCATCTTCGGCAACACCTTTAGAGCCGGGTCCGCACCGGACGATGACCCGCATAATCGCGTCGGGCAGCTCTACACATTACACAAATAAGGTGAAATAAGTTCCGACCATGAAAAGCTAGCAGTAGTGCTTCATCAAGCTTTCCCATCTGAACCTCGGCAGCTCTTACAATTGTTGAGCAGCTTAGAGATGTTGCGGTACGCACGAGTAATTTAACTGCGGGTCGCTCTGCGGACGCTTGTGCACCCACCCACAGTCATGGTCGTGAACAGAGTTGGAGTTGTAGTCATGGTGTCCGGCGAGAATTGGCAAAAGGTCCATGATGATCTCGGAGGAAGAAGAATCGCGTGCTGCCGCGTTGCACTATGGCGGTGCGTACCTGCATCGGGCCTCACCCACACATAGGTACTTATTCCACCTCACTCCGCGTGCGTTAAGATAACCTCAGCGCCCTCGTATCGATCACGAGGCGCAATAGGCGAGTCTCTCTGGCCCTCTGCAGGCAAGCCGCGTCCGGAGAGGAGACTGTGTAGTGTGTATGAGTTCGCTTTGTGATTCAACGCTTCCATGGCCGAGCTCCGATTGGTGTACGGGGAAATACCCAGCTGAAGAATGCATCTCACCGGGAAGTAGTCTTGGGCGACTTGATCGCTGCAGGGTCCAGGGGTACGTTACATGCCGGCCCTGTTGGGTGTGAAGGCGGATCGGTGGCCAAATGACCGTGTGGCAGCCAGCCACAAGCACTGTCGATCAGTATGTCTGGGGTGAGAAAAGAAAAGGCCGTGCTAGATGATGAAACACCGCAGTTCAAACAAGTATCAAAGAGTTGGAGATTTAGGCAACGATTGCCATTTGTATTTGCGCGTACGCGTCGTCCCTTTGCGATGGAACGAAAGATGCGTGACACTGCTTCTTCTACATACCCCCAACCTCCCTTAGCCAGTGAAGCTGGCGATGCCACTAAGAAATGAAGGGCAGGAGACTCATGCCTGCTCCAGAGACCATTATGGAAGAATATGAGACAGTTCCAGCCCATAACAATGTACTTTGAGAAATTCGTAATTCGGCCGAGACCATGCATCCATCCCATGTTGCTACACCTTATGATGCAACGCCTGCGCCGTGTGTAGGGAAGAAATTGATATAGCGGCCAAAATTAGTATTAATGGCGGTGGTCCTTGCCAGTGAACACCAAAGTGTGTGACTGACCAAGTAGTGGTATTGAATGAAAACAATGCAGAGAGAAGGAGTATACGACGCGAAGGCATATCTGCTGCCAAAGCCAGCATCGTCTCCCGTAGAATATCATGAAACGGGTATTGAGAACATTGAAACGAGGATTTCCAAAAGCAAACTCCGAGCAAGATGACCCGCTCATGCGCATATGACAGTCTACGACAGTCTACGACTTGAAGTCGCTAGCGCTTTGGTTCGCAAAGACGTAACTCTTCGGCACATCCATACGACGGATCGCGTTGCCGTGCATGTCGGTTGTGCCTTGCGAGGGTGTGTACTGGTGAACCAGGAAGTCGGGCATCGAAGACACGGGAGGGGCAAATGGAACATTGTGCGAGATCCCTTGCAAAGATATTTCGTTATAACCAAAGTTGCCTCCGTACGAGTAGTCAGGGTGACTGACTTCGTCTGTTGGGTTCTGAGCAGTATCAGGCAACGATGGGCGCCGGAAATGTGAGGGCTTTGGCTGCTGCAGCGTGAGGTCCGTGGATGAGTGGAAAGCAGATCTCATTCGAGGAGGCTGCATGAAGCCAGTATGGGGAAAGCTTTGCTGTGTGGGAGGCGCTGATTGCGGTGGAGTATCACGGTAGAGACTTTCGTTGGCAAGACGGGCCTGGTTCAGACGCTGCAGATCCAGTGGTGTTGCAGGTGGTGAGCCCTTGATGTTGAGACTTGTAGCGAAGGGCTCAGCGGACCAATTCGTATTTAAACTTGCCGGACTGCTGTGCTCTGGCAGAGCATGAGGTCTCATGGTGCCCTGAGGCTGCCAGTAGAATCCCATCTCTTGAGGTGTGAGAGGCGTAGGTGGTGCCAAGCTCCCGTTGTTGCCCAATGTTGTTGCGCTAGAACTTGAGAATGTCCTTGCAAACTTTGGAGATGCAGCAGCTTCGGAAAAGCTGGATACCATGGGCGATGGCTGGGCTGAGCCTGGCCTTGACTTCTGAACACGGCCTCCGGCGTTAGGGATACCTGTCGACCGAATTCTCCTAAGAGTGTGGTCGGGGTTCCCTGCTGGAGATGGCATACCTGGGGTGTATGAAGCGCTTCTCATGGCGCTCGAGCTCAAGTTGACGGGGCGCTTTTGTCGCCTCACAGCGATGCTGGATGTTTGAGCAAGCTGTTTGAAATCGTCCGGTGTTCCGTTACGGATATGAACTGCATCCATGTTACTGGCAAGGTTGCTAGTCGAAGAATTTCTACGCCTGAAGCCATCTTCGCCAAACATCGGAGGCATCTCCAAATCAGATGCAGCCGCGCTATGCTTTCGTGTCAAGTCGTGTTCTGGAGAAGAAAGGATAGCCTGAGACGAGTTGTTGACCTGCTGGTAGAAGTTGTTCTGTGGGAATGAAGGAACGCTACCGTTCGAACCCCAGAAAGGCATAGCGTTGTCTGAAGGTGTGTGTTGGTCAAAGTTGAATGTTGCTGCGAAGTCGTCATTGTCATGGCCTTGCTCCAGCTGAGCGTCTGAGGCTGGGTCGCCTTTCCAGCCAGAGTACATGGACGTGATGGATGCAACGGAAGCGACAGGGGGTGTTGGACCGTTCGATGATTGAGGGGTTACTGACTGGTTGCCTGAGTATGGTGATTGTCCTGTCGAGCATGTACCTGTGCTGTTCTGAGCTTCCGCTTGGCCAGGCGGATCAGTCTGTGCTGCAGCTAGAGCAGTGTAATCAAGATTGCTGAAGTCGGCATACCCGTTGAAGGTGTCTTGTGGTAGTGCAGGTCCGTTCGGTAGAGTCTGGGGCATGGAGAAAGCAACACCGTTGGCGTACTGACTGGTTAAGCCATTGCTGTAAGGGAAGCCTTGTTCCTGGTTGTCGCTGGGCATGCTCTGCTGCATGTAGCTGGGACCGGCAGTCGCAGCCATGAGTGCCGAGTGCATCATCATCTGTGGCGGGTAAGAGGTGGTGCGGTCGGCCTCCGAGATCGTCCGCAGATTGTACTGGTGCATGTCGAATGGTTGCTGCAGTGAGGTCTGGGGACCCAAGTCTAGGGCTGACGGTCCGTCCATGCTCTGCACAGGCAGGCTGGCAGGGCTGATGTCAGCAGTCACGGGGCCGTACTCTTGGGGCATGGGGATGTGAGGCTGAGGCTGTGGGACCGGTTGGTGTTGCTGATGTTGCTGGTACATCTCTAGATGGTGCGGAGGAGCGAAGTGCTGTCCGGACATGACCGATACCTGCTGGTGGCCGTACACGCTCATGCCAATCTGCATGTTGTATTGGTTGAGGGCCTTCTTGCGGTCCTGCTTGACCTTTGCGCGGCGGTTCTGGAACCAGTTCTGTATTACGTTAGCAGAGTGAGCTCCAAAGGACGCTCGCAGACTGACATTGATCTTGTCAAGGGGTACCCCTAGACGGTCGGCGAACGCCTTCTTTACGCCGGTCGTGGGCTTGTGCTGCTGCTGGAAGTGCTGCTCGAGAATGTCGTGTTGATCTTTGGTGAGGCGCGGCTTGACGTCGCCGCCAGCAGGCTTCGGCCCTGCCGCAGCGCTGTCTGGAGGTGGCAGCTCGTCGCCGGTCGCTGTGTACGGGTGCTGCATGTTCGGGTTGTGAGGGTCCATCCTTGGCGCGCGCCGCAACACGGCGAAGCGTTGTGCGGGTGGAAAGAGTTTAGACGGTCACGGCCGCTCAAATACTTTGCAATGCACGGTGCGGTCGCGCAGTCGCCGGGAACAGGTGTTGTCGACAGGTATCAATAGGCGTCCCAGGGTCGGGCGGTAAGTCGTTGAGCACGGGGCCGCGGGTTGCACCGAGAGGAGATGAATGTGCGGCACGGAGATATTATATCGTCGTTATCGATGCTGTGATTGTCTTGCGGAGCTGTGCAGAAGCGAGCGACAGATGCGGTACACGGGCGCGCAAACCAAAAACGAGTGTGGGTGGGCGAGGCGTGAGTGTAGAAAGCGCAGTCCCTGAAGCGCGAGGCACGACGAGATGTGGGAGGGAGACCGGGGAGGGAGACCGATGAGGTCCAGTTACAGCAGGGCGGCCGCTCCCCATCCGCTAAGCCACCAGCCTGCATCCCCGGCACAAAAATAACCTGCATGGTTGTGACACTGGTCGTCCTCAGAGCACACTCGCCCTCGATAGCGCCTTGACACACATGTTCGAGCTGTCACTCTCCCGCTTTGAGGGCCGCCGGCCTAGCACTCGCTGCCAGTCCAACGTTCGTAACGCCTCGCGAGCTGGCACAGGCGGTCGCTGCGCGAGAGCCTCATTGGAGCGGCGTACGGCGGCCCACTACTCGCGGAAGCTTGGCTCGCCCCTAACGTAGGAACGTGTGGAAGGATGCCCCCTCGATGCGCCTGACGGCAACGGGCATCGTCATGCCGGAGACAGTGCTCACGCACGAGGCCTGTCGCCCAGGCCTCCAGTTCGAGGGACCTTTGCAACGCGGCGGAATCTGGCGATCCCAACGACCATCTCCGCAGAGCCAGTTCTCAGATGCGGCATTAAGGGTCTGTGGCTCTCTTCCGCAGAAGCGAGGAGGGTAAGGCTGCCTGAGAAGCGGGCGCCAACTCGGCCGCCCCTTTTCCTTCTGATCATGATCCCATCACACACTGGCGAAGCGCCGCTACCAAGTCCGCGCAGGCTCCGCTCTTCCCCATCGCAGGTTCTGTGCGGTGTCAAGCGAGCAACACACTCGCCGTCAGTTGCTGGCGTCTTCTGCCATCGCACGAGTCGCCGAGGGCACCCCTGCCAGCGACTGCTTCAGGTACCTGATTAGCACCCGTGTGACGGTGGTTGCTCCACGGCCTTCGTAATTCTGCGTGTTCAAGGAGACATCGTGCGCCTTGTGTTCGCTTCTCGAAAAAAGCCCAGCTGTTCCTGATTGTACCTTGCAGCACTGAGTCGCCTTGGCCGCGGTGCAACACAAAGAACTCAAATACGCCCCGGTTCGTCCTACAAAGTTCGCCAAACTGGGCGTAATGTTGATCTGAACTCAGTCGCGGAGTTTGATGCGTACTTGCGCCGGGATAATTGCCCATAGCTGTTAATAACGCGGCAGTAAGGGAGCTCCTCTTCACGTCACTCTGTCAGCTGTGAACCTGAACGTTCGTATTTCACTTGTTGTTGTCTGCCTGGCCGCACCACATACCAAGGAGCCCAGGGTCGCACCACAGCGACCGTGCCCCACCAACAGAGAGGGCTCCCGAGAAACACTGAATACTGACGTCTTTGCATGCAGTGTCTGTAACGCTTCTAGAAGAGAGGGTCCTTCCCTTCCGAGGGCAAGACATCTTCTAATGTCATGTGACGTACGATCCCACTCGGCGAGAAAGTTCGAGGTTGTCGACCAAAAAGTTGGCGATGTCGAGCTGAGCTGAAGAAGCCTGAAGGTTATGGTGGTCTAGGCATTGATGCAATGCCGCACGCTCGGTAGACCGACTCGGCGACGCCGTCAAAGGCCGCTTGTCTCGACGTTTGAATGGAGAAGAATAGCCGATAGGTATGCAAGGGTGCCGACATTGGGACTAGAGAAGCGCAGTTATTAGCAGGTGCTCACACGGCTGACACGTAAGACTAATGCTGGTAAGTCGTTTATTTTCACACCTAATTGCGCCTACAATAGTGCGTTAATGATCTCGAGCTGTCCTGACCCAGTGTTCTGATCCCACAGCTTCAAAGTCACACTGCGCATGTCTTTGACGATGTAGTCAGCACCAGCTTCGACAAGTTGCTCCAAAGAATGCGTAGTGTAAAGCGCGACGACAGTGAATCCAGCCGCCTTTCCTGACCGAACACCAGCTGGAGCGTCTTCGAACACAACGATAGATGGCTTCTGCTGTTGGAGCAGTAGTTTTTTCTCGCCCATCTTGTAGCACGCTGGGTCTGGTTTACCGTTCGGCACGTCTTCGGCAGTGACAATGTTCTTAGGATGCGCCAGCTTCATGACATCTAGCCATCCGGTAACCAGCGGTCGCGTGCCTGAGGTGACGATGGCCCATGGGACAGACTGCTCTTCGAGTCGATCCAGCATGGCGCGAGAGCCGGAGACCTCCACAGCATCTGAGCCAAACTGGACTGGGATCTGACCTTCAGCGTGGCTGATGTCTGGCATTCTGATCAGTCGTTGCCCAAGTGGAGTCTGGCAAGTGCTCACACTCCCAATTGGCGAGTTTTGGCTCGTATATTTGGAGAACATCTATTGAACGTCTGCCGTGTGAGGTCTCAAGAATCACTTCTGGGTCGACACCGATCTCTTTGCCAATCCTACAATTATCAGCCAATGTTTGCGGATGTTGATAGACTGGGACGTACTTGTGCCAATGCTTGACGATGGCTGGTGTTGAATCGATGATGGTGCCACTGGCCAAGTCAGAATGAGTCTTTAAGGGAGGATCCGGGCGAATCCCATACTCCATGTCAAATAGCTAGATGGGTCAGCATGGTGACACTTTGGGTAGTCACATCTATCACTCACCAACCCATGGCACTCAATGCTCTGCGCAGGTGCAGAGAAGTTGGCCTCGGTGACAGTCATAGTGAGAGGGTGGGTGCGAGTTTTGAGAGTGCCTGATAGTAGAAAGTGAATCGGCATATACGATCTTGATATACGTGACTGACAGAGACGGGCAACAAGCTAGCCCAAAATCGGCATCCCGCGCGAACACGTCGAGATTTCAACCAATCAGATTTGCTACCGACTAGTGTGAATGAAGAGGCTGATTGTGGGGGTGCTTGGAAGTCGGAGTCGAGATGTGGATCGCATCGAATGCTTTCCCGAGGTGTGAGATGTGAATTACGATATGGCTAGCCGGTATTTCTGATGTGCTGACGAAGAACAGCCTTTGCAAGCAAGAGTCTGAGGGGCGTTTGCGTTCGCGGGACCGGCCCACAGCCGAAGGCGGTATAGCGGCAGAATAATGCTAGTGCGAGAGACCTGGAAGAAAAGTTCGAGACGCAAAGCTGGCAGACCACCACAACAATCAGCCACACACGATGAAGGTCGGAAGTGCGTCTATCCTATCTGAAACCTTTCGAAACCATATCTGACGTGAATCCAAGAGCCAAAATCGAAGCGCCAGCCCGTGCGCCTGCGACACAAGATCGAGAAAGCGTCCGCGCAAAAGCAGAAGAAGGCGAAGAAGCTCGCGAAGAAGGTACTTTGGCTGCGCACATGCTCATGTACGGCTTTGACGTGATTCCAGAACCCAGAATGGCGCTCGAAGGCAAAGAAGGATCCTGGAATCCCGAATCTGTTCCCATACAAGGACAAGATTCTCGCAGAGGTCGAAGAGCAGCGCAGGCAGAAAGAGGAGGAAGTCGTTCGCCGCCGCGAGCTCGCCAAGCAGCAGAAGGCCAACGGCGGAGCTTCTGCGGACGTTATGGCGGACGATGACGAAGAATTCGAGCAGTTCGACGCTGAGGGAGACGAGCTTCTGGCCGAGGACAGCGACGAGGACGACTCCATGCAGGTGGACACGAATCCTATGGCTGCCCTACTGGCATCGGCCAAGGCCCGCGCCGCCGAGTTCGATTCGAAGAACAGCAACGACGAAGACATGGACACAGACGAGTCTGACGAGGGGGGTGCTTCGGGTGTCCGTAAGGATGCGTCGAGGAAGCAGTTCGACAAGATCTACAAGCAGGTTGTCGACTCCGCAGACGTTGTTCTTTACGTACTCGATGCACGAGACCCGATAGGAACACGGTCGAAGGAGGTGGAGCAGCTTGTCATGTCGGCCGACGGTGGAAGTAAGCGTCTGATCTTCATCCTGAACAAGATCGATCTGGTACCACCTCCAGTCCTCCGCCAGTGGCTCGTCAACTTGCGCCGATCATTCCCCACACTTCCGCTGCGCGCTTCGAAGCCTGCGCCGAACGCAAAGACCTTCGAGCACAAGGATCTTACAATGAAAGGCACATCTGAGGCGCTCTTCAAGGCTCTCAAGACATTTGCCGAGTCTCGGCAGCTGAAACGCTCCATCAAGGTTGGAATCATTGGGTATCCCAATGTTGGTAAATCGTCAGTCATCAACGCTCTGGCTCAGAGAATGGGTGGACGAGTTGGTGCTTGTCCAACTGGTGCAGAGGCTGGTGTCACTACAAGTCTGAGAGAAGTCAAGCTCGACAACAAGCTCAAGTTGCTCGACTCGCCTGGTATTGTGTTCCCCAACGACGCAGAGGGCACAAAGGAGAACAAGGTGCAGCAGCAGGCTCGACGCATCTTGTTGAACGCCGTACCACCTAGGGAAATCACCGACCCTGTGCCCGCTGTCACACTTCTGCTGAAGAGGCTATCAGGATCAGAGGAGCTTTTCGGAAAGCTCATGGAAGTCTACGACCTACCTGCCCTCAATGGGTCTGGCAAGGAGTTGACAACAGACTTCCTGATTCAAGTTGCACGCAAGAGAGGGAGACTTGGTAAGGGCGGTGTTCCCAACTTACACAGCGCGGCAGCGACCGTCATCAACGACTGGAGAGACGGACGCATCCAGGGTTGGACCGATCCTTCGAAGTACAAGCCTGCTGAACCAGCGGCATCGACCAAGACTGCGCCTGCCTCCAAGTCTGCTGGACTTGTTGGAGACCAGAAGGAGATTGTCACGCAATGGGCTGCTGAGTTCAAGCTGGACGGTCTGTGGGGTGATGAACCTGAGGCTGTTGAGGCTATGGAAGAGTAAAGCATTTTTGACGAAAAAGTCGAGTATGACGAAACGGCGTTTGGCTTTGATGGACCATTACGCATTTGCTGGGTCAGGATCTCATAGGTATATATCACGACGATACCAATGCATGCTTCGAGGTCACTTAAATTTCGACGATGCAAACCGCACTACAACTCCGTTCTGTACACGGCTTTTGCGCTTCGTGGAGAACTTTCCGCTAATACTCAGATCAGAAACGTAGTCGCAATTGATCATCCGACTCTGACCACGTGCCATTCTTGCGACATCGGCCGTATTCTGCTCTTTTCTTCGGATCGTGCCAGGGCTCATCCGCCCCAAGCCTCTTCTCCGCTTTCCGCCCCACAGCGGTTAGATGCGGTAGAGCTACTGCAACCATCGTTACGCAGCTTGACAGCTTTAGATACAAATAATTCAGCTGCCCACATTGCAGTTGCAGCTTTCTCAGTAGATATCAAGATGAGTTCTTCAAGAGGTCTCCAGTCCATTCGTCCAGTCTCCAGGACCTTCAATGCGCTTCCCGCTGCGTATGCTGGCGCGCAAGTCGCATCGAGACGGCATGCTGGAACAATTGCTAACTTCAAGATCCCTACCATCAACAACGAGCCCAACGTAAGTATCGGTCTTGGTAAACATTTATATGCATTGAGTGCTTACTATTGGCCTCAGCAACACTACACCAAGGGCTCAGTCGACAGGCAGAAGCTCCAGGACGCCATCGCAGCGTTGAAGAAGAAGGGAGCTGTCACAGTTCCCCTCGCAATAGGTGGCGAGCACGTAAGTTCTTTAAATGCGCAGCTACTCGAATCTTGGTACTAACGCAGTCTAGATCAACAACTCCTCCGTTCTTACACAACACGATCCCTCCTCCCACGCCGATGTAGTCGCCAGATATTCGAACGCCAGCGCCGCAGACGTCAAGAAGGCCATTGACTCAGCACTCGCGGCAAAGGCTGACTGGGAGGCTCTTCCCTTCGCTGACCGCGCTTCGGTCTTCCTCAAGGCGGCCGACTTGGTATCTGGAAAGTACCGATATGAAATCATGGCTGCGACTATGGTCGGTCAGGGCAAGAATGCATGGCAGGCTGAGATAGACTCGGCTGCTGAGCTTTGCGATTTCCTCAGGTTCAATGTCAAGTACGCTGAGGACACATACGGCCACCAACCCGTGCATAACTCGCCCGGTGTCTGGAATCGCGTGGAGTACCGACCTCTTGAGGGATTTGTGTACGCCGTATCGCCCTTCAACTTCACCGCGATTGGCGGTAACCTCCCAGCAGCACCAGCTCTGATGGGCAATGTCGTTGTTTGGAAGCCATCTCCCTCGGCCATCGCCTCGAACTGGCTCTTGTACCAGATCCTGATTGAAGCCGGTCTTCCCCCAAATGTGGTCCAGTGGGTACCTGGTGATGCCGTCGAGGTCACAAGGGAGGTCCTCTCTCACAGGCACTTCGCCGCCCTCCACTACACTGGTAGCACGGTGGTCTTCCGCCAGCTGTACGGCACAATCGCTAACGGCGTTGCTGACGGCAAGTACCAAAGCTACCCTCGTATTGTTGGTGAGACAGGAGGCAAGAACTTCCACTTGGTACACCCCAACGTCGATGTGAAGAACGCCGCCATCCAGACTGTCCGGGGTGCGTTCGAGTACCAGGGCCAGAAGTGCAGTGCTTGCTCACGCTTGTATGTCCCTGAGTCCCAATGGCCCGAGTTCCAGAAGGTCTTGGTCGCGGAGACAGAGGCTCTTAAGATTGGCGAGCCCTCTCAGTTCGACAACTTCATCGGCCCAGTCATCCACGAGGCCAGCTTCAAGAAGCTTTCTGGTGTTATCGACGAGGCCAAGAACGACAGCGAACTTGAGCTCCTCGTTGGTGGCACGTACGACAGCAGCAAGGGTTACTACATTCACCCCACCATCTACAAGACTACCAATCCTAACCACCCTCTCCTGTCCCGCGAGCTTTTCGGCCCTGTTCTCGTCACCTACGTCTACGACGACGCCGCTCCTGGTGCCTTTGAAAAGATCATCAAGCAGATTGACGAGACCTCCGAGTACGCTCTGACTGGTGCCGTCTTCGCCAAGGAGAGGAAAGACCTCAACTTCGCCGAGAATAAGCTAAGGAACGCGGCCGGTAACTTCTACCTCAACTGTAAGTGCACTGGAGCCGTTGTTGGCCAGCAGCCCTTCGGTGGTTCAAGGGCTAGTGGCACCAACGACAAGGCTGGCAGCGCTACCCTGCTGTCTCGTTTCGTCAGCATGAGGGCGATCAAGGAGGAGTTCGTTGCTACTGAAAAGGTCCATTACCCCAGCAACGAGGTCTGAGATGTCTATGGACGAAATTATGTTGTAAACTGATCTACGGCGCATCTGGGTGTTTCAGAATTTAGCATTTGGCACGGCGTCTGGGCAACTCTGCACCACCCACGGGTGACGATATCAAAAGTTGTAGTAAGACAGTGACTCGATATGAGAGTGGAACAAAGCAGTAAAGCTTGCCAAATATCGTACACAATCTCTTGCAATCATAAACACAACAGTGTTCGGCCTTGGCAGATAATTTGTGCTAGGATTGGCAATTTGATGACACGGCTCGACGTGTCTTCCAGAACACTCGTGAATCGTATGAGGCTCCACCCGCTCGGGAGCCCCGTTCACTCGTGACCTGATAGCCGGACCTTATTCTGAGCCACCTTGCTAAAGCTTGAAGGCTTCTGCCTTGACGCTCCGACGGATGATTGATAAGCTTTGAAACTACGGTGTGCAAATTGTAGTTACTGCGAATCTGGCAGTGTTTGAACGATGTGTGCAGTCATCGAATTTCATTGTTGTTGTCCTGTAAGCACGGCCAATACCTAATGGTACCAGCCCGCATGACCGGAGTCGGTACTTCCTATCGCCTCCAAAATCACTTCCCAGCTCTGCCACGCTTTCTGCATGTCCATCGAAACTCCACACAGCTCTTGGTGTGTTGGAGTTAGCATTGCGCGTCCGTACGAGGATGCCCCTTATCGTGTCAGCCAAGGATCCCGACCAATACCACCGGACTTACCCCTCGTAGAATCCGATCCTCCGTTAGCGCTTTGAAACGCTCGACACCCTCAGCAATCGTCGAGTTCCGCTGCCTCGGCATCTCCGTACCCGTCACGTCGTCCGTGGCTGCGCCAACAGAAAAGCCATATGACGCACAGCCCCGATCCGCAACCTAGAGTCGGTTGGCGCCAAACGCCTGAGCAATGCTTGTTTGAGATCCAGTTTTCTCAGTGGCTGTTTGCGTACCTGCGGCGCTGTCATTGGCTCGTCTCCCTTTGTTTTGAACACTGAAGATGCGGAAGGGGCGCGAGATGCGGTCTAGCCTGTTCCCTCGGCCGAACATCTTGAAAACTTTTGGACAGGCTCATCAATCTATGGTGTCATCGCGACGCCGCCAGACCTCTTGAATTGCTGGGAATAGGGGACCCACGCGTGTCTAAGGCAGGTGTAGGTTTTTGTGGTGGGAGTTTATATGTGGCATGCCCCGCTTGGATCGTCGTGATTCCGTCGACCTCCCTCACCTCACTACCCACTACTACATTCACATCCTTTGTTCTCACGCTATATCACACGCGAAACACAATATATACGGTCATCGATCACGAACAAAACAACCAATATGCCCGAGAAGACGGCCATAGAGCCGCAAAAGTCCACAATGGACGTCGAGTCGGGAAGACAAGGCATTCCACATTGGACGATGATCCTTGATCAGGGTGTCGTCACCGAAGATGTTAAGAACTGGGAGTACGAAGGCTCTGGCACAGAAGAGGACCCTTTCGCCGTCGAATGGCTACCAAACGACCCCCGCAACCCCATGACGTTTACAAAGACGAAGAAGTGGCTTATGACCATCGCTGTCGCCAACTCCGTTCTCGTTGTTTCTTTCTGCTCGTCGGCGTTTTCTGGAGGTATCCAGCACATCATGATCGAGTTTAGCGTTAGTCAGGAGATCGTCACGCTCGGATTATCGCTCTTCGTATTGGGTTTCGCTCTTGGACCGCTCCTATGGGCTCCCTTCTCCGAAATGTATGGACGACAGATTGTTTTCGCCGGTAGTTACCTCTGCTTCATGGCCTTCAATGCTGCCGTTGCCGGTGCTGGAAACATTTGGTCCGTTCTGATCCTCCGATTTTTCGCCGCCGCTTTCGGATCCAGTCCTCTCACCAATGCTGGAGGGGTCATCGCTGATCTTTTCAACGCCAACGAGCGTGGCCTGGCAATGAGCATTTTCTCTGCTGCGCCATTCATGGGTCCTGTGCTCGGTCCTATCATTGGAGGCTTCTTAGGTATGAATGAGGGTTGGCGCTGGGTCAACGGCCTTATGGCTATCTGGTCTGGAGTCCTCCTTGTTGTTACCGCCTGCCTCGTCCCCGAAACATACCCTCCTGTTCTGCTCCGCAAGCGCGCCGAGAGGCTCTCCAAGATTACTGGAAAGGTCTACAGGTCCCGCACTGATATTGATCAAGGCAAGATTTCCCTTGGCGAAGCGTTCTCGACTGGTCTCAAGCGTCCCTGGATCCTCCTATTCTGCGAACCGATCGTCCTGCTACTGTCGCTCTACCATGCCATCATCTACGGTATCCTCTACATGCTGTTCGGTGCTTTTCCTATTGTCTACCGTCAGGGCCGTGGCTGGAACGAGGGCATTAGCGGCCTTCCTTTCGTCGCAGTTGCCATTGGCGTTGTGTCTGCCATCGCCTACGTCATTCTCGTCGACAACAAGCAGTACATGAAGAAGGTCAACGAGTCCGGCAAGGGCTACACCACACCTGAGGCACGCCTGCCCATGTGCATCATCGGTGGTATTGTCCTTCCTCTCGGTCTCTTCTGGTTCGCCTGGACCAACTCGCCCAGCCTCCCATGGGCTGCTAGTGTATGCGCCGCCATTCCCTTTGGCTTCGGCATGGTCCTCATTTTCCTGTCCATCATGAACTACCTCATCGACTCTTACACCATCTTTGCGGCTTCTGTCCTGGCTGGTAACGGTATCATCCGATCCGTCTTTGGTGCCGCCTTCCCTCTCTTCACAAAGCAGATGTATGACAGTCTCGGTATCCACTGGGCGTCCTCTGTCCCCGGATTTCTCGCCCTCGCCTGCATTCCGCTGCCCTTCCTCTTCTACAAGTATGGAGCCAGCATCCGAAAGAAGTGCAAGTACGCCGCGCAGTCTGAGGCCTTCATGGAGAAAATGCGTGGCCAAGCGGAAGCTCGTGCGCAACAAGAAGCCGCTGCTGGAGGCGACTCCGCCGATACATCCCGCGCCGCCACACTCGCTGTCGAAGATGAGGCAGAACACGATGTGTACGATGACAGCGCTCCTCATTTCGCTGAGATGAAGACCGAGAAGGAGACCGAGAACCCTCTTAAGAAGGTCTCGACAGGACGCTCGACAAGGAGCAGGAAGTCGGTCAACCCTGTTGAGGAGTACTACGATAACCCATATGAGATCGACCGTGTCCACACAAGAGAGAGTTTTGCTACAGGCCGCGGGAGGGCCAACAGCACAAAGAGCAAGAAGTCGACGAAGTAGAATCGCCGCATGTTTGGTTTGATTGAGCGTTCTAGCATTTACAGTTGCATCGCATTTGGTGGAAAGATCGTTATGACACCTGCATCGGATACCCTCCCTTAGTTCATGGTACATCAAAGTAATCATATCTATGAATAATCTGTACCTATTGCTGCTAGTTCTGTGCCAGTGCATGCATTCGAGATGACGATTAGCTAGGTGATGACTAATAGTTGATATGGGACCTCGTTTCACCCTACGGCATTCCCGCTAGACTAGCAGCACCTACCATCTTCGGACAGTTGTTCGCTCTCGGCTTCTCAACATGATCATCCTCGACCGAACCTGGGTTCGTACTGCTCAGCGTTCAATGCTCCCTTTTGGAGCTATGAATGGTGCAGCTACCCGCTTCTTGTACCACCTCACCCGAGCTCGTCGAATGCAATGGCTCGACTTCGCACACGACACATTGCTTTATGCGCCATCCTTATCCTAGGGATATACTTTTTCCTACCACGAGACAATGCGCCGTCATACCTCCCGCACTTCAGTTACGGCCCGTCATCTCGAACCGGAACGCACGCGCTCGCGCAGCATATGAACGACCCGGCCCACATCCCTGACATCACCGCATCGAACAGCAGCTTCGATTGGAGCTCCGTCAAGTTCACTTACTCCCTACCTCAGACACCGCTTCTGCCCCCGCCTGTCGCCCACAGGCCACGTATTCAGCACCGCTTCAAACCCGATCGCGCAGATGTCGCTGCTGTGCAAGAGCAAAGGCGCCTGAAAGTGAAGCGTGTCTTCCAAAAGAGCTGGGCAAGCTACAGAGCCATGGCATGGATGAAGGATGCCTTGAAGCCTATAAGCGGAAAGTACGTGGACCAGTTCTCGGGCTGGGCGGCTACGCTGGTGGACAGTCTGGACACGCTGTGGATGTTGGGCATGAGAGAGGAGTTCTACGAAGCTGTGGAGGCTGTTGCCGCGATCGACTTTGGCAAGAGCACCTCGGCTACTGTGAACACATTTGAGACATGCATTCGCTACCTTGGCGGGTTCATTGCCGCGTATGATCTGAGTGGGCATCCTGTGCTCCTACAGAAGGCTGTCGAGGTCGGGGATTTGCTGTACGCGGGCTTCAACACACAGAACGGCATGCCTGTGGATTTCATCGATTTCGAGACCGCGAAGGAGGGGACTGGCCTGAGAGTGGAGAGTCAGGTCGTCAGTGCCAGTCCAGGCACTATCACGCTCGAGTTCAGTAGGCTGAGTCAGCTCACGGGCAACAACAAGTACTATGCGGCGGTATCGCAGGTCATGGACCTATTCCACGAGAACCAGAATGCGACCCGTCTGCCAGGTATGTGGCCGATGATGGTATCAATGAGCGAGAAGGACGTGACATTCGGCTATCAGTTCACTATTGGCGGCAACGCAGATTCTCTGTATGAGTATTTACCCAAAGCACATGCACTACTTGGCTCGGCAGACCCCAGCTCGAAGAAGTACGAGGCCATGTCTCGCTTCTTCATGGATACAGCCATGAACAACCTTTTTTTCAGGCCCATGATTCCGGGAAGGGAGGATATCCTCATCTCAGGCAACTGCGATGTCTTGCAGGGTGGTCCACGCCTTGACCCTGAGAGTGAGCATCTATCATGTTTCATTGGCGGGCTTTATGCCCTAGCTGGGCGTCTCTTCAACAGCGACGAGTATCTAGATGTGGGATCCAAGCTGGCTCGTGGCTGCGCTTACGCATACAAGTCCTTTCCCACTGGCATCATGCCGGAGCGCTACAACATGGCTTTGTGTCCTGTCGAGAATCACAGACGAGGCTGCGCTTGGGACGAGGCTGCCTTTGCCGAAGCAGCTGCGGACCGTCCACAACACAAGATAGACCTCCCCAAAGGCTTCACTACTGCGAAGGACCCGCGATACATCCTCCGTCCTGAGGCTATCGAGTCGATCTTCATCCTCTGGCGCATCACCGGCGATCCATCGTGGCGCGACACAGCGTGGGACATGTTTCAGGCCGTGGCAGGGGCCACGGACACGGTGTATGCAAACGCAGCGATTATGGATGTCAACGCACCAGGTGGAGGTGAGAAAGAAGACTATATGGAGAGCTTCTGGATGGCGGAGACGCTCAAGTACTTCTACTTGTGCTTTGCAGATACTGATCTCATCAGCCTGGACGAGTTTGTGCTGAACACAGAAGCGCATCCATTTCGTCTTTCGAAGGCCAAGCAAAGTTTCGAGATCAAAGGCAAAGACAGGAGTTAGCATTTGTTAGTTGTGAAATAAAAGAATAGTAGTCAGCATCTGCATGATCTTCTGCCTGGTAACATGCTCAAACTAGACAGTGCTGCTAACTCCGCAGACCTGCATGTTTCTTGTTGAATTGATTGGTGTTCCTGAATTGGACATTGTTGCGCATGAGGTGCTGAGAGTGTGGCCTGTTGCTATTAACCGTTGCTAGCGCCTTCCCCTTGAATCAAGCTTCGCCGGGAACACTCAACTCTTCTTGCTCCATCTATACACCCGTACAGTCGCTGTACAGTCGCTCATTTGTGTCTTATTCTTAATCAAGTCGTTCTTTACACGGTCTATTACTACCGCCCCACACTCTCTCCGCCTCCCCAGATCGACCCCTGTCTTCCTCGCGTTTCCAAGCCTCACAACACCATGCGTTTCTCCGCCGTCGCTGCTACCGCCCTTGCGGCCAGCCCTGCCATTGTCGCTGCCGCCAAGGGTACCATGGGCTTTGCCCTCGGTACCAAACAGCCATCTGGAAGCTGCAAGACCCAGTCCGACTATGAAGCCGATTTCGATGCCATCAAGAGCGGCTCCGGTGCCACGATTGTCCGCGGATACTCTGCTTCCGACTGCGACAGTGCAAAGAACATTATGCCCGCTGCCAAGAGCAAGGGCTTCAAGGTTGTTCTCGGTATCTGGTAAGTAGTCCCCTCAGACCGGTAGTCGTCAATCTAAATCAACCAGGCCCGATGTCGAGGAGTCCTTCGAGAAGGATCTCAAGGCCATTACCGATGTTGCCAGCTCCTACACCGACTCCATCTACGCCGTCACCGTCGGCTCTGAGACCCTATACCGCGGCAACTTCACTGGCCCCGAGCTGAAGGAGAAGATCAGCACCGTCAAGGGCAAGCTGCCTAAGGGCATCAAGGTCGGCACCGCCGACTCGTGGAACAAGTTCGCCGATGGAACTGGTGATGCTATCATTGGCACCGCCGACATCATCATGGTCAACGCGTTCGCCTTCTGGCAGGGCGCCAGCCGTGACAATGCTGTGAGTTCCCTACCATTCGCAAGTGCTGCACTATACTGATGCGTCTTAGACCCACACCTACCTCGACGACATGTACCAAGCAGTAACCCACATCGAAAAGGTCGCCGGTGGCGCCGACAAGAAGCCCGAGATCTGGAACGGCGAGACCGGCTGGCCGACCGTCGAGGGCACCGACTACGACGAGGCCAAGGGCGGCCTGGACAACGCTAAGCACTTCTACCAGCACGGATTTTGCTCACTGCTTGACTGGGGCTTCAACGCTTTCTACTTTGAGGCTTTCGACGAGCCCTGGAAGCCTGCTTCTGTTGGTGATAATGGAAAGGCTGCGGATGAGACGGCTTGGGGTGCTATGACTTCAGAGAGGAAGACGAAGTTCTCACTTCAGTGCTAGACGATGGTGCTGAAAGGTGTTAGAGCAAGGGAGCATGTGTAGAGCTTGGATGTACAATTGCACATTTAGCGTAGATCGATCTATTCACCCATCTGAGGTGGTGCTTTTAACGAGGTCACCTTGTTCTAGGAACACTTCGCCGATTCGACAAACTCCATACCTGTAGGCGGGAAGAAACAAGAGACATAGGAGAGCTTATTCTCTATCCAATATGGGCATATAAGACAAGCAAGACACAGGCTGATTGCACATACGATAGATGCTGCTAGAAACTAACACGGGTGCGGCCGTTCTCCCACCTCAAACGTGAGGCATACCGGCGGTCATCTTCCGAATATCCCCATCGTCTTGATAGAATTGTCATCTTTGGTATCTCCAAAAGCCCTGCGTTCGAACCTTTGGGATCAACAAATAGTGACATCTTCGGTACATTGCATCGCTCCTTCGAGGCTCGACCTGTAGGAGGTCGCTGATAGAGCACCTTGGTGCAGGAGCCAACACGATTGTTCATCACACGCATTGTGCCATGAACCTGCGCATGCAGTCATGCAGCTCAGTGTGTCAGCAACACCGGCCAAAGGCATGGCCAGTCTGTCGCTTGGGTCAAGACAGACTTAAAAGTATGCCAACGACTTGCGCTGGACTTTTGTATGGTGAAAGAAACCGGGGTTGGTAACCGGAATTGGCCGGCGTCTCCAGAAGCCAGTCTCAGCGCGGGAGACGACTACTATGACGATGAGTGCCTACCGTACTTGTGAGGATCAGTTGTGTTCGATTGAAATTCTCTGCTGCACGTTCGTTGGGCGGGCATGGTGTGCTGCAACTCGATGGCCGCAGGAAGCTGTCTATGGCGGAGTGTTGAAAAGTCGTGATTAGACATGGACAAAGCCAAATCTGTGATGGCGTGCTAGTTTCACAAGCGGTGTTTGAGACACAGATGCTTACTTGGGGACATGAGGCTGCAATGATAGTGCTTACGTCTGTTCGTAGCTACCCATTTCAGGTTGACAGTGACATCATCGCAAGGTCTTCCATCCATGACTTTCGAGTCTACCACGACAGAAGGAATGAGTATGAGCATCAAAGCGGACAAGTCCACAACATGTAGTACTACTTACACAAACTCAGAACCGTCAAGTTCTATTGAGATGGCCGTCGGGACAGAGACATATGCACGATTTCGACGAATGTCTGCGACGCCGCGCGCAAATTCAAAGTTATCAGCCTTCATTTCATCGACTGATTCTAAGAGAGCCTCGCAGTCAGAAATAATATTGATCAAGCAGTCTGCAGCACATGCCACTGTACTTGAAATCTCTGGGAAGACCTTCGCAGCAGCTTTAAGTAAAGCTTCGTCTCAGGATAGCTACGGCAGATGATTTTAGTATGTTTACAAGTCTCGGGTAATCTTGCGCTCATATTCAAGTGCAGGGATTCTTACTTGAAAGCCATCTCGATGCAGACAGTCGATCGTCGTGAGGATGCCTACGCCGATATCAGCAGTGATGCGCTTGACATATTTTGATTCATTGATGCGCACCAGACATTGACGCGTTAGCGGGAGTTGTGTGTATGGGCAGGAGAGTAAACACAAAAGTGCGTTGTTTCCTCAGTTAAAGTAGAAGTGGGTCTGTCAACATTATAACTTACAACGCAACGCATTGAAGTAGTATGGTAGAGTGGATTTGTTTGCGTGAAGGGCGTTCAGACATAAGTTCTAGCCTTGTGACTACCCACGCCCAGTGTCACTCGCCAATATTGCATCCAGAATATGACGTTGAGTATAAAGACCTCTCCGATGCGAGATGCCACGAACAAGCTCGTACGAGTCAGCTGCCATTAAAGTCATTGCTGAAGAGAGACTCTAAGTCGGCCTTGCTTGGTTCTCTACCAGCTGTGCAGGCGTAAACAATGTGCGTCAGACAATCTGCTGAGCTCGCCACCTGACCGAAGACCTCCTGGAAGGCCTTTGAACTGGTAGTGAGGGCCTCGGCGTCCCATGATGAGATTCTGTATTCCAAAAGAGTCAGCAAATGCTCGGGTGGTGAGTAGCTTGCATGATGACTTATATATCGATGTTTTCAGAAGGGAAAAGATAGAAACCACCCGCCCCGAGATACTGTTAAGGGCAGATTTGTGCGAAGCGTTTCGAAGCTGTCTCAAGAGTGTCGTTGGTGTCGCGAGTTTGTGAGTGGCTTGTCTGAGCTAAATTCTGGTTCGTCCACAATAGTCTTCTTGGGGGTTTTACTTGGATATCCTGGGTTGATCTTTTTGGCGGGTTCTGTGGTAGTGTTGTCAGGCTGTTGTTTTGATCAGATCTTACCGTCCTTCATGAAAGCTGTGTCATTATTCATTATCGACGACAGAGATTGATAGAGAGGGATGCGACATGCGAGATGTGAGTTCGAATGCTCCTGCAAGGCGGGAGATGCAGTCACCCAATATTGTCTTCCAAGGTTGTATCCCAGAGTTATAAGCAACTCAATCATCTCCTCGCCGCTGTCATGCTCGGGCACAGTCTTTTCGTAAAACTCATAGAGCCTTGATAATGTCAGCCAATCTTCTGCTCTTGCCAGCAAGTGTTCAGAGCTCTCTATTTGAGAAGCTCGTGTAAGTGGGCCGTGTGAAGACGGTGCTTAAGACCTGGTAGACTGCTGACTACTGCTGTGGCCTGAGACGAAAGTCCAGGGGAGGCCGTCGTCAATATTTCCTTAATGCGTTTCATAGATTCGATCTCATAAATGAGAGTGATGCAGCCGCGTGCTGAAGGTGGAAACCTGCAATTGTCGGGCGCTTCAATGCTATTCAGATGATCTATAGCCCCATTTTCCATAGTGCTTGCATCACTCGAAGGGAGGCGAAGATCTAGGAGCGGCCGACTATTTGCTAATTGGATGGAACGCTTCGGTAAAGTAGGACAGCTAATTGGCGACGAATTTCCTCAGATAATCTTGGTTTACTCGTTCGTGGCTACTTTCTCGGAGTCGGTCTGATGCGATACATCGTGTGAAGCGTTCCCACCAGCTTATGTTAGAGCAAGATCCCAAGCTTGGTTCAGAGCGGCAACTACAGTCCAAGTAGGAGTATTCTGGGTCTGGAAATAATTGGGCCGAGCAGACGTAGTAGAGCCTTTAGAGAGAATGAAAGAGTCATGCTGTTGAGCGAAGTCCGTCAAGGCTGGCTCTCTTGCCTTTGGCTCCTCAAGGTGTCCTTGAAGTGCTTAAATCACACATTCCCGCTCAACGCCTTCATATTACGCAGTGTATTCAGAATTTGGCTCTTGAGTTCTATGTGAGCTCGATCTTCTGGAACGTGCACTGATGAGCTCGCTACTTGCTTTGGAACAGGAGTCGATTGCATGTCTAGTGGTGGTTGTACCTCCAGCCAGGAGAGTTTATTAGAAGAGAATCCAAAGAGATTAAGATATATTCAACTTTTTTTGTCTCTGTCACAGTGCCGGTCTACGTTTGGTGATCAGGTCGTGACAAACCAGCAAGCGCTGTTTTGCCGATGGAGCAACACGATGTCGCGCAACAACGATGATCCAGATGACCCACAGACAAGCGTCCATATCAGCTGCAATTTCCCTAACGGTACTGTGATATTTAGTGGCCAGATCGAGTTGGGAAGATCTGCATGTTAGCAGCTAGGAGTTGCCCCTATGCCTCCTGGATTTCACGAGGGTATAAACGAGCAGTCCTCCGGAGTGAGCCTTCTGGTTGAGGGCGTCTGAATTATTGAAAATTCGAGAAAATAGCTTACGTACATGGTGGAAGGACGCGTTGTCAGTAAGGACTGATCGAGGGGGGCGGCAACGGGATGTTGTGGTGGGACTTGCTGACTGCCTATTCGCCGAAGGCTCGAGAGGGCTACCGAAGCTCGGATCTAAGGTATGTTAGAGTCAGAGCTGCTGAGGGGTCCGGTCAGCAGATCTCTGCAGCTGCCACGACTTGCTTCTCATTTTGGAAGTACAATAATTCAATTTTATTCTTTGAGGCTTTCATGAATTAAGGTCGCTTAGCTCAGTTGGTTAGAGCGTGGTGCTAATAGACTAAGCCATTGATACGCCAAGGTCGCGAGTTCGACCCTCGTAGTGACCATTTTTTGCCCTTCTGGGGTTGATAACTGATGCAACTTGGCGTGATGCATGTATTAACGTTGCCTGCGCGCGTGGGTTGTCTTTTTGCTTGGCAGGCTGGTGGTGCATGTTTGTGGGTGGCTGTACGGTTGACTGCACCTTCAAAGCCCAAAAACGTGGTGGGCAACTAGCCGCAGATTCTTTGGGATTGTACAAGTCCACGACCGACTACAAGTATGTGACGAGGTTAGTGTTAGAGCCAGCTCTTTTGTTTCTTGTGGCCAACTTCGTTGCTGATCATGGTGGGCTTGCTGCAGCGCTCAGCCTCACACCCTTATCAGGCGTCCATGACGACGTTATCTTGACGCGCAGCCTTTCGTCAACATACATATAAGTGATACTGAGAGGACCTGTACATAGGAGCTGTCAACGATCCCCGGAAGATCCCCTTGAGCCCACCGATCTTGTTTCGAGTCACAGGACGATTGCGCTCCAGTTCCACGAAGCTGATCAGTCGGCCTCTGTAGATGGCATCATTGTCGAATCCTTCTGGACGCTGTGATATGACCTTCGTACGAGACCATCTCGATCGAATCGTTCTGAGCATTCTCAGCTCCATAGAAAGTGTTTGCGGGAGTTGCAGGCGTCGAAATGTGCGGTTTCGACAAGGCGCGAGGAGCGAGCGAAGTCCGCGCGGCATGAGGACCGGCTGGCCCTGAAGCAGAAGCCTTGGCTGACTTAGCGATGCAGGTGACCGGCCATGCCTGATCTGGCTGCACCTAAACTCGAAGCGTGCCAGCGCAGCTACCGTCTTCGCAGCAAAGTGCCGTGCAGCAATTCCGCCCGCACTCCCCGCAACATGATGGGCGCATCCACCCAGGTCCAGCTCCGCGATTCCCTACAACCGATTTTGTTGCCGGCCAGATTTCAGTCCCGTGTTTCTTGCCATGATGCTGTCTGACACTAGCGGCGTCCTCACTGGACGTTTCTTAAAGCTGTCGATGCCGCTGTTTCGATGCCGATCAGCATTGTGTACTACTACATCAATTGATACCCACGAGAGCTTCTTTGTTGATTGCCTCGTACACTACCCTTTAATTATTATCTTCATACACCGTCGAACACAATGGCCGTCGAAAACTACGACGTCGTCATAATCGGTGCTGGACCAGTTGGTCTCTGCCTCTCCACATGTCTCTCAAGATGGGGTTACAAGATCAAGCACATCGACAACCGACCCGAGCCCACAGCGACCGGCCGTGCAGACGGTATCCAGCCCCGATCGCTGGATCTTCTCCGCAACATGGGTCTGAAGCGTCAGATCATGGCTCACGAGCCTGCGAAGGTATACGAAGTTGCTTTCTGGGATCCGAGCTCGAAGGGTGGCATTGTCCAGACCGGCACATGGGCTAGCTGCCCGAAGTTTATTGATGCACGCTACCCATTCACAACGCTGCTGCACCAGGGTCTAATCGAGAGGGTATTCATTGAGGATATCGAGAAGAACGGAAATACGGTCCAGCGCCCATGGACAATTACTGGATTCAAGAATGATGGGAAGGACGCCACACACCCAGTAGAGGTCAACCTTGCCCATGTCGATGGCACACATTCGGAGACTGTACGAGCGAAGTATCTCTTCAGCGGAGAGGGCGCAAGGAGTTTCGTTAGGGATCAGCTTGGTGTCAAGATCAGGTACAAGGACCCAATTGCGCACGTTTGGGGTGTCATGGATGGTGTTGTCAGGACGAACTTCCCTGACATCAAAGTATGTCAATTTTCGGATCTAGTCTCTACTGTAAGCGACTAACAGTTTGTAGATGAAGTGCACAATTCACTCAGACGCAGGATCTATTATGATCATTCCCCGCGAGGACAACATGGTCCGTCTCTACATCCAAGTTGCCAGTTCGACAGATAAAGACTGGGACCCCCGCAAGCAGGCCACAGCAGAGGAGGTACAAGAGAAGGCAAAGGCGATTCTGAAGCCATACGAGATCACATGGGATCGCATCGAGTGGTTTTCTGTCTACCCTATCGGGCAGGGTATCGCTGAGAAGTATACACTTGACGAGCGTATCTTCATGGGTGGAGATGCTTGCCACACACACTCGCCCAAGGCCGGCCAGGGCATGAACACAGCGTTCCTAGATGCTGTCAATCTGGCCTGGAAGATTCATCACGTGGAGTCTGGTTGGGCGCCTCGTTCCAGCCTCTCTACCTACGAGTCGGAACGCCAAATGATCGCTGAAACCCTTCTTGACTTCGACGCACGCTATGCAAAGCTCTTTTCCACGCGTATACCCTCTGCTGGTGAAGTCGCAGGCGCATCCGCGGCTTCCACAGAGGCTGAGGAGAACGAGTTCATCAAGACATTCAAGGCAAGCTGCGAGTTCACATCTGGTTTCGGTGTAGCATACAATCCCAACTCCATCAATTGGAGCTCCGAACACCCCGCGCAGCACCCCCTTCTCCTCCAATACGAGAAGGGCACCAAGCTGCGAACCGGCCGCATCATGATCCCCGCAACCGTCACCCGTGTTGTCGACGCCAATGTGGTACACCTCGAGCAAGAGATCCCTCTGAACGGCTCGTACCGCGTCTACATCTTCGGTGGCGCTCTCGGCCAAACAGCCACCGCGCTCAAGGACCTCGCATCCCACATGTCCGCTCCGACATCGTTCTTCTCCAACTTTCTCTACAAAGACATCGACGCCACCGACCGCTACCACGAGAAGCACAACCCCCATACTTCTTTTCTCTCGCTCGCCATCATCATCAACGCTCCTCGCGCAAAGATCCACATCGACGAGCAGCTACCTAGGATCCTTGCACGCTACGCTGACCACGTCTACGCGGACGATGTGTGGGATTTGCGGGTTCCGGATGCGAAGGCGGCGGCACACGCAAAGGTGGGGCTTGATGAGGAGAAGGGCGGTGTTGTCGTTGTCAGGCCCGATGGGTATGTCAGTGCTGTTGTCAAGCTCGAGGAGGGTAGCGGGACGGCGGATGCCCTGAATAAGTACTTTGGTGCTGTGACAGGGAAGAGCCTTGGCGGCGAGAGAGCGAGTTTGTAGAGTCGGTTTGGAGACCTTTTGGTGTTTGCTTGCATAGCGTGTTCTTGAATACCTCTACCCGTGGACTGTACATGAGATGGTTTCATCCATTGTGAACCTATTCATTCTTTCTCCAGTGCTTCTTTTGTGTTTTACTTAGTCTCACAGATATGAACGAATGCAGGGTTTAGATAATGGTACAGCTTTCTCCATCACTACTCGGGCTTTCTTCACAAGCTCATCAGCATATTTTGCCTCCGTGCCTACACTGTGCATGTGTACACTAAACAAACGTTCGCTGCCAACCTGGACGAGCTCATCATTTTGTTGCGCCAGATTTTTCAAGCAGGCTATACCGTGCAGTCAATCCCACGCTCTTTACATGACATGTCGAAACAGAACTTTCGTTAACGTAGTTTACAAGCGAGTCGGCCATACAAGCGAGTCGGCCATACAAGCGAGTCGGCCACCCAACCAACCTTGCGCATCTCTACGAGTGTATATCTCAACAACACAATATTATAATACATATAAATTAATAGAGCAGATTAGTTTGCACCTAACTCTCTTTTTTGCACGTACGTGAGTTGTGCCCAGTCTCTCTACACTTTGTGCAGCGCGCCAGAGCCTGGCGGCTGCGGCCCAATAGCTTTCCTCCTTAATGCTGCTTACGAGCAATCTGCTCGTCAGCCTCACATTAAGCAAGTAGATCCTCTCCAGCTCCCTTTGTTGATACTCCCTGCTTCTGTATGCGCTTTTTCTTAGGCTGTCTACACGCACATGCTGCCTTGTTAGCTCTCTCAAGACTAGTAATCTAATCACGCATCAGCTCAGCTGAGAGCATCATCACCTTAGCGCCCTTCTTAAGCTGGTGAATTGCCTTAATAATTGAACCTGGTGATGAGCTCTTATGCTGTTGCACGCGCTCACTTATCAACGTTAATTGAGCCTCAAGCTCACGTATGTTGCTCGGCGTACGCACCTCCCAGAGAGCCTCTGGTAGAGCAACTGGAGTAGGTGTACGCAGCTGCACGTCAAGCTTTGACAGTACAACATCTAGTTGGAGAGGCACAAGGCCTGCACCTTGAAAGGCTAAGCAGATATTAGTTAAGGTAAACAATCAATTAAACGCTGTCTTAAAGGCTAGCAGGAACCCAAGTTTGGTAATGTGGTTGATGTAGTGGCGAATTAGGCTCTTAACCTCATGGCTGTACGCGCACTTCAACAGCAAGAAGTAGCCAACATTAAGTAGCTGCAGCAGGTGGGATGAGTGAGGCGGCATGCAGACCGTATAGATATTGTTCTCCTTGCAGAGCTCTTGAAACTCAAGAGAGTGGTGACTCTTATTGCTATCAAGGATGAGCAGATAACACGCACCAACAACGCAAGTCTTTGTGTGAGCGTTGAAGTGCTTTAGCCACTCTACTCCTAGCTCATTATCTGTCCAGCCATTGTCACTAACTGCAATTATCTAGTTGTGTGGGATCTCTGCTTCCTTGTACCAAGCAGATAGATGATACTAGCCAGCAAAGATAAGGAACGGTGAAATTGACCAGCCAGCAGCGTTAATGGCAGCAACTGCTGTCACCCATTCACGGTCGCCAGGCTGGACTGTCTTTGGCTGACCTCTCCTCTCTGACCCTGTCACAACAAGCTAAGTTGTGATCTTGCCTATCATAAAGCCGGCCTTGTCAAAGTTGTAGACGTCATCATCACAGATGCTGTACTTTGCCTTTGTCTCCTCTACAAGCTTAAACTAGCTTCTGATTAACACAGGATCCTCACATAGAGCTCTCTGCCTATCATATGCTCGATTGAAACGCGTTGTGAGACTGTCTGTACGCTTAACAAAGTTGCGCGGCCAGTGGACGCCAACCTGACCAGCGCTGCGCAGAGCCAGCAATTTATCAGCCATATCACGTACAGCAGCGTACGTAGGCGCGAATCCACGTGTATCCAAGTTGAGTGTATTTCTGAAAATCACCTCCTCCTCTTGCTGAAAGAGCTTCTTGAGTTGGGCTGGCAATCGCGTCAGGCAGGCTTCCCAGCGCGTCGGTCGCCTAGCGTTGTTCTTGGGACGTTGAAGATAGTAGCAGCGCGTCAGTTACTTTGAATTTGGCTGGCATCAAGAGATAAGACGGCAAGCTGGACATCTGCTTCATTTGAAGTAGTTTGAGAGGCTTTGCATGGAGCCATTGTACGTTGAGATGAGAGAAGTGCGCAAGGTTGGTGAGGTGGCCGACTCGCTTGTAAACTACGTTAGCCATTCGATGACGTGAACATGTTGAAGTCACGGTACAAAGATAGCGGTGCCCTGTCTCGCAGAATATCCGTTTCACGGGTTGTCTTTGCAGTCATCGCAAGCTCAAAGAAGTTGTGGGCTACCTCGAAATCGTGGCTGGAGACAGCCTAGGCCATTTGAGTGAATTTTGCTTTCGACTATCCTTTTCGTTGATAGTGACTTGAGGCTAGAAAAAGAGAACGCATGATTAACAAAACATGACGATAGGTAGCTGAACCGTTCATGCTGGGTCTTTGCGGGCGGCTCGCTCGATCAATGACTAGGAACATACGACAGAGCGCTCAGTACTCGGAGCAGAGATGGACATACCAATGTTTTTTGCTTGTTGGCTTCAATTGCGGAAGAGTATAACTAAGGCCCAAGCTGATATTCTTACAAGCGTCTCGGTGTGCGAAAGTGATGGCCCATGAATTTGAAGAGCTGCTAAGTTGCAGCTTGTGCCCCTAAAGAGATTAGTCGTGCGGTGACGAGCTCCCTCGCTGCCATTGTTAGTGATGTGAGCATCTAGCCTGTGGAGCGATCTTCACAGCAACATCAACTCGACTGCCATTATTATTCGTCCGGAAATATTTGTCTCGCAAACCTACACGCTCATACTTGCACATCACGCCTGCCTTGGCACATGCGCTTGCATCAATTGCGATGTTCCGTTGTTCCACGTGCTCCCCCTAGATGGAATTGTCAATGAGTCTGCGGGAGTGATAACCAGACTGAAACGCTTAACCGGCAGCAGATCCTTGCTGCAGGAAGTTGTCCACCGGACGTGCTGAGGAAACAATCAAGTCGCATGAGGATTAGGTGGGTAAGGTAATCTTTCGCGTCTCACAATTGTGGGCTGACAAACGACAGCGGAAGGAAGCATACACTGACAGCGATCATCATGAACTGGTTGACGAGGGGTTGCGACGGGGTGAATCTGCTGTTGATGAAGGTTCTCGAAGGAAGGGTTCCATGCTCTGCAGACGCCGCAGCCCAGACCACGCCTCAAATTCATGAGTTGCGATTGTGGCCATCTCGCCATGATGCCATGCATTGACGAAGCCACCGCCTTCTCGTATGCTGCTTGGCTAGTCTCAATGTTTATTGTCCGAGAGGAGAGCTGCCGCAAGGCGAGTCGCCAACGAAGCCGTATCGTGTTGGGCCCAATACGGTAGCGGCACAGCTGATGGCTTGTGTGAGTAGTTAATTTTGCATGCATCAAGCTTCTGGTCGACGACCGCGCGCATCTTGAAGGTCGATCACCGCAATTTGCAAAGAGTCGCGGTGAGGCTGGAGGTCGTGAAGGAAGGCTGAGTGGAGTGGCAGCTGCGTTCAGCTCACCTCCTTATCTGGTGCTTTCGCCAATCAGCGTAGTCGGTCCGGCTGCCCACTGCGCGCTCCACCCACCAGCGCCCACTGCTGAGCGCGCGCCTCTGACATTGCTATCATCGTGCCATTCGGCTATCAGCCGCGAATCGCTTGGAACGCAGTGTGATAGCGAGTGTGACAGCAATCGACAACGGTAAACAAGAGCGACTCGCCGTGCAACACCGTCGTCGAGCACCTGGACTCGAGAGGTCAGATGACGCCGATCCGTATCAAGGGAGCGCTCGTCAGTACTCCACTTGGCTGCATCCTTCGGCTCCAGCTTGCGCATTTTCACGAATGCTGCCGCGAGGAACGGGTCGACGTGCGTGTGAAAAGGTTTCGAGCCTGCTCCTGTGTTCAAGATGCCACTCTGCTCCATGCCGCTTGCGGCAAGGTGCTTACAAATTTAGGCAGAGAGTCAAGCCAGTTTGTGCTGATTTGTGAACTCTTGGAAGGGCAGGAAGGTGATAACATCCTTGCTCACGCATTCGTGTCGAAGTTTCACAAATGCTGGGACACGAATCGGGAATCGGGCCAAGCAAACCTACGCTCCAGAATAAAACTTCACGATGGCTGCGCGGGTCATGTTCTACAAACGCAGTTCACCGTTGACAACGCAGCTGGACTGTTCAACAGAGCCACAGTGGCCATCGTCAGCGCAGCTGGCCCAGGACGATGTTCCGACAGCCGATGGTGTGTTGCTGCAGGGCGAGGAGATGCAGCTAGACATTGCAGGGGGAGCCGGACTTTGATTGGACTGTCTCACCGTTTGCCCCTGAATGGTCCGCCTGCTAGCCCGTTTCGAAGGGATGTCCACGGCAGCCAACCTTGCACGACCGTGAGCGCGGACGGACCCCTTGCGAGGCCTCTGCGGACTCCTCGCAGTCGTTCGGGCTCACGTCTCTTCCTCAGTCGCTGCAGACCAGTGTCTGAATAGCTTCACCTTGACGGCATACCACCGCACACACAGGGCTGTGCTACTTTCCCTCCTTTCCGCACATCACTCGCTCGTACCCACCCTCTCTCTTTGATAGAGAGCAATCTGATCGCTCGCTGTGCATTCTTCCAGCTGCCCTGTCTCAGGCCGACCTTCGTTCGAAACCTTCTGTCTCGCTCCACACTGGCACCTGTCTTCGATTCGAGTACGTCTATCGCAATCTGGATTGAATCAACAACACTGACGTCGCGTCTTGCTCCAGCATACCTAGCTGACGACCCACGGATGCGATCAGATTATCGCAGTATCCGTATCTATTCTCGTACCTCGCCTCACCGGCGGACCTGGTACCTAGGACGACGCTGTTGACGCTCATCGCCCCATCGCTTGTTCCGGTCACAGCTAGACCTAATTGCATCGCCTGTTGCTGTCTTGCACATAGCCAACGCGTGCTCGACACTCACACCAGCTTCTGTTTTGTTTAATCTCTCCAGTCGATATGCGCAGCCTGTCCAACCACTAGCCGTTTATCGTTCGCTATTGCTGGTGTCTCGACTTGGTACTCAGGTGCCCTGTCCCTTCCTTTCGTCCACCTACCTTTTGGATACATTAGTCACCCGTCGGCATCATGAGCGACAACACGAAGGCTAATGACGGCCCTCCCACCCCCGTGTACGACCTTACCGGGCATTGTTCGATCATATACAACAACACACTCTACGCATACTCATCCGCCGGATTCCAGTCGCTGGTACTGGAAGAGGGGGAGGAATGGAAGAAATTGCCTATGGACATATCGTTGACGGGAGCCCAGTGTGTAAAGACATCGGATAAGCTGTACGTTGTTGGCGGATCTCCAAATGCGACCGCTGCAGACTGGAACTACCCCGGATTGATGCACTACACGTTCTCAACAAAAAGGTGGGACTGGCAACGATCGGAAAGCTGGAATACGCAGAACCGTCAAAACCATGGCGCCACATATCTCGTCGGGTCAGACAAGATTCTTGTTTATTCGGGCTCCCAGAAGACGGGGGACGAGGGTGCATCACCAGAGACTTTCTTATTTGCCACAAAGGAGCCGTTCGCCGTGCAGAGCTTTCCCTCGAACGGCGTGCCTCCCTCCGTACGGCCTATGCTTATGGCATGGGACACGACTTCTGCTTTGATGATTGGAGGTGGCGCATCGAATTCTGCTACATGGACGTTCAGCGAAGATAAGGGATGGCAAAACTTGGGCGTCACTTTGGACGCTGGCATCGTGAACCAAGAGTCGGTTCAATGCACAGTCCAGATTGGAACAGATGGAAGCAAGGTTCTGCAAAAGTTTGACATGGGTGTTTCACCCAACAAGGTTGAGCGCATCGTCCTCCTCGGCGAAGGAGGAATCGTGGCTAAGACAGGCACGACTGTTGGCGACAAGGCAAAGCGAAACACCATTGCCGACTGGCCAACTTACAACGCAACTGAGGCACCCTCAAACACACGGTCGGGCTTCACACTCGCCGAGGGTGACGACGGCATGACTGTTGCTCTTGGGGGCAATACACAAGATCCATTGTCTCTCTTCAATGCGAAAGAGAACGCATGGGTGAACGCGACAGCGTTTTTCGGTGGGCAACAAGTTATTTCCGCCTCAGAAACATCGTCCATTTCGACCAGTAGTCCTACAACGACAGCCTCCTTGACTGCGTCTCCCAGCGCATCTGCGACTGATTCAACAGGGGCAGCTGCGGCACCACCAGACAACAAGTCCAAGATGCTGACAGTTCTCGGTGCTACCCTCGGCACAATCTTCGGTATCGCTGCGGTCCTGATCTTCATCTTGTTCTGCCTTAAGTACAGGAAGAACAAGGTCAAGAAGGCACAACAGGCTGGATACGTAGGACGTGAGAAGAACCGTCTCAGCTTCGCAGACCGCGGTGCAGACTTCATGAAGGAGGCTGGTGGTTCGGTAGCCACCTACAACCTTCCCCAGAGCAATGACTCCGTCACATCGCTAGCCATCATCCAAGGCAAAGGCGGCTATGGACATAAGAAGAACATGGCTAGCGATGCCAGCACAGCAGGTCTTGTCAAGAAGCCCAGTCCGCTTGCGTACTCGCAAGAGCCTTACGAGCTGGCTAAGTTTGATTTGAAGCCTGAGCCTGTTGAGGAGAAGATGGTCCGACAGAACTCGAGCCGCAACCCACCAGCAAACAAGTCCAATGGACGCAGTCGAAGCTCTGGCTGGAGTCGATACTTCGCCAACAACGAAGCCACCAACCTTGCTATGCCAGCCACTAACGACAATCGATCCACTTTTGCATCGGACAGGAGTAGTATGCTCAGCCAGTCACAATACACTAACTCACGCGTACCGAGCCAACACCCATCACCATACGTTCCTCCGCTCGAAATTCCTAAATTTGACGGCCAGCGTCTCAGTCGAGTAGCCAGTGGAAGCCCCACGCTTGGCAGCGTTCAAAGTCTATCTCTTCCGCATCAGCCCATGCAGGCCACGCTTGGCCGTGCCAACTCGAACGGCAGCTCAAGAAATTCTGCACTGAGCCATGACGAGCCCCATTACTTCCGCAACCCTGTGGAGAGTTGGACGCCAGTTGGCGATGACGAGCGACCACCCAGCAGTGCGTACACTGGCAGCATGGTGATTGAGCCGAACAACAACCATAAATTCGACGGTGCCAGCTCGTACTACCCTGATGACGGCAACTCCTTCTACCCGAAGAGCAACTTCAGCTCTTTCTATCCTGGTCAAGGGAAGAACTCGCTCGATGTCCCTGATGCCCGGGGTAGTACATTCACGATGTTTCCCTCGGCGCAGGCGTCAAGTGCACACGTCGAAGAGATGCCGCAGAGCAAGTTCAGCTCCATGTATCCCGTGCCACCTCGCCTCGGCCTAGACCCACAGGATCGCGAGAGCACAGTCACCGTCTTTCCTGGTCCTCATCAGCCTCAGACAGCACAGATCGAGACCATGCCGAGCCCGGTTCAGAACACCTTCCACCCAGGTATCCCACGCGTAGGCCATGAGAGTACAGTTACAATGTTCCCTGGCGACCCTCCCGGAGGACCAAACCCTCCCAACAGCAAGGCGGGTGACAACATGTCATGGCTGAACTTGGGTGCAAGCCGATGAATTCACCCTGTCTCCAACTATGTGCTCTTCTAGGGGCATACGCATATACACAAACGGTTCCGGAAAAGCATTACCATCAGTCAGCGACGGATCTCCTATTGCTTGTACAACCAGCTGTTCTCTTCACTGATCGAGCATGCATTCTTAGCGCCGGGGCGTCTGCTTTCGTTTGAATTTATCGCACCATCGAAGCTCACGCTTCACGACCACCTAGCCGGTCATACAGATACCCGACGCAGTACCAGCTTGCATCAAACTACTTTACCACCCCCACTACACCATCGTATCTGTAGATACTCTCAATAGCTTCTCGTCTCTCGTTGACCATTATTTCCTCTTCTCTTCTGTCTGCTCGAGCTGCATTCCATTTTTCTGTGCATACGAGTGTTCATTTCCTTGTCCGAGAGTTGAAGGCGTCGCAAGATGGAGACAGATTATCTGTGTGTAGCTAGTAGATGCTGCCTTGTTGCAGCAATGCGTCCAAGATGGACGACCAATAGTAATGATGAAGTCGAGTTGATGAAACGTTCTCTATGTGCTACTGCGACCCCCTGAACGTGATGGAGGACCGTGGTAGAGTGTTTGAGAACAACATGGAAGGCACGGACGACTGGTGCATGAACGTCATGCAGACATTCTTTCACATGAGCATCGGCCGAGCCCCCCTCCTAGTTGAGGCTCAAACCTCTTGGCTGGGCTGGTCGGCATTTTCTCCAACCAAACGAGTCACGAACTGCTTTGGGCCTCGGCAATTGTGAATGCCCCGAGCGCCATCTAACAGTCGCAGAGCCACTCACCGACTCAACACGCAGCACTGCTAGCGGCCGACAATTCTCTTCTAGGCGCACGTAGCTATGTATACCGCCGCAAGGTTCGCCGTATCGAGACATGTGGGACTCGGGATTGCGCGTGGCAGAATTGCGCTCGCGCCTGCACGGGGCGAGTTTGGCCGTGGGAATGTCAAATGTATAAAAGAGACATCCTCAAAACGCGTCGGCCAGCTTCGGTATCAGAGTACTAGTGCTGGTGAGTACCTTCGCTCCCCTCATAAACAACCTCTCTTCTCAAGACATCTCTGCAATTGGACTGCGTAGCTGACACGTCCTAGCATCAGAAACTCCTACCAATACGCAAATCCCCACACCACCTACCGCTACCAAAAGACCTCCCTACATCCGGTTCCCAATCGCACTCGCCCTCACTCTCTTCACCTTCGGAGCAGGCTTCATCATGGCCGGCGCGCCCGCAGTAGAATCCCTCCGGGCCCTCGCCAACCCGCCCAGCGACGAGGAGACCCTCACACTCTTTACCCCCACGAGCGCCGAAGTCGCCGAAATCGAGAAATCAATCTTTACCCACCCATTCACACAATCGCTGCTCGACGACGAATTATACGTTGCTTCGCGCCCTCACCTCAAGATCCCAGAGCAATTGCGCGCGCAGAACCTCACGGCCGGAACGCTACTGGGCGCCGACAAAATCGCCGTCCCGCCGCTACAATTTAGCACCGTAGACGGCAGTAAATTCGTGTCCATCCAATACCTGGGATCCGCGCTGTGCGGACACCCTGGCATCGTGCACGGCGGGCTGCTGGGCACGCTGCTCGACGAGGGGCTCGCGCGGTGCTGTTTCCCCGCACTTCCGAACAAGGTCGGCGTCACTGCCAGTCTGAACATCACATACAAGGCGCCGTGCATGGCGAACCAGATCGTGGTGCTTGTTGCGGAGACGACGAAGGTCGAGGGCCGCAAGGCGTGGGTCAAGGGGCGGTTGGAGACGTTGCCGAAGAGTGAGGGGGAGAAGCCGGTTGTGCTTACTGAGGCGGAGGCCCTGTTTATTGAGCCTAGGCAGGCGGCGCAGTTGAAGAGGGTCGTGGTTTAGAAGGGATGGGGGCCATTGGGTGGAGTTTGGAGTTGTGATTGAGAACTGAGCGAGCTTACCCAAGAGGGTATGGGTGTCAGCTCATTCGAGAGACTTGTGATGGAGTTAGATCCATTGTTTGTATGAGATATGTACAGATTTTGTGGCCAAATTTCAGAGACCTGACCTACCTGATTTCTCATTGGCGACTTCTGCTAAGCCTAAACTACCCTTACTCGTGGAAGGAATTGCAATGGCGACAGCAAGCCTTGCAGTTCACTAGCATACACTCGCTCTCTCTGGACGCTCTGTAACCTATGACTGCTCAACTCTACAGTCCCCAGGGCTTCCGCTCCCCGTACCATGCAGTCTCCACCGCAGCCCACACAAGCAACCTTCCTCAATCAGTAGGTTGACCATTAACCGTAGAGAACAGTGCACTAAGTGGATGATATATCTTGTTGCCGGCGGCTGGACGCCGGCAAGTATGTATGGCTTTCCAGGATTTGCGAGTGGAGAGAGGGGGGGCGATCGAGCCACTGTTCATGATGCTACCCTGGCAACACCATATCAAGACAAGGCTAACGGTACAGCGTGTCTCTCGCGGGGCTAGACTACTCGGAGAACGATGGCGATGAGCAGTGGCAACAACGGCGCAACGATTTTGCAGAGACTGAAGCTTTGCGAATCGTCGTGTAGAGGTACCCTTGAAGCTAGTCACGGCTTTTTGCGGCCTAGTCTAGAAGGCGTATTGTTCTGTTCCATGAGATTGCCAACTTTACTTCCGACTAAGTCAGTCCCACAGGAGCATGTATTCCTGAGCAGTTGATCCCTACAGCTGGGAAGGACTGGTCTTGTCATTGCTCACTAGAGCCCCTCTTGACCCACGATGCGAGTGAGGTCACCGCATCAGGAAGTAGAAGTGGCAAGCGTGGAAACAGTACGCCACGCAGCTTCATCGCAATATGGGTCGTTACGTCGTTGCGTTGAGGAGCTGGTCGTTGATAGTCGAATATATTATTGTGAGGGTCATGCTATGTCGTACACAAGAGACCGTTGGTGATAATCGATTGATAGAAGGAAAGTTGAGCCTGTAGAAAAATGCGGCAAGATTGATGTAAAAAATTGCAAGGACTGCGCATGTAATCAGTATTGGTCTATGGTCGACATCTTGGCTATCGTGGGTGTCAGAACCGTGAAGTTCGACAATGACGCGCAGAGTTGTTGCTTCGTAAGTGATTCGTTTCTCGTACATCATATATTCCTGAACTCCCATATCCATCGTCAATCGGTGTCAGCAAGTGAGCAATTTGAACAGCATCGTACTCCATACTTCAATCTACCATGCTCTTAATGCCCATCTAGAAGAGCAACGTGGCAGCACGACCGGTCAAACCCGCAAGCACAATCGAGCTGCTTGCGAAGATGTAGAACCTAGTGAATACCTTGTTGACCAAGCTCTGGAAGAGGGAATGTACAATCCTCAATCCCGTATAGCCCCAGGCCGCAAGATAGGTGTACTCATGGTCGTCGCCGAGAAGTGTCAGGGCGATAGCAACAGAGTAGAAGACTGTTGGCTGTTCATGAAGGTGGTTGTAATTGTCGGCGATGCGGCGGACCTCAATGGGGATTTTGGTCTTCATCTCCTCGCTAATCTTGTCCTCGTCGGAACTGAGATTGTACTTGGAAACAGCGGGAATACGGGTCGCGTACATCCAGGCCTGGAGAGTATCAGCAGTTGAAGAGAATTCGAGGAGTTCTCTTGTGAGCTTACCTCTTGTACAAATGTCCACCCTGCCAATGCGATTAGTGGCTTCAGCAGCCTAGTGCGGTCGAGGCCTACTGCGACGGAAGCCATGTTCGAGATGCTTTTCAGGAGTTCTGGAGCCCAGGATTGAGTGTAGCTTGTTTGCTCAGCTGGCTCAAAGGAGTGAGTCTGGTGAGAGGTGTGGATTGTAGTGAAAAAGTCTGGAGCACCCTGTTGAGAGGGGAAGCTCAAGCTGACGAGCTCTACAGGCCGAGGCGGCGCTTTCTCCGCAATCAGCCTTGTGCTTGTTCTGGCTAGCTCCCGCAGCCTGCATCTCGGCTTCAAGCTCTCTTGCGCCTGCGTCATCTTGGACATCAATAGATAACATGGCAGAGTACTGGAAATCGACGGTAAATAATGCATGTGAAATGTGTATGAGTGATATCTGACATCACTTTAGCCGAAATACTGGTGCAAATACTGCGAGGTCTTCGTCAAAGACACCAAGTTCGAGAAGCAACAGCACGAAGCTACCGGCCGCCATCAAGGCAACATCCGGCGCTCCCTCAAGGGCCTACACCGCGAGCAAGAAATCGAAGCGCGCAAACAAGCGCAAGCGAAAGCCGAAGTCGCGCGCCTCAATGGCCTCGTCCCAGGGGCAAACGGCGCAGGTCCATCAGTCGCCGCAGGTGTGGGTGACAAAGCTACTTTTGCGAAGAAGGAGCCTCAGAAGAGGGCGACGGTCGAAGACAGAAAGAGACAATGGGAACAGCTAGCGTCTATGGGTATTGCGCTCCCTGAAGAAGCGCGGCAGGATATGGGCATGGCCGGCGATTGGAAGGTGGTCACCAAGAAGGTGGTAGGAGAGCTTAATGAGCAGGGGCAGTTCGAGGACAAGCAGCTGAACAAGGGCGTGCACAAACGAAAGGTTGACGAGACAGAGGAAGACCGGATAGCTGCTGAAGGCCTGATCACGAAGAAGAAGGGCTGGGGCCACACATACAAATTATTTCCTGGCAGTAAAGGGAATGACGACGACGATCTGGATGCACTTTTAGGGACGAAGAAGGCATCAGAGGTCAAGGAAGAGTCGAAGGCCAAAATAGAGGAGCACGTCAAGGATGAGGCGGAGTCGAAAACACTACAGGAAATACCCACAGTAGAAGAGGCAGAAGCAGATGCTGCTGCGGCGCCGGTAAAGCAGGAGGAGGATACACCGGCTGCGCCAGCTATTGTGTTCAAGAAGAGGAAAAAAATCAAAGTTTAAGCTGGCGTACTGCAGAGCTTACTCATCCAAACAAAAAAACAACGACATCCACGCGGATTCTACCCTACGCCATCATGGCGACAGCACTGGTACCCTGCCAAATCGCTAATGATAGTCCCCGGCCAGGGACACGAATGAACCAGAGGATATAGAGGAGATTATCCGTCAGACTGATACAGCAGTATTACGGGCAGAACGGAGGCTATGGAAGCACTGGAGGTAGTAAAGGAATTACGTGGTATGGAGGCGGATGATCCTTGAGGATTTTTACTGCCTTTCAGCTTCATCAACCGAGGTAGACACAGACGAAATTGAAGGACTCGGCGGGTCCAAAGATGCCAATACATGGACTGAAATGCCCACTGCGACTTCAAAGGCGATATGTGAAGGTGGTGCCCACTTTAACGATCGGCGCATGCACCTAAACTTTAACGGACCCCTGTTCAACGTGCGCCAACCGCGACCGTGAACTTCGCGTCTGCCACGCCAGATAGCTGTCGCGACAAGGCCCAAGCCGTGCACATCACCCCCACGCGCGTCCACCATCCCCTTCTCCTCCGTGTTTACTTTCATGGTTGCGTCATAGCATGCTGAGTTTGCTTCGAAATCGCACGCAGCCATGCATCTGATCAAGCCGCAGTGGTTGACCCACTCTGGTGAGTGTCCCTCCGCAGTCTGCAGCTACTCACAGCTCCGGATGCGCCTTTGAGCGTTTCGCTAATCATTCTCGCGCATGGCAGGTGATCTGAAAGACCACGAAGTATACAGCTGCCACGTCTCTCCCGATGGAAAGCGCCTTGTAACCGCCGCCGGAGGTCCGTACATTCACGAGCGCAGTGCGCGTACACGATGCGCGCACCGGAACATCATGACTGACGTGAGCAAACAGACGGTTACGTGCGCATCTGGTCCACCGAAGCTATTCTGAACTCTAACAACGCCGAATACACCAAACCGAAGCAGCTCGCTGCTGTCAGCCACCACTCAGGCACGATCCACGCGGTGCGATTCTCCTCAAACAACAAATACTTGGCTTCTGGTGCAGATGACAAGATCGTCTGTATCTACGCGCTAGATCCCAATGCGCCCACCCATGCTGCATTCGGTGGGTAGAGACACTCTGAGTCGCACGGATGGCATTGCTAACAACAGGTCTAGGCTCGAACGAAGCACCCCCTGTTGAGAATTGGCGCGTCATTCGCCGTCTCATAGGGCACGATAACGATGTGCAGGATATTGGGTGGTCGGCCGACTCTTCAATCCTAGTGTCAGTGGGCTTGGATTCGAAAGTAGTCGTCTGGTCAGGACACTCGTTCGAGAAGCTCAAGACGCTGTCAAACCACCAGAGTCATGTCAAAGGCATCACTTTCGACCCCGCAAACAAATACTTCGCGACCGCGAGCGACGACCGCACCATCAAAGTCTACCGTTTCAACTCGCCGCCCGCGAATGCCACCCAGCAGGATCAAGTGAACAACTTCATGCTCGAGCATACCATTACCGCGCCTTTCCAAACCTCGCCACTTACTACATACTTCCGGCGATGTTCTTGGTCACCAGATGGAGCTCACATCGCAGCTGCAAACTCGACAAATGGACCGGTTAGCTCTGTAGCGATCCTCGTGCGTGGAACGTGGGACGGTCAGATCAGTTTGGTTGGACACGAAGGTCCTGTGGAGGTTGCTGCTTTCTCGCCTCGATTGTTCTACAAAGACCCACCGAAGGAAATCGACGGAACAGTCTACCAGCCAACAGTCACAATTGTCGCATGCGCCGGTCAAGATAAATGCCTCAGCGTCTGGAACACAAGTTATCCCAGACCATTCATGATCACCCAGGAGTTGGCTGGGAAATCAATATCAGATCTAGCCTGGGCGCCAGGGGGAGAAGTATTATACGCCACCAGTCTCGATGGCAGCATCATGACGCTCGTCTTCGAGCCCGGTGAACTCGGTTACCCTGCATCGCTGGACGAGAATGATAAAACGCTTTCAAAGTTCGGTGCGGGCCGAAGAGTTGGAATTGTTGAAGGCACCGATGCTCTATTGCTGGAAGAAAGCGCGAAGAATGGAGAGTTGAAAGGCGTGCAGGGTCGCATGGGAGCTCTGATGGGCGATGGTGGTGCGGTACAGGCTGCAACGATCACCACAAATGGAACCAACGGCGCAAGCACGTCAGCAAATTTGACGAACGGCACGACAACACTAGCGGCACCGGTTGAGCCTACAGTAGATCAGCGTGTCGAAAAGCTTAAGCAGCGGGTGACTGTGACGAAGGAGGGTAAGAAGCGCATAGCGCCAATGCTCGTGTCCTCGTCGTCTGGTATTGGCGCATCATCATTACCCCAGACCCAACTCATTTCTGCAGCTGCCACGTCAATTGGGAGAAGCGACAACCCACACAACGTTCTCGACCTATCAAAGCCGTACGATGGATTCCCTAAGGGCGGCCTTGCGTCAATGCTTGTCGGCAACAAGAGGAAATTCGCAGAGATCGAGGGCGATGAGGACCGGCAGATCGAGCGAAGGCTTGCTGCCACAGTTCGGCCTGGCGGTGCAGCAATTGTGCTGAACAGCGAGAACGGCCTCGTACCGCCCGCTGCAGCTGCTTCAAAGACCAATGATCACGAGGTTCCGAAGGCTTTACGACCTGCGATTGTCAACCCGGCCTTGAGCGTTAGCCAACTGAGGCTGTCTGTACCGAAGGTACGAAGTGTCATTATCCGCACAATGGATGGCAGCGAGCCACCACAACAGAACGGAGTGGATCCGAACACAGGAAAAGCCGAGCTCTCCGACACTGTTATGCTGGAGGCGCGAAACGCCACTGGCCCGTCAAGGACAGGTCGATTCCAGGATCACGATCCTGTTAGGATCAGCTGCACAAAGAAAGGTCAAGCGTTGTGGCAAGACTACCTGCCGAAGGCCGTCCTTCTCGTAACGGGCAACACGAACTTCTTTGCTGCGGCATGCGAGGACGGCTCCGTTTATGCATGGTCTCCAGCGGGCTGTCGAACTCTGAACGCCATGATTCTGGAAGCACAGCCAGTAATCATGGACTGTCGCGGCTGGTGGCTGATGGCCATCTCAGCAGTCGGCATGTGCTATGTATGGAACCTCAAGGACATGTCTGCACGACACCCACCGATCTCGATTGCACCGATTCTTGATGTTGCAGCGCACTCACAGGGCCCTCATCTAACAAGATCTCCCGGCATCGTGTATGCTCGACTCAACACTAAGGGTAGGATCGTCGTAGCCATGTCGAATGGCGACGGCTACACATACAACCCAACCATGTATATTTGGCAACGGATATCGGAGCCTTGGTTCGCAGTTGGGAGTCAGTACTGGAACACCACGGACTCGTCCCTCGGTAACATCAAATCATCTAACGACGAGACTGCTCCGAAAGAGAAGGATGATCAAGTCTCGTTGGAAAATATTTCCGCCGGCATCATCCCATCGCTAGAACGAAACACCACAAATCAGTTCCTGCTGCAGGGCCGAGCATTCTACCTTCAGCGGCTCATAAAAGCGCTCATCTCTGCCGAGGGCTACGAGACCTTCGAGAGTTGCGTCAGTGTGGCACATTTGGAGAACCGGGTCGCCGCTGCAAAGACCCTGGGCGCACGGGAAGAGTTCAAGATCTACCTCTCGATGTACGTCAAGCGCATTGGAGCAGAAGGCCTGAAGGGCAAGATCGAGGAGCTTCTGCGGAGCCTCTCTGATGACCTCATCGCCGAAGACGATGACGAGAGCAGAGACACGGAGAAGGCGGATGGCACCATTTGCGGCTGGACGAAGGAAGAGCTCCTTAAGGAAGCGGTGCTGATTCTTGGTATTTCAACTCTCCGACTAAACGTGAATGTTCGACTGACACATCACCAGGTAAACATCGCGACCTCCAGCGCATCACTGTACCGTATGCACGTCTTCTTGGTATCGTCCACGAGAATCAGCAGCAGGACGAGGCTATGGTCACAGATCTATAGGGCTGCCAACATCATCTCGTGGCATATCCTCCCGGCGTTCTTTCTCGGCTTAGCGTTTCCTTGGGTTGTCATTGTATCAAGGGCATGGATAGCGTGCGGATGTCTCTGGACTAGATGGATCATAAGGTACACGGCGTCCGGCGCATTCGTGGGCCAATTGGGCCTGATTGGAGTGATGTATTTGTAACATACTTGGACGAAGAAAGGAAGTGAGACGGGTGGAAGAGGCCAGTTTTACACAACCATGGGTTTGTGAACTGCGTACTTCGTCTCACTGCTGCATCTTACTTGTGAGAAGCTGTTGCCTGGCAAAGACGTCATCGAGGTCGCTGACTGACGCACCGCAACAATGAGATCAGTCTGGAAATCGAGGCAGCATCTCGCTATGCTTGTCTCCTTTGTGCATATGGAGGAAAAGGATGTCTTCGTGCCTTCACCAGTGCGTCTTGGCTCACAATGGCGCGAACAAATGTGGAGCCATTCAACACGCAATGAGAAGTGGATACTGGGGTTGATCGCCGAAACAGATGGTTGCCTCTAGGCTGTGTGAGCTCCAGCTTCCGCGTCGAGGGGAACTACAACGTGTCAATATTATGGCAGACGTTCATAAAGAGGAACTCATGCACAGAGAACAATTTTGATCCTGGCCGTCTCACCGCCAACACTCCCATCGACTCTGATAAGCAGTTGTGCCACTTTGTCACGTGTCAGTGGCGCCGCACGGACTCTCCCAAGCAAGTCCACACGTCTCATCAACCCAGCCCTTTCCTGTGCATCAATTAGACTGCGTCGTCAACCCACCCACACCATCACCAACACGCACGGCTCTCTTGAACATCGTCCGTAAGTCAATCGCTGTCGCCCCGCGCCGTCCCGGTCTCTGTATACATGCCCAGCACACCTCGGCGATTTCAGGCGTGCACAACGCTGCCGCCCGCATCAGGCGCTCAATACTGTCCTGCGCCGACAGCGCACCCTCGTCAAGCCCTCCTTGCCGTCCCTAATGCCCACCGACTACATATTGATACTCGAGTCTGACTGTCGAGCGCTATAGGTTCGAGAGTCTTTTCACCGCCTCTACACTTTCTACACACACCGCACCCGCCGCCAACATGGGTCTCACATTCTCGAAGCTTTTCGATAAGCTATGGGGAAAGAAGGAGATGCGCATTCTGATGGTCGGTCTCGACGCTGCCGGAAAGACCACAATCCTCTACAAGCTCAAGCTCGGTGAAATCGTCACCACCATCCCCACCATTGGTGCGTTGCTACCCACCTTAGCGCGACCAAAGACAATGCGCTGACTGTCGCCCAGGTTTCAACGTCGAGACAGTCGAGTACAAGAACATCTCCTTCACCGTGTGGGATGTCGGAGGCCAGGACAAGATCCGTCCTCTCTGGAGGCATTACTTCCAGAACACTCAGGGTATCATCTTCGTCGTCGACAGCAACGATCGCGACCGTGTTGTTGAGGCCCGTGAGGAGCTCCAGAGGATGTTGAATGAGGACGAGCTGAGGGATGCCCTCCTCCTTGTCTTCGCCAACAAGCAGGATTTGCCCGTGAGCACATGCTCCTACGCAGGATTGCTGGCGACACCTCGGCTGACATTAAAATCTAGAACGCCATGAACGCTGCTGAAATCACCGACAAGCTCGGTCTCCACAGCCTCCGACAACGCGCCTGGGTATGTTAATTCGAAGACTCGTACGTCGACCATGTGCTAACAATCCCCACAGTACATCCAGTCGACCTGCGCTACATCCGGTGACGGTCTGTACGAGGGCCTTGAGTGGTTGTCCAACTCTCTCCGTAAGGCCGGTCACAACTAAGTTCTCTGCACCCGTACGTAGCGACGCGACAATGTCAACGTCTGCCAGCCCAGACATACCACAATTAGTACCTCTCTCCGTGGCCGTGGCCGAGGCCGGTCTCGGTCATAGCCTTCTCCAGGAATGCGTGCATCGATATTTAACGAATTGGTGGTGGAGCGGACATATTTCCTTTTCACCATTGGAGTTTGTGTGAAATGCAATGCGGTGCAATACGGATCTGATTTGCGTCTCACGGATCGTTGGTGGTGTCATACGGAAACAGTCTCTCTGATTACTTTACGTGTTACTATCCAATTTGAGCCTCCATTTGCTATAGAAGTACGCTCCTCACAGTCGTGCTCAGCTGCGTGTAACGCCTTTTGTAGGCTGACGACATCAATTCAACATGATCCAGAACATCCCCGCACTAATTTTAGGGTCTCGGTCTGACAAAGGGCACCTGACAATGGGCAGAATAACGTAATGACTTCGAGAAGCCGTGCCACGGCCGCGCAGCAAGCAGAGACATTCACCAGATAGATGAAAGCATTAGTGCTAATGAGTTCATGTTTCATCTTTGTTCTATGCTATGCATGCTTGTATGATTCCAGAACGCAAGCAAATACTCAACATTCTCAACATCATCGTGAATACGCAACACGATGCCACGCGGTCACAGACCGCGAGCCCGCCATATCAAACAACCGATCTCTCACCCCATCTCCCGATCACAGCCTAGGCGGCAGCAGGCACAGCGCTCTGGCCACCCGAGCTCCTAGGCGGGCCCTGCTCCGCCTTGGCCGCCGCAGGAAGCAGCCCCTTCTCTGTCCACAGCTCAATCAGCGGCTGCATGGGCTCGATTTCCTTATCGCCAATCAGCCCATACAGGCGCCCCACGTTGATGAAGTGGATGAAGCACGTGTTCAACTCCTTGTACACGTTTACGTTCCAGAACGGCTCCAGCCAGTGCCCGTGGTAGATGTGGGCGTAGCAACGCATCATCTGCCGGTAAATGCTCTTGATGTCTGATTCGAACGTCTCGGGGAACCCGGACGACTTGCCCAGCCATTCGCGTCCCGCAAGCTGCGAGAGTGGCGCGTTGAGAGAGGATGGGGGAAGAGCCTGGGGTGTCGAATTCCCCGGGGTCGCAGAGCCGGAGGTGTAGGTTGAAGGGCTCAGGTTCAAAGGGGTGGTGTCTGTGGGAAAGATGGAGGGGTCGTTGATTTTGCCGACGATCCATTTTTGTACCAGGTTGATGTATTGGATGGCGGGGATCTTGATGGGTTTCTTGTTGTTGTCAAGCCAGGTGTATGTGTGTCTACGCCTATATGTTAGAAAGTGATAAGAGGCAATAATGTTCGGACAGCTTACCCGCTAGCTGACATGGTTGGGCAGACATCTGGATTGCAGATTGGCTTGCCTGTTCGATCATCGATGACCTTGATGACTTCGATCATCTGTTCAAGCAGTCGGTATTGTTCGACAACTGGTCACATGATCAGCTGAGTGCACTTGGAAGTCAACGAATTTAGCACACACCTTGATGTGCGAGCCATTCACCCTCTTCGACAAGCTTTGGCTTTGCGGCCAGGGTCATGAAGTTGCCCTTAACGATCAAATTGGAGTACTCCTCACGGAAGAAGAAAGGCGGTCTGCGGTTGCCAGACTGGGCGGGACTTTCCGCACCAGCATCGAACGACATAGAGGCCGACATTGCTGGAGAGTGCGGCATAGGTGGTTGAGAAGCCTGTTGCGATGTAGGTGATTGGGAATACTGTCCAGTTGGTGGAGGTGTGCCGCTTTTGCCTGGTTGCTGTTGCTGATTGCCCTTGTTGGATCGACCAGCTAGCCCTTGGCGTCTGGTGGGTGTATGTTAGAAAGGGACCACACCATTCCGAGACCGGACGTATTTGATATGAAGTAGCAGACAAGATTAGGAGAGGAACATGCGGGAATAACGGTGAGTGCGAAACACAGACAATCGGATGCCTGTATCAGATACGTATACGAGGCCCAACTATGGGGGATGTGGCCGAGAGAGCAGCGCCAAGACTTACACGCTGGAGAAAAAGGACGACATATTCAGCTGCAGAGGGGTGTGCTGCGAGTCTATGGCGTGAGGGGTTGTCTGTAGCGGGCTGACGGACAAACAAGTGCGTTATGCAGAAGACCGAGGGGCGTTGAGTTTGGTGATACACGTATCGTTGTCTCGAGCGGCCAGCTTTTGGGGCCCGCATTCGAGAAGGGGCCAACACGCTAATGAACACTTTGGGCAAGCGCGACTCTTATTGTACTTCGACGCGCTGCACTTTCACAACCGCGGAGACAGCCTTACCTCACCAAAGTCGCCACAACTTGCGCATCAAGGCGCTCCACGAATCGCAGCTATGTCGGACGCTGGTAGTGATGCTGTGAAAGGTATCTCAGATGATGAAGTTGGCCGTGCGACCGCGCCCATAGAGAGCGAAAACGGAGGAACGCCGCGCGATACAGTCGAGGAGAACGGTCTTGACGACGAGGATGATCTGTTCGGCGATGGCGGAGATGTAGAGGAAGAACCAGCAGTGTAAGTCAGGTGATTGCATGAGGAAGTGCTGCGGTCTAACAGGTTCAAAGGGAGCAGCGACAGCTAGACGATGAAGAGCTCGACTCCGGCGACGATGAGGGACGCGCCGATCGGGCGCCAGCACTTGTCGAGTACGAACAAGAGCAGCAGACACTGTCTTTCATGGAGACAGATATCGCACGACATGCCATTCCAGAACCCAGCGACGGCGAGCTGTACCTTCTGAAGGTCCCGCGCTTCCTGGCACTCGAGCCAAACGCTTTCAACCACAAGACATTCCAGGCGCCGATTACAGACCACCACTCAAAGTTCGCTGCGTCTGAGCACTTTTCCGCATACGACACTGCTATGTCCACGATTCGATGGCGACGATCCCCTTCGAACCACGCCGAGCTGCAGTCCAATGCGCGCATCTTGCGATGGTCTGACGGATCATTCACCCTACAGTTCGCCAACGATCCAACCACACAATTCGATATCGACGCGAATACACTCGCTCCACCGCAGGTTAATCCTAGGATACCCACTCCTACTTCTTCAAAGAGAAGCGCCAAGGGCGATAAGGAAAGCTACACATATCTTGTTGCCCCCTACGAGGAGGCTCAGATCATGCGCGTGACCAACAAGTTCACAACTGCCCTCAATGTCGTTCCTGCTGTGAACATGAAAGATGCGGCTCTCGAGAAATTGCAGAATGACCTGGCAGCTGCAGCCAGTCGTGGCCGCGACGAGGCTGATCAGGCCATCTCCTTTGTCAATGTCGACGAAGATCCCGATCTTATCAGACAACGAGAGGAGGCCACATTCAAAGAGAGGCAGCGACAGCAAAGGGCAAGGGAGAAGCACGCTGAGCGACAAGCCGAGCGTGCGAACCGTGGAGTAGGAGGGCGCAGTGTACGCACAGCAGGTCTCAGCATCGGTGATCTGGAAGACGACGATGGCGCACCGCGTGCGAGAAAGCCAAAGCCAAAATCTGGTCTACGACGAGACTGGAGCGACGACGAGGACTACGGCCGCGGCGCTGGCAGAAACCGCGAGGACGATTATGACGAAGAGGACGACTTCATTGCCGCCAGTGACGAGGAGCCAGAAATTGTCGAGGATGACGACGATCCAGATGAGGGTATCATGGCCAGCCCTAAGAGGAGGAGCGGTGACAACAACGAGGATGAAGACGAAGAAGTTGTTCCCAGCAACCGCATAAAACGGAGAAGAGTCGTCGATGATGATGAAGATGACGAGTAGGCACTCCCACGTCTTTATCATCTTGTCAGAAACAAAATGTACTATCCATACCATCTTTGAACATCAGCATAGCCAGGCGTCGCGGCATTTCGACTTTTGGACCAATCTAGTATATCCAGACATGCTCTTATAATCCTTAGTCTTGAGCGGTGAGCGTGATGTGCAAGTTCGACAGCAAGCGACCAAATCTAACGTCGAACTATCGATGCTTCTGGGCAGCAAACACTGTCCCTTGATCAGTGGATGTCATTATGGCCTACAAATCACCCGCCCTGCATGTTTTCACCACAATGCTTCAGTCATTTACATATGAGTGCTTCCTGGGAAATCAGATAACAACATCTCACAATCACCACAACGTATACCCCGAATCCAATACAAATCTACAGTCACACAAAATGAGCGGCAATTCAACACCTACAAAGCCTCGCTACATTGATCCCATCTTCGGAGGTCGCATCCAGAAAGCTGAAGACCTCCGAATCAAGAACATGGCCAACAAGGAGCCTTCCACCAAGGAGACTGATATCGAGAAGGAGAGGCGCGGCTTACAAGTTCGTCCTAGTGGAGGTTAGACAGAATGCATTGGAGATCTGATTAATACTGTCAATTTGGTGGTTCCCCCCATGCAAAGCTTGGAAGAGTAGGCATTTTTACGGTGTGAGAAACGCATCAAGACTACAATGAACTTACTTGGTCTCTTTCTTCTTGAAAAGAGGCGATATGATCAGCTTTCAACCTCTTAATTCTTTTTCTTCTGTGTACGTTCGACTCCATGAGCAAACCCGATGCCTTCACCGCATGCGGGAAACGCTTTCACTAACCCCATTCCCACTTTCATTCTGCATCGTTCGCTATGCAGCCTGTCACCATGAATTTGGTACGACCCTCAATTACTCTCATTCTGTGCCCCTTTCCACGTACTAATACTTATCAATACCCGCACAATCAACCAGTCACTGTCTACACCATGACATTTAATCCTATGCCCCTATATCGAGCCTCCCCTTCTTCCACGTCCAAGCCAATGAGACTTTCCGCGCCTACGTCCTGCATATGGCATGCAAGCACTCCACACACCCGTCCTGGCATCGCCACTGTGCGAGCGGCAAATTTTATATCCAGCACTTCAAGCCGGCTGGAGGGTCTTCGTATATCGCGCGAGCTCTTGCGCATCCACCATCTGCTACGCCCTCAGCTGGTGGCGGCTGTGATAATTACTGCATTGTGATAGGAAGGGGGACAAGTGGGGAAGGCTACGCTTGGGTCGTTGGAGAGCTTGAGGGAGCTGTTTGAGGCCAGGGAGAGGGACTATGAGGCGGAGTTGGAGGAGCTGCTCAGGAAGGCGAGGATCGAGGAGTAGAAGCTCGCTTTGTGCTGGGAAGATACAAAGATGATCTTGGCATTCGAGGACTAAGGAGTTGGGCATCAGCTTTGTATTTTGCTCTCGTAGGTTGGTCCCAGCACTGACGGTGCGCGCTCCATGTGTCGCTGCTGTAACAATATGAAAACGCGATAATGACGATATAGGCAGAAGACCCTACTGCTGAGCAGACCATATCCGTGCCGAGCATATTGGAGCCTGTCATTGGTGCGTCAAAGGAACATGCGGACTCACCACCGCTGGCAGTTCTCCAGGCAATGTTCAAAATCTGCCTAGCCTGACGAACGGGAGTGTTTGGCCAGTTGGGAGGTGTTTATTGTGGGTGTCGAAACCCGCAGCTCGTCCTTCTTAGCTCGAACTTTCGTACAGGATGGAAAAACAGGCCTGGCCTACTTACAAAGACGAGTGGGCCCTTGATGGAGAGTGACCAACATATGAACACAGTTGAGACGCTGAAGGACATGTGCGCTAATCTCCGCTTCACGATATCCAGATTCAAGGATGGGGGTACGTAAGTCATGTTCCGATATGATGTACTCTGGCGTGAGAACAAGTGGATTGCGTTGGTGACACCATTGTGAATAAATTATAGCAGAAGCAACTAGGTGACCAGACTCACCTATTTTGCCTGACAACAAACCACTTGTGACAAATACACACAATTGTGGATACGATATACCAAGAGGTAGCCTTCCCAGCGCGTGAATCCTTGGACTACACCTAGCAATCGATCATGGAAATGATTTCGCCTGAAGAGGTTGAGCTAGCAGTCAATCTAAGAGAGATCATACTTGGTAAGTCGAAATCTTGTCGTCATTTGCAGTCTGACGAGTTGCCAGCTCATCTTCGACTGAATTGCGGCGCGAAGAATCGCGTCAGGGAACGGATGAAGTTTGACGTGTTGGTCAACAAAGTCGCGGAATAGTACGCTAGTGGCGCCATTACAGAAGGTGTACGAGAGGCTGGTATGATCATGATGATGGCTGGACCTCCCTGGTGGAAAGTGACAATTGGACGAGTCCTTTCTTAGCACTGAAAGATCTTTGGTACCAATTCCGAAAGTTGGTGCCAAAGAGCAAGGAAAGTGAACGTCCAGAGTCTGACGGAGACGCCAAAGTTACTGAGCAAGTAGATGCCTCAGTGAGCCACAATGGCTTTGGCATACCTTGAGGCGCAGATCGATGAAAAGTGTAAACTGCAAGCGGGAAATGCCCTTCTGATCGTGTCAAAGGCGCGTTCGCGTGTTGTTCGCAGTTAGCAAAGTTGTAGATCTTTTCGCCGCTCCTTCCCAGTAATACAATTATCTCCAGGATATTAATTTTCCCTGCGAGATATGATGTTAAGCCCTATGATGACCGGAGTCAGATGAGCGTTGCGTTTCCGGCGGAAATGTATCCGGACAGTGTTCCCAACAGCATCAGGCTCCACAACTCTGTGGTTCTAGCGTAGAGTCGCACATTGAGGCTCGGTTGTGTGGCTGCTCGTGCACTTTCTTAAGTCCTTTCGCAAGCGGAGTGTTCGCACGGTGCAGCGTGTGCATAATCGCGTGAAGAGAGAAGGTCGGACGAAGTTGCCCTAATAGGCATTCAAGATCCGAATGTTTGAAACATCAGGTGCCCTCGCTTTGAAGTCTAGGAAACACTTTCTGCCTGCAGGAGATGTTTTGAATGAAGTCTCGGTCATAGTTTGGTTGGACGCCGCGTATACGGTGTCTCAGAGTGTACTGTCAAGCAGGGCTTTTCCGTTGCTCCGAGACCGTTTCCTCACTCCAAGTGGGTGAACGGACGCGACCTTACACGAACATTGGCTGTAAGATCTGTAAGAAAAACAAAGCTGCATAGCTCGTATCGAGTCGCGTATACTCCTAGTGGGCTGGAGAAAGGACACTGAAATGTCAGAATCAGAATCAAGATGATGTGTCGCAACGGCCGAGTCGTCAAGTTCCAACGCGCCGGTGCCATCTTGCAAAGCCACAACGTGGAGGGACAGACTAGAGGTGCTCTGCGGACCGCCTCCGACTGCAAATCACAGACTAGTCTCATCGGTGGACATTGAGTCGGAGAGTGCGACTCCGAGGGTTGTAGCTGTCTGTCACTAAGGATCGGCCTTATTGTCAGCTCCACTGCACTCAACAAACTGCTGTGCACAGCCTGTCCGTCCAAATTCGGTGAGGATATGCAGACTGCTTGCAGTACAGTACCGCTGGCGGCTGATCGATCGACCGTGTATGATGCGCTTAGCTTTGACTTTTCAAGGTGTGTTAGTGTCTGCTTCCAGTTTAGGTGAAATAACGGCGAGAACATTTCCGAGCGAAGACCGACCTAGCCCAAACTAGGCCAACGTCCATGTGGGGTGTACCGTGTGAAAGCGCCCCTGACCATCCCCGCATGGTTCATCTGGGAGACTTGACGTTTAGCACATCCAGTCCTAGGTTCTGGTATCGAGTCCGACTGCCCAGGCTCCATGATACTATGTCCAATACCGCCGATGCTGAGCCTCGTATGGGGCACCCAGTCTTTCAACACGACTGAAACTATGACCTGCCACCAAAAAGCGGTCAGTTGTTGTCATGCGCACTTTCGCTGAATGGCGAGCCGCAACGGCATCCACCGCCAAACACTAATGTCCGGGGCGCAGTGCGTCGGAGGAGTGGACCCCTCCGATCGAGCACTGAGGCGCGCTGAGCACATAAAGCCGCAATTTTCAGTTGGTGCCTCACGTGTGTGGAAGACCGGCTTTGAGGTCGGCTGTTTGGTCCAGAGACGTCTAGTCTGTCCGTTGGCATTCCGCACATTCGAGACCAATCATGTTACAGCAGGGATTCCATTTCCGCACTTTCGTGGGCGAAGATCAGCTCCAGACTCTATGATCAAACCAATCTCAACTCGCCATGCGAGGATCAATATCGTGGGCTTCTCCAAATCCCACCCGACTCGCTTTCGCCAGTTGAAACAAAGTGTTGTGAGGAAGCTACAGGGCAGGAAGGGCCGGCATCGACAAAATATAGAACCGCGGCATCTTTCACATGTGTTCTAATCTGGCAGTCGCCGACGATTCAGAGCGCGTCTGTGCTTTGTCCCGAGGCCATCCGAGAAGCACCGGTGCTCGTCAAGCGCCAAGGATGCGCCGGCCATCCGCATCTGGGGACTGGGGTTGCTCACTAACGATCCCCGGTGGGGACGGACGCGGCGTCATGAAGGGTCAAGGGCACTGCGATGAATCGCGGCTTGTCTGCGCGCCCTGAGCACACGACTAGTCCAAGCATGGAATCCACTTTTGTGGAATTTGGAGTACATAATCGTAGCCCTTCCCCAGACCCCTCGCGCGCGAATAGTCGTGAAATCCAATCCTCCAACATTCACTGTGTTGATTATTGCCTGTCACCGACAATCGAGTGCAGCCATGTCCGACTACTCTGGTTCCCCGTCCGACCACATGGAGTCCCAGCCACCAAAGCGAAAGGCAACCACAGCTGGCCTCGACGGAATCACAATCGGGCGTTCTGTAAAACGAAGAGCATCGAAAGCATGTCAATGTTGTCGAGCTCGAAAAGTTCGGTGCAACGTCACAGAACATGGCGCGCCCTGCACGAACTGCCGATTGGACGAAGTCGATTGTATCGTCTCTGAGAGCAGGCGTAAGAAGTCAGTCACCCCGTGCAGCATCCGACAACCCCTCCCAGTAACATAACCCTACACTTCACGAATGGAATGTCTCGCATCGCATTTGGTTTTGTCGTCGTTCGCGAGTTGGATTGGTGTTCGCTCCTGCTGAACTAGCCACTTGCGGGTGCCAATCCAGCCCATCACGCTCATCTTGGCTTTTAGCCCACACACCATAATCTCGATCTCAGCCGCGGTTGTGTCAGGTGCTAAATTTTGTAGGAAGTGGAATAAGGACGACGAACCACAGACAGAGACGACGACTACAACCACAAATGTAACGCGAAAGCTTGCCTCGCGCGATACTCTCGACAACGTACAATCAGTCAACCCTGCTTCATCGCGGGGATCGCAAGATGCAGAGAGCCGTATCAACGAGCACGTTCCCCACTCGATTTGTTAGTAGCGACGACAGTAGGCGCTATGCGAATGCTGACAGGTGGACAGATCAGAGCCATGGGCATCGAAATTTCTCTGTTCCCAACATCCCAGACGTCCATCGCCGCATGTCAGTGACCTCACAGATCAATGGACTGCCAACCTTCCCATTCACACCTTTTTCGAATGACGGCGAGAAGACATTCCTCAGCAATTTTGGCCAGAGGCTTCCTTCCGGGCAGCTGCCTCGTTTTATCAAGCCGCTACCTGCGAAGATTGGACCTGAGGAGATCTCGTATCTCGAGAAAAAGGGCGCATTAACCGTACCTAAAGGTACACTTCGCAGCGAGATGTTACGCGTGTATGTCGAGTTTGTTCACCCGTACATGCCGCTTCTGGATCTACACGACTTCTTGAGCGTAATTGACCGATCAGACGGAAGCAACGGAAAAGTCAGCTTGATTTTGTTCCAAGCAGTCATGTTTGCCGGATCGGCGTTCGTCGACATGTCGCACCTCCGAGCCGCAGGCTACGCTACTCGGAAAGAGGCCCGCAAGGACTTCTTCCAGAAGACTAGAGTAAGTCCATCGTACTCCTTGGCAAGTCCGAGAGGCTCAACAGTTCGGCCGAGCGGGTCACCGAGATCCCCGGACCTCCGAAACTCCTTCACATTCGGCCCATCTATCAACAAATGAAACTGTTGCAGAGCTTTGACCTCTACTCAACAAGTAGATGGCTAATCATTACGACAGATCTTGTACGACTTTGACTACGAGTCAGACCGTGTGTCACTGGTCCAGGCCCTACTACTTCTGACGTACTATTACGAAACTCCTGATGACCAGAAAGACACATGGCACTGGATGGGCGTGGCTACGTCCGTAGCGCACACGATCGGTCTCCACCGCAACCCAGACAACACGAACCTAGACAGCAAGCGCGTCAAGCTGTGGAAGAGAATCTGGTGGTCGACTTACATGCGTGATCGTCTCATTGCCCTCGGCATGAGGAGACCCACCCGCATAAAGTCCGAGGACTTCGACGTACCCATGCTGACGATGGACGACTTCGAGATTGCACCAATTCCTGACTCAATCACATGCATACCGGCTGACTGCAAGGTCGCTAGAGATGTCGATGTCCAACGTCAATTGGCCATCATGTGTATTGAGAAGGCAAGACTCTGTCTCTGCATCTCGCATGTATTGTCGAAGCAGTACTGCGTTCTGAACAACAATCATGGTCTTCAGAACGACCGGACGACCATGATGTTGCTTCCCAAGAAACTTGATCCTGCAACAAGCGAAGTCAAGACTTGCGATGAAGAGCTTCAAAAATGGGTGAACGAACTACCCGAGGAGGCGAAGTACACAGACAAAGCATCGGGTGAGGCAGCCATCGATCTTGCGCGCTCGCTACTGCACATGGTTTTCTTCACTACGCTGTCGGCCTTGCATCGACCTCAGGTCCTTCCAAATTCGCATGGTGGCCCTGCCAGTGCACCTTCCAGGATTGATGTAGAGTCGGATATCCTCGATGCTTCCAGACGCAACGTTCGCCGCGCCGCTTCAGCCATCACATCGATCGCCCAACGACTAGACACCGGCGGACTCGTCAAATACTTACCCACTACTGGTGTCACAGTGCTCCTTCCCGCCATCATCATCCACCTTCTCGACATCAAGGCACCAGAGGAAGAGACGCGCCGTAGCTCACTCCGTGGCTTCTGCCAGTGCATGGCAGTCATGGGCAAACTTCGTGACCTCTACGCTGCAGCCGACTACTCTGTTGCGTTTCTTGAGGCTGCGATACGCAAGGCTGGTATTCACGTTGCGCCAACCTCTACGCAGACATCGCCAATGCCTAAAGCTAATCCTGTCACCTCCGTTGAAGACCTTGTTGACGCTGGTCGCCGTCTCGACATGGCCAACACGACCACCGCGTTCCAGCAGCAGCAACGCTCGACCCTCACTCCCCCTCCCGATACCGGCACGACGAATATGGCGACGCTTGAGAAGCTCCCTGGTCAACAACCGAACGTCACTGACGAAGAAGTTGCCCGTCGCCTCGAGACATTCCTTGCCTCCACGCCGCCAGATTCTGACCACGGACATCACGACCATAAAATCACGTCGATAACAATCTCAGAAGATACACCCCCTGCTCTCGCCCCCGCCCCCGAGGACCTTTCAATCCACAACCACGACTCGATGGACGCTTTCAATAAGTGGAGCATGATGGATCTCCCACCAACTCCTTTTCCGAACATCAACCACCACCAAGACAACGAAGCGTTATTCTCCAGCCTGCCGCTGAACAACGAGTTCGACGATGGCGATTTCGATTCCCTGCTGAACCTCGATGCTGTAGGCGAAACCTTTACTTTTGACGATACAGCTCTGGAGCACGGCTCTTCAAGCTTTACTACAGATATAGGCGACGTCGACTGGCTCAGCACAATGAACGGGCTGGACGTTGTTGCATAGATTATCACCACTGGCGTTTGGATTGTATATGGATAATAAGATTGGGAAGGAAAAGTTAGCGCATCGCAAGGTTGTTTTGGTGCGATGATATCCACGTAACTTCGGATTCGTACATGTTTATGTGATGGTCTGTACGATATTTTTTGGCAAGGGTTTGGATCAAGGACAGATTGCTACAACTTCAGCCCAGCAAATACGAATGCAAAGTAATTCATCAGTCAGCCGATTTACTGAGGCCGATGTCTTTTCACTTCCTCTGCAGCATGGAAATGTTTCATACCATGCCAGTTTCCGTCCCAATTTCTTTTCCAACTACTGTGAAGAATGTCCATATGAAAACTATACCGGTAGACAAAGGACACTCTTCCTCGCAAAACGTATCCTAGACTCGCACGTCACAAGTCTGCCACGTAAAAGTGAGTGCGTCACCATGCGGTCTTTGATGGCCCTGATGATCTAAAGGGAGCATTTCGGCGGACGGTTGCAGGCGGATCGGATCCACAGCCCTTGCTTCGCACAGCCCGCCTCGGGGCCCCGCCGCACCTCAGGCCGTACAAGACTCGGGGTCGTAGTTCGAGATCATCTCAGCATATGGAAGCCCGCCGAAGTTGTCAGGGTCACGTTGCTGAGTCGGATAATCGAGGGCCACCTATTTTCCAGGGAAGCAGAAAAGGAGCCAGGATATAAGCCATATAACAGGTGTAGCTCCTGCTGCCAATGGAAATTTCAACCCAATCATCGTCGGACCGTCTTCGCATCGCCGGTCGGACGTTAATACCGCAGCAGACTTCCGGATCGTGCACGTGCCCTCTTCACCCTACCCCACATTCAGGGGTAAGGGTGAAGACCGGCGTTTCTATAAGCGGCAACTTCGCTGCGGCCGTTGATTGCAGCAGGCAACGAAGTAAAGGCTTCCAACTTTCCGAATGGAGTAGGAGAGCGAATCTGTTGATTGCGGCACCTCGTGGAAGTGCGTGGAGTGAAAGATTCCTTGACCAATGGTGCTGTGGCGGTTGGCCCCACCACAATGAGCTGAGCCGAGGCTCGAGGCATCTTACCCCAGCTTTCGATGGATGGCCTCCGCAAACTTCGCAATGGACAGCCGCCAGTCTTCAGCAACAATTCATAATTTCACATTCGCACGCCCACTGAACTTTTAGAGTCCGACTGTAATATCTCGTCCACGATGCCTACAGCAATGCCGAAAGTCCAACCAGCAGCGTTCAGTAAAGAGCTGTCCGAGCCTCTCCCCGAACCGCCAACTTTTGAAGGAAAGCCAGGCGTCCGCAGCATAGCCGGCGACCTGGGAAATGAGCACGTCTCTCGTGCACACCTGACCAATCCAAGCACTAATACCTTGCAGGCGCGTAAAAGGCAAGGTCATCATCGTTACGGGCGCCAATTCCCTCATCGGCATCGGCCGCGCCAGCGCCCACCAGTTCGCGCGCCACGGCGCCCGCGCTCTTTACCTCTGCGACTTCGATCCGTCGAACCTCGACCTACACAAGCGCGAGCTGGCCTCGCTGTACCCGAGGACCGAGGTGCACGTACGCCAATTTGACGCCGCGGACGAGCAGGCCGTGAAAGCCGTTGTCGCCCATGCGCTGGACACGTACGGGCGTCTAGATGTGTTCTTCGCGAATGCGGGGATCAGCAGCGGCAAGGTGTTCTGGGAGGAGGATTCCGAAGGGTTCATGAAGGTCATGCGGACCAATGCGCTGTCGGTGTTTCTTGCAGCCAAGTATGGCAGTCTGGCCATGCGCAAGACGAGCGCGGAGAAACCGTATCCGGGGGGCAGCATCATTGGGACTGCGAGCGTGGCTGGATTGAAGAGTAATGCGGGGCCGACGGATTACTCGGCTAGTAAGGCCGCGGTGATCAGTCTGATGCAGACGTGTGCGTATCAGCTTGTTGGCAGCGGCATCAGGTGCAACGCCGTCTGTCCGGGGCTGATCGAGACGGGCATGACCAAGATCACCTATGATGCGGCGAGATCGCGGGGGAGCGAGAAGAAGATTGGGCAGCTGAATCCTTTGAGGAGGGGCGGGCAGCCGGACGAGATTGCGAGGGCGGTGTTATTTCTGGCGAGTGATGAGAGCAGCTACGTGAACGCACAGGCGTGGGCTGTGGATGGTGGATTGAGTGGTGGAATGCCTTTTGTTCCAGGAAAGCTGGCTTAGCTTTCGTTTGATCTTTTATGACATGTAAAAAAGGGGGGTCGAGGTCCGTTGCAAAACGTACACCCAGTGGTACAACTTTGGTCTTTGCGTTACTCTGCCACCGGCTTCCCGCTCTTTCGCTTCAATCTGATGCTTGCCCACTACAGTCCACATAAGTCTAGGATCCGGAATGCCAGTGTAAGGTGTACCGTCGTCTTCCGTTTCTGCCGCTTTACCTTTAAGAAACGGGTACCTCTCAGCATTGTACGACAGAGCAATCCATTTCGCGCCAGGCTTCGCTACAAGAGCCAAATGGACGGCCATAAGATACAATGGGTGTACCGGCAGCTCCTTCAGCTCGACATCTATCACTGTAGCCGAAGTCGTACATTCTTGGGTGGTGACGGCGTACGGTAGACGGCACACGACGTCGTCAGCGCACGAGATGGCGTCTGAAGTTGACTTGTCGACAATGATAGAATAAGTACTAGTATCGCAGATTCTGAGGAGCGAGACATAATCTAGGAGGTCTACGGCATCCCATCTGGTGCATGCGTCTATGCTCCGGCTCGCTGAGTCTAATTCGCGCTTTCTCTCCGCGTCTATGACCACCTTGGAGTAATCGATGTTGTGCACCTGTTGAGCATTCTGAACGTGGACCTTCAGATGTTGCGATAACAGTGAAGATCCACAGCCTATGTGCAGGATTTGAGGTTCAACCTTGTCTAAAGACTCGAGTGCTTCGCTGATCAATGGATCCAGAGCATCTGGCGCCGAGAGCCAGTCGAAAGGAGCCGTGTTCTTAGTGAAGCGTTGGTCCCAGTAATCCTGTGATCCAAAGCTTGGTGCCCTTGCCTTTGGTGGCATCTTTGATCTAGTTTCGTGTTGGTGCTGAAACGATTCCTGAAGTTTTCACCACACGCCTCTTGTTCTAAATCCAAGTCTGCGTCCAGGGCGTGTAAGAGATGAGTGACAAGGAAAGGACGAAGAGGTCGAGACTTCACATCCAGCACTCCCGTAGATATCAAAATAAAAAACTCGAGAGACCCACACCACAACCGATTGTTGCGTGCACGAATCACGAGCTAATGCTCGATCTTCACGTTCGTGGTCGTCTCCATCGCGTCGACGCAGGCTCCGGATCGGCCAAACTTTTCCGACCCTCCTCAACTTCCCTCTGCATCGGACCTCCGCACCCTCCAATTCGCACACCCCGGTGTCGCAACCCCCAAACGCCCACATGGCCTCGCTGCACTCGATACCGCGGTTCCTGCTGCCGAGACAGCCCCTGCGGCGCCCGTCGCGCCTCCCGCAATCGCTGCTGCCCACAATCGCCGTGCGCCATGTATCCTCCCCACGCCAGCTGTCGGCGGAATTCGAGCGCCGCCGCGCGGCCGCCGCGAGCACAAAGCACAAGGTCATGCCGCAGCCGGATGCGTACCGGCCGCCGTCGCACGGCAAGACGATCAGGCGGTCTGATCCGGGGCTGGGCAAGGTGTACGGGCCGAAGCTGAGCGAGGACGACCGCAAGAGGATGGCGACGAAGAAGTATCCGAATATGATGAGTCCGCAGGGCACGTTCAGTCATTGGTTTTTGAATAATCGGGTTATTCATTTGTGGATCACGATGGTGCGTTCCTCCCTCACACCATGTCCATGGCTATTTGCATGGAATTGAGATGAGACAGGATAGTGGTGGGTAGTGGCCGCAGCAAAGAGGCTAATCGTGACCCAGGGCATCCTTGTCTCCCTCGCTATAGCAGCTTGGTACATGGACTTCATGTCCAAGACCATCTACGCCGAGCTGCTGCCCGACCGCCGCGAGTTCCTGCGCCACCCCATCCAGAGCTCGAAGCGCTTCATTGAGGTCTACAAGATGCACATGGCCCACACGAGCCAGGTGTACTCGCAGCAGAGGCTGAAGAAGGCCGAGGATATCGAGAAGAGGAAGCAGTACCGGCTGGAGCGGCAGAGGATGGCTGAGGAGAAGGGCGAGGAGTACGTTGAAGATCCCAGGTACTACGTTGGCGAAGATGGTGTGAGGAGACGGAGGGTCAAGAGATGGTTTGGTATCTGGGAGTAGGTTGCAAGTTCAAGGGTCCTTGAGATGAGATCCTAAAGCGCAAACTCCCTTCGATCCATGAGAGTATTGAGGCATGCAGTGCGTGTAATATAGTTGAGTGGAAAGAGAAGGGCACGATGATGATGGGCAGAAGAGTACGATGAAGAGGAAGACAGCTGGAAGTTAGCCGTTGAAAGAATTCGTGTTGCATCCAGTCTCATGCAGCACAAGGAGGATGCAAGCGACTAGAGGCGGATCACATTTTGCGTAGAGCGAAGGACGAAGCATGTATAAGTCATGTACAGAACCATGTATACGTATATATACCAACCCCCAACATTGACATGTCATCCATCAGTTGTAGACACCCGCCGCCCAGCTCTTTCTGCTCTCTCTACTATCCCGTCCTTCCCATAGAATATCCACTTGGTTTGGATTACCATTCTTGCCTTCGTGGTAACTGTACTGGATCTTCTTGAACTGAAGCTTGGGGTGATGCTTGATCTCTTCGCCGCTCATGTTCATGCCGCCTTCACTACCAAGACGCCCGATGACTGGACTCAATAGCATCGCTACGCTGAAGTAGCTCTCGTCTCGGACAATCGTACGGTTGGCGAAGATGAGCAGGCAACACAACGCGATGAGTTGGATGCCGCAGATACCTCCGAGGATGCTTAAGAGGTATGACCAGTCGACATTGAGCTGTTGGCCCGGTATTGGCAGCACATTCTGATTCATGACGTTGTAACGGGGACCGTGGTCATCGAACGCAGCAATTGCACCGATGGTGAACCGCATCAGTATGTCCTGGACTCCTGCTACGTCCATGTTGCGATTTGGGGACCATTTCGAGCCTTGCGTGTAGGTTCGGAATTGCGTCTTGTCCCAGCCTTCCTCGTATATGCCCGTCCAGCCCAGCGATCCGGAGGCTATCTTTGCCCAGTCGTCGCTGCCACAAATGAACTCGTAGTCAGCTCGCGACAAGTTCGTTATGTCGTGCTTGTTGTGTCCCATGGTCATTTCTTCGACAGTACTGTTGCAAAGAAAGAGTGACGTTTTCGTGACGTTACTGTTGGTCGTGTTCAGCAGTGGCTGCAACACTGTAAAGTTTGTGCAGCGTGGACCGCAGAATTCTGTCCGCACATCGGCGATCCAAGTAAACGCTCCGCCTGCGTACTGGGGAATGACGAAAGTGGTCCAGTCATCAGTATTAGGGTGCCTTCCGTCAATGTAGAACTCGCCTTCCTCCGAATCTCTGACTTCTAGCTGATCGCATGTGGCGGAGGTAATAATGCTGCGGCTGCTGAGGAGGTAGTGGGAGTACTGGTGGACGGGATTGCGATTGAAGAAACGGTACTCGTAGCTTCCGTTGGCAAGCTGGTAAAGAGGCGGGCCCGGAAGGATCGAAAGATCTTGCTGTATATCATCCGGTGCAAATTGCGGATAGGCGATGGCTTCCATGCCGTACAACCACGCCTCTTGGCGGTTAAGGGATTGGCCGTCTTCTTCGGCCTCCGGTGTGGGATGCCAGTGAGCCAGGTTGGCCACTGTGACATTGCCATGCGTAAGAAGCGGTATCATGGATGGATCCATGGGATAGAACAGACTCGAGACAGCGACAAGGACCTGCGATCCAACATTGATGCCAAGCCAGACTAGACACACGACCCATGTCCACTTGGTGTCGTCTTGTCGTGCGTCCTTCAGCCACCTGAATTTGCGCAAGTACTTGTGACGTCGCACAAGAGGAAGGGAAATGACCATGAGCTTGAAAACGTTGCTCAGTCTTTCGAGACCAAGCATTAGATCGAATGTCTCCAGAGAGACGTATCGCCGGCTCAGCAAAGACCAGCGAAGGATTCCTGCGTAGTTCTGCAGACTAGCGAGGAGGTTCAGACCTAAGCATAATGACAGTCCAATCATGAGAGCATTGAAGATCTTGATCTCCATCTTGGACAGCACGATAGTTTCGTGGAACCCTTCCCAAGATTTCAGAGTGACACAGATCAACGCGCTGAACAAGATTGTTGTGAGAAGCTTCAGGCCACCGACTTTGAACAGGTATTTCCGCGCTTGATTATGATCGAACCTCTTCGTGTGAGGATGGCGACTACGGTGACTCAGTAGCGATATATTGTCCGCGGCGTGCTTGCCGAGAGGTTCGTTGAGTGACATGTATGACCCCCTCTTGTCGCCACGGGTGAAGTCGTCAGGGGATGATAGAGGCGAAGCATAGATGTTCTCCATCGCGATATCGCCAGCATTGTAAGTCTCGGCTTCGTCATCGCGTGGCGAGCCAGGTCTGGTCGGTGATGGGCTGGGTTGCGATTCGGATGCAGAGCGCGGAGACAGAAGGCCTGGTCCCTGGTCCATGAGGGCGTTCATGCCCGCACTGCGCTCATAACGGACCATGATGAAGGCCTCGTGGAAAGGTAGAGTGTCGAACTTGCGGCGCAGTCGATCAAGGGCGTGTTGATTCTTAGTTTAGACCCCGAAGGATGAAGGCATCGGTGACGAAAGAATCCGATCCGAGGGGGGCGTATGATCAGCGGCGCAGTTCGACCTGGGCGTGAAGTATATCGGAAGAAACAGTTTCGATGCTGCGCCGTATCTCTTTATTTTATACCTCTGCCGTCTCTGTACACTATTTGCAGGTGCTTACTTGGAGTGGCCGGGATCCTGGGGGCCGAATCGAGTGGCTGCGCAGAACAGATTGGTTGAAATATGTCCAGAACTTGAAGAGCAGGTGCAACTCAAGCTCCCTGGTGAAGCGATGCGATTCAAGATATGCGCTGGTAGAGCGAGAAAGAGTTGGAGAGTCATGTGTTCGGTCTACATTGTGAGCAAGTCCCGCGAACCTTCAGCTGCCAGCTGCACAAGGGGACCCATCTTCAACAGTTCCACGAAATGTTGCTATTCCAATGGATTCAGCCTACTGTGCAAGCCACAGGAGAATACTATTCGCTTACGTCGGTCAGGCTTGCAGTTGAAGTATCGTTGTCTAGCTGGCAGTGGCTAGATCAAGAGGGACATATTGGGGGCTGAAATCGAGCTGAACACTGAACAGCGCCGTAGGCGTAGACGCCTCCAGCCGAGCGGCATTATTCGGCCCGTCGCACGTGGCGCTGAACGACGACAACTGCCTGACTGATCGCGCTTCAGCTGAGTATTGCGATGAGAGAAAGATCAGTGGAACGTAGGGTTGGTGAGTCGAGGTTTGGGAAGTGGGGCACGTCAACGGACACCTGCCGTCACCACGCTCTTCACCGGCAAACATCAACAACAGCCAGGATAGACTTCGGCGAGGAGCTTTTGTGCTCGACGACGTCTTGCAGTTTAACAGCAGGCGTCAGACAGCTTGCAAACGCTGTCCAGATCTGCCCGCTACTGATACTCAGCGACCACTGCCAGAGGCAGGTATCAATGTTCGGGGGCTACCAAGTAGAGCTACTGCAATGTCGAAGCTGCCGTTGGGCTGGCACAGAAGCCGAGCGATGGATTTGGCCGCTGGCTCACAAATCATTCGACGACTTTCATGTCCGCTGCGTGGACTTTCTATACTCACAATGGTCAACGTTTGCGAGTGCTCGACACACAAGATACGGGCCACGAGGGTCAGGCTGACAAGGCTAGCAAACAAGTGGGCAGACGTGCAACAGAACACCCACAAGCCAAGATCCGCAGCTTTGGTCTCAAGTGGCTTCAAAAACCTCCTGCCGAACGCGAATTCCAGGATGGATGCTAGCCCCGCCCCGTCTCTGTCGCGAGCAGCAGCAAAGAGACATGTGTACTGAAGTGCGTGTTACCCAGATACGAGCTGGGTTGCGTCGCATCTGGTGGAAGCCCAATGCTGCGCGTCCCGAGATGCATCCGTCAGGCCATGGCGCACAGACTTGGGCAAAAAGCAAATCTGGTCAAAGGGTCACAATGGTCAGTCAGATTGTCGTCCTGACAGAGAAGATGAGGGAAATCGTCTGGACATGTGGGGCAGAGTGACCCCACGTAGCCTGCCCGTAGCATCACTTGTTCGATAGATGCGTTGCATGGCGTCGTGCTCAATTCACCACTTTCTGCGTTTTCGGTGATCTAGGGTCCCCCATTGGCATTCTGCTACGCGTGTTCACTCTTACCACTCGGCTCAGGCATCAGACAGCGGGATGTGCGAGGTGAGCCACGCGACTTGGGCGCTTGGGCGTAGTCTACACATGTCTCCGTATTGGGTGGACCCTTGACCTCACCGCCCTCGCAGTAACGGATGGAAAATGTGGGATGTTAGGCAGACGTCACAGGGCGTGACATGGTAGCTGACTGAGATTCTACGGCACTTCACTTTTACACTCAACGTTGCTCAGTTCCTCTCAGTCGACCCGCTGTGACTACCACAGGACCACAATGTCTGCTCAGACGATCCTCTACGACCTCCCCTCCAAGCAGGGCACCGCTTGGTCGCTCAACCCCTGGAAGGGTGTGTATACGCGCGCGGGCGGAAGCTAACGGAGACAGCGCGCCTGGCCCTAAACTTCAAGGGCATCGACTACAGGACGGAATGGGTCGAGTTCCCCGACGTCGAGCCCAAGATGAAGTCACTGTGCGTACCGAGGGATCCAGGGCACGTGAGACGCTCACAGAGTTGAACAGAGGACTGCGTCCCAACCCTAGAGACGCCCCGGGGTACTTCACCGACTACTCGATCCCGGCAATACAGTACGAAGACGGCAGCTGCCAGATGGATTCATGGCTCATCGCACATGAAGTGGAGAAGCGCTACCCCACGCCGTCTCTCCACTTGGACGACCCAGTGACGATCAAGGTCCGCGACCAGATGGCTTCCATCTTGGGACCGGTGTTCATGCAGCTGCTGCCTGCTGTTCCCGCCCTGTTGCCGGCGAGGTCGCAGGCGTACTTTTACAGGACGCGCGAGGCAGCGTTGGGCAAGCCGCTCGCGGAGGTGCACGAGGAGGCGCTGGGTAGTGCGGAAGCGAGCTGGAAGAAGACGGAACAGGCGGTGAAGGAGGTTGCCGAGCTGCTGAAGAAGCACGACGGGCCTTTCTTCCTCGGAGAGACGGCGTCGTACGCGGACTTTATCCTGGTTTCGGGGCTGTACTTTGTGGAGCGGCTGAGTGAAGAGGGGTTTCAGAGGATGGTGGGGTTCGATGCCGCCTTGCGCAGGGTGTACGAGGCGTGCAGGCCGTGGTTCAGCAGAGACGACTGATCGGGTGCGACGCAGGAGATGGTAAGTATTAGCGCCTCGCCGTCAAGTCAGTACAGTGGCAGTACAGTGGCAGTACAGTGGCAGTAGGACAGTAGATGTGGTATAATTAGCGCCTCGCCGTCAAGTCAGTACAGTGTCAGTACAGTGTCAGTACAGTGTCAGTAC